TTCTTTCACTGCTTGGTGGACTTGAGATTTTCGACCGATGAACCCTTCACTCGCTTGCAGCATTATCCATGATTGATCCGTGTCCGCATTGGCGCCGGACGGTGGTGTCATGCAAGTACATGCATGGAGTGTTATCCGAAAGCCTCTTGGATCTGCAGCCGTGTCCAGAAAGAAATGTTTCGTAGGATCTGCAGAGCCCACATCCAGATAGATAAATCCACAGACACGAGCTTTCACGCATGGGCGCAGTTGACTGGGAACTGGTGTTCGTGGACGTTCTCTCGCATACACGAGCAATCTCGCGGCAGTTCGGAATCACTTAATGAAGATTTGGGAACCCTGCTGGCTTACTCCTTGTTCTACTCCTGAATCCTGATATATATTCATGGCGGTGATAACGGATGCATGCACTGTCTCGGAATGCTCGGTCAGGGGCCCGGTGGCTGGGCCAAGGGTGTGTCGGATTGACCTTTTTGGAGCTCCACCCGACAGCGTCATGCCGGTCTTGTTGACAATCGTCACTGGGTGGCTACATTCACTCAACAGACCCTTGCTCAAAAAACAAAGTGAAGGAAGAGCTCAGCGAAAAGCTCTTCCAGTCCGAACATCTTCCGTCTAGCTGTACATAATCAGCTTTCTCTCTTGCATCTCGTCTCTTCCCACCTATTTTTCTGTACAGCGAGACATCATGCCTCACTCTACATCACAATCCCTCAAGCTACTCAGCAAGAACCTCTCGCAGATCGCGTCCCAGTCGGGTCGCGCAACTGTGAGAGTGCCCACCTATGACCGTTCTTCGGTCAAGGAGGGTGTCGTCCACATTGGAGTCGGTGGTTTCCACAGAGCTCACTTGGCCGTCTACCTCCACAACCTGATGGAGAAGCATGGCGTGCGCGACTATGCCATCGCCGGTGTCGGTCTCCAGCCCTTTGACGCATCCATGCGCGACATCCTGAAGAAGCAGGATCACCTCTACACCGTCATTGAGCGCGGTGCCGACGGCAGCTCTGCCAATGTCAATGGCGCCATCACCTCGTTCCTCTTTGCGCCCGACAACCGCCAGGCTGTCATTGACAAGATGGCACACCCCGACACCAAGATCGTCTCCATGACCATCACCGAGTCCGGCTATTACTACAACGAGAACACCCACGAGCTCCAGGCTGAGCACCCCGACATCCAGCACGATCTCAAGAACGAGAACTCGCCCAAGACCACCTTTGGTTTCCTCTACGCCGGTATGAAGAGACGCCACCAGCTCGGCCTCAACCCCTTCACTGTCCTCTCCTGCGACAACATGCAGAAGAACGGCTCCATCACTCGTCACATGCTCGTCTCCTTCGCCAAACTCGCCAACCCCGAAATCGCCAACTGGATCTCCGAGAAGGGCGCCTTCCCCAACTCGATGGTCGACCGTATCACTCCCCGCACCGAAAAGACCGACATCACCGCACTCGCTGAAGACTTTGGCATTGAGGATGACTGGCCCGTTGTTACTGAGCCCTTCATGCAATGGGTTGTTGAGGACAAGTTCTGTGATGGCCGCCCTCCCTTCGAGAAGGTCGGTGTCCAGGTCGTCAAGGACGTCCACGACGTCGAGCAATTCGAAATGCACAAGCTGCGCCTTCTCAACGGTTCCCACTCTGCTCTCGGTTACCCCGGTCAGCTCGCTGGCTTCAAGTACATCCACGAAGTCATCAACCACCCCGTCTACCGCAAGTTCGTTGAGCAGATGATGCACAAGGAAGTCAAGCCTCTTCTGCCTGCCATTCCCGGTGTCGACATTGACCAGTACTGCAACACCCTCATGGAGCGTTTCTCGAACCCTACCATCATGGACCAGCTTCCTCGCATCTGCCTGGGCGCCTCTGGCAAGATCCCTCAGTTCATCATGCCCTCAATCGCTGAGCAGATCTGGGGCGAGCACAACTTCCGCCGTCTTTCTTTCGTCGCCGCTGCCTGGTTCCGCTACATCAACGGTGTCGATGACGCTGGCAACAAGTTCGAGGTCGACGACCCCATGGTCGAGGAGCTCCAGGCCAAGGCCAAGGCTGGCGGCACCAAGCCCCACGAGCTGTTGAGCATCAAGTCTCTCTTCGGTGACGACTTGCGCAACGACGAGAGATTCATCAAGGAGGTCACCACCGCCATGGAGCTCATCGCCAAGGACGGTGTCATGGCCACCCTCCCCAAGTACATTGACTGAGCGACTCTCAATGTATCTTGACGGGTGAGCTGCTGGCCGGCATTGCCTGTTATTGGATCCAGAAAGAGAAGAAGCAAAGTCATACCTCCCTCTGTTTACGAACCTCGTTCCCATTGGCGCAACGTTGCAATGAGGACGCCGCGAGCCCAAGCTCTGAGATATAATATACCCCCGAGCTCGCGGGTTTACGAAGAAAAGCGAGTTGGCATGTACGATAGACATGGATTGGTTATTGGCCAACTAGAAGATTCACAGCATAAATGAAGCGTTTTTTACAATCTTGTTTCCCATCTTATTCTATTGTGAGATTGTGACATGTTGACCTCGATGCACTGGATGTCGACTGCTCTGTCATTGGCTCTCGCCATCACAATGTATGTAGTATGCACGATATCTTTGAGTTGCAATGGAAGGAAAATTTAGGTATGATCAGGGTGCTAGATACATCTATTCGACTTGGCCGTTTGAGATGCGACTGCACATGACGATGGGTTTTGCGGAATGACGGAATCTGTGGCTTGGGCCTCGGAAGAGCACACGAGTCAGCAAAGTCACCGGGCTTCGTAGACTGTCATTCGCCATGGCATCTCCTCCCTGACCACTACACCGGCTGTCCTCTGGAAACAGAGGAAGTATATACACGACATGGCCGGTCAAGGAAGTGGAAATGCTAATGCTGGTCGAGGGACTGTCATCGGCAAACTGGACTACCACCCGGGACGACCGCTATTACGCGCCGACGACGAAGGGGAATCATCAGGCAGACCCAGTGCTGAACACAGCTATGCCGGCAGCTTCTTTGAGCAGGTGGCCGAGGGTATTCAGAGCCGTGACAGGCAAAAGATGCAGCGTCAGCTGTCGCGTTATCTCACATTTGGCTGGGCCATTGTGAACTGGTCCGTTTCCCCTCTACTCTAAGCAGACCATAACTGACATACTCTTGTAGCCNTGGTCGCCGGGTCCATCGCCTGCTTCTCCATATACGCTCCGCTCTTCCAAAAACGTCTACACTACACACAACTACGCGTCAACACCATCTCCATCACCGCCGAACTAGGCATGTACCTGCCCGTACCCATATTCGGCTTCCTCTGCGATCGCTACGGCCCCGGCATTCCTTCGATCCTGTCAGGCTGCTTTGCTGGCTTCGGTTATGTGCTGGCAGCCTTCACCTACCGCAACCCCGACTGGCCATTTGCTGTCATGGTCTTCTCATTTGTCTGGGTCGGCATGGCCACCAGTTGCATGTACCTCAGCGCCGTCACCACTTGCGCAAAGAATTTTGGAAGAGGAAAACACAAGGGTCTCGCACTGGCTCTTCCTATTGCCGCCTTTGGTTTGAGCGGCATGTGGGAGAGCCAGGTGGGAAGTCGCCTGCTATACGAGAAGAAGCCCGACGGCACCCACGGAGACATTGATGTCTTTCGTTTCTTCATTTTCCTCGGCTGCACCTTGTTTGCGGCTGGTTTCATTGGCTTCTTCCTCCTGAGGATCATTGACGAGGACGAGATGATTGACGAAGCAATCGAAGAGCTGGAACAAAGTGGTCTGCTAGAGGACAGCGCCTTCTTCAGAAGGGGTCATCACCACGACCAGCACGAAACCTATGGTGCCGTGCAAGAGGAAGGCGACGAAGAAGAGCGCCAGCGCACGGAAGAGGAAGCCCGTAAAAAGACGTGGCTACTCAACGAGGAGACTAGTCGCTTCCTGTCCGACAGAACCATGTGGCTGCTGGCTGGCGGCTTTTTCCTTGTTACTGGACCTGGAGAGGCCTTCATCAACAATCTGGGAACTGTCATTGGCACCTTGTATCCACCCAGCATGCCTGACGGGGAGATTCCCACAAGTGCCGCTACTCACGTCTCTATCGTTGCCATCACCTCTACTATTGCACGTATTCTGACAGGCACCTTGTCTGACTTGTTTGCACCTACATCGGTACCACACCAGCATCGCAGGGGTCCTAACTCGCTCATGTCGTCCATGGCCACGCTACCCGGTGCAGACGCAGCAGAGCCTCAGAAACGCCTCGAAATCTCGCGCATAACATTCCTTCTGGTCTTTTCTCTCATCATGTCTGTTGGTCAGGCCGTTCTTGCTTCAGGCATTGTTCAGGACCACGGTGAACGTTTCTGGTGGGTCAGTGCTGCAGTCGGTGCGGGTTATGGTGCTGTTTTCAGTCTGACCCCCATCATTGTTTCGGTCGTGTGGGGTGTCGAGAACTTCGGCACGAACTGGGCTTGTGTTGCTACTGTGCCCGCTTTGGGTGCGACACTATGGGGCTTGTTGTACAGCGCTGTCTATCAATATGCAGCCGAAGATAACGTAGAGGCAAGCAGCGAGCTGTGTTTCGGTCGCGCCTGCTATGCCCCGACGTTTTGGGCTATGGCAGCGAGTGTTTGGGTGGCATGTGTGTTATGGCTCTTTGCATGGCGGGGTCCTGGCGGCTGGTATAGGCGGGGCATTGTGGTTTGATTTGCATCCATGTCGTTTGAAGCCCTGCATATCGGAGGTAGCATTTTCGTAATTGATTACTTTTACTATTTACACGTCTTGAACTGTCTCTCAATCGGTCCTTGTTGCTTCGTTATCAGTCCATCGCGGTTCCCGGCGTCATTCTCTCGTGGTTGTAACACTGTCTGGTGACGACTCGCAAAGGCATCAGCCAAGAGCCCTGTTTGTGGTGTCCGAGCTTTGGCTTATAACAAGACGAGAACTCCTTGAAAACACGGCAAAGTGAATTGAAACAACAAACTTTTCATCGCGAGAGACACAGTCGGACTGAAATGCTGTAATGGCAGACTCGACAACAATCCAACGTGCGGAGGAGCTGGTGGCTCAGGCCAGAGCATGCATCGAACAACGCCAACTCCAGAAAGCAACCCAACTAGCCAAGGAAGCTGCATCTCTGGCACCTACCAACCAAAACGTTCAAGCCTTGATTCAATCTCTGTCAAATGCAGATTCAAGCGGAAGTCAGATTCTCTCTTTGGTCAAAAGCTATGTGGAGAATGGAAACGAGAAGGATGGCCGAGAAGCTGTAACGTTGTTGAAGCAACATGCTGCTGTATCCACCGACCAGATTACCGATGTCGCTCATTTGCTCTTCGATCATGATGGAAAGCCTACAGAAATCAGAGATCAGTTGACTGGTGCTTTCGTCATCAACTCGGCTGCAGCACGCAAACAGCTTGCCAGCAGGATCCAAGTCGGCACAGAAGCAACCCGATACTTCCGTTTACTCTGGAGACGTGGTGAACACAGTTTCAACAGCATCTTGCCGGTCCTCTTGGATGCAGAAGCATGGCCCAGCACAGATGTCCAGACACAAGCCAAAAGAGACGCTTTCTTGCTTGCCCTCGGCAAACTCCTAGATCCAGCTCTGGAGCATGGCGAGTGGAGCATGACTCTCATCGCCAGACTGCTCACTAGCAATGCGCATGACATGGCAGGACTCATCGACCGCGATGCCTTTGAGATTGTACTCGCACAGCTGGATATCCGTCTCAATGCCAAAATCAGAGCACAGGCAACCCTCGCTGTTGCGAAATTACTGGAAGAAACTCGCGAGGAAGGTGAAGCCATGTTTACTGATTACATTACCAATGGCGTTGCCAAAGGACATAATGACGAGTTGATTGTGGTCTTTTCGGCAGCGGCCTCGGTGTTTCCTCTGATGCCGCAGACTGTGGCTAAGTTGTTTCTCACTCCTGGATTCCTGGAAGGCTTGGTACCTGTGCTGGAGAGAAACTCGATGGGACAGAGGTGAGTGGTGGAAACGGTCGTGAAAGAGCTTCTTCTGACAAGTACTGCANGAAAGTCACATCGCCTCGAACAGGCAGCCATGGAGTTGATGAGCGCAGCATGCGTGGACAAGGCATGCAGAGAGAGTATCTCAAAGATTGCCTACAACTGGCTCGACGATGTGGCACATACGAGTACAGAGGCAGAGGCCGCGAGTATGGCTGCCTTGGTGCTAGCAAAGATTCCGTAAGCACTCTTGGACTACATCTTGATCGATTACTGACAATCAGACAGGCCAAAACCTGAATCTGAGGAGTCTTCAGTGACACACGCAGACGACCTTTCAACTCTCCTAGTCAACCTCACACTCAACGCAAGCAGTCCTGCAGAACAACAGAGCTCGATAGAGGGTCTGGCATACACATCACTTCAGCCGAAGATCAAAGCCGACATCGTGTCCAACTCCGCCTTACTCAAGAAGCTGATCGAGCGCCTCAAGTCGACAACGACGGCTGACCCCTGCACTTTTGGCATTCTGACCATCTTCTCAAACCTGGTCTCGTACCGACCAGCCCAAAGCGAAGAGCAGCAAAAGATTTCCCAGCTCAAGAACTACGCCGAGGCCAAGAAGCAAGAAGAAANNAAAGACCCTCTGGATGACGAAAAGCACGTAACAGCACGCTGCAAGACAGTGCTGGATGCAGATCTCGTACCCGTCCTCGTAGCAGCGGCTAGAAGCCACTACACAGTAACGATCCTCGGCATAGCAGCAAAAATCCTCCACGCCCTCGCACGCGAGCAAAAGCATCGCGGCAAACTCGCCCAACAAGGCGCTGTAAAGCTCCTCCTCCAAACCATCGACCGTCTTCAAACACCCACAAGCCCTGCCTCGTCTTCCGACTCTGCAACCGCAGCCATCCACCTAGCCGCCCACGCACTCGCCCGCATCCTCATCTCCGTAGACCCCCACCACGTCTTTAGCAGAGCCATGCCCGCCATCTCGGCCCTTCGCCCTCTAGCCCTCCTCCTCACCCCCGATACCACATCCGACACTCGCGATCTGCTGCCCGTCTTTGAATCATTACTCGCCCTCACCAACCTCGCCTCCCTCGAAGACGACACGGTCAAAGACGCCCTCCTCCGCAATGCCTGGGACCCAACCCAAGACCTCCTCCTCTCGTCCAACAAACTCGTCCAACGCGCTTCTGTAGAACTTGTCTGCAATCTCATGGCTTCCCCTGCGGGCGTCGCCAAATACGCCGATGGCAGTGCGGCCGCCAAACAACGCTTACACATCCTTTTGGCACTGGCAGATGCAGAAGACGATGCTACTAGACGCGCTGCAGGTGGTGCGCTAGCTATGCTGACCGAGTGGGATGCAGCTGCAAAAGCCGTGCTTGAACACGATCGTGGCGTGGCTATCTTGTTGGATATGTGTGTTGACGATGCCGATGATGTCAAACATAGGGGTTTGGTGTGTGTACTCAATATCGTGTCTGCGCCTGGCGAGATCGGTGCAATGGGATTGGAGAAGGTCGTGCAGAGTGATGGAGTGGAAGAGATCAAGGCTTCGTTGCGTGAGTGCAGAGATCCAAATGTCATGGCTGTTGGTGTCGAAGTTCTCAAGGCTATTATGGCCAAGGAAGGAGCCAACAAGGGGAAAGCGATCACACAGGGTTAGGGATGAGCTTGTCTAGGTCTGTCTTGTTTATCGTTCTTGCATGATTCAGCTTAGCATTGGTATATGCATTTGGTATAGCGAATTTTCTAAACTCGTCGAGCTACAGAAACAGTGGTATCTTTCTTGTACATGTTCATAATCCATCAAGTCATAGATGCAGTTTGCATCAATCCATCCCTCCTGAAACATTCCCTTGTTCCAGCCCGATCCAGAATTGTGTAGTGGCCGACGGCGGGTTTTGAATCTGCCGTCGACCAAATCAGATCCATCATAAGATGGAGAATAACCACGTCCAAACGCGACTCCCAAACTCATTTTCAATGACGAAAACACCGCTGTGGCAACTTGTCGACATTTGCCATTTGCACTAGAATCTGGTAAAAGACCTGTCGATAGTGCCAGAGGACCAGCGCTTGAACGAGAGAGGCACCAGATACCTGCGAGACCGAGTTTTGTAGCGCGCTCTCAGACCGTGAATAGGCCTTGCCTGGGTATTTGAATTCGTTCAGTCCTGTAAGCTTGAAGGAAACTTGTTCGTTCGAAAAATGCGCTTGTCTGCGTTGAATGATATTCGAAGTCTTTCTCCGCACGGAAGTCGGAAAGGACTGCCGATATTGTGCACGCAGCAGGTGCAGGAAGACCAGTAGAAGCGGATCTCATACTGAGAGTCGATTAGGTTTGGGTCTCGTAGGCTGGATGCGAATTCCGTTCGTAATGTTTGTCGCTCACGTTGGCGAATTGTCGTTGGAAGCTTTGTGAACTCCAATGGTCAAGTCGGTCTCGTCGACAAAGGTATAGGTACTTCTTCTCCGGGAGGGAGGCCTGGGATCTTGTTGGCATATCATTCTTGAACGCAGTATGCGCAAAGAGTTCGCTCACGTTTCTTCCATCCTTGGCACAGTCTCCACCGAGACCGGTCTATCCTCGACTAGTGTAGAACCCGACTCTCTCCAGATTTTACTCCATCTGCTGGGTTTTGCAGCTTGTTCGTATGTGATCGCAAAGTCTGTCATGTGTTGGATGGTGCCTAGTTCAATGTCGTCTTCCTTTTTNGACAGTCTGAAAAGCTTCTTCCTTGGTCCTTGTACAATGGTTTCGTTGTAGCCTTTGAACTGCGCCCGCTGACTTCCGGTGCTTGCCACTGGCTCCAGCTGAGATAGTCTAGATGCGCCAGAGATGGGCAGTGTTGCAGGAGGCTTATCTGTCCTTTCCTTGTCAGATCCCATGAAGAGTACAGCGCCAGTGCATACTGCTTCGGAGCGATCAGATGAATCTTCCATGACGGTGTTGAAAGGTGAAACCAGCGGTCTGAAAGAGGGAAGTGACGCTGTAACCATACTCCACAAAAGGGTTACTTGAAGCCAGACAACTGGTTGGACGACTGCAATGCCACGGTCGCCACCATCGACCATCGTACTTCTGAGATAATAGAAGTGAAGAATGGTGAAGGCGATGACGGGAAGCCTGGCTGCAAATGTACTGATGATTATCGCCTTGTGCTTGGGGTTCAGCAGAATCCTACAGATAAGAATGATCGGAACAAGGACGAGAGCTAGCTCAGACACAACGTCAAATGTCTTGATCGAGATCCATCTNTGCGCGCTGTAGCAGGGTCAGTCTGAAGCTTTTGAGTCTACCAAAGCGTAAGGATATGTTACCAGCTTGGGGCAGAGATCCGCGGTCTTGAAGTACCAGCCAGACTGGCAATCGACGGACAGAAGTATAATGCTAGCGACTCCGAAGATGAGGTTCATGACGAGCAAGATGTCGCATATGATCTGGTTGAATCGTGATTGGCCATGAAAGAGGCGGCGCGTGAAGAGTGTCAATGAAACCTTTGCCATATAATGAACGACAAAGAATACAACAAGTCGTGTGTAACTGCTCTGNAGGATTTTGTTAGATACAAGTCCTTCGTCTGTAATATCAGCATTGCTTACATTGGTAAGTGTTTCTGCGTGTTTCGGCTGGACGACTTTTGATGAATGGCCTAGGCCGTTCCCGAGTGCGATGATGACAAAGGTGTGCTGGATTATACACGCCAGAGTAGACACCAGCAAGGCAGCATCATCAAAGCCATACATACCACGGCGAAGGACGAAGCGCACGCCGGTGCAGAGAAGCGCATATGTTAGACTGATGATGCAAACCACCCAGACGACACCGCCATGGTTCGTAGGGGTCAGTTGAGAGAAGTAGTAGACATCCGAAGGAAGGTTATTTGTCGAGAGGGCAGTGTCGTTACCCATACCGACTGTGAGGGTTTCCGACAGATGGGCATTGAAGGAAGAGGTTGATGGCGACGACGATGATGATGCATGTCAACATGAGACATCAGGGAGCTCAGGCTATCTTGCTAGAATTTGGTTGCGCAAGACCGTTGGTCGTGGCTTCCTTAAAGGTGACTTAAGTCTCTTTCCAGCCTCTGAGAGCTAATCTTCTGACTCGGTGTAGCCGGGACCCCGCATCCGTACCTTCTATTTGACGACAATTTCAGTTAAACCATCACCGCCTGTCAAACAGACACGGTCTCGACAGCGCGGTAAAGCTCGGGTGTGGTGGACCGTTGTGATGTAGCTGGTGCCTACGCGGCCAACTTCTCCGCAAAACCAACGGTGGAAGCCACATTCGATGCAAACGTTGTCAGCCTTGACAGGAAGAGGACTAGGACGTCGAAGCAATGGCAACTGATAACCTGACAGGGATCTTGCGAGATGGTGCATTCGGGGCCTGGGTGCAGGGGATGTGTCAGCTTGAACCGGCGTCCAATATACAGTATCTGTGCGGAGGAGAAAGCTGGTGGGCTAGCAAGAGCCCTGTCCGCACAAAACAGAGCTCCTAGCCAAGAGACAAGCTCGACCTTGAACGTTGCTAGCTCATCGTACAACTTGTAAGTTTCGCAACCAGGAGACTTTGCCTTTCTGGAACCTCAGCTTCCTGGGCCACCGACATGATGCACGAAGACTCCATCCAGAAGGCCTCCAGTGTCGAGGTCGCAGAGGGAAGAAGAGGCAGCCTTCTCAGACCGATCGTCACACGCGGAGACAGTTTCTTCAATGAGCGCAATGTAAACGCGAAACTGGATGACAATTCGAGACCTGCCTCCACCTCTTTGAAGCCCAGATTGAACAGCATATCATCTGCTCGCACACCAACGTCACCAGCACCCAAGAGTCCCTCCTATCGACCAGATTGGGCCCAAGATGCAGAAAATATGCAAGGACCACCTTGGCCTGTGGATGAAGACGAGCTAGGATCGCCAGAAGACCTTCGAGATATGTTGAGAATGGGAAGAATCCAAGAGATGAGAGTGAGTCTTGCTCATATCGTGTCCGGAAACATGAAGCTGATTCCCTTGATCAGANGAGTGTTCCGACAATTTTCGTTGATATCTTTTGGTACCCTGTAAGTGTTCATTGTGCGTCGCATGTGTAAAGCTGACAATGTTGCCAGATCGCAATGCACTTGGGAGTTCATTCTACTGTAGGTGGTTGAATGATATGGTGAGGCAGTACACTGACATGTTTTAGCANACAACAACCAAACACTTGAAGCTGGTGGATGCGGTCTACTCTTTTGGTCTTGTTCGTATTTCCTCTGGTACAGGAAATGTAATACTGACCAATGGATTCAGATGTGGTATNCTTTCGCTGGCTCCATGTTCATCGCAGCGTCGCTGGCCGAGATGGCTTCAATGTGAGTGAATCAAGAGTGCTGATCAGACAGGACTAACAATTGAGCTGCATAGGNNTCGCCGAGTTCTGCGGGCCAATATTTCTGGGTCTCGGAATTCGCCAGTAAACGATGCCAGCAGTTCTTGTCGTATATCACAGGCTGGTAAGTTGGATGCTTGGACCACTCATTCGACCAACACTAACCAGGTCAAAGGATGAGTATCGTTGGTTGGCAATGTGGAAACGCCGCAGGAATCTTCCTGACAGGCTCACTAGTCCAATCAATGATAACCATCTATCGTCCTGCCAATGGTTGGCTGGTGTGGCAGACGATCGTGTTTCTCCTTCCCTTTCTTGCTGTTGTCATTTTGACCAACATATATGGTGGCCGTACGATAGCAATATTGCAGAATGTGATGATGTCAGTGCACATTCTTGCGCTGATTGCGATTGTTGGTGAGTGCTATATCTGGACGCGCTTGTCCGGTCGATGCNTGATCAGGTTGGAAGTGATCTTGGGAGTACTGTCGCCGCACATTCCAGCAAAGAGGGCGTTTCTGCAGATTGAAAACAAAGAATGGTCTTCCGCGGCTTTGGCAGCGCTTTCCGGCCAGACAAATACAAACTTTGCCNTGTTTCTGTGAGTATGCTGGCATTCTTGGGTTCCAAGAGAACTGACCTTTCAAGATGTCGACGCTCCCATTCGTCTTTCCGAAGAGGCACAAGATGCCGCGGTTGTCGTTCCTCAAGCTACCGTAAGTCTTTGATCGAAATGTATGTGCGTCCTTCGTTCTGACCAAACCTCGTTCCAAAGANTGAGAACGGCATGGCTCGGCGGTTTCATGGGCCTAATTGTAAGTTCTCGATCGAAGCATACCTCTCTTTCCCCGACTAACCTCCTTTAGGCTGTAGCAGTGTTCGCAATCTGCGTCCCGAGCATCAATGATGCTATCAATCATCCGACAGGATATTCTCTTCTTTACGTTCTACAACTGTCCGTTCCGAACAGCGTTATAGTATGTATCCTGTTGACATTCGTTGCTCTTGTGGGAGCAAGCAATGTTGGCTTCGCAGCCGCTACTGCAAGAATTACATATGTCTTCGCAAGAGATCAAGGCCTTCCATTTTCTCGGTGGATCAGCAAGGTAGGACTTGCAAAACAAACACAACGAAAGTTCGTTGACGGAAGCCTCTAGGTACACGAGAAACGGCTGACCCCTATCAACGCTGTGTTCTTGACGGCAGCTGTTGGTGTGTTACTGTCGCTGATCAATCTTGGATCTACCACTGCCTTCTTCGGCATCGTAAGTGTTTCTCAGTATATGCCCCTGAGTGTAGACTGACAGCGCAGGNTGGCACTGGCGCAAGCCGCACAAGCCGTGTCGTACATTTTGGCCATCTCGAGTGTGTTGTATCGTCGTATCAAGTCGCCAGAGAAACTGCCAAAAGCACGATGGAGCCTCGGGCCTATCTGGGGCCCAATCAACAACGTGCTCGCTNATTGTAAGTACACCAGGATTAGTCTTGCAGCTTGGCTTGCTTCACGTTACCTGTTGTTTGCCAGAGCGAATGTTGCTGTCGCGACACGTGTCTCTTCAAATACCGCGGGATCGAATGAGGCAAGGCTGCAAGCCCGTTCAAGGCGTGGAGTATGTGCCTTTCTTCGGACAGTACGCTAACTGGACCCTCTCCTTTAGTTGTTCTCGATCAATTGCTTCATCTGGTCGTTCACCCCACCCAGTCTACCAATCACAGCGACGAATTTCAATGTAGCAGTCGCGCTCTTCATAGGCTTGCTGGTGTTAATGACGGTAACGTATTACTTCAGGAGGAAAGAATACGTCGGGCCAGTAGCGCGCAAAAGAGACACTCCTAGCTGGAATATGAGTCAGCTGGGTACAGATCGGAATGTTCAATTCTTGACGATTCCGGAGGAACTCTAACAGCGATCTAGATGTCCCAGCAAGATCGGCTGAGAATGGTTTGTGTAACTAGCGCAGTTTTCATACGTTTTCACTTGTTGCTGCTGATTATATGCGAACAAGCCTTGCTGTACGAATACTCTGAATCTTGCTATATTGGTTGTCTGCACAATGTGCTGGAAGCTCACCTGGTTGTCTATTGTTACTGGGGGATGACTGCACAGTAGATCCGGGATGATCAGGCACAGTGCATATTAATGAACGAGTCTCGGCTGTAAATCCTCAATGTGGTTTCAGCTCTTTGGAAAGCGTGTATACCTATAGCGCAGTTTTACGCAGGTCATGTATCTTCCAAAGTATGCATTGGCTTCTTGAACATATACAGTGTTGATTGGCTCTTTGTCCAGACATGTCGCCTCCTTCGGTGCTCGCCTCTGGCCCACCTGTGGGCGTAGAGTTTCCACAGGAGGAATCAATAGGGCCCAGGTAAATGTCCGTCGGCAGGGTCCGATTAGTAAAGAACTGATAGCTGACAGTTTGTGCATTGGTTAAACTGTGCATGGGGTACGAACGCTATCTCTAGCTGCACTGTAAGATGTATAGCTTGCATACTTTCGACCTTGATTGACCTTCAGTTCGCTACGATCATGCGAGTGTTTTCATATGCAGATGCACACGTGGTATGTCACAGCAAGTTTGCATAAATGCACAGTGAACCGAAGATCCCACCGATTCAACAGTAGCAGTGTGCAAGCAATAATGCACTATCCAACGTATGCAGATATACCCCGAAGATTCTCTCCGTGGTGGCTTTTTTGTGGAAATCCAGCCCATTGGACTGGGCGAATCGGCGCTTGCAATTTTCCCGTGATAGAAGAGTAAGATGGTAGGTTTCAAGGCTCGGTTGTTTTCCGATCCACAACCAAAAGGCGCTCCAATCGTCCGTGTTGTTGGACGTCTTTAGTTGGTCGAGCACACGTTTTGGGACGCCACGTACAGGGAGCAGTTCTGAATTGGGAAGAGTGTATGCGGCTCATCCGCTAGACGCTAAACCTTTTGAGCTCCACATCCATGTTGACACCAGGCGATCCGCTACAGCAAACGGGGACAGATAGATACAAATCAACAAGTACATGTTCGTGGCCTAAGGCAACTCCCCAACATGTGGTTAAGGACTTTTGAATCCTCAACGTCTTTGCGAGCTGCAAGCCGCAAGGTACTCGAGATGCGTGAGGTCGAGAACATGATACAACACGCCTCCGAAGATATATCTAGAACGACTGTCAATTTGAAATTCTCCTTGGCGATACGGCCACATAAGCTGGAGCATCCGGGTGTTATGAACTGTCGGCAAATGACTAGTAACAGCTACAGCTACTCAAGTAAATTCACGATTGTACCTGGTGGAGTCGCAAGAAGCATGAAAAGGTTGGGTGATTGACGTGAGCGTGAACGTGAACCTGTTGACGGCGGTTTCGAGTCCGAACAGCGATTTTCTGTAATTCGATGCGCTAGGCCAATGAGATTGGGGCGGACCAGTATCTCGCCTCCCCGGAGCTATCACTGGATGAGTTTAGCATAACAAACGTCGGTGCATGATACTCTTTGGCATACTCGGCGAGGACCGAGTGCAAGTGGTGGAAGAAAAGGGTTCTGAGAGGCTCGAGATGACGTGAGCAACTCAAATCGCACTTGAATCGGGCAGGCACCTTTCCCGAATAGGTTCAAGCAGCGATCTCGCACAGGCCTTGGATTTCCTTGAGGAAGGACCTCCTCTTCAACACAAGCCAGTCGCCTGCCCCATTGTGGTTCTCTTACTCGAGCAAGGCTCCACCTATCAAGCATGTGTATCTGGACTGCCTGTCACGCAATTCTATCGGCGGCCTATCTGTTGTTCCGTCCTATTTGATGAGAGTGTGATTTGATATACTGCGCTGGTAATACGTATGCACGAACCGCGGAGCATCTTGAACTCAGAATTTGAAGGATTTGGAGTCTATTGTAGCCTCTTGCGAACGACCTAACTAGGCTACTATCAGATCGTCAAAGTGGTCGAAGATGGGAGATGCACATACCAAGCACATGCATCCAGTAGACTGGCTAAGGTTACTAGTCGGCAAGGATTAGTGGTCCCCACCCTTCTAACGTTGCTGCAGATGCGAGCATAGCTGCTGGCTGAGTGGTTTACGATTCTCGAATACGTTCGTCTTGTGGTTAGCATTGCGGTCATTGCCTCTGCCGAGGGACTTGTTTAATATGAATTCCCCTGCCACAGCGCGCAGCTTAGGAAACAGCTCCAAGGGTCCCTCACGACTTTCTTCCGAGACTGGTTTGAACAATGCAAGATGTTCATCAACATCACACTCCCCTCTGACACTCAAAAGGGTGCTCTTCGACGGGCCATTCGATCACAGGCTGCGTTAAGCAGTGCCATCTGCCGAAAGAATACCATCGCTGCCAAAGCCAGTGACTCAACCTCCCCTGAAGACCAAAAGCCTGCGAGAGTACGTAGGAAAAGCAGAGCCAAGGCGATCAAAGACACCCCAGAAACACTCCACAGCTCTTCGGTATCCATCTCTTCGGTCTCCGTCTCCTCAACACACGCCTCTACGAGTTCCAGCTCCGCCAGTCCAACGCAATCGGATTACGTCGTCTCACCGCTACTCGCCCAATGGAATCTTCAATATGACTCATCTCTGACATTTCCCTATGTCGACGCCTGGCATGCGAAGATTCCTGAGTTGGTCGATACANTGTAGTTCTCGTGCTTCTTGGTCGTCCGAGCTTTTACTAACAAACCTACAGACTTGACGTACTTCGCTCCCATCGACCATGATCCAATCTACATGTCCGATCGACCAATTCTTCGCAAAGAACTCTGGCCTGAAACAGTGTCACACAGAGCCCTCTTCTACACGAACCTTCTCATTACATCATCTCATCCCTCCTTCTCACGAGAGCGAACTCCAGAAATCACTGCCTGGTTTCGTCTAGAAGCAATGCGTAGCCTCCAGACTGCACTGGACTCGACCGGGGGCATGAACACAAGTGATCAGCTCATCGCAACAGTGTGCTTACTCTGCGCTTGGGAGCTCCAGTTCGGTGATGAGCTCTCGGCAGTAGCACACATGACAGGACTAAAGACGATGGTGAACCTGCGTGGAGGTTTCCATGACGCTACCTTTCCACCCATTGTCCGTCGCCTTGTCGGTTTCGTCACCTACGACCAGCTTTGGTACTCTGGAGTGGAGCCTGTATACGTGCCACAAGGATTGAACAAGCCTTTGATGGGTGATATGCGCGGCCTCGGATTGCCAGTGGGCTTCGCATCCTTTGTAAAGACCCATCGAATTTGTGCAATCGCCCCTTCAACCTTGGGATTCGTCTCGGAGATCAACCTCATCATGAAGAGAACCCGCCATCGAAAGTATGCTCTGCTTGATGTTCAATCGCGTCTACTCGAGTACAACTTTCTGGACAATGTGACGAGCAACTTTTCTCCGATCCAGACTTCCATTGACGACACGATATCAGTTCAAGCTGAGATGCACATCAAGCTTGCTCTATTGTCACTTGTCTCTCACCTTCAGGATGACAACTCCGGACAATACTGGGAAATGAGCAGTTCTCTAGTGCCCGAGGTTTTGATCAATACCATCTATGCCGAGGCTGGCGTATGGGCCCTATTCTCGATATGCAGTACAATGCAGATTCCATCTCCCGTGCTGCTGGATGGATTGGAGAAGCTGGTCTCGAGTCTTTCCATCACTGACTGGTCACTGGCTGACATGACTTTACGACAATACCTCTATCCGCTGGACGGACTTGACATTGCTTCAAAAATGCTGTGGGATCGAATGACGCTGAACAGACCGACCATATTCGAGCAGAACAATCTTTCGAGGTTTCATGTTGCCGCATATAGACGCAATGAAGAGCCATTCGCTTGAAGATACGCCGACGATGGTGTACAGTCAAGATACTCAAACCATCATCATCGCGCCGCCACATCCGAGAACTATCTGGCATGATAGTACCTGGCTGTCGAGGCGATCAGACACGGACTCTAGGTCTCAACACCACGTCTTCATCCATAGATCAATGTCGTGGACAACGAGCCTGGTCTACGGATCACATTCGGAGATGATCTCATCGCTACTACAACGACCAAAACACCTGCACACACTAGACAAAATTCGAGCAGATGCTGGCTCGTTTTTATCCAGAATCCTAGGAAGATTTTATCCGAGTCGACTACGAGTGCGTTTGATGATCAAGCTGGTCCGAATCCGACAATGCAAGGAATTGATGAATAGTCACTCACACAACGATCAGTTACATATCCTCCATCATGGTATCGTGGTTCAAGCTGAAAACTGCTTACGACGAAACTTATATCGGGATCCAATGGATCCACTGCATTCGGGTGTGGAAATCTCTATTGCTGGGTCTGACGAGCGGGCTGGCTTTTCTTGAAACAATGGTCTGTTTCAAACATTATCGTGCGACATAGCATGACGGGCACACTCTTGTGCAAGAAATAGGTTGGATGAGGAGAAGGAGTTATTCGCGGCCATTGCATAATGCATTCCATGCATCCAACACGTTTCAACGAAAGTCACTACCAAGTCCAAATTAGGCAGTTTACAAACCACGACCTCTCCTGCCCACCAGGAGCAGAAACACCTTGTGCCAAGCTCATCGCTCTCCACTACACATCATCAAACAACGATAAGGAATTATATTGTGACGACGGCTATGGAAAGAGCGACTTGAAAAGGAAATTGAATAAACAGACTGTGTGGTGGGCAACTTTGACAAACAGAAATTAGTAGTAGCGATTCTTGATGGCCTCGGCAGCTCTCTCTGCAATCGCATAGATGGTAGCAGTAAGATGACCGCAGACCTGGAAAGGAATGACAGAGGCATCAACGACGCGTACATTGTCAACGCCATATACCAAGAGATTGGTATCAACGACACCGCCTAGATCCTGAGCCATCATGGCGGCTGTGGAGATGTAGTGGTAGTTCGAGCGGTCTGATAGAAAAAATCAGCATTTGTGTTTCTTTGGTGTTTTGCAAAAGTATGGATACTTACAGCCTTCTTTCACGGCTTTGGCCCAGACTTCGTCAGATGCATCCAGGGGCACGCTTTCAAGACCAGGCATCATTTCTCCAGTGACGACGTCACATAAAGCGTCAGAACCAGCCAGTTTTCTCACTGCCTTGGCGGTACCGATTTGCTGCTTCAAGTCATAGTCGAGCTGGAAGTAATTCGGGTTGACGGCGGCAGGAACAGTGGAATCGTTACTACAAATGTGGATGGAACCTCGAGAGAAGGGCAGCAAACCCCAGTAAGAAAAANNGTCCATCCTGTTATTTCCAGGTGTGACCAAGATCTCCGAAATCGGAATCTGTTGGTTGAAGACGAGGTCGTGGTGGATCAAGAATAGCTTCTCCATGACCTTCTGGTCTAGAACGCCGTTGGAGTTTTCCACGACTGATGTGGCATACTGGAGTAGCGAGCCTCGGATTGTGCTATTGAGGTCGTCAGTGCCGTTGCCGAAGATATCTGCAACGCTAAAGTAGCCGACGTAATCAGCGGTGCCTTTAAAGCTGATGTTGGAGCTGTATACACCACCGCCGGTGGTCTGATCCTGGAGGTTCTCTCCGACAAAAGGTAGGTCGACTTTTACATCGATACCATGTTGCTCAAGGATACTACATCTAGTTAGTTGCTGACCTTGTGAATCGTTCCAATATACTCACGCAGGATTTCCAATGCCTGACAGTTCCAGGATGAGTGGTGATCTCAATGCGCCAGCAGAAAGGATGACCTCCTTCTTAGCGCTGATAGTCTTTTGCATTCCAGATGCATCAGTGAATTGTACTCCATTGACGCGAGGCTTCGAGTCTGTTGAGTCCTTGTCCCAGGTCATGCGCTGCACAACAGAGTTTGTGTAAAGATCGAGATTGGTTCTGTTCTGGATGGGCAGGTAGTAAGCACGGGCAGCATCTTCGCGAATGTTGAGCTCGCGGTCGACGGTCGCCGGGTAGCGAGTAAAGCCACGCATGTTGCCACCATTGGCTTCCTCTATGTATGGCAGTCCAAGAGAAGTGTATGTAGCGTTGATGAGCGAGGTGACGTTTCCATCGAGAAGATCAGTATTCCAGCCCGTCTTGACTGCACCAGTCGTTCCATGTACTGCAATGTCATAGGTAGCACCAGCTGCGCATTGCTCCTCGGTAGGAATCTGGAAGTGCTCGCTCTGCTTGTAGTAAGGTAACAGACTCTCCCAGTTCCAGCCATCGTTTCCAAGGTGCTCCCAAGCGTCTATCTGAGCTGCTTGAGCTCTTAAGTATGCCATTCCNTAGAAACTCGTAAGAAGGAATATTCAGCTATGCGCAATACTAGACTCACCATTAATCGTGCTTGTTCCACCAAGAGCTTTGCCAGCTCGTAATGTCTGGCTCTTGTTTCCAGCATAGGCTTGGGGTGTACTTTTGTATTGCCAATCAATCGGGGTTCCAAAGGATAAGCCATAACCGTCCACGGCGGTCACATTCTTGTTGTCGAATACCAGATCACCAGCCTCAATGACTGCGACAGATGTGTCTGAAAGTTCGGACAATCTGTTTGCGATCACCAGACCAGCGGTTCCTCCGCCGACAATGATGAAGTCGTAGACACCGACACTTTCTGCTGCAACTTCATCGGCAGAAGAATCAGATGACGTTCCGCAGCCGATGACATCGGGACTTTCGCAAGTTTGCTCGCTACCGGACGAGGAGGCTTTGCTCGATGAAGCCGCAGGAGTGTTGGTCGTCGCTGAGACGCTCAAAGCTGTAATGGTAGATGCGAGAGTCACACTCGAAGATGCGACTCCATATCCATAATGGGCAGAATTGTTATTGTTGGGTGTTCCTGTGCTGACAGAAACTGCATCGACCGCGGAAGAAGACGTACCACTTCCTTGAGGAGCGTTACTGCCGTATGATCCTTGGTTGGCATAAGCTGATCCGCGGTCGGAATTGGATGACTCGCCGTTGATTGGACTAGAGATACTACCATAAGAACCATGACCATCATTGTATGCTGGTGCTCCAGCGTGAGAATCAGGGCCACCATTCTGGCCGTGGCCATGTGAGAAGAGATCACCAAGCAGATGATGTCCACCAAATAACCCACCGTTCAGCAAAGATAGTGTTGGCAGCGCCAGCGCTGGGGAAACAAGTGACAACGCAGCGATAGAGTACCGCATGGCTGCTTAAGAAAGTAACGGCGAACGGAAGAAGTGAGTTGGATGATCTGCCATGCCAAATCTCGAAGACCTCGTGGTTATGTACTTGACTGGACTTTGTCCGAGGATCCGACTACTCATAGTATTCTGCAGCAAAGCTGTAACGCATTAGTGTTGCATACCCCTCGATTGGGTCGTACGTCAAGTTTCAACAGCTAAAGTTGGCATTTATCTTCCAAATCTTCTTCCTCGAACGATGTTAGCAAGACAGCAAGGTCGACTTGAACTCGAGGAGTTCAGCGAAACACACTATTGCTTTTGTTCTGACATGGCAAGATGCATTATAAGATAGTTGACGGCGATGGAGGCTTGATTGAGCGGCTAGTAGAGGTATGGTGCTCCAGGCTTGGCGTTTCAGATGGATGATGAATGAACCCTGGTCCTACGTGACGGAGGTGCTGTTTCGGAGTCGGCAATCAAATACAGTGGACATGCCAGGCTATGACGAGCGTTGTGTATCGACGCGGCTGTTTTTCTTGATTGCGACGAGAAGGATTGTAGAAGAGGTGGCTGGCTACGTTCTGCAACCACGGCAAACAGCTACTCCTGACGCGTGGACAGGAAGTCGCAACTGTCTGCGACCAATTTCCTACAAGACTTTTTGGTTGCTATCAAGATCTGCGAGATTCAGACCAGTGCCATGTGACGGTCTCTGTCGGTACCCGAGTTGTTCGTCATGGTCGCTGTATTGCTATCAGAGACGCAGAACAGCGGAGAGAACGATGAACTTTGCACAACCAGCATTACGGCCGACGACAGTCTCGGGGGCAGTCTTGTAATTTGTATTCCTCCGCTGCCTGATCTTACGCCCGCAAGCCTTTCACCAGAACCAGAGTGGATAATGATCGCTCGGAGCGTGGCTATGGCTCGGCGTCGAATCCCTCCGTACTTAAGTGACCTTGCCTAAAGCGGACGGGGCTGCGAAGAGGTACGTTCTGACATAGCCACAGCTATACAAATGTCAGAGACGACATCAGAAAGATAAATAATGCAGTACTCCTCCTTGAGAGATAGCTCGTACTCTCTCATCAAGCTCCATAACCAGACAAAGAACATCTCAATCAATATTTTTAGTTCACAACATCATACCAGAGAACATCTCAAGCTATCAATTCTATACCAAAGATCTTTACCCATCCACCACAATGTGTTGCAAACGCCGCGCCAACAGACAAGTCTCGACCATGGCCAAGCTAGTCCAGGATCAGCCCATGACAGCTTCCCGTACTGCTCGCAACGAACCCATGGGACCTCCTCCAGCCTACGAGCAAATCGAGAAAGAATCCAAAGACATCAGCCCAAGCAAAAATATCCATGCGACAGAGTATCGCAACAATGAGTACACAGCCATCAATACCGACCTCGACTCCCCATCGCACAACACCACTATCCACACCGTCATCCCGCAATATCAATCCAGATGTGCAGCCAAGCATGCAGCAAAGCGCGAACGAAAGCAACTAAAGCGCGAACATCGTCAAGAGAACCGCATGGAGAAGCGCGAGTACCGCAATAATAAGCGCGAGTTCCGCCAGGAGAAGCGTGAACTACGCGCCGAACACCGCTTTGAGGAAAAGCAGATGCGAAGAGCTCATGGTGGACCCATCAGCTTGCTCATCCAGGGCGTTTCGAACTTGATGAAGAAGTAGAGAGGTAGAGTTGAAAGACGTGTATGATAAATGATTGGGATATACGGTATTATGGGAAGGAGGCGTTCTAATAGGAAATTTAATGTCTATCCTTCTCGATCAAAATCAGCAATTCGCCAAGTCACCCATGTGTCTCTTTGTCTTTTTCGTAATGTCCTTGATCTCTGGGTATGGTGACACCTCACTGATGTTCGCAAAGCGATTGTTCCAACTCCTCCATCTGTCCATTTCAAACCCATTCCACTCTTTATTCGGGTACTTGTTTCCTGCTTGAGCGACCTTGCCTTCATAGCTTCTCTTGTCTTTACTCTGTTTCCTCAACACCTCTCCAGCATACAATATCCACATTGCAGCTGCCCGTACAGTGGCATCGGGTACATCGTCTTTATCTTCCAACGCCGCTCTCAATGCCCAGATTGCGTATAAGGAAAAGTCGAGTGGGTCCGAGCTGTCGAATGCAGATGCGGTGGCTGTAACGCGCGCAGCAAAGGCATTCACATTCGCCCACATCTGTGCGACTTTATCATCGTCTTGTGCAGCTCTTTCATCATAATTCCAGTGTTCGCGGATCTGGCGACCGAAGAGTGGGAGTGATGACCAAAAGACTGATTTGCCTTCTACATCACCAACCTTGGTGTCGCAGTCGCGAATAGCGGTGAGGAAAGTGACGAGTTTCTCCTGTTGAGATGAATCGGAAGGTGTTTCTGAGGCGGTGAGACCTAGCGCGTCCCATGAACGTAGGAGTTTGTCTTCTGCGGATGACGAGTCGGTGTTAGAAATGAAGTTGTTGACTGTCTCTTCGACCGAGGATTCATCGTTGAGGAAGGCTTTGAGAGCCGCGTACTCGGTTGTTTCCGACGTTTTTGGGGGAAAGTCCATGATGGCGATGTGATATGGGTTGTTGGAAGAGTGTAGAATGCTAGAAACCTACCTGAGCGGCTCTACTACTATTAGTACAAAGTGGTGGAAGCCTTCTGCTCGTAGCCTGCCTAGAAACTTCAAGATGTCAACTTTAACCCCACATTGATGACGTACCTTCCGTGTCAACCCGACCAACGTCTTGGCATGAATATTCTTGCTTATGGTATGACCCTGTCAGTGATATCTTGTCATCTTGGAATGAGCATCTGCTTATAATTACCACACAATTGAATACTCTACAGCACTGACAGTCCTTGTATAGTCACACGATTTGCGTCAGACCTGAGTATAGAGTCGCGGAAGTGGAGGTTGAGGATGAATTGATGATTCAGTTGATCAGATGAATCATCCTGTCAAACACACCGACGATTCCAGGTGGACATGCAATGAATTCCAAGAGATGTAACGAAATCGAGATTGATCATTGGGACCAGCCCTCTGATAATGAAACTATGCTACTTTCTCATTGATTCATGCTGTAGGAAAGTCCAGCTTGCGATGCAGCCTGCTCACGATTTCGATATAGTCGGGCTCATTTTGAGCGTTCAAGACACCATGACGGATGAAGAAGTCAAGCAACACAACAGCACAGTTCGGCTTGAACTCGCCAGCCTTGAGCTTTTCCTTCAATTCATCCACGCCCATCAAGAAGAAATCCTCGACTTCATCATCCGAAGGCTTCGGCTTGACATCCTCAGGCAATTCGAGGTCGAAAATGTATTGACACTCTGGCTGTAGCAATCGAGTCTCGCCTCCAGCACGAGAGTCTCTGATGTGGAAGTATGTGACAGTACCTGCAGAATGTGCCTTTTCGCGGACGAGATCTTCGGGTAGCGAAGCTTCTTCACTGGCTTCACGTACACAGCAGATTTGAGGATTCTCACCAGTAGCCATGCCACCTGCGACTGTGTTGTCGAGCATACCGGGGTATGTAGACTTGCTCTTGGAGCGGCGTGGTGTCCAGATCTTCAATTCGCCAGAAGTAGACATTGTGTAAGCAGTCATGTGAATGCCGTAAGTGACGATACCGAAGAGAGCACTGGCTGCACGCTCGACACTGAAGAGCAGCTCTCTGGCAGGCGCAGGTCCATATACCGGATAGAGCTCATTGCGCCAGCCTTTGAGAATGGAGAAGTGACCAATTTCGCGCATGGCTGCTGTGGTTCTGGCGAGGATTGCGCTACGGGTTGGTTCGTCATCACCAGCTTTTAGGGTGAGAGTCCGTTCATCGTCATCCAACTCCCATTCTTCAAGACCGCGCAAAACTTCAGCGACAGAAGGTAGAACATATCCGAGGGTAGTGTCTGGATATGCAGCGACGCGTAGATGGTAGTATGTTGAGACGTGGTTGAGATAGAGCCGAGGGGTAGATTGGAAGTATGGGAAACTGTCGCACTCGTTGACAAGGTCGAGATTTGATTTGGGTTTTGAGTCATCGATGGGTTGTGGATCCAAAGAATTGAAGGGTTCGTTACTGTCAAGCGGAGTGTGATGACTGGTCTCTGCTTCTGTAGGTTGTGTAGCTGTCGCGTCTGACGACTTGTCGAACTTGTCGAACTTGTCGATGGAAGGAGACAACAATGGAGGTAATGAGGGCAACATGTCGCGCACTTTGTCTAGTGAAAACATGTCCATGATGGTTGGTGGGATGATGATTGTGTAAACTGTCAGCGTCGCATACCAAAGAGGCCGAGGCTCGGTCACGGTGGATTCGAGAAGTTGCCAGTCACACGAGAGCTCAGAGCTGGCCCCACAGTTGGAATCCTCAGGCCAACGATAAATTTACGAGGGGTCCATCGACAACAAGGTCGTACAAGTCAAGTCAAGTCACATCATTCATATCACAGCTAAGTCTCGATTGATTGACAGCACGCCGTCATGTTTGGCCTCCTCATCTCTGGTCGTCCGATAGACGCGCAACCACAGGCCATCTCTCCGACACAATACGCCTTTCAAGTCCCTTCGCGACCAGCCTTCAACCATATCGCCGTCTTTTCTCTGCCGGGCAATGAGCTGCCACCCGATGCCGCTGCTGCCATCTTCATCCAAATACCGCCGTCGACCGAATTCAAGCTGGTTGGCGCATTATCGTCGTTGAGGCCTTCGACCATGTTCAAGATCAACACGGGAAACAATGTCGCGCTGGGCGCTGGCGACGATCAGCTCATGCTGGATGACACTCTGGATGGTGTAGAAGTAGGAGGACCTGCCATCGTCGTCGGCATAGAGATACAACCAGCTGAACAGGTCAAGGCCTTGTTGGCAGAGCAAAAGGCAAATTCGTCAACACAGATGGTGTCTTCACATCAATCAGCCACCACTTCACCAGTCACTACGAAAATCCTCGCCCAGCGCATTATCGCCAACGCTTTCAATTTCCTTGCGTCATTTGGTAGCGACACTGTACCGCTCAAGGCTTTTGAAGCTTGGTGGTCTAAATTTGAAAGCAAGGTCAACAATGACCCGAGTTTTCTGGAGCGCCCTCAAGATTGAGCCACCCCATCATAGAATGTACCACTTCGGGTTGCACATCTCGATCAATTCGTTGTGAAGTTGGCTCAATACCGAGACGCGTTGTGTGAAGGCGGTCTTTTTCCTCCACCATGCTCATTTCAATGGGTGAGCTCGCGAAGGATCGCCTCATCTCTTCCCAAATCAGTGTCTGGTGTACCCTCATGCCTCCATGTTTACCTGCCCCGTTGATCTGTGTTGACTGACATGCTCGGCAATGCGATCTGATCGGATGTTTGTGGAGACGTGGATGGTCACGAAATGCCCGCGATTGGTGGATGTCGAATTGGATCAGAACTCCCAAGGATGCCAGGATGCGGAATGGCTATGTGCATGCATACGCAATCTCAACAAGTGATTCAGAATATCACCGTGTAGTAGTTGTAACGGGGGACAAACGAAGGGGCATCGAGTTGTCCAATAGCGCGACTTGCGACGATCCTTCCTCCTGCATGTTGGTCCTGCAAGCTGATGCATGCACGCCAAGCACGTGCGGATGTCCCTGATTTTTGATGCAGGAACAGAAAGACTGCAGCTTCTTCGATTTATTTCAACATCAACAAGCTGATGATCGTTGAATCTACGGTCGGTCGATTCGCTTTCAACCTCTAATCAAAGAAGAGCTCGAAAAAACATATTCACACACAATATACCAAATCCCATGCGTCATGAGAGCGCTTCCCACCTTGCAATCCTTCGTCTGTTACAGAAAAGACGTTGCCATTGGGGTGGACTAACAACCGTTGTTCTTATGATAGGACAACCCCACGAACTCCATGTCCAACCTATAGCGATCAAGCAAGAATCACTACACCCCACAACAAAGCCGGTAAATTCATTGCCTCTTTGCTTTTTGACATTTGAGCCGCATGGCAGTAAGACATGTTTTCCAATTCTTCGTGTTGATCATACCATATCCCTCCAGATTCTATACCCATCCACACTGCACGTTTCACTAGTCTAACAGAGGACTCTATTCGTTGGGTCGATCCTGCTGCATCGTCCTGCTACACGGTCGTGGTCGCCTCCCTCCAACTCCAGCAGGCGAATAACGGTCGATAAAATTGCCGCTCCTTGGGACTGCAGCTCCTGCGTGCCATAGGAGCTCTTGCGAAATGAATTGCAGTCTTGTTTCGCAGCGGCTGTTCAACTCCTAGGATGAGACACGGGAAATCCTTGCCTCGANATGACGTCCCCGATGTGTTGTTGTTGAGAGATGGGATGGTTATAAAGAGTGGTCTTGACCAGGTACATTCTTCTTCTCATCCACTCAAGTCAACAACGCAGACGACCATCGACCAAGAACATCACTCGCTTTAGTGTTCTTACTCTCTCGTTCTAACAACAATGGCCGCCAAATACGCCGTCTCGTTGATGGCCCTGCTCGGCGCTGTCAGCGCTCAGAGCTCTAGCTACACCAGCTACACCAACAGCAGCTCTATTGCTTCTACCACTTCTTCCTCGGCCAGCCCTCAGTTCACCGACGGTTCCATGACCACTGTTGGCGGTGTGACCTACGAGATTCAGACAGGCACCACCTACACTGATGCTACCGTCCTCACTCTCTCCAGAAAGAGACAGGCAAGCTCTGGTATCGCCTCTTGCTTGGCCACTTGCTCCGACTCTGATCGTTGTGTCGGAGCTTCGTACGCCAAGGACACTGGAACATGCGAGTACTACTCTAGCATTGATACCGCTACCGAGGCTGCCGACTCCAATGTAGACTTTGCATTGGTCCAGGAACGCCGTTCTGCATCCACTACCAGCGAGATTTTCAATGGTACATCTCCCGTCACTTCATCGGGAGCCACCCGTACTCCTGGTATGAGCGGCAACTCCACTACCAGTGCTACTGGTGGTGCCGGCGCTGGTGTCACCAACTCTCGCAACTCGACTTCTGCTCGTCCTACCGGATCTGCTACTTCCTCCGGCGCTGTCTCTACTCCCACCGGCGATGTTCCCTCTACCTTGATCACCATTAACGGCGTGGTCTTCCTTTTGGAAATCGGAGTATCCTACTCTGGTATTACCATCTCGCTCGAGATCTTGGCTAAGCGTGCCGCCGAAACACTTGATCAATGCTTGACGTTCGTGATTATCATTCTTCGAAGTTTGTGAGCTTATGCTAATCTTTTTTTCCACAGAACTTGTGCCGCCAACACTCAGTGCGCCGCTACTAAGTTCGAAGACGGCGTTTGCACCTTCTATTCTTCGGTTGACGATGCATCGAGAGCTGTTGATACCAACTCAGAATTTGCTACGGTGATCTCAAGAGCCGGTGCCAACGGTGCTGCTGGCAATGGTACCTCAGGTGGTAACAACACCACTCCTGCTGGTCCTTCCAACGTAACTGCCGAATCCTTTATCTGGTACGTCTCTTGTGATTTGTTTACACATGACAATGCTAACTTTATGATAATANGTCCCAAGTTCAATGGCGGCGTTTTGGTGTCCAACCTCGAGATTACGTTCGCCATTTCTTGCTCAGAATTCTTGATTGGTACAACTTTTGACCTCAGAGGTTCTCTCCTCGAGAAGCGCCAGGCTATTGAGAACGGCCTTCCCTCTACGCTTTCGAACTGTGTAGACCTCTGTTCTCTGTCTACAGAATGTGTCGGCACTACATTCAGCGAGGCCAACGGATGCAGCTTCTACAGCGATGTCTCTTACGCCACTCCCCTGGACGGCTTCGACTCGGCTGTTCGTGTTCAGGACAACTCTGGTAACGGCAACGGCAATGGTGTCAGTACTACCACTACCACCGCTACCATCTCTGGACAGGTAGTCACTGTTACTCTGAGCGGCGCTACAACCACTCAGTACGTCCAGGGCGCTACATCGACTGCCACCGTTTTCGCCGTAGTGACATCCACGGTCTATGCTGGAAACAACGGCGGTCTTCCCAATGGCGCTGTCGTCACTACTGCTGTGCCCACTTCGACGATTGTTTATGTCAACCCTGTCAGCACTATCACCATGCCTCAGAACTACGGCCAGGGAGCCACTGTTACCGTGACCGTCGGCGGTAACGCTGCACCAGTCGCTACACAAGTCATCACCGAAACCGTTACTGTCGACCAGAACGGCAATGTCATCGGCCAAAGCGAGTCGACCGCCGGCGCCGTCGCTGGTGGTGCTGCTGGCAACAACGTGTACCCCACTGTGACCCTGTACTCCTCGTACTGCCCTCAGGCTACTGGCGAGGTTACGTGGACCACTGTATTTGTCTAAGCTTCTCCGGCTTGACAGTTCGGCCTCATGAGCCACAACTTTTCGTATCTCTCAATTTCACGACCCTTGGACTACCACTGGTCCATCTCTGTACCAAATACTAACTAATGACCTTCCTTTTATTGTTTATAATCAGCTTCTATCTTGCCACTCTGTGGATTAAGTAGCTATTTGTACTTAGCTATGTTTATACTGTACAAGAAATCATACCTGTAATTTCTACATATCTCATGTCCCAACTTTTATGCAATGGTTCCAGTATCTGATATGTTCGCCTTCCCATCGAGCAGTTTTGCAGTTTTGTTATTCCAAGACGAACCATCTCAATTTGAGCGCATGGCCCAAAATTGAGCTATCAAAATGCACAGTTGTATTTGGACAAAAATCGTGTCCAGAGAGAGCTTCCGAAACCAAGTCTCTCAATGGTATTTAGTCTGTTTATTGAAGATACTGTGAGTTTTCGTAGATACGGATTGCATATCATATTATTTGGGAGACTGCACACAAAAAGAGGCCTTTTCTTCTTTCTTTTTTTTCCTTCTCGCTGAGAAGGAGAAGGAGTATGCACTTGCAGCAGGCCTTTCCAATGACGACTTACATTTCAGATAGAACTTGCCAATGGAGAAGGCCATCACTCTTCGGTACAGGTGATGATACCATGATTATTCTAGAAAACAAATTCCATCCTTTGCGCCGATCCATGCAGGTGTCAACCAGACCATCCCCTCTGCAAACGCCATTGAGCCATCTCATTTTGCCCCTGAAAATGACCATTACACCAAGTCCAAACCCATAATCCCACTCATTAATGCATCTTGCCCATTTCCATATCTTGACTTTCTTCCCAATCTTCCCAGTCGGCAGATGACCCTACTTTACGGCTTATCAAGATACCAATACTAGTCACTACCACAGCAATCAAGAACCAGCTCTCAAACCAAGCTTCCACAAAACGACCTTCCAGTGGCGCGCCTAGTGCTTCGCTGATGACGCTAGACACCTCACTGGGTAGATTGCTCCTTAACAGTAATGCGGAAGAAATCACATACGCGCCGACGACCTGTGAAACCACAAGCGGAAGAGCAGACTGTGCACGAGCAGCCAGGCTGGGGAAGAAGCGGGTGAAGAGGCGGAAAGTCTGGAGGACGGCGTTGAAGGATAGCAGGAGCATGACGCCTGACAGAACAAAGGAGATTTGGCGGGACCAGGCCTCACGATCCAGTGAAGGATCGTAATGTGTAGTGAGCAGGGCGAGAACGTTGTTGATAGGATCGGACGTCGCAAAAGTCGTGTTTGGCTGCCACCATCTACGCAGTGAAGAGACCGAAGTTGCTGCAATGCGGTAGAGACAGTACAGTGCGAAGCCGAAGTTGAGAGTATTCAACAGTTTTCCAAAACTGTTCTGTGATCGTTGCTGGATTGCATGCCGAGATTTGAGGGTTGCCAGGGACGAAGAAAGAGTCATGGTCATTGTTTCCAGACCTGAAATTTCCATCTCCAGACTTCGTTGCTCGTTTGTGTCGGAGTTGCCCTTGATCGAGCCAATCATTCTTGTAACGATGCCACCTTTGTCCTGCGGTGCTTCAGACATCTTGCGCTGCAATGCACGTAGACGACTCTGCTTGACTGCCAACATGTCTTTGGTTGCAGCAAGACCACTCTCTTTACGCGCAATATCCGTGTCGCGAACAACTCGGTGTCGTACGCCAAAAGTTTGCCAGATTGAGGATACTGCAGCGAATCCAGCAAGAGAAGCCATGAGGGAGATTCCAATGATGCCAACCCGCTCAAGACATGCCTCCACAAAGTCAAAGTCCTTGTGCTCACTCGGATGACCTGCTTGCGAGTGCAGAGAAGCTGGGAGAAGTGATGTGTGCGGCATGTACCAGAAGGCAAGGAACCAGACACCCAGCAGTAAAGCCTCGAATGTGTATCGAAGGGTAGGTCGAGACTTGCGTGTGTTGTGAGTAACATACTCGGAGCGAGGACGTGATCCAGAAACCAAGGTATGAACTTCCAGACTCGGTATAACAATGATTATCAGAATCAGAAGTGAGAACAAAGTGATGCGCAAAGCCAATCCCCTGGCTGCAGGATTGAGTAAATTGGAAATTTCGCACAAGATCAGTTCGACAAGAACAGCCGACAAAGCCACAGTTGTAGAAAAGGTGATTGCAGCCAACCGCTTGAAAGTGACGGTGCGCAATGAATTGAGTCCATGGCTGTTTGTCCGTTGAGTTTCTCGGTTGGAAAATGGTATGTTCTGATCTTTTTGCGAGTTTGATGACGAAAGATGTGGCACGACCTTTTGCCATACAGCGACAGCGACAAAGAGAAAAGTCAAAGCAAAAGGTGCAGATGATAGAGCTATTGTGGAAGGCGGGAAAGAATCAAGTCTGCGTTGTAGATAGGCAGGCTTGCACTCATTACAATCATCTAGTGATGGGAGCATGTTCCGGGGCTTGTTCGGCGTGAGTCTTCCAGAGAGTGGAGAGGGTGTTGTTGTTATCAAGATTCCAAAGAAAGTCGAGCGATATTCCTCATTCTATGTGTAAGTTGACAAGGAGAAGTTCGTTCAAGAACTGCCAGAAGAAATCGATCAAATCCGCGTCAGCCGTTGAGTGAGGAAGTGTCAGTCAAGTCGTGCTTGCGCGTGGCTGGTGACGTGCCTGGGAGTCGGATTTCGGACGCCGGTAGTGACGCCCCTATCTTCTTATCTCCCGCCGACTTGCCCTAACCATAACGTCTCTGGATGCCTTTAGCAGCGGCCTAGATGGTAAACAAGGCTGTACATCACCGTCTCAATATTCATCATCCGGATGTGTACATGCACACATCAAACAGAGAACTACACAGTGGTGTCGATAAAGTATGGGTGTATCTACCCTAGCGGGGATCTACAGCCACTATCGACGTTACAGCTAGATTCGGGGTTGACAGGCAGCAAGGAACATCTCGAACATGGCAAAAGAGTGAAACATGCTTCATCTGTTGATCTTTCCCTTGCGCTTTTGAAACCATCGAAACTCTCCCTCTGCGTGCTCAATCCGAATGCAAATGAGACCTATCAAGATGCACAATATTTTGAGAAAAAACAGCAGTGTCTGTTGAGAGCCATCATTCTTCTCGGCTCTGCTCGAATTTCTTGATCTCTATTTCACAGATAGTGCTGAAAAGACTCGAGTGCAACGTCGATTGGGTGGTATGGCGATTGACAAGCGACCAGCATGAGTTATCAGACGACTGTGCTCGTAGAATGAATATAACAAGCCGCGTATGATGGATCTACTGTGTGTGAGGAATCTGGAGAACATATAAGACTCAGCATCGCGAGGAGCTCTACAAGCTCATAGAGCGGTCAGAGATTCAATTATACCAAATGAGATTTCTAAGCTCGACTTGATGGGTCATGCACGCGTGGTTTCACAGCGAGTAAGATATCTGGCGGTCAAGAGCAGGTCGTCTGCACAACATCAGATCCTCTTATGTGGCTGCCTGGTGCAGGGTTGAAGAAAGCTGAATCGCTGTTTCCCAACAAGAGAGCAAGACAAGCTGAGGGCAGGTACGATCTTTGGATGATATCTTGTTCAGAAAATTGCAAGAGTTGTTAGGCAGTCAGCCAAGGCAGGTGCACAAAACAGGCAGTCGATGCAGTAAAAAAGCGGGGTAGAATAGCACCTCTCGGGGGAATCGACTGCGCGGCGTCTTACATAAGTCTTGCTTAGTGATCACGGCCAGTCAAGCCAACCCGACAAGCAAGAACGAGGTGAGTTTGGCAACCAACTTGTCGCCATATATCACCGCCGACATGGCTTCTATCGGGAGTGCATCACTGACAGGCGCAGCATCTATTCATACTGCGACGCCGGCATTGCGCCCACGACAACGACCATGTCTTCGGCTGCTGTAAGTGCTAGCTAATCCAGACTCGATGACTCGTTGCTGACAGAGTATGCAGGACTCGCAGGCCTTTGAGATGAGTAAGCCGCAATCTCTTCTCGTGTCTCTTGAACAACTACTGACCATCATCTCCAGGTCTGCGCGACCAACTCATCGCAGCTCAAAACAACCATGCCCCTCCTCAACCACAGCAACCTCACCAGCATGCGCAACCTACCAATTCCTACAACGCCCACCAGCCTCACCAACAACCCATCCACCATCATCACAACCCGGCCATGGCCATCCAACCCTATGGCATGACCCACGATAGTCCCGACCTGAGCCTCCCCCACACCGACCCCACCGATGCCAACAATCAAGGAGCTGCTGCCGGCAAGAAGGGAAGAGCCCAGCGCGAACTTTCCAACACAAAGCGTGCAGCTCAGAATCGCGCTGCTCAACGCGCCTTCCGCCTGCGCAAGGAGCAGCACATCAACAAGCTAGAGGATGACTTGAAGCAATACCTGGTTATGGAGGAGAACTTCAAGACTCTTCAACATGAGAATGCAGCTCTGAGAGACTACGTTACTCTTTTGCAGTCAAGAATGACGGAAAAGAACATCAGCTTTCCACCCACACCTGAACAGGGTCCTATGCGATCTGCTTCACTCTCAGCACCCGACAATCAGCCCATGCACCAGGATCAGGACCCCGTCTACCATCCTGCGCCAGTCCAACAATCTGTTCACCATGATCAACACGACCATCACGAACAACATCGCTACCCCGATCCTTCTCCACCACAGAGCCATCCTGCACNNCGTCCAACGTCTATCCACCACCCACTCACGACCAGCAGCACCACCAACACGACCCTGCGATCCATGCTCAGCNCTGTACAACAAGACACTGCCAGCGATACTCTTCCTGCTGCCGCTATAAGTCAGCTCCAGGCTGCTGCTGCTCAAGCAGGTAGCATGAATCGTCCACATTCTCCACCTTCTACACATCATGACCAACACCACCAAACTCATCCTCAAGACCCTCAATATGTGCGTGCTAGTGAGTATCCTGCTCATAAACGTCTCAGACTTGATTCTCCTCCTCATCAGACACGTAAGTACTCGAATTATGAGATTGTTTTTTCCGCATCCGCTAACCATCAAGCAGAGGCACTGAGTGACAAGCCGGACGTTTAGAATGCGTTTGGCGACTTGCCAGACGGGTTTATCGACGTGACCGATCTGGCCAAAGAGTCAGAATTTCCTGACAACTTTGACGAACTGTTTGATGACAAGATCGATCCAGCTGTCTCATCCAAAGGCAGTAAGATTGACTTACCTTCAGGTGCCTTGGTCATCAACCATCAGTGCGAATCGATGGCTGACTGGGCACTCTAGCGAGAAGAAACTTTCTACGTGCATTGCTTTTGAAACGTACATTCAAGCTCATGATTGGGCGTTTCAATGGTGGGTACATCCATTGCCGAGATAAATGGGGTTTGTTGCTTGTACTTTATCGCGGTTGTTTCTGTTCATTCCTTTTCTTTTGCTCACATAGCATTGGCATTTCTTTTTGCTGCTACAGATTAATGATTACGAAGCTCACATAGACACAGCGACGGCGCTTAATGGTATTGCTTGATTCAAGTTTTAATTCTCTGCTATGCATGCTTGATTTTGATCCATCATCGCGTCCGTACAAGGTCCGGATGAGGTTCGCCGTAGATCTCCAGCTGCAAGATGCAACACTTTCTCATCTCTGTCTGAGATTCCCGTTTCCCCTTCAAACATCTTATCTGGAATGCGGGCTACATCCTTTGTCATTTGCTTCCCTTTTGTTGTGTAAGCAGTTCAAAATGGTATCAAACAGATCGATTGACCTTTGCAAATATTTGCACAAATTTCCAAGATGCAATAAAGTAGCAAGAAGTTTTGAATCAGTCCTTGGGGTATTTTTGAGGATGCTTCCATTTCATTATATCCTTGTTTCATCTTGCCGGCACCAGCAAGCCTTCATCTTTCATATCCACATTCGAACTGTCCTGAAAAGCTTTATTAACAGCACCTTCATCTGCCTTCATCGTACATCCGTGATCGACATTACAGAGAGCACGAGAACATCAACTCCTGTTTTCAATGCCCACCATTTTCTTGCGCAGTCTCGACATCGGCAACAGGATGACTAGACACTTCAAACATGTTAATCGTCTGCGCTTTCGTGCCCATCTTTTCGGGCAAAGAGGTTTCCTTTGAGAGTGGTGGNGGAGGTTCTACTCGCTGTCCTGATGGTGGCGGATGATCTGCATCTGGAAAGTTTTCTTGCGGTTGTGTTGCATCGTGGTAACCGGTTGGTAAATCCTTTTCTGGCTCGACTTGAGATGGGGCTGGGTTATCGATTACCATGGCATCNGGTATTTGATTGATCTTGGGTTGTTGGAGTATTCGTCTCTTCTTGCTTTTGNNAGGTGCTTGGTGTTTGTTCCTTCCTTGTCTTGCTTGATCGATCAAGCGTGTAAAGTCGTCTTTGTTTCCAGTACTCCAGGCTTTTGCGTCAAAGTCCTTTTTCATCACTTGATTGCTTGTGCCGAATGAATCTGGCTCGCGACCGATTGAGCGATCCCACTTTCTCAGTTCGTCTAGCAAGTCTCGTTTTGTGCGTGGAGCTCCAGCGTCGACATTTGCGTTCCAGAGATTTACCCACTCGGTGTGACGGCGTGAGAGTAGTGCTTTTGAGCCTGTGGAGGGTATACCGAGTTCGGAGAGTTTCTTGCGGAGAGCTTTGTCATTGAGGAGAGAGTAGTTCAATTCAGCGAGGCGGTCAGGAATTGGTTTGGGAGTCGCTGACGGTTGTGGCGTTGGTGCGGTGGAACGTGGGGGTTGTTGTCTTTGTTTCTGGGATGGGGATGTGCAGGCTGGTGTTCCAATGTGGTTGAAGACGACTTCTTCTTTCATGCGTGTTTGGCAGATTGGACACGCAACAAGACCGTCGTCTGGCGTTTGCGCTCTTTCTGGTTGGGTGCCGCCGTTTTCAGTGTATTCAGCATCGCTGCCATCGTCTTCTGGTCCAAAGATGATGTCGAGTTGCTCGTTTGATTGCTGTGTCCTCTTGCTCTGACTCCGTGTGGTGCGTACTGTGAGGTCGCTTCCTCCGCTATGTCTCTCAGTCCTCCTCCTCTTGTTTGGCCGTGTCGGAGCGTCTTCCTTCTCCTTCTTGTCCTTGGTCGCAATCTCCAGCGCCACAGGTCTAGCCGTCTTGAATGCGCCCACGACTTCCTCCAATGCCCAATTCCTGCGCAATTTACTGGCTTGATCGTTGGCGCGACATGCAGGACATTTGCCGTCGACAGATAAACAGCGACGAATGCAGATACTGCAGAAAGTGTGCGAGCAAGTCGTGACCATTGGTGTAGTGAAGAAGTCTTTGCACACTTGACATCGTAGGGAGTTTTCGAGGGCTGCAAAAGGTGGAAGTGATGTGTCTAGCCAGTCGCTGGAATCAGAAAGGCTGTGATCCATGGTGGTTGAAGTGTTTGCTGCTATGCGACTCGCGATGTAGGTGAAAGCGTCAAGGTTCGCCTCGAGTGCGACGCGCCGATGCACGCGATCCTTTGTTCGCGCTTTCCTTTTTGGGCCGACATTGCTCCATCGTAACTTCTCATCTCAACACATGTATCAGACTTGATGGCTGAACAGAACGCATGCCTGATTATTATTATGTCTTTCATTTCTATTGACAAGTTTCATTCCGTCATTGCTCACATGTTCATCCATCATAATATCCACATATCACCACACATCATACTCAAATCATATCATACCGTTAGTCGTTTGTGCCTGCAAAATCATAAATCAAAAAAACCATCATCAAGTAGCAGGCAATCCTGGATTTTGGTTGGAATTCGTACCAACAAACACGACTGAGGATACAATTAGCAGATTTCCCTTAGAGATACAGATATATGACCAACCTTGCACAGAAGCCAGAGCAACACTCGCCATGAAGATCTCAATCCGATTCGCTGGAGTGAAAAAGGCCAAACAGATACTGAATGTCGCGCTCCAGAGTCCGATAAAGATCAACCTCCAGATCAATACGGGGATATAGTAGAGGGCGATGATACTGGCTGTCGGGAGTAGAGAGGCAAACAAGATACTAATGTAGAAGGCCATTTTCTCCAAGACATCACCTTTGTACATCTGAAAAGATTAGTTGCCTTCTTGAACTTCACATAGCGCGAGACTTACATGACCACCAAATTCTGCATCTTCTTGCAATAGTCGACGCCCGAAGAATACGTGAAAGCGTTGTACAATCTTGCTTCTTAACAAGTTGGTGAAAGAGTCGGGGGCGACATGTCCAGATAAACTGACAAGATCCGTTTGTGTTGCTTTTGCTCTTTCATGTGCTCTTGCTCGTTGTTGATCTGTCTCGTATTTTGCCTTTTCGTCAACGCTTAGACTCCAGATGGTATTCTCAGGATGGTGTAACCACTCTTGCTCGCTGTTGTGACCGTGTTGTTCGCTGTCGCAGATGAACTCTCGGAGGCCTCTCACTTCGTTGTTGGTCGGTCGTGGAAGGCTATACAGCTTGTGTTGCTGAATCAAGACCTCGTCNTTTCAACGGTTGTGTCAGTGATATCCTGGCTACAGAGCGCATAGACCGCTGATAACCATCTTCGACTCTGGATCATCAAGAGAAGACCACTCACTGTATTCCTTCAAAAGCTTTCTTTGCTCCTCATAAAGCTTGTACCGAGAACGAGCTCTAGAGCCCTCTGCGGCCACACGGCCGTTGTGGATTCCACGCATGCTAAACTGCAGCTGCCTCAAGTCCTGATCTCTCTGATCATCTATCTCAGTCTCATATAACTCTTCCTCAATATCCAACAATTCCGCCTGCAGATACAGCAAATTCCTCGCATTGAGCTCAGAAAAACGTCGAAATATGGCAAAACCAGGTCTCTCGCCAATAAATCGAGCCAACTTGGGATATCCTTGGAGAGCAGGTCGTTCACGAACAGAATTCTGTCGCAGCAAGCCTGGCGATACAAATGTTGACTCGGTATTGCATGTATTGTATGAGACGGGCGAAAAGTGGACTGAGGAGCTTGCTGCAGAGTTGGTTCTCGAGTCTTTGCCAACAGCTCGGACGTCTGTTGAGATTCTCGGTTTGTCGGTGGGTTCGATGACCGGAAGTTCATACCTCTCGCCGGCCATTGTTGGTGGCGGAGTATTGCTGACTGCCTTGATTCGTAAAGGGGCGATAAGAATAGGGGAAATATTCCGAGAGTACGAAGATAGAGAGGAGAAAGGAAAAAGCGTCACACAAGCCATCCTACCTCTGAACACAGCCTATCTGCATGGAATTGCCGCCCCACCTTGTAATGTCAGTGATTGGACGTGACATGCATGAGCAAAAGTACTCTCCACCACAGGGCGAGAAGGCTGAACTCCGACTCGCCAAGAGCAGTGTCTCGCCGCGTGAGTGGTTGTTGAGGAAGTACCGGTGAAGAGAGCAGTGGAGGCAGGACTTGCATGACGCTTTCCTAATATAGTGTGCGGTATAATAAATACTACTGACGGTATCAGACTTGCGGTTGAACTGCTGTGCCATCCTAGGCAAAGGCGTGCTTTAGTGCTGATTAAACACGACCCGCCGCGTCTCTTCGTGGAGCAAAATATATTGCATTCCGCCATGAATGGAAGCAGACTACCAAAAGTTGCCATCGCAATCGAGAGTCGAGCTCCGCCATGAACTGCCTTAGCACGATATTGACGGCAGTGCCTGGTGGCTTGGAGGATTGCGTAAAGTAGGTATACTTACGAGACCTTTAGTATGTAACCGCGAGGTCTCCCAACCTTTGAAATCCATTCGACTTTACAATCTACATACTTAATTCACGAAGGAAAAGGACTCGAAATCACACACTATACTGCTTTCATCCGACTTTCACTGCCACTTCTCAAGGAAACAAAACTTCCACAATCATACAAACATGGATCCTCCCCAACAATTGACACCCGCCCTCTCCGTCGACGACTTACCAGCACTATCTGACAGCGAATCCTCATCCGGCATCCCAGCAGAACAAGTAGACGTAATCAGAAGTATCGTCAACAAATGGCACAAAAAGCCCTTGCAAATAGCCAACGACATTGTGTCAGCATTGGTAACATTCCACCCCACTACCACAAGAAAAGAGCTAACACTATTCCAGGAAGGCGGTGATCACACCCACATCCCTCTGATCGTCCGCAACGGAGACAATCAAGAAGTAGTCGTCTGGGCCAAATGCGACACGGGCGCATGCGCAAACTTCATAACCATGGCCCTCGTCCGAAAACTCAAACTCGAATACAGTCTCCAAAAAATCGACGACTACGAAGCCGCAAAGAATCTCGAATCTCCTCCTCGCGATCATCTAGGTGTGGGTTTGATCAAANAAGTATGCAGCTTCGAAGACAGAGAAGTCAGCATAAACTACATCCTCTCCCTAAACTTTGCCGCTGGAAAGTTCAGAAAGCAACATGAAAAAGTCGAGTTTGAGGTTTTGGAGATTGGGGATGGGTTCACGAGTCCTGCGTCGAATGAAAAGACGGATCTGTTCTTGGGGGCGAGTTGGTTGTTCAAGAATGAAGTCTTCATGTTGAGGAAGAGTTATTATGTGGATCCGCCAAAGGATTTGCCGGTGGTGGAGACGGTGCCTACGCAGGACAGTGAGTTGACACCGATTGCAAGACCTTCGAGTGGCATCTACATGCCGAGGGGAACCCCTTCGATCAAGCTCAGTGCCAGTCCGGCACCTCCTAGGTTGCCGAGAGGACGTATGGCCTAGTCGGAGGAGAGTGATGCTGTTTGGGATCAAGCAATGTACAGAGTATATGAGGTTTGTTCATGGAGCGGTGGTCAGCGTATGTTATTTCGATAGACTGGCTCGAAGAATCTTTGTATGGTACATGGCTAACGTTTGCTTCAACATCATTGTCGTTGCTCTAGTCTCTACCTCTGGCTGATGGTTTGAAGTATGTGGAGTACCTCAAGCTCGACTCTTTCTGCATAGTCGACTCCGTACATTCTTGGCCCTGGCTCATCGAGTTGTGTCAAAGACCGTTCGTCTCGGAGTGTGACAGAAGTACTTGGATTGTATCCGGCTCTCCCTTGTCACTGCTGTTTCAGCAACCTCTACGGTCGAATGTGTAGGGATAGAAGTACCCTCGAACCTGTTAGGCAGCAAGCCTCGACGTCTTCAGGGTCTGCGTAGCTTTTGATATTTGCATTTGAGTGACTTGATCAACTCATCCTGTCATGTCGATGTCGGCAGCCTTGACCACCTCTTGCTTGCCAGTGTCCACATCCTGAGGACTGGTCTTGATTTCGGCAGCCTCTCTGACAGCCTCGGCGAGCACACTTCTCGACAAACCCGCTGCATCAACAGCACGATCGACAAGTGTCTCGAAACCTTCTCCAGCATCGCCCTTGACCCATAATTCAGTGAGTTCATCTCTTGACTGAAGATGAGCAACTACAGCTGCGGCGCGCAAATCGTTGTGTTCGCTCGGGCAAGGATCCAGTACCAGTTCTCCCTTGCCTTCACCAGTGACTGCAGCGACACCGCCAGAAACAATATCCACGCAATCAATTCCGGCATCCACAAGAGCAGCACTTGCAGCAGTGACACAACCGGCCAACACATTCATCAACCCTACACCTCCAATGTTTTTCTTGCTGGCATCATCGTCACGCCACCAGTCATCTTCCTCGCTCTCCAAAACTGTAATGACGACCTCGGCGGCGGACTTGGGCCAGCGCTCGCCAATCACCACACCTCGCAATGCTGTTTCCAGATGTAGCCCAAGATCTCTCTCTGCAGTATCGCGAAGATAGCCTCTTCTTTGGCGACTTGCGAATGGTGCAAACTTGACGTGTGTGCTGAGAAGTAGATTCGGGCTGAAAGCGGCGGTGCGAGGAAGTGGTCGTGGGCCGTGAACAGTGCAAGTAAGTTTGAGAGTGCCACTTTGGGCTACGAGTGTCGTTCTTGCGGAATCGGTGGAGGGGTGGAATTCGAGATAGGCTGATCCAGAAGCAGATGGCACAAGACCTGTCTGTAGGAAGATTTTACGAGGCGTGGAAGAGGATCGTTGGCGACTTGGTCGTTGTGATGAGGTGGACTCTGTGGTGGGAACAAAGATGGGTGCAGAAGTGCCACCTGCAGGCGCATTGGTACGACGACGATCAGCCATGGTATGGAGAGATTAGTGCTATGTATTGGAATGTCCTCTTCTTTCGATTTCTCGATCTGCTTCTGCTCCAACTTCGGCAAGATGCGTGACGTCCGCGCCCATGGTCCAAGCTCGAATTTTCTGCTACAACCTTCAAACGCGCGATCCGACTTTCTTCCTTTCCCTTCACTCACTTCTGCCTCTTCTGCGCGCAACTCACTTGTCAACAACATGCGAGACCGCTGGCGGCTTGTCATGCTTTTTGTTTCTTCTTTGCGTAAGTCTTACTCTTCCCCATCACACTGGTTAGGAAGAAAACCCAACACACTAGTTGGCGATCAACCCTCGGGGTTTCCTGAGCCATAAACTAACATGCACTACCATCTGAACCACATCCTACATCACTTCTCAGCATGTCACTTGATATTGAGAGCTGAACCCGTGCTGACCTGCGCAAAGTCTTTTAGTTTCTTCTGCATCTTGATCTGTCTTCGGACGCAAAAGAGTTCTTCCACTCGTCGTATAAAATTCGTGCGCACGTGGTGGAAGAACTCTTTCAACTCTGCAATGGTAAGCTATTACTCCTTCACCACTTCACCACAACCCAATCCTTCGCCAAAGGTGTTTTCAGGATGATTGTATTATTATTCAGTTCTGCTACCAAGAAAATTATGCGGATACTCATACACCAAGCTTACCTGTCTGATCCACATTCACCTTTGGCATTTCTTCACATTCTCTCATCTCGATCGGTTGTGATCAACTTTGCTAACAAGCATAAAGACAGATAGCACTCACATGAAGTCACCAATCATGCGACATTTAAATGGTAAGACCTTTCCCTCCCCCACCACACCCTCATACCTCCCCCCACCACCACAACGCAATGATGACACCTAGTCAATCCATTCAATGAAGTTTACCTATACCCGCCGAGCCCCCTCCCTGATACCCCACCTGTGTTTCAAGTCCAGGAATGACGGGTTGTGGAGTTGCAATTACAAACCTTTTCTAGTAGTCCTCCACCTCTGGTGGGGATGGAAAAAATGGTATAATGGGGCTTCCGTGTGCCGGAAGAGTTCACTCGTTATGAGTGGGTGATTTTGGTGCCGGCGGGAAGGGCTTGAGTAAAGACGGCTTTCTGAGTTTCTGCGTTACCAAAAACACATCGTTTTGAGATTAGCATGCAGTGGTTTTCTTGAAGGTCCTTTTTTGCTGACTTTTCGATTCAAGTAGGTGTTTCGGTCTTCTCTGGAGTGTGGAGAGGTGTTGTCGTATTCAACATTGCGGCTGCCCGTGTCTATATAGTCTTATGAATGATGATGCATCTGCTATCTACAATACTTGTCTTCTCGGTTGCTGTTGCTCGTGTCTACTCTGCGCGTGTTGTTTGTTCTCTGAAATGCTCCTGTCACAACACCCGTGATGGTGTGGCGCTGTGTCTCATCTCTCTTCCCAATACCCTATGACTTCCAGAGAACACTCGATGCTGATGTCTGAAAAGACGCTTCTTCAATCGCGAATGGATCAGTAACAACACAGCAGCTCTCAAGAACATCAACATGCACCAGCTCATTCAAGTAAAGTGATCGTTTCAACGTAATTGTACATGTTACATCTCTAATAATCAAGACAGAATGTATTCACAACAGTTTTCCTCTCTGTTGTCATACAATGTCCCTGATCGTCATGCAAAGTATTTCCTTCCAAGCCGATTAATAAAAACATGTAGGGCTCTCTAGTAAGTGGTATTCAAAAGAAAAAAAAGAAGATTGGGCAAAAAAGGAAAAGCAATAAGAAAGTTCATCATCTATGCATTCATGGGCTTGCGGCCAACCATGAGGTACATGGGAGTGAAGAGCTTCTCTCTGCCACCAGCAACAAGGGCATCAGCAGCAGTGGCCAAAGAGTCGGCGGTCTTTTGGGTACCCCTGGGAGCAAGACCGAATCTCTCGAGAGCGCCGACAAAGTTGTGTGCAGTCCAGCGACCGACCTTGGTCATACGAGCAAGAGTGGGGAGATCCCAGATGCTGCTGGCATACTTGAGTTGGCCAGCAATGGGGTAGTACCAGGGGTAAGGGTCGTCGCGGTCTGCAAGGTCCTCGTTCATCTCGAGTTCGAATCCAGCAGCCTTCATGGCGGCAAGGGCGACCTCAATCTTCTCCATGTTGGAGATACCATCACCGACCTCAATACCGAGACGGATCTCACGATGGTGAGGGTTGTCGTTGTCGTAAGCATCAGTCATGAGCCATTCGTAAACACCAAAGACACCACCGGGCTTCAGGACGCGGAAGATTTGGGAGTAGATGCCCTCGAGCGAAGGAGCGTGGACGGTGGCCTCGATGGCGTAAACGGCGTCGAAGGTGTTCTCGGGGAAAGCCATTTGNCTAGGATCTCGTTAGTTTCGGAGATTGAAGCTGAAACCTCGGGGGTTGCGTACCATGAAGTCACCCTTGACAAAGTCGAGCTTGTGAGAAAGACCCTCCTTTGCGGCGTAATGAGTTGCTCTCTCAATCTGGTAGTCGTTGTTGTTGAGACCGGTAACGTTTGCGCCAGAGAACTTGACAATCTCTCTAGCAGGACCACCAACACCACATCCAACATCCAGGACCTTCATGTTGTCCTTGAGGTTCATGACGTGAGCGAGGTAGTGCTCGTGACGGGCGACGGCTTGTTTGAAAGGCTCTCCGTAGGCGAAACGGCAGAAGTGGAAGGATTGACCCCAACCGTACTCGTAAAGGTCGGTGGCCAGGTTGTAGTAGTGACGGGTCAGGGTAGCGTATTCGGCTCTTCTGGCCNNTGCTCAGGGGGTCAGTACAAGGTCGATTGTGAGTTTCGAATATCCAGGGCGGCGCACCTCTCTAATCTCAGGAGTCTCGTCCTTTGCGTCCTTGTTGTCCCAGTGCTTGAAGTACTCGTCGACAGCGGCCTTTTGACCGTCTGCACCCTTGCTCAACATGGCGGCGAAACCACCTCTCTTCTGGGCGGAGGAGCCGTGCATGACCTTGTTGAAGGCAGCATCGCGCGAGTGGTCTTCTTGTTCAAGCGAGTGAGGAGCCATTGTCGCAGTGTCGAAAGAAAGGGGAAGTAGTAGAAGAAGAAAAAGACACTACAAAAGGTACAGTTGAAGATGCGGTTGAACGCGAAGAGAAGAGGTGATGGAGAAGTGGAATGGAAAGAGGACAGCACGGGATTGAGGCAAAGAAATGGCAGCAGCACTAAAATAATTATAAAGGGGTGGCTCTTTCCATAAACATCGTACGAGACAAGACGCGGCGGGGGGCTCCTGCCTCTGGGGGCGCGCAATTTCATTATCTCCAATTGGCTTGTCTCTAGCGCATCTCAGAGTCCTCACCCAAATTTCCGCCGTCTGTTCTCACAAGCATACGGAATCCGTGGGATCCGGCTCATCATTTGCGGAGAGAAGACGGAGGTGCCTGTTTCGAATGAGTAGGTTGAACTTCGGCAAGAACGTCGTCACTTTCGTTGCATCTGCGACGGGCGTTCAAGCCGCAGCTTCTGCTTATACAGCAACCATCGGTTTTTGTCGCCTCTAGACTTCACATTCGTCGCGTCACATCCACAACCCATCGACTGCTTCCAATAAGTCGCGCGACTCTGACCATACCACTTTTGTCGTCTCAAAACAGCGACCACCATGCCTCCCAAGCAGGATCTGAACCGCTCAGGATGGGAGTCAACCGACATGCCCTCGGCCTGTGAAAACTGCCTTGGTGACAACCCCTATGTTCAAGTCTTGAAAGAAGACTACGGCGCTGAATGGTGAGACCCTATTCCTTGTCCGCTGATCTCAAGCTCTTACTAACAAGTCGCAGCANAAATCTGCACTCGCCCATTCACAGTGTTCCGCTGGAAGACCGACCGCACAGCCCGCCAAAAGCGAACAAATCTCTGCCTTACTTGCGCTCGACTGAAGAACTGCTGCCAGTGCTGTATGCTCGATCTGAGCTTTGGACTTCCCATCGTTGTGCGCGACGCCGCCTTGAAGATGATCACACCTGGACCAAACAGCGAAATCAACAGGGAATACTATGCACAAANNAATCATGAGAAGGAAATCGAAGAGGGTCGAGGAGCTATCGAGGCTTATGAACAGACGGACGAAAAGGCTAGGGATCTGCTGCGCAGACTCGCCCAGAGCGAGCCTCACTACAAGAAACAGAGAAGATTGGAAGAGGAGGGCGCTGCGTCAGGACAAAAGATGCTCGAGGGGCCTTCTTCGGAAGGTGCCAGACCTGGACTCATTCGTACGAAAGACTCGAGGCCAGCAGGATATGGACCTCCATCACGCCCCGTCAAGGGGGCATCCAGAGCACGCCCATTCCCCAACACAGCAACTCTGCCACCACAACCACAAGACATTCTTCCCCCGGCCGACAAAAATGTCATGTCACTTTTCGTCACTGGTGTTGAGGATGACTTGCCCGAACACGACATTCGCGTCTTCTTCTCACAGTTCGGAGCTCTCCGCTCTCTCATCTGTTCACATCGATCACACTGCGCTTTTGTGAACTACATGACCAGAGATACAGCCGAGGCAGCGGCTGCTTCATGTCAAGGAAGAGCTGTTGTCAAGGGTGTGCCACTCAGAGTGCAGTGGGGCAAACCCAAGACATTGGACAACATGGACAGAGAGGCTCGCATGGCAAACGCAAGAGCTGGACGCGAGACGAACGCAGCAGTCAAGGCGGCTTCATCTACAAGGCCGGCAATCGCTGCTGGTCCTTCTTCCTCAGCTGCTGGACCATCAGGCAGCACAGACAACTTTGATCTGGTCGCGCCTCCGCCTGGATCAGAGGATGTTCAATACGCAAGTTTGGCAGGCGAGTAGACAAGTCCTTGATTGCAACAGATATACGAAAATACGGCGTTTGGGCAGGAAAGCATGGCGTTTTGAAGCTTTGTGTCTTCTCAAAGACGGAGGTCTGACTAGGATAGAACAGACAGGGGTATCATATATTTTTACGTATCAAATCAGAGAGCAGCGCTTGACCTCTGCAAAAGACTTTGTAGTTCCTTTGAACTGCTTGACCGACTCGTTGTCGCCCTTTTCGGTGTGGTCGTGAATTCGCAATNNTCTAGTTCGTGGTATCGTGTCAGTGGTCGAAGATTCAGTCGTCAAAGGTGGGAGCAGCCTGGACTCACTGTAAGCTCCGGACTCTTCCTTGTCGGTTGCGCCTTGTACTACATTTTCCCTCAGGATCTGAGCCACTCCTTGTGCATGTTCGACGGCCTTTTCGGCTTCAATGCTGCCAGCCTTGACGCCACGGTTCTGATCGAACGAGTCTCGTGCGAATCTGCGAGAGTTGTGTAGTGTGTCGTGGTCGCCTNNGGGAGGAAGACGTAGGGTTAGCGACTTGGTCGTGCTGCTGTAAGTCGAAGGCGATGGGAGGGTACCTTGGAAAGCGATGCGGGTTGCGCGCAAGAGGTTGCGGTATGTTGACAGGACGACTGTCTTGTTGTGAGGTATGATCTGTGACGACATGTTGTGTTTGTTGGATGTGTGAAAGGCTAGGAATTAATTGTCTGCCTCAGTCGTAAATAATTGTCGCCATGATGGCAGACAAGGCGAATGCGCGCGCCAAGCTCGATTCCCCGGACCAAAAATTCGAGACTCGGTCGGGGCAGATTTTGAGCAGCGGCCTGAGTCTCTTCCTCTCCCTCTGTATCTACTCCATATCAACATCAATATGTCTGTATCTCAGATCAACAAGGCTTTGCCTACCCTCCCTGCCGGCTGGTCCGCCGACAAGGACTTCAAGGCTGTCGGCAAGCTCTCTGCTGCCGCTCGTCGCAACGTCGAGCCCGTCGGCCCTTACTTCTTGGCCCACGCCCGCAGAGTACGATTGCGACCTGTCCACTGATCATGAACCTAGACTGACTTGTTGTTCAGANCTCGCCACAAGCGTACCTTCTCCGAGGATGACCGCATCCGCGCCCAGGAGAACGTCAAGCAGGTCGAGGACGAGGATGCTGGTTACATCAGTGAGCCCGAGGACCCTGCCATGCTTGCGCGCGAGGCCAAGGACTGGAAGGTGTGTGCCATCATTTCAAATTCCACATCGTCCACATCTAACAACCACACAGNNAGCCAGGATCACTACGCCGTTCTCGGCATAACAAAGTACCGCTGGAAGGCCACCGAGGAGCAGATCAAGAAGGCCCACCGCAGAAAGGTCCTCAAGCACCACCCCGACAAGAGAGCCGCTGCCGGTGGCAACGAGGACGACAACTTCTTCAAGTGCATCCAAAGAGCCCACGAGATCCTCAGCGACCCCGTCAAGCGCCGCCAGTTCGATTCCGTCGACGAGGCCGCCGAGGTCGAGCCCCCATCCAAGAAGCAGACCCAAAAGGGCAACTTCTACAAACTGTGGAGCAACGTCTTCAAGGCCGAGGGCCGCTTCAGCAAGACCCAGCCCGTCCCCAAGCTCGGCGACGAGAACAGCACCCGCGAGCACGTCGAGAACTTCTACAACTTCTGGTACAACTTTGACTCGTGGAGAACCTTCGAGTACCTCGACGAGGATGTTCCCGACGACAACGAGAACCGTGACCAGAAGCGTCACGTCGAGCGCAAGAACAACAACGCCCGCAAGAAGAGAAAGGCCGAGGACAACCAGCGTCAGCGCCAGTTGGTCGACGAGTGCCTCGGTCTCGACGAGCGCATCAAGAAGTTCAAGAAGGAGGAGCACGCCCAGAAGAACAAGAAGAGACTCGAAAGAGAGGCCGAAGCCACCAGACTCGCCGAAGAGGCAGCAAAGGCCAAGGAAGAGGAAGCCCGCCTCGCAAAGGAGAAGGAGGAGTCCGACAAGGCAGCCAAGGCCGACACAAAGAAGGCAAAGGAGGCAGCCAAGAACGCCGCAAAGAAGAACAAGCGTGTCGTCCGTGGTGCCGTCAAGGATGGCAACTACTTTGCCGACGGCGAGGCCAGCCCTGCACAAATCGACCAGGCCCTCAACGACATCGATGCCATGATTGCCAAACTCGAGGTCGACGACCTTGCCGTCTTCAAGAGCAAGCTCGACGGCAAGACCGACGCAAAGGAGATCAAGACCCTCTTCTCCGAGGAGGCTTCTCGTCTCGGCATGACCGACCTCAAGTCTTTGGCTTAAGGTCAATGACTTGTTCTTCGTCTATAGACTTTTCGATTTTACACAAAAAGCATGCGGAGAGGGTGGAATAGATGGTATTACGATCTGAATAAACGTTCCAACTCATTGGACATTCTTCAACCAACGACTTACAATCCAATTGACCTTCGCATGATGCTGACAAGTGATCATTCAAGGTTATCAAGGTAGGTGCCCACATAAGCTCAAAAGTCACTCGATGTTAGATGGGCAAGAGCATATCTCAACCCCCAACACACTTTCTTTTGGAGGTCTTTGGAAAAGAACATTGATACAAAACAGGAAAAAGAGTACTTGAATACGAGAAAAGAAAGCAGCACTATTCCACTCAAGATCCCCCCCCCCCCCCCCCCCCCCCCCTTCTCCACCTCTGATTTCACCCTACACCTTCCTCCCTTTGGCAATAAACCCCCTCTTCTCAACCTCCTTCCCATTCATCTGCAACAAAAACCCTTGCTCCAAAACCACAAACCCAAATTCTGCAAACCCTGCCCCTTCAAAGAATCCCTTCATATCATGTTCCGTAAAGCCGTTTGTTTTGATAGTTTTNTGCATCTTCTTCCACTCTTCGGTGTCTGTAGAGGTGGAGGAAGAATCAGGGTGAGAATGTTGATGACCAACATGTTCGGCGGCAGAAACTTGCTTTGGAAGCCAGTCGACGATGAAAAGCACACCGCCGCTTTTGAGGCAAGAATATAGGTTGGAGATGCACAGGGTGGGGTTGCTCAAGTGGTGGAAACCTAGGGCTACGCCTGCGATGTCGAAGGATCCAAAGGTTGTGGCGTCGGTGGTTTCGGAGCAGAAATCTGCGATTGCGGTGGTGAGATGGAGGGATGGGTGGGATGAGGATAGTAGAGTGGTGTATTGGTCTAGCATTCCGGGGGCAATGTCTAGTCCTGTTGCGTGGGTGATGTGGGTGTTCAGTGCCNNTACTACTGGATCAGTGATCGGGAGGATTTAGTGCCCTTGTGGGAAGAGGTGGATGCGCACTCGGGTTACACTGCCGGTTCCACATGCGTAGTCTAGAAGTCTGCACTCGTTGTTTGAGGGAGATGCCCAGTTTGCTCCCNNTAACCAAGCGGCGTTGGTCGTCAAGGCTGAGGCGACTTGAGCTGCTATCTTCTTTTGCCAGGGTTTAGCATCATAGTCTTTTGCTTTTGAGNNCTGTGATGGAATGGTTAGTAGGGGTCCAATCAGACATGTGTCTAAAGCCAACATGGAGCTAAGAGGGACGGGTCCTTGTGAAAGCCACTGGACATGAAGAGAACATCTGACTTACTCCCAAGTATCACGGTTATGAGCTGTGAACTCGCTGTGATCGTGGCTCATGATTGATTAATAGAACGAGCTATTGCTCAATGGTCCTGGCGTAGGTGAAGCGAACTCGGTGGGAGATGTACTTATTTATGTAGTCGAATGAGTGAAGATGTCACCGAAAGATGTGTCCGAAAACGCTCCGACGTCGACATCTGGCGGAGACTCGTTACTGAACCCTACGACGAGTAATCATGAATCCCCTTCATTCAAGATCGTTGAGCAAAGGACCTAGAGTATTCAGGGACTGTTGCGAGCCAAGAATACAGTATTATCGTGGAGCTTATATGCTGTAGACAGCGTGACAGGGTTGCTCTCAAAGCAAGGTCTACTGGAACTTTCAACTTTCAAGCAAAACATCCGGCGCGTTACAAACACAAGCTCTGTTGCAGAATTTTATTTCACAATAAAGATATACGACTGGGTTGAAGGTTGAAAAAATAGATTTCATGTTGGATATATCGCGAAAACAAGCAAACATGAACATGGCAGAAAATAGCCAGTCAAATGTCCAAATCCAAGACGCCTTCTGTGAATCCCCGTATGGTATATACACAGTATGCCCTCCACTCTCAGCGAATGTTAAATCGTAAAAGTATGCCATCCTCGTCATGTACAGTATCCAAGTTTTTGTTCGTCAAGGTGGTTTACAGGTTGGCAGGGGGGTTGTTGGGGTTGATGGGCTTCTTGGCACCGCCCATCGAACGCTCAAAGGAAGAAGAGGGAGGAGCAGAGTTGGGGTTGGGGTGGTGCTTCTTGAGAGCCAAGGTGACGTTGTACTCAAGGTCGAGCTGAGCCTTGGGGTCGTCCTTTCTGGGCTTGAACTCGACAACAAGGTCATCCTTGACGGCAAAGACGGAGTCAATGTCGAGATGAGGGTCGTCGCTGGGGTAGATCTGGTTGATGACGGTGGCGTACTCGGGGTGGGTGATCATCAAGTGGATGTGAGCGGGACGCATGGGAGAGCGGTCCATGAGCTTGAGGAGGACACCAGCGGGGCCATCGGTAGGAAGAGAGTAGGGAGTGGGGTGGTAGCAGTACCAGTTGAACTTGCCATCCTTGTCGGACTTGAACTTGCCACGGAGGTTGTTCTCGGTCTGCTCGGGGTCCTGGAAGTCGTACTGGCCATTGGAAGAAGCTTGCCAGATGTCGAGAACGGCACCCTCGATGGGAGCGCCAGTCTCCATGTCCTTGAGGACACCGTGCATGTATGTGATTCTGCCGCCCTCCTTGTGGTCTTGAATGATGCTGTCGCCGAGCTCACGGAAAGGAGCGTTGGGCGACCAGAAGGAACCGAGGATGACGTTGGAGGTGGGAGACATGCCCTGCTCGGTGACGATACGGTTGGCAATCTCATCGACGAGGCTNGTGTTGTTGGTTAGCCATGTTTGTGGATGTGCAGACATTCAGACTCACGATTCGAGACCAATAACATCGCAGATGCGGTGACCCTCGTTACGGATAGGAGTGCTGATTTGACCAATCGAGTTGATAAAGTCGACACCCATCATCCACTCGGCGGGGGTAAGTTCGACCTCACGGGTGAAGTCGTGAATGTGCTTGATCAGAGAACCCAAGATGACACGAGCACGCTCGGGTGTGTTGGGTCCCATGGCATTGACGACATAGGGGGTGAAGTTGGGATCGAATCTTGCGTTGGTCGACATTGTGGCGGTTGTGTGTATGAGGTTGCGAGGGGTGCAAGGACAGAGAGGTGACTTTTGGAGCAAGTACGGAGTACGAAAGTGCTGTAAAGGCAACTTTCTGAAAGGCTGCAAGAGGGAAATGATGGATAGAGTATTGAAGATTGAGATACAGGAGTAGACACGGGAACCGCGGGGAGCTCGGTCTATATACTACTTTACTGTAGCTCATGGACCCGTGAACAAAGTCGACGGCAGATTGATTCGGCTGCTCGTCCATGCCACTTCGGCCCTCCAAAACGGCATTCGAAAAATGCGGTCCGAGGGGCATCTCCGCCGCAACCCCAGACTGATCTAACCAAAAGCGGTCTAGACCACACAGCATGCCCCGCTGTCACGCGCTGAGCAAGAGCCGTTCGGTCTTGCCGCGAAAGGGTCTACGCAGTTCTGCTGCGAACACATTTCATACACTGTGATCCTCTCACAGAATCTCGGTTCAAATTCTGAACTCGGATCCGGAAGGTATCCGGGTTGTCTGATCGGCTTCTTTATGCTTCTACACAGTCGTCTTCTGTTGGATGCAATAGGCCCTCCGAGACCAAGCCTCCCACCCTTTGGTGAATACTAACAAAACTGTTCTAGCAATGCCTGTGTCCTTGCAGCGCAAGCTTCAGAAGTAACAGCATAGACTATTCTGTCACTCGTACTCATCTTGCTGTGCTTGAGCAAGTTTCGGCCTTTGGTGAGAAAGGAGAAGTCGTGGCAACAAAGATTCGAATTATCGCGCAAGAGTTGAACTTTTATAGGTTTTCAAGAATGCCCCTGGATCCAAGCTCAAAAGGACTGTAGGGAATTCAATATCTTTGTATGACTGACAGCGAAGCAAATGACAGATCGATCCGCAGCAACCCCCAGGTTGACGTACGTCTTGTTATCGCTGCTTAGATCTTACCGGTGTCCTTTCATTAGGGATCGCGACCTTGCGTCTGTTACAGGATCCGCACTTTGTGTTAGGACACAAGGAAGGTTGCAGCCTCGCTGGTGCGAGTAAGGGAGTCGGAAAATGATACTCGCCCAGTGCCGTACACACAACTCGGACGCTCGTCCTAGCGACGATCCTGATACTGTAAGCGACCATGTAGGAGCCGGAGTCCGATCTTGATGCATATCCATTCAAGCTACCCAGACATATTGATCTTCAGTCAGAAATCGATGATGGTGGTGACAACGCCCGGAGCCAACAAAGCTGCCACACATGAGGTGCCATTGGGTGTCAGGGACCAATGAGCCAAAAAAACATGGTTCCTGGTTCCAAGTACGCTCCTACTACAAGCCAAGCTGTTGGTCTATACACACTTATCAGATACTGACAGCGAAGCGGATCTCGCTTAGCTACCATTGAGGATCATCTGCTCGCAGTAAAAAAGCCAGATGTATCAAGATATCGCGACATAACCGAGTTTCTCAATTCCAGAACTCGACCTTGCCCTGTGACTACACAGCACAGAGTGCTCGTGACTCGACCGGGCCGCTCATCGAGAGCCAATCTTGTTGGTGCTTCTCATTGGACGATATGCCAGCACAATATCTACCATTCGCAATCCTTTATCGCGGATGCCTTGATCGTTGATGTAGTAGCTTCTCATGGAAGTGACTCCGTCAGATGCAGAAGTGCAGACGATTTGTACTCTCGGAGGTCCTACGACGTGGATGGAAGATCTCTGCACCGATGCAACCCGGGTACCCACGATCATCAACAGTGGATCGATGTGTATGGCAGAAGCAAGAATCAGTTTCGCATGTCGTGTGGCCTGGATTCTGTCCAACCAGACAGACGCAATTTAGCAATCGCAGTCTAGATGCCTTCCCGAACGAACGGGACCAGGTAGCATAACATGTCCCAAGCGAATGGGAACAAGGGGCATAGAATTCCCAAGCAAACGGGAAACAGAAGAGGTACAAGAGGACACAAGAGGATACAAGACCGTGTTTTGGGTGGTGGTCAGCTAAGGCTTTGCTGTGGAGAATGCCCTAACAAAGGTGTGTTACACCAATCGTGCCTTCCTCGCCCAACTCTCCCCGCAGAGCGGTCACCGAATATGCAAAGCCAGCACTGCAGCCGCCACACATGTCCAATATCCGTACTTGCTGCAGAGAGCGAGTATTGGATCTCGTTGTGTGTGTGCGCATGACAAAATCTCTCACGTCCACCTTCAGACATGAAACATACACAGCGCCTGTTGTGTTCCGTTGACACGAAAGGTGGCATCTCTCCCATCATATTTGTCTTTGCAGCAAGCTTTCTTTTGAAGTCTTCCAATCTACTTCAAGTTTGATGTTGAGCAAGCGAAGATAGCAGGAAACAAAGGTCTTGTTTGCCAGAACAGCAAGCGACAAGCAAAGCGAGTTAAACATACGCAGCTCTTTGTTATTTGCAAACATGTCCACAAATACATATTTGACATCCAAGATCTTCGAGAGAGGGAGACGCAACAGCAACAACAACACAACCAATCGACTTCAGTGCCAACGACAAGGTCAATTCACCTGGAGTCCAGACAGCCCATCATCCTCTGCATCATCCATCTCAGCATCCGAGTTCAAAGATACCGTCAGTAACCATATCCATTCTCGAGGACCACGCCTGCAGAGCAACACCATGAGTCTCACCCACTACAGCTCAGCAGACGACGACGAAGACTACACCTCCAGCGACACAGACCACCTCTTCATGAAAGAATCTCCCCGTCGCTGCAGCACCGGCACTGCAAGTCCCCCTCGCAACAACAGTAATAGCNGACAACCAACCCATTCCACCACCAAAAACACGCACTCTAAGTCGCTCAACTCCAATCTGTGTCTGTNNCGCAACCCTTCAGCCATCGCTTCTGCCGCTTCCTCTGCTGCAGCATTCAGCCCCGTGGAACCAGCCATCTGGAATGAATTGCGCCGACTCTTCCACGCTGGAGATCCACGCAAGCAATTCGATATTCTGCGGAGAAGCACGCCAGTGACTGACGAACAAGGCAATGGGTTTGTGCTCGTGGAAGCGAGGGTGCAAGCGAAAGATGGGACCATGGTTGCCAAAGGCGAGCCGTGTACAGATAACGTGCTCTCATTGAGAAGTCTACGCAATGCCTTGATTGAGACAAAGGGGGAGAAGCATTTGCCGGTTGAATGTGGTGAGGAGATCATCGCGGGTAGAATCGAAGAGTTTGAAAAGGTGTGTTCGGCTTGTGGGTTGCCGCGGTACTGATGAGGGAAATTGTCGAGGGGCGATACCGAGATTTGAGAGTTGAAGTGAAGGAACCTTGACGGGAAAGCCGGCGAGAGAGAAACACTACACTTACTTGTAAACGTGAGCGAAACAAAAAACACGCCACCATTATCAAAAACAAGTGACGAGAAAACCCCCCAAAAAACATCAGCACAACCGGCAAAACAAATCCCCGCTATTAGGACTCAGTCGTATAGAGCCTATTCGCGGGAAGAAAGCCACCAGTAAACCTGGTTTCGTTTCAGTTGTCGAGGGATGGGAGCGTCACGGCTCTAATAATTGTCCTGCGGCGATGGCGAGAATCGAACCGAGGACATTTGAAATGCCAGCGGGGGTCGCCAACATTGTGTTGGCGTGAGACCGCTGGGCCAACCACCGCCTGACGGTAAAGCGATGGTGGCGATGTGATTGAGGCAGTGGTGTTGGTATATGAGGGGCGAAAGTGAAAGTGCGATTGGTCTGCCAGAAACTTGATCTTTGGTGTGTTTGTTGTCATTGAGAACTCGACGCGGCGCATGAGGTAATCACGATCGATCTGCTAGTGGAAGGTGTAGGAAGGTGCCATTCTTCGAAATTATAGCTTTGGCGAAGATCGAATCTCTCTTCTCTTGGCCCTCCACTCTGCACCTCCTTTGGCAGGCACAGCTACCGTCGAGGGTTCGACATCCTTCCACAAGCCGGCACCAACCAAGTCGACCAGTCCAAAGATTCTTCTCACAACCGTGTTGCCATCGCGTCTGTTCTTTCCTTCTCGTCTTGCCTTGCTTATGCTCTCACAAAACTCCCAAAGCTTGCCTTGAGCCTTGATCTGTCCATCCTCTGTCCTCTCAGGCAACCACTCAGCAGTGAGACGAACGGCAGCAGGGATCTTTCCGTCCTTGGATGGCGATGTGATGGAGATGATTCCACTTTCGGCGAACCTTGTATACGCATTCCGCAGCGTTTCACGATTGACTGCTTCAAGGTACGAAATGTCGCCCTGGGCATACAGAGTTTTGCCTAACTTTTGTGCTTGGGTGACGACGGCGTTCAATGGTAGCGAGGTTTGTTGTGAAGCATTGGGCGAAGGAGGTGTAAGCATCAGAAGACTTATGGCACCCAACCAGCTGGCTTCGATGAATGGCCAGATCAGGAAGCAGTAAAAGTCGTAATTCTCACGACCTGAGAGGCGCTCTGACTCGTCGAGTGAGATTGATTCGATTGTGCTGCCGTCATTCTCGGACCGGCTGATTGAGATGATGTTGTCTGATTCGAGTCCGGTCAACGTGTTGGTGAGATTCTCTGCCAGAGGTGTCGTCGGGAAGATGAATTCGCCACGGAAGAGNCTTGCAGAATTAGTAGGAGACCGACCATAGGAGAAGGAGAAACCTACTTGTGAGAGGAAGAAGACGAAATCATACAGGTCATTGTATGAAATACTCTGATTCTCTGGACCACCACCCATTTTGACCTTTGTGTATAGTGCAGCACTGACCAGTGCCTCTGATACAAACAAATGGATAGTCATGTTGCGGTAGAAGCTGAGTTGGAATCGATCTGCGGCGTAGTAAGTCTTCTCAGGTAAGTTCTTGTATTCTCCAACCAGGTTTTGCCCAAGAACATCAAGAGCACGCTCTACAACGATGGTAGTCGGAAGACCTGAAAAGTGTGCGATGCGTCCACCTTGCTTCTTTACTCTTTCTGTAAGCCAGTCAACTCGACGCACGAGTTCTGATTTGCCGGCACCACGTCCACGAAGGGTAAGAAGAACGGTTCCGACCAGAGCGGTAGGCATGACTACAGAGACGGCGTTGATATCAGAGAGTACCTTGTAGCCAAGGGTGGTCAGAAGGCGACGTTTGAGAGCAATATCCTCAGGCGATTTGATACGAGGTGGTAAAGTCGTGACTCGGAGTTGCTGCTCGTTAATAAAGTCACGTAGACTCCAGGGCTCGTGGAACCGGACATCTACACGGCCAAGTTTCAGGGACAGGACAGATGATGATGATAAGAAGTTTCCTAGAGACTCTTTGGGTTTCGGTTGGCCCAAGAGTTCCGAGATGTAGGANGCTGAACAAGATCAGTGATCAATCCTAACCACCTTTGCCAACAGCACTCACTCGACTTCAATAACCTTGTCATACTGTGTGCTCACAGGACAAATCACGGCGTCTTCGACTTGACCAGATAGCACACTTTCGAGAAGGAAACTCAAGATGCCAAACTTTGGCTGCAAGAGCTTTCCTGTGCGTGAACGACCGCCCTCTNNGGAAATGTATAAGTAGTGTACAGCGAAGGCAAATGGATGTTACTTACCAACAAAGCACTCAAAGTTGTGACCTTCTTGTAGTAAGGTGTCTAGATATGCTTGAACGAGAGTTGTGTATAGGGCATCATCACCGAAACTTCGACGGATCCACATTGCGCCTNNTGAAAAAGTCAATAAAGAACAAGCAGACGGGAGACTGAACGTACCAGCATGCTGTAAGAATGGTCCAACCACAGGGAAGTTAAGATTGTCCCCAGCCACCACGATAGGCAGGGCGAGACCGAGACGATAGCAGATGAGTTGTAATGAGACATAGTCGACGTGTGAGCGATGACATGGTAGAAAGATGATGGACTGCTTCTTTCTCTCTGCTTCTTGAGCAACCTTTCGAAGGCGCAGGACCTCATCGCTAGAGACGTGAATGCCTTGATGGTAGGCTCTCGTGAGAAGCTGCGTGGCAAAGTAGTATGCACCACGGATAAATCTTCTACTGTCCATCTTGCAGATCATCTGGTCCGTCCAAGAATCGGCGACCTGGACCAGCTGAGCCTCCATTTCTTTACGTCTCTCATCAGCCTTGTGGCTCGGAAGAGTCCCTTCGGCAATCTCGACATCGAGTCTTTTGTGAGCTAGTTCAGAGATTCTAGATTGCAATCGTGGATTCTTCAAGACCAAGGCTTTGATGTGGTCGCTGAAGCCATTGTAGAAGATGTTTCGGCCAATGAAGTCATCGTATGAGCGCCAACCAGTGCCAGAGAGATGTAAGCTGACTTCTCGCAGAAAATTCAAAGGGGCTGAACGAAATCGAGCGTATGAAGTCAGGAGAGGCGTCTCCTGGTCTTGGATGACACCGGGTGGGTGTAATGTTAGGCGATCACCCACGATGGATAGGTCGGGAGCGTTGTTGTCACTCATGTCGGTCAGCAGTTCCTCATGTTGATATGAGACAAGTCAGTATGAAGCATTTAGTTGGAAATGGAACGAAGATTGAAGGAGCAATGGAGCATCTTGGACGGGCCTCGGCTCAGGTTTACCCCGGACTGTGATGCCAAGAAAGGAAGGCATTGGCGGGGTCGATCAAATGCCGACAAGCTTCAGGGTACGCGTGTGGATGAGCTGTCTGTCTTTCGATCAGCAATGGCACAAAAGAAGAGCATCGTCTTCTTCCACCCAGACCTGGGCATTGGTGGTGCCGAGAGACTGGTGATTGATGCTGCCGTTGGTCTCCAAGCGCGTGGGCACAAGGTCACCATCTTCACGTCGCATTGCGATCCGGGGCATTGCTTCGACGAGGCTCGTGATGGTAAGTCGTCGTCGTCCATACACCTGTGCATGTTTGCGGACGAACTAGGCTAAACGAATACAGGAACTCTCGACGTGAGAGTGCGCGGAAACTCGCTAGTGCCATCAACCATCTTCGGCCGCTTCGCCATTCTCTGTGCCATCCTACGACAACTGCACCTCGTGTGCATCGTCGCCTTGTGGAATTACGAACTCGACCATCTCAGACCAACCCACTTCTTTGTCGATCAACTCAGTGCCGCAGTGCCTCTCCTTCGCTTCCTGTATACCGACGTCGGCATCCTCTTCTACTGCCACTTCCCGGACCAACTACTCGCACAGAAAGGAGAAGGCGCTCTAGCCGTCTTGAAGAAGGGATACAGAGTGCCGTTCAACGCCATCGAGGGCTGGAGTACTGCCTCAAGCCATGGCATCGTCGTCAACAGCAAATTTACCGGTGGCGTTGTGAAGCGTGTCTTCCCTCGTTTGTCAAGCAGGGAATTAAAGGTCGTCTACCCTTGTGTCGATACTTCGAATGCCAGCCAGTTGCAGCGTAAGCCCATGTGGTCCGGCAGAAAGCTCGTCCTAAGCATCAACCGCTTCGAGAAGAAGAAGGATGTTGCTCTTGCTGTCAAGGCCTTTGCTAGGCTCGATGCTTCGATCCGGAAGTCTGCTCTGCTGGTTATCGCCGGTGGTTACGATCCTCGCGTTCCCGAGAATGTTAGCACACACAACGAACTCCAACAACTGGCCGACTCTTTCAAGCTCTCACACGAGACCCACAAGTCGCTTCCCGATCCTTCGGTTGTCTCTAACAACACATCGGTCCTCTTCCTCCTTTCTGTTCCAAACTCCTTGAAGCAATCTCTTCTCGCGTCTGCTGATTTGCTTGTTTACACTCCGCAGAATGAGCACTTCGGCATCGTGCCTCTCGAAGCCATGCTGGCCCAAGTACCCGTGCTGGCTGCCAACGAAGGAGGCCCTCTCGAGACCGTCGTCGAAGGAGAAACTGGCTGGCTGCGTGACATTCGCAAGCCTGATGAATGGACTGCCGTCATGTCGCGTGTTCTCTCAAGCCCCAATCCTACCGAGTTGCGCACTATGGGCGAAAGCGGCCGTAAGCGCGTTCAAGCCGAATTTTCAAAGGAGCAAATGGCTCTCCGTCTCGACCAATCTTTGGATCAGATAACAAATCCACCAAAGACGCCCTCAACTATACCCGATTGGCTTTGGATGACCATCGTCGTTTCTTTAGTAGCTGTCTTCCTGTCTCTGCTTGCTACATGGCTATTGTTCTTGGGACTTGACATGGCCAAAAACAAGGAGGAAGCATTACGGCAGTACAACGCTGGCAAGACCATCACTGAACAAGTCATCGCTGTAACGACACAGATTGTGAGGAATGAGTTGTAAACAGCTTTTGTAAATAGGAAGAAAAAAAGCATATACGACGCCATTGACACGATCTTGCGTGGCGAGATTAGTTGATCTTGTCCACGTCTTCATGTTGTGATTCCTTCCTGCTTTCCTCCAAGCTTAGTCTCGTCACCACGCTACATTCCCTGGTCATGCATTTTGTGCGGTCCAGCCGGGGAAAGAAACATGTTGAGTTCAGGAAATGATGTGTCAAAGTGTTGTCTACGTCGTCCTGATCGGAGTATTAATCTGCTCACGGCGACTCCCAAGATCATGAGCCGCAAGACTGATTGATGCGTATGCCTTGCTGAGAATGATCCTGGCCGGCCTGAGATTATGAAAGATGGTTTGAAGTGTTGTAGATGTGTTTGCGCCTTTGGTAGTCGTGAAGCAGAGTGATCTAGCGGTGTCGACCTTGATCTGCGTGACAAACTATGTGTCCATACAGCGGCTCGGCACGGACAACCTTGTCACCGTACCACACGACTACCCAAACCTCTCCACATTTTACTTCCAGAACACGCACAACGGGATTTCGATGTCAGAACGACTTGACTCCTCGAGATAGATCAAGAAAGTCGCATGGTTGATCAGGCCACAAGCTGAGATGAACTCGGTCTTCTCGGACTTCATCTCGGAAATCCGAGCCGGAGAGGAGCAACTCATGTCCGGCCGGGAAGCAGGATCGATGACCACACTGCTTGCAGGGCTGCATACCAACAAATTACATTGGTATATAAGAGCACCGCAGTAGGTTTTCTTAGTCTCAAACAATACCAATTCGTTCCATCAATACCTCACTATCACAACTTTGTCCGACTTGCATAGCAAGGAGCACATGAGCTTCACATTACATCGATCAATTCAACAACGAACGCGCCTTCCTCGGATTTCCAGATATTCGAAAAGTCCTTTTGCTCTCAAGAACATCAGTTCATCAAGACTTCGATTCTCGAACTCTGACTCAACAATGTCTCTTCCAAGTCCCGTACCCATTGCTCTTTGTGGCAAGAACCAGACAATGGCCACAAACTTTAGCTCTAGCATGGAAAAAGAAGGATACANNAAGGTTCGTATTCCCATCTCTTTCTCCGACAGTCTCCAATCCAGATCATCGAAAAGATCAATCACTGACACTCATCTTACAGTAGTCCACACCTGCCACGACGCCGACTCTGCAAAATCAACACTTCCGTCTCTACTCACATCCTCCACTGGCCCCATTGCAGTCGTCATTGGCAAAGGTTTCTACGAATCTGAAATGCAGGATATCATCCAACACTGCAAGAGTGAAGCAAGTTCTGCAAAGACTGTCTGGTTACTTCCCGACGACGACAAGTTTACTGCGTATATGAAGATGAAGGCTGTGGCTTCGGCGGGTACCATGTTGCCGGGTATGATTGCTGAGAGAGCTTCTGCTGCGCTGAAAGAGAATGGTGTTGTTGGTGGTGGTAGTCTTGAGGGTGTCAAGAGTGGTGTTCATGGATTTTAAGAAGGGGGTTCGACTTTGGAGTGTCAGATGTCGAGTAGCTATAGAGATCCAGAAACGTGTTCAAGTTATGAGGCTCTTTCATTGACAGTATTCTGCTATAAAAGCCTCGGTGGATCTGTACCGATATGGAGATCAAGCTGTGCATTTTGATAGCATACTTCAGAAAGCCTCTCTGACCTGAGAGCCGCGTTCATTCAGATGGGCGAGAAGACATGAGCAGGAGGTCAAGACGGGGGCCGGAAACCTTTCTCGATCATCGAAGTTTCTGTTTGTACTACTGCGTTGCAACAAAGGGTGTTTCTGTTGCATAGTCTGTCGCGAGATCCACCTCATTCTAAGGGATTGAGAAGAGAGTGTATCTGCGATCTCAATGTTTGAGTTAGGGACCAAGTATAGCTGTGTTGATGAAAGAAAACGAATTGGAATCAACTCGGTGTTGGCGACCATATTCCAGATACAAAATGTTTGCCTAGAAACGTGTCAGTATGATCCTTCCTCAAGGTGAGACAACCACTCCCATGCAACCATATTAGCTGTCACAAATTGGCTCGGGGAGTTGGTCCTTAGTCTCCTTCATCGGGTATCAGCACCTCACGTTCCAAGTCCGTCCTCGATACCGTCCATTCTCGGTCTCGTCCTCGAACACGAAAGGCGCAACCCAATTCAATGCTCGGCACGAGGGTGTCTTGATTCGCAGCAACAAATCTCTACACGGTCAACCACTCCTCTGAATCTGTCAAGCAACAGACCGCATCGCTTTGATCATCAAGATGTCTGGTCAATGGAGAACGGTCCTCAAGGACCAGCTCAGAATAGGCAAGTCAACTGTCAGGGCGCCGCAGTTGCCGACTAACATTTTCTCAGATGATGCCGTAGTCGCTCAGAACAACACACACATGCCGGGAACCGATGCACAATGGTGTCTCTGGATCATGAACCAACTCTCTACGACCAAACATTGGCACATGGCTGAGCCTTTTTTCAATCTCGGCAAACATGGAGTCGTCGACATCCAGACAGCCAACCAAAAGCTCCACGATGGAGGTTATGCCAGCGCGGCCGAGCTCGAGTCGGATCTCTTGTCCATCCCTGACAGATATCTCAAGCCAAAGGAGGTCCAGACCCCTAGACACGTAAAGGCTAGTGAGCTTATGCTCGACTTGCCTCAAGTTTTTGCCAAAAGAAATCGCTGGGAAGGTCAGCACAGAAAGAAGTCACAACGACAGCAACAGCAGCAACAGCAGCAATCTACTGTTGCTTCAGTCTCTGCCTCTGGCCCTTCTGTTGTGACTGGCAATCCTGCTTCTGCTCAAGTTGCTGCGCCAACCACAGCTTCCACCTCGAGTGCTGCGGCCCCAGCCTCTTTCGCCATCTCTGACGATGCTGCCATCGCCTCTCCTCTTGTTGCTCCTACTCTTGAGCCCCGTGCTGCGACTCTGCAGCTTTCTGATCGCTTTAGTCGACCATTGTCAGTCCGCCCAAGTTCTCGCAAGCCCGATGGCCACTCGGAGAGAAGACCAAGCGAAGCAATGACAAGCAACACTGGAGTCCCTGAACAATCCTTTGGCAAGGCCCCAGAGAACACTGTCCTCGAAAGCAGTGAGATGCCTGACCAGAACCCTGAACTACTTCAGGCACGTCGACTCCAGGCACGTCGTGAGNAAGAGAAAGGCCACCGACGGCGACGGCAATGGCACGAGCTCCAAGAGAGCTCGTCAGGTGGCTCTCAAGTACAAGTATCGGTATGTTTTCATGGTTATACTGTCGCAAAACTGAGTGTACTGACGAACAGCAGTGACCTTCGTGTCGAGATTGCCGGAGTCTTTGACCGAGAGATGAGCCTTGTCTACGAGTCCAATTCCAGTATGGAGCTTGACGAGAACGCACAGCGCTATGTCAGTAACATTGCTCACATGGATGACCGCGCCATGGACAAGGCCAAAAAAGCAGACTTGAACGAGATCAAGGAAGACTGCATCGAGAAGATTGAAGGGTTTCTCGTGAAGGCCGTTCTGGATTCCATTCACAAGATGCTGGCTGAAAAGGGTCAGTCAATTCAGCCCAGAGTGTCATTGTCCAGCAGGGTGGAGGAAGAGGAGGACGACAATGACTTTGAGACACCCTCGCAAGCCAGGGTCAAGAGAGAACAGAGATGAGATGAGGTAAGTTGTCCATTCGTATGTTTCACAATGCGCGGCGATCAGGAAAACTGACTTGACAAACAACACAGCTCCGAAGAAGCAGTCGCGGAGAAGACAGAGTGTCAAAAGAGCACATGGCAGGTCCGATCGAGCGCAACAAGGAGACCACCTGCGATTGTCATGGTGTGTTTGTCTCTGATGAGCCTTTCAGTCCTCTTTGTTACACATCAGACTCCATGGATTGAAGTTGGAAGGTGGGTTTGATGCGAAGGAAGGCCTGAGTCACCAAGAGGCAGGTTCGATCAAGCGCATCAAGGAGACAGCATAGTGAGTGCTACATTGCATTCATCTTGAGGAAAGCATCTGACTATACTTTTCCCATACATCAGGGTTCAGGAAGGAAAGTGAGACGATGATGGTCGAAAGGAAGAGCAAGCGCGATCGTCAGGAGATGTCATTCATCTTTTTCTGGGGAAATCGAGTCACCAAGATCGTCATAGCAAACAGCAAACACTCAATCCCACTTTCCATCTTTCCTCCAACTACAAATCCTCAAACCACTTGTGAAGCATCAAGATATACATGCGGCGCTACTGCAATCTCCTCACAACCTCGATCCGACAAACGTCCCTCAAATCCGCACCACGTATGGCCCTCTACAACAGCCCCAGCACCAACAACGCAATGTCAAGCTCCACACCCAACAAACGCATCTTCGCCCCCGGCGGCACAAACGACTCCCAGCAAGCCCAGCAATACACAAAAGGCAGTCTCGACGCCTCTCAACTCGACCCCAACCCTCTGACCCAATTCGACGTCTGGTTCACCCACGCCAATGCCGAAAAAGTACATCAGCCCGAAACAGTGACGCTGAGCACCGCCGAACTGCCGTCTGGAAGAGTCAGCGCACGAATGGTGTATCTTAAAGAGTTGGATGAGAGGGGTTGGGTGGTATACAGCAATTGGGGCACTAGCAGAAAAGCCGCAGATGTCAAGAGTAATCCTCACGCCAGCTTGACTTTTTGGTGGCATGAGCTGGAGAGACAGGTCAGAGTGGAAGGAAAAGTGGAGAGAATGACTAGTGAAGAGAGTCAGGTTTACTACGACACGCGCATAAGAGGCAGCAGGTTGGGTGCTTGGGCCAGTCAACAGAGCAGCATCTTGAGCAGTCGCGAAGAGCTGGAGAAGCAGGTCGATGATGTGGAAAAGCGGTTCAATGGTCAAGACAATATTCCCGTGCCCGATTTCTGGGGTGGTATCAGGATTGTGCCAGAGATGGTTGAATTCTGGCAAGGACGACCCAGTCGCTTGCACGATCGCTTCAGATATACAAGAGATGAGAACAGCGAGTCTGGATGGAAGGTCGACAGATTGAGTCCTTAGAGATCAATGTGAAGACTAGCCGCATCTACAACGAAAACCGTACACCATGTCTACAACAATGCATGTCTCTCCTCTTGATGGTGAAGTTGGCAAGATCAATTATATGTCATTCTATCATGGTAGACCGCAAAGGTCAGGTCTACACCTCTAACTCTATAGTATTTGCAAGTCACACAATCCACTCTCTGTGGCTTGATTCAATCGACGAAAGGCTGAAGGGCAAACCAATATGAAGCTCCTCCCCCTCTCAAGCATCATCCTTCTCCTTCATCGTCTCCACCATATCAGTAGAATCCCTAACCTTGCCACCACGCAACCCAGTCTCCGGATCCGTGACAGAATTACCACGGCTAGCAGACACAAACGTCGGGTTCCCAGCCTGGAACTCTGCAAAATGCTTCTCCGCATCCCAAGCAAAAGGCGTCGAAGCCGAGAACAAGATATTGACTTCCTCCAGCGTGCGTTGATTGGTCTCTGGCAAAAAGGCCCAGACCAGAGGTATGGAGATGACGTTCGAGGCGGCGAAAATGTAAAAGGTGTTTTCGCCAATGTTGTTGAACATGACTGGGCAGAGGAGGGTGAGCCAGCCGTTGCCGATGGACCAGCCGACTACTCCCCAGGCATTTCCTTTGGCGCGGACTTCTAGAGGGAAGATTTCGGCGGGGATTAGCCAGGGTACCGTGAGCCATGTTGCGCCAAAGACGGCCGTGTAGATGAAGGTGAAACTGGCTGCTGCGGCTCCGTATCTGGCTGCGAGTGCTGTGTTTCCACTGTTTGTTGCATTGATGCCACCGCGAGACATGCCTCCGATGAGGAACATGGAAATGGCTTGAGCCACAGCACCCCAATAGAGTGTCCATCTCCTGCCGATCCTGTCGAGAGTAAACACGCAAACCAAAGTCGCAAGCATGTACGTCGTATCGTTAAGTCCAGACAACCACCCACTCTTCTGCGCATCAAACCCAGCAATCCCAAAGATGGTAGGCGCATAAACCGTAATTCCAGCAATACCACACCATTCCTGGAGGATCTGCAGCCAAATGACAATCTGCACTCTACGCCCAGTATGCAAACTTCCAGAACTGCCGTGTCCAAAGTCGAGTAGCATTCTCCAGTACGTGTTTTGCTTTGAGGTGCTTCGTTCCAGTTGGACAATGTTGATGATGTCTTGGAACTCGGCTTCGGCTCTGATCTTGTCTTCGCCTTCGTCGCCGCGCAGGCGGGCGAGGATGTGTCTTGCTTCCTTGTCGCGGCCGACTTTGCAGAGCCAGCGGGGGGATTCTGGGAAGAACCAAATGACGCCGAAGAGCATGAGTAGAGGGATGATTTGGAACTGTTGAGGTCAGCGTCAGTAAGATATACCTTGAAGTCAGTGTTCCTTGACACTCACAGCAATAGGGAAGCGCCACTGGAAAGCACCACGCCCACCATCGATAAATGACAGTCCAAACTCCAACCAATAAGCAACAGCAACACCAAAAATGTTGAGCGTAAACTCAATAGCGATAAACTGGCCTCTCGAAGTGTGTTCAGCAGTCTCCGTAGCCCAAACCGGCACAATCGAGTTCAAAACACCAGTACCAATACCATTGACCGTTCTCGCACAAATCATCCAGACATGATTTTGAGCAGAGCATTGCAGTGCGGCTCCAAAGATGGCCCATAGACTGCCGAGAGCAATTGTGCGGATACGACCAGTCTTGTCTCCAACCCAGCCGCCGAGGAAAGCTCCAAATAGTGTTCCGAGATAGTAGACAGCGACGATGCCGCCTTGGAGCAGAGAGTCGTCTACGATGACTCTACCGGTGGCCGAGTCGACATGGCCGAAACCCATGAGTTGAGCGTAGTCTGCTGAGGTGTTGACACCGCCCATCATACCTTGGTCATAACCNTATATCATGTAAGCGTTGATCTGAGAGTAGAAAAGAAGCCGCTTACCAAAGAAGAAGATGGATAGTGCAGCAGCTCCAGCAATGGCATTCAACAAGCTCTTCTTGTATAGCACATTCGCGATACGGAATCCTTTCAGTTGATCCATGTTGGCGGTAGTATGAAGATTCTCGTCTCAGTGATGCTTGTCCTTGTATCCAGGAAGTAGAATACCAAGAGGAGATCCAGCGTAGATAAAGATCCTCTGAAGAGCAAGTTTCGTCACCTTGAGCTTCGAGCAAAACCTCCGTCTAGCAGCGTCAAAACATAAAAAGCAGGACAACACCCTTTAAACGTGAAGAAGCAAGAGACACACCCAATATATGAACCACACGCAATTCTACTCATCCACTCCCCAGCAATCGTCGGGTAATAAACAACCCTCAAGAATCAAGGGGGCCACCCACATCATCAAACCTCTATCGGTTCCTCCCAAACCAGTATTCCGAAGCGCAACCTCCATGCTCCACAACCTCCATCTCTCTCCCCAACTGGAGAAAACAGTGGGTGAGTGGATACCAAAGAAAGCGTCGATCCCTGGCCCGTGAGCATGCCGAGTCAGTGTCTTGGCATTGGAAGTGCTTGCCCTTTGGCTTGGTTTCTCTTTGAACCTCATTCCCTTTGACGTCTTTACGGGAAGGCGTTTCGGCAGGCGTTTATGGTGCGATGTTTGTGTTCGGAATGACGATGCCGTGAATTGCGGTCCGATTGTTGCGTGTTTGTTATATCCGGATTCGAGGTCCTTGAAACTGCGCACATAGATGTACCCTTTTAGTCGCCAGTTGATGCCTTTAATCAACAGATCTCTCGCAGTAGCATTAACTGAACACAAAAACTCTCGTGCCTTCCCTGAGATTTGTATGTCAAGTCGCAAATATTATGCGATTCATGCATGCAAAAAGCATGCATGTAAGCCTCAACGTAAGATCGACAGGGCAATGGCACGCGACTTCTTCCGACGTTGCATATCAATTCTCAGAAGTTGAGGTGTCATTCCGGGTAAATTGGCAAAATAGGAACGGGTGTCATGAGAAACCGACTTTGAAAGGGCGTCTGCTTGTGTGAGAATGCTCAAAGATATCTACATGCAGTCTCTATAAAAATCCACGGTAAAATGCTCCCAAACATGCTCTGCTAACAAACAAACAAAGAAGAAGACTGTGGTATCATAGTAACATAAACACGCCTGGTCACACTCAACATCTCTCAAACACGCGGTACAGTCCTTTCAGATCTGCCACCTCGACGGCTGCTTTTCTCAGACTCTTCGTTGCGACAAGTCTTGTTCTGAAAGCAGGGAACATGACGTTTTCGACTGATCTCTCGAGCTGGGTGCGACGTTTGTTGGCCTCTTCTTGTGCATCTTGAGATGCTTTTGCAGTCATAGACGCCACGGGCAGAGCTTCAGGCGAATAGAAGGATGCCAGCTCGCGCAAAAAGCTGTCAAAACAATCCTTTTCTTCATCCCAATTGACGTGAGGGCCGAGTCGGAGTAGGAAAGTTGGAAGCTTGGCTAGACAGGGCATATATCCCTTGAGCATCAGAGGTATACTGAGCAGCTCACCATCCTCAGATATATCAAGAGCGAAGTACTCGTTGAGCATACCTCTGCTCTGCACCAGCTGGTCCAATGTCACTTGCACAACCTCATTCCAGTCCAGCTCCTGGTCATCGATAGGTGTTCTGTCACGCTCATACTCCGCTCCTATGCGCAAGAGATCCGCGACACTCAGTGGCTCCTTGAACTTGATAGTACCAAAGTTGCTGAAGTCTGATAGGCCAATTTGGTAGAAGAACTCCGCACTAATCATGCCGTAATCAACCAAGAAGAGTTTGACTCCTGATTGGATTGCAGCAATTCTTTTGGAAGTGTCTACAATGCCCACAAAAGTTGAGTTCCTGATCATGTCGTCCATAGTCTTGTGGATATCTTCTCGCACGGCAGCACGAAGATCTTTGATCGAGGTAAGTCGGATCGTTGTCTGTTCTTTCTCGACGAATTCGTACTCTGCCTCCTCGGCGTGGCCCTCTTGACCCTCAGCTCTACTTCCCTTGCTCGACGAGGAAGACAAGGTAGGAGGAAGCATGGAGGTGATTTTTCGAATACGAGAGTCGACTCTGACGAGGTTGTTCTCGTTAGGCTTTGCTGCTGTTCTCGGTGTTGTGGATTTGGTGGAGTCTGTACTGTCCTGATGTTGAAGCAGTGGAGTAGTGAATGACAGCTCGGGCTGGGTTGAAGCTGACGGTGTCATCGGAGTTGTAGTCTTCTTTGGTCCTAACAACGATTGTGTCATGAACGTACGACTCGTGTCGACCGAGCCTAATCTGATACGAATCTCGTCGCAAATGATCTCGATTATCTCTTCCTCATTCAAGAAACCAACCTCACGCTTTGTTGGNTGGACATTGACATCAACTCTGGCGGGGTCGATGTCGAGACTCAGATACACGAATGGCTTTCCTCCTTTTGGCAAGAAAGGTGCATAAGTCTGGTCAATTGCTTTGCGAATAGCTGTCGATTCGACCGAGCGATGGTTGATGAACAACAAGAAGGTAGACTTCTTCGCCGAGTAATTGGCACTGCTGATCAGACCTTCTGACTTGAATCCCCAGCGATCATTGGCGACTTCGAAGGATATCAGATCGTTTGCTACAGCACTGTTGAACACTGTTCGGATGCGGTCGACCATACTAAGGTGACTTTGCACGTTGAGACTTGTTCCAGCCTCGCCATGTTTCTTGCACGAGAAAGCGACGCCCTTGCAATGAACAGAATACTTGCCAATGATATCTAAGATCTTGGCATACTCTTCACTGCTGGACCGAAAGGCTCGTCTGCGGGTAGGTACGTTATAGAACAAATCCTCAACNCTTGAAAGGGTTAGCATGTCTGGGATGGCAACACAGAGGGGTCGACTTACAGTGATCTGAGTACCTTGTTTACCCGCACAAGGCTTAGGGTCTGCAGACTGTCCAGGTTTTGGCGGAGTGAGGTTCTCGTTCGTGTAGTATGCCTTCCATGCGCAACTCGACTCTCGCGTCTTTGTGGTAACAGTAAGATGTGCGATATGACTGATACTGGCAAGAGCCTCACCACGGAATCCATATGTACCGATTGAAGTGAGATCTTCGAATTCCTTGATTTTGGAGGTCGTATGTCGTTGACACAACAAAGGCATGTCNATCTTTCTATTTCGTAGTCAGAGTTGAACACAAGCATGGAGTCAACGCATGATCGTCCTTACATTGATACCATGGCCGTTGTCGCTGATCTGTAGCAGCTTCAATCCTCCATCCTTGACCAGAATTTCGAGCTGAGTCGCTCCGGCATCAACAGCATTTTCGATGAGTTCCTTTAGTGCGTTCCAGGGCGCGACGATGATTTCTCCAGCAGCAATCTTGTTGACGACATCCTGATGAAGAGCACGAATGGGTGGCGGTGGTCTGTTGAACGCATCGTCTGCACTTCTTTTCGTGCCGCGCGAGGGCGATGGACTGCGACCACTCATCGCCATATCTTCAGTGTCTGCCATTGTCTAGAGGCAATGTCAAATATATCGTTGTCCTAAGATTATGGAGAATAGAGTGGAAAGCACGGCGGAGGACGCGTTTGCTTGCGTCACGAACGTCACGAAAACGCCGCGTGCACGGGGTCATGATTGCCTGATTAGGCCATATAAGTGCATCTCCATCACCTTTGTACTTTCCTAAAGACGGTGGATGCTCGGTGACACAGAATTAATGATTTCTATTCACTTACCCAGCTCTGACTAAATATCATGTCCTGTGCTCTAATTCTAGGTCGCCGTCTCTTGTCGCTGCTCGACCTTCTGCCGATGTATCGCTCGTTGGCGTGATACCTACATCAGAATTGGAAGGTAGTCGAACATGACGACTCTGTCGCTTCAAGAATGACAGTCGACTGTTTATCCAACCAGCAGTCTTCCTGATGATCTCCCACAACCGATCCTGTGCTTCTCTTAGGGCAGAATCATCTTTGGGATTCTCGTGTGCTTCAGCCTGGAATTGATATTTCAAGCAGTCTTTGACGGTGATAAGACCAGTAAGTCTACCACGATACTCGACGAGAATGACTCGAGGTCCGAGTTTCTTGAACAGTTCCATGACGGTCTCCAGTGGAAGACGAGGATGAACTGTGATGGGGGTTGCGTCGATGAACTTGCTCAAGTCCACACTCGACTGATTTGATGACGCGCTTAGATAGTCAAAGTGAACTGCTGGATTTGGTGTCGAAGGCGTAACTGGTACGTGCCCAGCGACCGGAGTGAAGAAACATTTTGTGCGTGGTGTTGCCATTTGGTCGCGCCTGGCTCGGTCGAGGGCATAGCGCAGCTCAGTACGGCCAACATATCCGACTAGCATCATTGAGGTTGCGTCTTCGACGATGGGATAGCCAGAGTAATTCGTGTCGTCTAGGAGTTTTTCGAGATCCCGAACTTCCAGTCCAGAGACGGGTAATGCCTTCAATTCGCTGATCATGGCTGTGGAAACAGGTACACCAAATGCGTGGTCCTCTTTGTTGTCGAGGAATGGCATGCCGTTGAACCAAATCATACGATCTGCAATACCTCCTTTTCCAAAGCGGTCGCTAACTGCTTTTGTCACACCAACAACAATNCTAGACAAGGAGTCAGCATGATCACGACGTGTATATGATTGTCCGTAACAGACCATGGTTGGTAAGATGTAAGTAAGAGCTCCGGTCAACTCAAACATGATGACAACAACAGACACAGTGATGTGCATGATGCCAGACAATGCAGCCGCAGCTCCCAAGAAAGCATACGTGCCCGGCGTGATACAAGGCATATCGGGCTGGCAGGCTGAGAAGAAGGCAGAGTTGGGAAATGCTTGTTGCATCGCTTGGACCAAGATACCAACCATGCGACCAAAAGATGCGCCAATAGCCATTGAAGGTACAAAAATACCAGCAGGTACTTTGCAGCCGTAAGATATGATGACGAGAAACGTGCGAAGGACTGTAGCGATAAGCAGAGAAAGAACGGATGTCCAGCGATTTTGACGANNCTGTTTGTGGTTAGAAGGGCAGCCAGTGTATTGCAGGGCTGATTCAACTTACTCGCACAAGCCATCATAGTCATGACCTCCTTCACATTCGAGAAAGAGTATCTCCATACTCTCTGTCATGTCGATTCGCAAGAACTTGTTTGGATAGCATAGAATAGCTGTCGCGGCAGCGAGTATGGTGGCTTCGAGGATAGGATATTGGCCGAGGTAGCGCTTTCGGAAAGCTTGCATTCGGAGGTTCCACTTGATGACAAAGGCACCATACAGACCACCGAATACGCCGAGGATGATGTAAAAGAAGATTTCGAAGAAATGCCATTGTCGATCGTAGCTCACGGTGAACATGACGAGCTGTCCTGTACGGAAGGGGTTCATGGCNCTGAGACACGTGAGTTTTGGCCACTATTCATGGAAGAAAAACAGACTTACAGATAACACTGCTGTTGCTACCAGAGCACAGAAGTAACTCCTCCATAACGTCTTGAGAGGAAAGTAGTTTGACATTTCCTGGTCAAGTGGTCAGCTTCAAGGTAAGGTAGTCCAACAGAGAAAGTGCGAATGATGTACCTCGAGGGAGAACAGGACACCTCCAATAGGACTTCCGAAAGCCACGGCTACACCAGCAGCAGCGCATGCACTAAGAATCTCTCGAGTCTTTGCAGCATTTCGGCGATACTTGTCGAAGAAGCGAGAGATGACATTACCTGTGCATACGGCGTAGTGGACACTGGGCCCCTCCTTTCCAACCGACAAGCCAGAAGCGATAGCAAGAGGAAGACCGATGGACTTGATGAGTAGTGTCCAGAAGCCGAGAAAGCCTTTCATGACGAAGCCTGCAATGATGCATTTGATCTCGGAGATTCCAGAGCCGGCAGCGTAAGGAGCATAAGATTTGACGAGTCGAGCGGAGGTAAAGGCAAAGATGGTCNNTTTGTACACGATCAGATTGTGGCAGAGGTTGGAGCGAGGAACAGAGCTTACGGAGAAGAGGATGTATATTAGATAGCGGAAGATGATATGTGAACTCCAAGGCCGCCATTCTGCGCAGCCTTCGNNAGGCGTCAGTACGGTAGTCGTTGCAAGGCTTGAAAGACACCAACCTTCCTCGGCACCCCAGCAGCAGAAGCTCTCGTTCAAGTAAAAAGCAGTCGTACAATGACCCAGCTTGATATCAGACAGCCACTCGGTGATTATGTTCAAAAAGGCGGCGTTCAGACCAATGGCAGTGCCAATCAGAGTGACAACCAGCCATGCCTGGCCAGCATCATATGCCTCCCATAGCCTCCTTCTCCAATCCAGATGACCCAATTTAGCTCGCTCCTGTCGCTTGGCCTTGCGGCGCTGTTGTTCCCTGGCGGCATCTCTGACCCAGTCTATTGTGGTAAAATCTTCATAGCGCTTGATCTCATCAATCTCATCTGCGACGACCTGGTCTTCGGGGTTGACGTTGGTCGTGTCTCCTTGTTCGGCTTGCGAGAGGGAGAGGGCCGAGACCCTGCGATGGAAGGAGCGTGAGCCAGCCGACGGAGCCAGAGATGGGCGGCGGGAGGGTGGAAGAGAGTTCATTGCATTGCTATCGGATCTCCATGTAGCCATATAATTTGCGATAGCATGCGACAGTCGAGTCGCGCAGAGTCGAACAACAGAGAGAGCAGCTCCCGAGGCCACACCTGAACCACTTTCGGAAGGAGCCGTCAAAGCGCGACTTCCAAACTTGAAACGCGTCACGCTTCCACTCGTTCATCACCATCAGACATAGAGTGGAGACTACAGCAATCACACGTTAAACAGACATACCGTCAGAATGCCTTACAACAACACCCCCATCACACCCTCGACCGAAATCACCGGCACCGTATCTCTTCCGCGTGAGTCTCGAACCACATCTGAACTCTCATGCCAACTTCTGACACAGTACANNGTCGCCAGAGTCAAGAAGATCATCCACGCCGACGACGACATTGCCAACTGCTCAAACAACGCCGCCTTTGCCATCACCGCTGCAACAGAGCTCTTCCTACAGTACCTGGTCGAACAAACTCAGAACGTCGTCAAGGCCGAGAAGAAGCCCAGGAGGAACATTCAATACAAGGACGTCGGTACGCACTCCCCCTCCTACAAGTCCAAAGTCAGAACCCCTCGCTGATTTTTCTTCTCAGCCAGCGCAGTCGCTCGTGTAGACAACCTCGAATTCCTCGCCGACGTCGTGCCCAAGACTGTTAGCTACAAAGAGCACAAGGCCAAGAAGCAGAGAGAAGAAAAGGAAGCCGGACAAACGACTCTTCCCATTGTCGCTACTGCTACCACCGCTACCGCTACCCTCCCCACGGCTGTGATTCCTGCTCAGACCGACCCCGTCCCTGCTCCCATTCAGGCCCAGCTTGTCGACCCCATGGACGAAACCTCTTGAGAGACCATTGCGCAACGACTTCACTCCATATCATATCATCTCCAATGGCCGACCATCACCTACGTGCTGTTTGCCACTTGCTGTGCTTCCGACGTGGCACGCATCGTCAGCATCTACGACCACATACATGATCGCGGACCTCGATTGTCCTCCAGCGTGAAATAAAGATTCACACGGCAAGTCGCTTTCACGCGTTGTTCATGACGGGAAGGAAGCCAGGCCTGCCATCACGCCCGTGTCTTCATGAGCTGTTTCTAGTTCTTCAGGGGATTGTTCTCCTGTGCGCTTGCTGCGGCATATGAGAGAGCAGGATAACAGTATCGCTGCGTTTGTACACGAGCAAACAAAGCCTCAGATCCGTGCTCAGCACATGCTAGAATCCATATCATGAAAGTATGCAAACTCAAATCACTTTTCTGTCACGTTCCACAGCCCAGCCTCGTGTTTGCTGACCCTCTATTAGCGCATAACTATCGCTGGCCCCCATTCACATGAACCCAGCTTATCTCACATGCTTCCTCATTCACCTCTTCGCTGGCCTATACCGTAGAAGCATGTGCATTTCAGTGTATATAACGATGCCCTTTGGCGACATGGATCCCTTTCCTCTACCAACCACAACAGTCCACTACTCGAGCATCAAAGCACTTCGATATATATCTACTTGAACCATCTTCTGCTCTATTCTATACGACACAACTTCACTCAATGCAGAGATCTCACGCTACTCCCAGTTCTTCTGGCGGCAAAGCCAAGCAGGCAATGTCCCCTGGAAAGTCACCTGGCAAGTCACCAGTCAAGTTGCCCTCGAAACCTATCTATCGCCAACTCCCACCTATTCCGCTCTGCAAGTGCCGCGATCGTGTGGAAGAGTCGACCTTTGCACAGGGCGAGAGACTCGAGTGGCCTCTTGTTCGCGAAAAGATCCTGCGTGTCTTTCCTCGTTCCTCCAACCCCATCATGCCCTGCGAATGGGGTCAAAAACTTGTCAGACAAGATGCCGACGGTCGCACTTGGGAGCTTCACTACCTGGAACTCAAGGAGTGCATCACCGCACCTTCCTATATGCCTGTTGCACCTCATGCTCTACCCCAAGTATTGCTCCGTGGAGAGAGCGCAACCAGAATGTCTGATGCATTGGAGAGCGTCATGAACATCTTGGACCAGATGCCCCACGACTGGAGATACGACACCAACACCAAGCTTCCCATCCATGCCGAGGAGTTCCCTGCCTTCGAGATCAACTGCTCTATGTGTGGACTTCCTCGTAAGGATCCAAGATATCTTCCGTCCAAGCCCCAGACCAGCCACAAGCTCAATCTCAAGCGCTAAATGGAAGACGGTACGCCACGAGGTTATGACAAGACCTGCACACCTCGTTCCAGCCAAAAACTGGAGGACGATTTATATGATAAAGTCATGATTTGCACGAGTTGGACGAAGCACGAGACACACGAGGAAACGAGACACGACATGATACGCAAGCACATGGAAAGACTAAAAGTGTGCCATGGATTGAGTTGGGGCGTAATGATGGAATGTATAACATTTACGAAAAGCAGAAGCACAAATGACAATGCTCTCGATGCCCATGAAAGCAAGGTTGATATCAGAATGCAGTTACTGATAAATACACCCAAGGCCTTTTCCTCTTTCTTATGCCGACCCTGAGGATAATCCGTCGTTATCCTCGAACCTACTCCAATCCTCTACGTAAGTATATTTTCAATTGATGATCGATGATAAGGACAGCAGGAGAGTGCCTCTATCTCCAGAAATCATGTGAGTGGAAGAATAGAATAGTCGTAATATCATAGCGAATGAGCCAAAAGCAATCAAAAACGAACAAAGCCATCAAAACGCCCCTCAAACACCATACCCTCCAATCCATCCTTGTATTCCTAACCCCTTGCCTCTTCCATCCGTTCGGTCCCAAGCCCATCCCGATCCCATTCGATCCCATCTCTTTATTCCTAACCCCTTGCCTCTTCCATCCGTTCGGTTCCAAGCCCATCCCGATCCCATTCGATCCCATCTCTTTATCCCACGTCCCATCGACACCATGTCTCTCTCCTTCCGTCTCCTCCCTCTCTAATCACTCATATACTCGGTATCCCCCTCGGAATTCTCATCCCCCAGACTCGCATCGTCATGCCCAATTTCCTCTTCAACGTCTTTCTCCTCGATATAATCGCTAACTTTCCAGAATGCAGTGGGGCCCGCAGGTCCATGTCGGTCAAAGTCCTTGTCGAACCAGTTGCCGAGGACGCCGCGGCCGGAGCGTATGCCGCCGACTTGGATGCCTTCGCTGCGCCAGCGTTCTTCGCTGTGAAAGGGGGGTGGTCAGTAGGGGTTAAAGAGGTGGTGGGGCAGTGGGGTGGGAGGTGAGAGGAGTCGAGAGGAGAGGTTGCTGGGACGTCGTTTCTACTGTCTGCAGCTGCAGGTAAAGATCTGTCGAGGTCGAGGGATCATGCTCCAAACCGGAAACTCTTCTTTTGCTGTCGTCTGTTGATCAGAGACTGGTAAGAGTCGATCTCTTGGCGGAGGCAAAAAGCTTCCCTCAAGGACATACGAAGACCATTTCTTTTGCCCAAGAAGTTGACTTGCATATCATCTATTGTCGACACGATGCAAAGAAGAGTGTTCCGGTGCGGGGAATCGAACCCCGACCTCCTCGGATCCTTGTATGCAGATGGCAAGACAGTGAAAGCGAGAAATCCTAGCCGTTAGACCACACCGGATAGGCATAAAGTGATCTTGCAAATTTGCGCACTAAGAATCTGCAACGAACAATAACACGTACCTGTGGAATATAGAAAATGTAGTCCAGCGGATCTCACCTTCTGGTGTTTGACGAACTACGCCTACAAACAATTGTTAGAGATGGGGTTGGTACGGCATGACTTCGGACTCACCTCTGATCTGTGAGTTGGCGTTTGCATCCCAACTCGCGTGTAGGCTCCAACTTGTGCCTGTAAAAGAAACCACGGGGTAATCTTGACCATCTTCTGGACCTGGTGGTTCAATTGCCGAGACTCGAAGTTTGAGACGAATGATTCTGATNCTCGCTTCGCGGGTGTTGATGGGCTCTCGTGGTTGATCGACGGGGACACTGTGTAAGAAGTTGAAGGCGAATAGGTCGTGGTAATCCAGGAAACAGACGACGCGCATCCATTCTCCGGTAATGCCGTAGGGATCGAGATTTTCTAGGTCTTCGGGTGGACTCAACTCTCGAACAAGAGCTGTTGGATGAGCAGACATGTACGAGTAGGGCGAGGCACCATCGAATGGCTTCTCCCACACTGGTTCAAAAACGTGTGGTGCTCGTCGATTGAAGAGACGCATGTTGTAGCCCAGGACGACCATTATAGATTCGACCTTCTCCCAGTCGACGTCCTGGCTTCCGTCGCTCTTGAAGGGTCCCCACAGACTCTCTTCTGTGTAGCGTCGGAGATCATAGACTACAGCACGAGCATAGTTGTTTGTCGGGGTCTGCACGCTTTCTTCGGCTGAGTCTGGGTGCCAGAGAACTGAATATGATGGTGATGGTGAGTTGTCGTCGCTATCGTCTTGGACAAGCATTGGCGGTATCTGACAATCGATGGGGACGCCATATAGGCAGTGCAATCTGGCAGCAAGCTGGCGTAGCTCTGATGTATCTGCTGGTTGCTGTGTCAAGTTTCCGGCATGTTCGAAGAGGGATGATGAGGCGAGGAAGGCATCGATGTTCTTCTGTGACTTGAAGAGATCTGCGAGGAATCGTGTGTTCTTTGTGCTGTTTTTGACGGTCAAGAGTGGTGCGATCAAAGGAGCGGCCCATGCGAAGGCTTCACGCTGCCGTGTGTCAGCTCCTACAATCCACATGTTTCGTTTTGTTGATGACCCCATACCTTTNGTATCGAGATTGTCGCTTTCGAGTAGCTTTTTCAATGCGACCAGGTTGCGTACTGATGACTCCCAGCAGGGCTCAGCTTCTGTTGGATGGTCNCTATCTACTACATCAGTGCCGTACAAAATCATACGTGTATTGTCTCTGCTGACCCATGAACGCAAGTATACACTCTTGCACAGGATCTTGTTGCCTTTTACAAACGAGCTGAAGGCATGACACGTCGCACTTAATGCCGCAAGGTCTTGTCCGTCGACTTCGCTCAAGATGCCCTGGAGAAGCTCGTGCGAAAGGTCCAGAAGACAGGTCATTGTGAGTACGACAAGTGGGATGGAAAGGAAAGGAGGACAACGAGTCGAGATCCGTTACACCGCACCGCTGTGTTCCTCTTGCACACCCTCGATCTCCCAATAATGTCGTGACCGCGGCTCGGTCTTCGCGGTCTTCGCGGCGGACCACCCTAATGTTCCCATTGATGCGGGGCTGCCGGAGTTAACGGGATCATCTGTCGCGGCTTGAACTTCGTCCCTCGGCCCGGTTAAACTTGTTCAACGACATGCGTCCGTCCAGGCTGTGCTTGACAAGCTTTCTGTCACCTTATCATGTTTCATATCACCTGTAACCATGCCTTATCGTGGCATTGTGAACTAAAGTGTACTTGTATGCAACATTGCTCGTATATCTGATGTGACGTTAATGTCAATTGCAACCTTGCTGCAATGAGTCTCAGAGGAGACCGTCGTGCGGAGTCGCGATGCAGATAGAGGTTCATCGCACTTGCCTCCCGATAATAAATAGAGCGTGGTCAACTGCTTTTTATCTGTGAGTTCCTTGCACAAACTCTCACCTTTCAACTGTTTGACTCGAATCATGTTCTCGAAGTTTCATCTTGCATTGGCTACAGTGCTATCCTTAGTGGAGGGCCAATTCAACAGTCCACCTGGTGTCGATATCTGGTGTGGAAAGGCTTATCGAGATACGTACGTCTCCTTCTTGCCTAGAGTTGCAACAGGCTTGCTTACAGACATAGGANATGCATCCTTCAGTCCAGGAGGCTGGTTTGAAGAACCACCCAAGTCCGATATACCGCTGGTGAACTTCAAAATCAGACCTCGGATGAATCTGTATCTTGAGGATGACACCACCTCGAGCTTCGTAGTCGACGCACCAGTTTCTTGGTATGTTGGCCAGGCTCTGCCAAACAGCAACACTTCCATGTTTCCGAACCATGGCTCGGAGATTACGCTCGAGATCAAGGCTGGGAACACATCGCTCTGCTTGAACAAGACGTCTATCAGGCTGGGATCTTCGGACAATGAGATACCCTTCGATCTGTCATCATTGACTGCTGCATCCAACAACATTACGATCCTAGGCTCTCTTGAAGGACATAAGAACGAGACATTTACTGCTACGACTCAAGTCGCCAAACTCCCTCTTCGTTCCGACAATGGCACCGTGACACGCCTCGACAACTTGTATGGAGGTCTCTCAGTCCGAAAAGGACAGTCAAAAGAATGGACATCGCTGTTTCCTTATACGTACTACGTTCAATGGAGTCTATACTGGGACGCGAATGTCTCAACCCTGGACGAATTCGCAGCAATGGGCTATAACGTCATTCACATTGTGCCTACCGGTGACTTAGGCGACACCCCATTCCCCTGGGACAAATTCCAACCCTATCTTGATCGCGCCGACGAACTAGGCTTGTACTTCATGTATGACGTGCGTTGGGACTATACCAATCTAACCACCATGATCGACCAAATCCATCATCTACACAACCATCCCTCAATCCTTCTATGGTATACAGCCGACGAACCAGATGGAAAATCCAACCCTATAAACTCCACTCTCATCGCTTACAATACCATCAAAGCAATCGATCCTTACCACCCAGTCTCTCTAGCCCTAAACTGTCGAGACTTTTACTACGCCAATTACTCCGCAGGCGCAGAAATCGTCCTCGAAGACGTCTACCCCATTGGCATTAACGCTTCCTACTCGACCGTCTATAATACTCCTTGCAACGCCACCTACGGCTGCTGCGGCTGCGACGACTGCTCAGGAAGCTTCACAGACATCTCCACCCGCTTAGATGAATACACCTACAAAGACTCCATCCTAGACCGGCAAAAGATTCACTGGGCAGCTCCCCAAGCATTTGGAAACGAGACCTTTTGGTCCAGACATCCTAGCGCTGCAGAAGAAGTCGTGATGAATTTGTTGAGTGTCAACCATGCAGCTAAAGGCATTGTGATGTGGGATTTTCCTACCAGGGTGGATATTCTTGATGTGACTAATAGACTGGCTGCTGTGTTGACAAGAGAGCCAGTGGTAGGGTTTCTGGTTGGTGCTCCGTTGACGCAAAGGCTGAAAGTAGTTGGTGCTGGAAATATTGACGCTGCTGCTTGGATCAAGGACGATGAGGTTTTGGTGTCCATTGTCAATCTCGATTACAGCAACACGAACTCCAGCATCATTGTATCGTTACCAGAAGGTGTGATGGCTGCAAAAGTTTCGAAAAGCTTTTGGGGAGATGCGGCATGGTCTGTTGATGGCAACAAGCTGTCTACAGACTCATACAAAGGCTTAGAGGTATCTCTCCTACTGCTCGAGCCCAAGTAAGGCAACCCTTTCACGGAGGCTATTGACACTGCAAAAGGAATAGACAGAAAGAAGACATTACTAGCAAAAATGTAAAGAACATATACACCAGTCGTACGAAGCAGGGAAGCAGAACATATTCATCCATACTCAAGTTTCGAGAGTCGGAAGCTACCAGATAGATGGTTGTATCCCCGCTGAGCATCTTATGTACCTTGGTCTCAGCACCATACCCGCTGCTCAGCAAAACAAACCCTCTAGCCTTTTATCCACCTTGATCAACTCCCTCACTTCTCCATCAAACTCATCGACATTTCCCTGCAAAGCATGCCTAAGCATTTCCACCGCCACCCTACACTCCTCTTTAACCCCCCCAAACCCATCTCCACCAACATTTTCCTCTTGCATTCTGATCCACGGCACAGCCACGCATTTCAGCACTTCGGTCTTGTGGACATGCATTCTGGGCCATGCGTTTAGCACAACAGCTTGCAATGCCTGAACAGATGAAAGCAATAGAGGAGGTGATGCAGTGACGAAAGGGTGGGTGAGGATGGAAGAAAGCATGGCTAAGATAAAAGGGAGATGTTTGACAGAGTCCAATCCCAGAGAAGTCAGGATTGAAACGAGGTTTGTAGTCGTGACGGTGGTGATTTTGGCGTATTCGGGGCAGTAGGTAAAGGTCATCAAGACGCCCTTACAGATCAAATTATCTAGTAACTTTGTGCGAGGAGGTTGTTTTGGAGGATTTGGGGTTGTCGAAGGATGATCCAGGACATTTGAGAGTGAGATCAAGGCTGGGTAGGCGACAGCGAGTAGTCGAGCACTTTCGTCCTCGGGAGTCAAGGTAGGCAGGTAACCTAGACAGGGCATGAGGGCTTCTTCAAATACATCGCCCAACCCAGTCCGCTTCAAGAGTATGGGCGGTGTTTTGTCCAGCAAGAGTTTGAGTAATTCGCAACCTTGAGCTTTGTATTCCGTGTCAATGTCGTCCAGCATGCTGAGCAATGGTGGCACTATCGCATGCCAATTCCTCTCCACCAAACCAGGGTCTGCAGCAACAATGACCCAGCGAAGCAAGTCTAGTGCATAACTGTCTCTCCCTTTCCATGTCTTTTCATCCTGGCTTCGCTCGAACTTTTTGGGAAGGACTATAGTCTGAATCTTACGCCCTTGACTTGTTACCTGCTGCGTTTGTGTCTTTGCAAACAGCGGGCGGATGGTAAGCTGGAGAAAATATGTCATGAGATCTGATGTGAGCTCACCAGGAGTTGGAGATTGGTCTTTGGCGATGCGGACTTCTTCGATGGCTTCAGCAGTGTCCTTCTTGCTAGGGTTGCGAAGTTGCCAGCGCATGACTACATCGAGAGCATCTTTCATCCATGGACCAGTTGGCACACCGAGGGCTTTTGTCAAGGCTTTACCGTCAAGAATGGGCTTGAGAGCGTATGCATCGAGAAGGTCCAGTTCTCGGATGTACTCGAGGAAGTTTGAGACTGCAGAAAGGTGGGCTATGATTGTCAGTCTTGGAGTACGAGTNAAACGCATAGATGAGAACTCACATTTAGCTGCTGAAGGCTCATCGGCGACGTTGACCAGCAGTGCAAAGGCTGCTTGTGATCTCCATGTAGAGCCCCAACGGCGGATTGCCATCCCCAGGTCTTCACGTCCTGGACGTTTGCGACTGTTTGAGTCGTTGACCATCATTGAAATCTCAGAATGGTTCTTGATGGAGTTGGTGATGACATTGCAGACGTTGTTGGTAGCCTTGATGCCTTCACGTGCGACAGAGGTAGCAACAGGGGTNGGCGGCTTCTTGCCTTCGACAGTTGGAGGGGAAGGGGCATCTCTGTAAGGGACAACTGCTGACAATAACCAGATGAGATATCTCTCTTCTGCATCGCGGACGAAAATATCGCTGGTTTGAGAAGTCATGATTTCTTGAACAAAGTTGATGACAGTGGTCCAGTTGTCAGTATCTGGTTCGAAGACCTTGGTCTGGTCTTGAGCAGGGTCGGAAAAGATAGTAGAGTATAGATTGAGTCGGTCAATCAAGTTCAGAGCCATGAGAGGGTCGGGTCCTCTAAGCATCTTTTCGAGTTCGACACCGACTCTTTCGCGACTGATTTTTGCTTGAAGGGCACTTTTGATCTCGGCATCACCCATCCACTTGCAAGCTTCAGCTTCGATCGTGTAGTTCAATCTGCTAGCGAATCTGATCAATCTCAAGACTCGCAGAGGATCATCCTTGAAGGTTTGATAAGGCTCGAGAGGAGTGCGTATGATCTTATCGGCCATATCATTGTGACCTTTGCCGGTGAAGTCCTCGATCTCTCGAGTGTTGATGTTGTAGAACATTGCGTTGACAGTTGCATCACGTCTGAGAGCATCTTCTTCTGGAGTGCCAAACTCCATCTGAGGATTTCTGCTGTCGTCGGTATATGTCTCCTTGCGAAGATTGACCAGGTCGATGTCGAGGCCCAGGATTTTTGTTGTGACGGTTTCCAGGTGCTTTGATTTTTCCGGGTTTGCTTCAATCTTGTGCAGACCACCAACAATGTTGCTCTTGCCAGATTCGGCTTTTTTGGATTGAGACTCGTTGCTGGCCACACCTTCCAGACCATACTTTTCTGGATTGCCGGGAATCTCCAGATACTCCTTTAGCCTTAGACCAAATTGGAAACCAGTCATCTTGTTGATAGCCACATCAATGTCATGGCTCTCCACACCGAGGAGTTTGTCACGAACCCAACCACCAGTCCATCTTAGAACGAGGGGTTGTTTTGCAAGTTCATCGGGAAGGGGCACCTGACTTTCAGAAGCATGTCCAGGAGAGCTGTCAATGTGTTTGGCAACATCAATAAGTAGGGTGCGCAAGTTCTCCTCAACTTCGGTAAGCTCCAGGATACCAGAGTTTGTAGACATTTTGGTAGTGGTGGTAGTAAAAGGGCGGTCAGGAGATAACTTTCTCCTCTTGATGAAATTTTGTGACGGCTCAGGCGACGGTCTGGTGTGAATCAAAGCAGGAGACATGCACTTAGTCGAGAGACATCGGAGTGATGATGGTCGGGGTAGAGAAGTTGGCCTTGAGCGGGCAAGTTGAGTGCGTAAGATGTTGGAGACCAGAGTACGTGAATGAATTACAGACATGCAGTGACTGTCAGAGCGGGTTGTGTTTCAAACAGTCTTTGGGCGCATTTCAAACATGTGTCGTTGTTGATTGATGAGTGTCGGTCACATGAAAGTTGATCGGACTCATTTTTCGAAAGCTCGGCAAAGCTTCCGCAAACAGAAGGCGCGAGCGTGAGCGCATCGAAACATGACCTTGAATGATGGCATCGGTGTGATACACGAATTGATTATTTATCGGGCGTCCTTCTATGCCTCTTGGAGTCTGAGTATAACAGGCAGCGACACATGACGTCCACGCCTAGCGATGCGGGCCTCCAGTCACCGCTACAGAGCGACACGGAATCATCGACCAGCATAGCCCAGTCGGCCACGCACCGAGCACTACCCAGGCTATCCTTGCCATATCGCCGCTCGAACGCTTCGGTCGCCAGCTTGTTTGCATCCACATCTTCCGCTCAACACTCCCCCACTGCATCAGGCACTTCAACACCACCCGCCGGCGTCGTCAATGCCTCCGTCTTCTCTCCGCCTGCCTCGAGACTGGCCAATGCCCTGAACTCGCCTACCACAGCCGCCCAACCAGACGAGGCCCGCCAGCTGGTACTGCGCGCCTTTGCTCCTCGTGTTTCCGTCCTGGCCTCGGATGATTGTCAAGAGTTGTTGCGCCACAAGGGTATAAACGGAGGTCTCCTGGAGTTGCTGCGCCCGTTCGGAGAAAAAGTAGGCGGAAGAGTTGTTGTCAGGGATAGCACTGGCGCCAGCAGGCCGTGGGATGACTTTGGAATCAGATTTACTGGCGTCTCCGATGGCCTTGAACCTCCGAGACTGGATTCCAGCCCCTCTGATCTGCCCGAATACCGTCCTGCGCGCTTACGTACTGGAGGTGATGTCGAACAGATTGATGAGCTCGTCGCCCGTCATCTAAGACATGCTCAGGACCAACCGTCTGCTGGCGACTATTTCTCAGGCCCTGAAACAAAACCTCATCCATCACAACTCACTCCATTCTACACCCTATACCTTCGGAGGCTTCTCTCTGGAATACCTGTCACGCCACACGAAACCTTTTCTCACCCCGTCGCTCTTGTAATAGCAATCAGCTCTCGTAATCCCGCCCCTATTGACGAACTCCGAACTCTATATACCAGCTCCAATACAGGCCAGCATAAACCACCACCATGGGTCAATAACGAGTTTCTACGATATTATGTCCTCATTCATGATGAAGACCACGACGACATTACAAAGTCCACCGCTCTATATGAACAGATGAAGCGTCATTTCGGTCTGCATTGTCATTTGCTGCGATTACGGAGTAATGAGTGTCTTCCTTCGGACGATGACAGCACGAGACTACCAACTTGCGAGTGGTTATCTGCTGGGGAAGAGTTGAGCGAGATAGCCAATAGAGGTGAGTCTCGTAATTATGATCTTGAGATCTTCATTGTCTAACATCCAAACANNGAAAGCTCCGAAGTTGATGACGATCCAACGCCATACATTTTCGAATCTGATGCTGCTGCCATCCGAGCGTTTGTTCGCGAAATGGTGACGCAGTCAGTGGTGCCAGGCATGGAGCGCTTATCTGCTTTGTGGAACAATGAGGTTGCATCACGGCGACGAGGTATCGCAGGAAAGCTTGGACAAGTATCCAAACGCTTTACTTTTGGTTTCTCATCACGAGGCTCAACCGGTGGTATTGGCGGTTCCAACAGCAACTACGACGCCCTCCAAGGCTTCTACAAACCCGACACACCAGAAGCAGTATTACGGAAACTCGCCGATTATGCCTTTATGCTCCGCGACTTCAAACTTGCTCAAAGCACCTACGACCTCCTCTGCACAGACTACAAAAACGACAAGGCATGGAAGCACTACGCCGGCGCCAATGAAATGGCCGCTCTCACAGCTTTACTGTCTGCACCCATCGTACCCTCCCGCATCCGTGTCGACTCTCTCGACCAGTTACTGGAAACAGCATACTATTCCTACCTCACCCGCTGCTCAGCGCCCTACTCGGCCTTACGGACCCTTATCCTCAGCACGGAATTATTGCGTTTGCGTGGCGGCTCAGCCCTCGACGACTCTGCCCGCTGGGCAACCCGTATTCTCGAAGACAGGCTGGTGGGTGCTACAGGCCACGCACTCCTCCTCGAACGCATCGCATCCTGCTATTCCTCGCGCCGCGGCCACGGAACTCTAAACTCTGGCTCGCGGCAACGAAAAGCCGCTTTCTACCATATTCTCGCTGCTGAAGCCTGGCTCAAACTCGACAACACCCGGCAAAGCGAAATCAACCTTTCCTCTGCGACGGAGATCTATACGTCTCGATTACTACCATCAGACAACGAGAGCTGTTCATTCGAACATCTTGAATCTTTCTTGCTGCAACTCAAACAAGAAGTTCTAAACAGCAGACCGGTGGATAGAGATGCAGAAGAAGACACAAAACAAGAGCAAGCAGAAGATGTGCAAGCGATCCAAGAACAACCAGCTAGTGGCCAACGCAGCCATGCCAGAAGTCTGAGTTCTGTTGTGCCTGCTGCTACTTCTGTCTCCAATTTCGATCCTCTGGGCGTGGCAGTGTTGGGCCCGCATAGCCCTACGCTGGAAGAAAGGCCTGATCCCGCTAACGATGGCTTTGAGTAGCAATAAAGTTTTCCAAATCTGATTTTCACCATCTCATGTTGCCTCTTTTTCTGTTGTCTCTTGCTTAGGCGTGTGATGCTCATGTTTTCTTTTGCATGGGAAAGCGTTGTTGGATTTGGGCATCTACAATGGGCGTTTCTTTTCCAAATCATGTTTGGTAGCTATCGAGTGTGTCAGATGTTGAAGTTGCTTTGCTCCTGTGGTCTCGATGCCATTTGCAGTTGGTACGGATATTGGTGATTGGTTCAGCTTGCCTTTGATAGCAATGTTAGTGGATTGAATACAACCATTGCGAGTGTCTCGACTGTAATGCTCTGCAACGTCCGCACTCTCAAATGTTCTTTGTAATGCAAAGGTAACAGTAAAGAAGGGAGAGGGATTGAATAATCACAGCACCTGGTATCAAGAATGCTATTACCCCCTCTGTCTCTGCCTACCATGCTCACAACCAACACACTCAAGGAATGGGATATCTCGACTTCTTGCCCCTGGTTGATGCCTTGGGTTCATCACTTCCTCCTCCCAATTGATCCAGCAGATCCAGCACTCCGCCACCACCCCCTGACCTCGCATTCTCCTTTTTCTCTTTGGTCTGTCGTTCCCTCTCCTTTTCTTCTTCTTCGGCTTTGAGTGCTCGCTCTCTCGCTTCCATCAATGCTCGTTCCTGGGCTTCGTAGTATGCGGAGTGGGGTGCCGCGGCACTGTTGTCGCGCTCGTCGTCCGAATCGTCGTATTCAGAGGTTTCAGCACCAGAGTCCGGGACTGCGCGGAGTTGAGGCGACTGCATCAGGCCGCGCGAAGGAGAACGCAAAGTCTCGGGACTTTCACTACGGTTGCTGCCGAAACTACCGCTGCGGCCACTGCGCCCACTGCGGCGACTAATGTCCGAGCGAGCGGAGGTCACGCGACTAAGGGGTTCTCCGTCTGCTGCGATTTGATCTGGTCGGTAGCCTATGGCTTCGGCAACCATACGGGCTTCTTCTTCGGCATCGCGTGTTTCAAGCTCGGGGAGAGCACCGAGGCCGTCGCCAGGCATGATGCTCAGGCGATGTAGGGGGTCCAAGGTATAGCCTGCACCGTTTGCGGCAGTGTTGTCGCTCTTGTCGAGAATGTCGCGGTAGCCACGGCGTGTGGGATCTTCAAGTCTTTGTCGTTTCTTCTTGTCGCGCTTGGATGAGGGACGTACGACGATGACGGGGACGGGCGAATGTTGGAGACAGTACTTGGACACGGAACCTGGCAATAAGCCTTGGAAGCCTCCAAGAGATCGACCTCTTGTACCGACAACTAGTATGGCGGGCTCGTAAATACGTATCNNTGCGATGATGGTCAATTTTGAACATGGGCAACACATGTAACTTCAACATCAACATACCATGCGCTGGATCGTGTCCTGAACTTTGCCGATAGAAAACTCCAGGATGATGTTGATGGCTTTGTCTTCGGTATTCTTCTCTTCAATACGTTCGAGCATGCGGTTTGCCTCCTTCCGGTAGCTGCGCTCTCTGCCTCCTCTGTCACTTCCACCGCCAGACCATTTGGCTGCTTCTTTGCTATCCTTCTCAACCACTCTCAAACAAACGACTTCATCGCCGTCGTCGACGAGTTCGTCAACCAACCATTCCAGGGCAGTATCGGAGTAATCGTTGGTATCTGTGCCGCACAGGAAGGTACGCGAGCGCTTGGTGTATTCATACTCGCGATGCTTGCGACTCAGCGTCAGGGAGAAATCAGAGGCGTCGCGGTTGTCGAATGTGTCAAAAGAGACGCGAGGTTTGAACTGGNNCTGGAAGGCGTGTTAGTAACGGCCATGTAGAGGACTCTGTGGACAGTAATTTGCTCACGTAGGTGGGGGAGGACTGCTAAGTCGCCTGTTACTGTTGAGCGAGGATTCCTTGACGGGTACTGGCCTACGACTGCGGCTGCGACTAGCTTCAGTGGCGGCTCCTCCAGCGACTCTGACATTCGGCATGAACTGTACAGATGTCTTTCGAGCGGGGTTGTTGTCGTCAGAGCTGTGGAAGCGGATGGGCAAGGGGCGGGGCTGCTTGTCGGCCGTGTCGTAAGAACTCCCACCAAAGGCCAAAGACTGCGAAGGAATGTCTGACGTCGCTCCTTCAGGGTTATTAAGTGTAGGTGCCGCTCTGGGCGATTGCATCGGTGACTGATCCATGACGGGCAAGCTTCGCTTCGGGTGTGCGAGCAAAGAGAGGGAGTTGCGGTCGGCAGGGACGGTATTAATTAATGAGTTTGTCTATACGACGAAAGCAATAGCGGTGAAGGTGGTGGCCTGCTCTCGTACAGTGATATGTGAATGAGTCTGCGCCCTACAGTACTCGCATGTGTTATGGACGAAAGGATTGGATGCGCTATGGGAAAGTCGGTCGGCGACTACCTAATCCAATGATGCGGTGATGCGGCCAAGCCTTTGCCCTTGTCAATGCCACGTCCAACAGTACTGACTATCCATGGCGCATGCTCTCTGAGCCGAATGGCTACCTATACTGCAATCATCTTTGCCATACGCTCTTTCGAGTTTACAGACCAATATGTTCAGCATGCACGTGTTTGTCCTCTTGGTCTCCTTCCCCTTCCCTTGTCACCGTTATGTGATTGACACAACAGAATGTGGGGAGAGCTGGAACGTGCTGTTGCTGTCAGCCATTTGATTTCACATGCGTCGGCTTGTCTCGCTCCGAATCTCTCTCACCAGCAAGAACCACTCGCTATAAGCAATCCCCAACACATCTGATACTAGCAGTGTTGTGCAATAGCTCTGATAAGTGGACCTTCGCCACTGCATGTCTTCTCATGAAGAGACTGTTTGGCATGCTCAGCAGACCGTGAGAAACACAGCAGCGCGGGAACCAGGTCTGGGCAACAGCGATGCAAGAAATCCTCCAAGGAAACCCATTACTGTCAGTCGCATTAACCGGCGGCAAGAACGGCCATCGGTATCTCTCCTGTATCAGAGTCAACTGACTCGTTCAGGACTCACCACATGCTACTCTATGTCAATTGATTCTTTGGTCGGACTTCATCATGCCTTTATCCGAGTCTCGACTTTGAGGCAGGGACTGGCTCGCTCCTTCTTTTGCTCAACCGACAGAACAACACAACTTTGCGGACTACGATCCTGCCTCATCGCTGGTTCTTTTTTTTTTCTCTGTTACCTATGCCCAATTTTGTTTTCAGAGATTGATGCGCCCAGCTGAACAACGTCGACCATATTCTTCTCGACTTTGTTTAACGACACGCCCCAGCTTCTTCGTTCCCAACGGTCAAACTTTAACAAATTTCTAACAAAGCTTGGAGATAGAAAGAACCATCTACTCACGAATGATAAATCCACCTGGATGCTCAAAATTACAGTACAGTTCTTTCACCAACATCTAACACAATACCTGACCTAATGTTGATAAACCACCGAGTGTGTGTTTATGGACTCCACGGATGCTCGTGCAAGGGTGTAATCTTATACAACGAGCTCCAGAGCAGACTTTGGATCCGTGCTCTGCACAGACCAATCTGCTACTAACCTTCTCCTTTGCACACTCTCACGGACCTGCTCTCTTCTACCTTGCATGGATATCTTATGGTCTTGTCGCCGGAGTCGCCGCACAGATTGTCTCGAACAAATGATGGCGCTGCAACTTCGAGCCCAGAATGGAGCCATCTTCAGCTCAACGTTGTAAAGATGGCTTGAGCATATCAAAGTCACTCATGGCTATTCTTATACAAGAGCGGCAGCATCGCCGCATGTCGCAGGTAGGATCTTCTGGATATCAAATTGTCCACGCTAAAAACGATGAGATACTCTCTGGCGTGCGCGGCTCTGGCCCTCAGAGGCCTTAGCCTTGCTCAAACAGTCGTACTGGACGACGGTGGCGATACCTCAGCTTTGCTCAGCAACATTGATCCAGCAGACATCGCAGCTATTCAGGATCCTGAGATTCTCGGTTCCCCAATAAGCGTCCCTGATGCAGCCACCATTGACTTCGATGAAGCATTGGCTACCAGGTCTGTTCTTGCTCTTGTAGCAACCGCCACGGACGCTCAAACCAACATCATCACATCCACTGCCGACGCGTCTGCAGCGATACAGACAGTCTTCGCAAAGAGGAATTCCGTGGGTGGCAGCACAGGCAAAGTTCACCGCCGTGATCTAAGCTATCCGGTCGATACATCGTCATATGTATGTGGATTTTTCATGATTGTTGGCATGCACACACTGACAATCGACAAGGACATTCCGCTAGGATACACCCCGGCATTCACCAACTACCAGCGATCAACTCAAGGTCGAGGATATCTGACTTACCAGACTCTATCAAAATATGACCCCGCCCTTTGTACCAAGGCATGTGACAAGATCAGCTCATGCGCATTCGGTAAATACACTATAATCTATCGGTACGAATCAATTTGTTGACGAATCACACAGCAAATATCTATATCGAAAAAGATCCTGATAGCAATGGCAATCCTGTCGATGTCATCAAGTGCTCGCTGTATAGCATGCCCCAGACAAATGTTACCGCTACCAACAGTGGACAATGGAGGGGCAAATTCCACGTTATCATTACTGGAAGCAATGGGTAAGTACACCACACAGATTTGGTGAATCGCCACTTACTTTTACATAGCTACAATAAGGCTGCTGTGCCTCTTGCACCCACCGGTTATTCTCTCCAGACCCTTCCGTCTGCTATCAATGCATCAGTTTGGGACCGAGCCGGCCAGTGGAAGTTCATCCAAGGCGTCTACTTGAACACTTACGATCCTGCTCTGTGCGCCGCTGCCTGTGACAAGCAGACTCAATTGGACCGTGCAGCAAGCTCCGACGACTGCAACTACAAGACTTGCGCCTATGCCAATTTGTATGTTCTCAGTGAGGATGGTGTTCCCAAGACTGTCGTTTGCGCTCTTTATACAGAAGCCACGGATGCGTCCAATGCTACTATCAACGTAAGTCCATGTACGGCTCTAATGCAAGGCATCTATCTGATTTCCTGCCTCCAGAGCTACTCCGCCAGCACACATCTCTATCAGGTCTCGAACTCGATCGCTCTTACCAACACATCTGCTGTCGCCGCTGGATATCCTCAGTACTGTGCACCAATCGCATCTGATATCTCGTACCTCAACAGCGCCGGTCCCGATTTCTGTACTAGCTACCTGGGTTATGTTGCGCCTACAGATACTGTGACAAAGACCATCACCCCTCTCACCTCCACAATCCACGCGACATCGACCAAGTTCACGACCATCACAACAACTTACTCAACTACAACAATCACGTCGACTGTACAAAACAATAAGCGTCAGGAGAGTTCAGATGGTCAAGTGGTTTACTCCGACGTTCCCTGCGCATACAACACCAACGGAACAGTTGTTGTTGCTCCTACTGCTTACGCCAGCTTGACCAATGTTTATGCAAACTCAACAGCAACAGGACTTTCCAAAAGGACTGCCAGCCAGGCTTTCATCCCGGTCCCGTCATCAATTGCGGGATGGCCTGCCATCAAAGTTTCTGCAGCTTGCTCTCAAGTGGCTACTGGTCGTTCGACAACCACAACCACAATTACTGCAGCCACCCCTCTCCTTACTAAGAGCGATGTGACAGCAACAATGACAGAAACTCAATCTGCCGTAGCTACTGAAACCACTTGCGTTGGCACTCGGACTGGACTCACCGGAACATCAGGCACAATCAACATGGGTAATTGGAATTTGGGCTTCACGTCTTCGGATAAATCGATGGCTGCCGGCCCATCCGTGAAGGACACATTTGTCTTGACAAACTTCCGTGGAGGTGCTTCGTATCTCTATCATCCAAACTCCGGCCAATGCGCCACGATCCAATCTGGACCAAATAGCTCGGTTGCAGGGCAAAAGTACACTGGAGGTTCGGTGAAGCTTGCACCTTGCGGTTGCAGTGCCGTGCCACCAGAGAACCAAGCCTGGCTGTCTGGAAACCTTTTCAGTGGTCAATGTCTCAAACCCATTGGCGATCGTGCAAGCTATGGTGTCAGTGGATTTTATTCTGCTGTGAACAACTTTGGGACCAATCCTGTCGGTCTCGCAGCTGGCGATGGAGCCTGCTTCTTCTTTAGCATATAAAAGCGAGTTACTGAGGCCGGAGTCGTGGGAGGGGAGAGCCAGATGGAACTGCATCGCATCAAAATAAATTTGACATTCTTTCGTGTTCAATCTCGAGGCATTCTTATGTCTGCATCTTGCTTTTTTTCTGCTTCTCTGCTTCAACATAAGGCCATGCTGCCATGCGAGTGAGAGGAATGAGCGATGATGCTTGATAAGCGAGAAGCGCTCAAGCGTGATTCGAGGTAACAGATGAGGAGGGACAAGGAAAATGAGGACATGTATGCGAGGTGGCATGTAGTAACGAGGCAAGTAAGCTCAACAAGCAGGTGGGATGAACTTCACGAGGGATCAATCCTTATCTCAAAGAGGCGGCAACGACCGAGAATGCAGAACTACAACGTTAGCTCGTGGTCAAGAAGAAATCGAACCTGAATGGCGTATAGAGAATAATCAGAGGTAAGAATGATCAATTATAATAAGGAGGAAGACACAAGCACAGGCAGAAGCAAAGACTCACATTGAATGAAGGAGCATGTGGGTATATGAGGAATCAATGACTGACACCCCAAGAGATAACGATCAATCATGTCAGGAATGGTCGTTGAAGCTTGAAGATCAAAGGTTAATGATACAGTAAGTGCAGACAAAAGATCCCAGCTCTTCTCAACGACCGCAGACTAAATAGAAGACACGGGACAACGCAAAAAGGAAAAACCCAAACAGACAAAAAAGAAAGGCACATCCAAAACATCAAAGGACTCGATCAGACTGCTACACTTGGTGGACTTCCAACATTGGTATGAGAACACAATCTGCATCTTCATAGCCATGGATGAAACATATCAGAGCCCCTTTCGCCCAACACCAAGAATTCCTACATCAATTCTGTGCTCCGCAGATGCATCGCTTTCCTGCAATGACGAATCTGCCGCAGGTGCATTGGCGTGTTGCAAACATGACCTGTCGATGAAATGAGCATGAGAAGTTCATCTCGGGATCGGGTATCACTTGCGGGACCAAGGGCAAAGACATGGTGGTTGATACAAGGAGAGAGCGAGGCAATGGTGCATGGTCGAGGCACGTGACCGCTACCGCTGTTGTTGTATTGGTGAGACATTATTGTTGGTGGTAGAGAAGGTCGGAATGTGAGGTCTGATATCTTTGCGATGATGGTGAAGCAGTTTTCGTGATGGATTCTTCCAATGACAGAGCGCGTGGGTGTCTGAATTGGCAGACTACTGAGAGTGTTCAAACGGTGATGATGTTTCTGAAGTAGTAATCCAGTAGATCTTATATACACGAGTTCCATCTGTCAATCTTCAATCAGACCACCAACCACCCGTCAAAACAATCTGGATACATCAAAAGGATCCAAATCTTGTTTCTCTCACCGCAACATTTTTGATTCATTGTGACAAGTCATTCTTGCTCAAGGTTTAGAAAACACACGGCAACGGACATAAGTGCCGTTTCCAGCAGAGCGGTTGCATATCCAGATCGAGTTGGGTGCAGCATCAGCCTTGCTTCTTGACCTGTCAACTACATTTTCTCCACCCCGGTCCGTGGGATCGTGCTCTGCTGCAATGCCAAAGCCATCAAAAATCTGTGCAAGCAAGAAGGGGAGAAAGTGACAAGTAGCTACCTAGATCTTTGGCGCGTTCGGCATTCTGGTCCGAGTTTGAAGAGACGAGTGTGGTGATGTTTGCAGCAATGATGCCTGGGTATGGTCAAGTCTGCATGGCCATCGTTCTCGCGCTTGTCTTTTTGTTGCTCTACGTCTTGGTATATGACACAAGTCTGTTCAGCACTTGCAGAAGTGGGGGTTGCCTGTGTTGGTTCCTGGATGAGTGGGGGTGTTTTTCATGGGATGCCATCGCATGAGGAGGTTGCGACATTCGAGCCTGTTCAAACTGTTTACCACTCATGTCCCATGCACCAAAAGCAAAATTGATGGCCCGTTCTTGCCCTTGTTGTCAGAGTTCGATTCGAAGCCATACTCAGGAAAATATCGCGTTTTGTGGCAGCGGCAGCTCTTGGGAGGCAGCTTCCGTCTGTTTTCGTTGCCATGCTGTCGCGTGTTGCTCATGCATATATAGCGGGCCGCATGTGTACAAGAGATTCATTGTTTCTCGCAACGTAATCCGGGATGTGATCTAGATTGGGCATTGGTGCCATGAGGATGGCATTCGCGACACGTTCAGATCCAGGCATGGTCAGGATGTAATTCTCAACACAGAGAGAAGAAATTTGAAGCGATGATCGACACGAAGCACGAATGTAGCGCAGGAGTTGTATTTGGTCATGTGGAATTGACGATCGGATTCAACAGACTACGTTTGTCTAAGCAGAAACAACAATCTCAATCCCACATAATGTACAGAAAACACAGTAATCAAGGGGTATATACATCGCGTCCAGACAAGAACAGAAACGCCAACATCGCTCCCAAATCAATTGTATGGATCAAGCTCCAGAAGGTAATATGCATGCTCTCTTTTCTTCTGCCATGCTTGATACACACGCCAACTCTCAAAGACAAGGATCGAGAACATGGTCAGAGACATGGCGGCCATGATTAGAGCCACAGATGCTGTAGAGAGAGTGTTACCATCAGAGGTTATGTACAGGTTGTTGATCTCATCGCAGTGGAAGCCCTGCACGAATTTGTCAGTGCAAGAACTTGGGACGATCAGGGAGAAACTGCTTACCGACGTGAACGGTAGCTCAATCGCTTCTGATACACCCAGCACATTGTCTGCGGCATCGAGCGCAATGATACGCACATATCTGGTTGTGCATTCACCAATAACAACCTCTGTTTCGAAGCCCGCCTTCTGAGTGATACTAATATAGACCCAATCGGCGAGATCGTTGCCACTGCCATCGTTATGCTGTAACGCATATGAAACGACTTCAGTAGCCCCGTTCCAAGAGACGAACAGGCTATCGCGATCAAAGTTGTAGACAGTCGAGATAGGCTCGCTCGAAATGCCTATCCAAGGATACTTCAATACGTGGTAACTTTGTGCAGAACCGTTCAAGATGGCAGCTTCTGTACCGAAACGAGTATCGCATAAGAGTTTGCCTGAGGCAGAGTACGACGACCATACTGATCGTGCACCCCATCCCACCAAGATGCTCGGATCTTGGCTGGCGTCTGCAGCAGCAATTACTTGCAAGCTTCCCTGACTGTCGGCAATCAAGTCATTGGGATGGAGATATTCGTGGACGATGCGAGCTCTGTAGTCATTCTTGCTGAATTCGCCATCAGGATCAGGATGGGTAGGGTAGGAGACGGCGAGAAGCAGTCCTCTAGAAGCCAACCCAGAATCCCAAGTATCGTCATTTCTGTTGTCAAACAGGCTGATCAAGCGTGTGGTTATGCCTGGTCGACTGGCACCAAAGGATGCGGCCAGACTTGGAAACTCCTCGATCGAATGAAACTGCGCAAAATGCTGAGATGAGAAACCGAAGGCGTGGTCATCAGATGTAAACATGTTGCGCTTGCCGCCGAGTGTCCAGATTAGGTCGCCAGTTTGACCGTCAACATAGCTGATAGAATGCGTGTACCGAGCCGAAATGAGATAGTTGCCCAAGTCGTCTTTCTCGACAGAGTTGAGGTGGTACCAGTCCCAATGCGTTTGGTTGCTTGTTCCCTCCTCCTTGTGTCGTGGATCATGGTATGATTCCGAGGTATCATGATGATCCGAAGCACGCCACTGAAAGATGAGGCTGTTGGTCACTATATCGATCTCCTGAAACAGGCAATCCCAGATATATTGTAAATGTCCCCCTTTTTCTTTCTCATATGGTTGGTAGATACTGATAATGGCGGTGTCGTTCGGTGTGATGCTCAGAGTGTGTAGATCGGCATGTAATTCATCCAAGGCAGAGATCGTTGCAACTACATCGTAAGAGGAATTGAGCATGTAGTAGTCGCCTTCGCCGTGACCTCCCACAGTGTCATCGCCTAGCCAGTAGGTCAAATGAGGAGTGCCCTGGTACGTCTGTACATCAAGGTTGTAGGGTTGTCCTTCCGTCTTTTGCATCCAGACCAGTTCTCCTTCGTCGTCGAGTATTAACATACCACGGCTCTCGTTGACGGCGGTTCCTCGAGGTGTAAGGAATGTCAGCAACCCATCGTGACAGGCTGGTGAATCGACCTTGCGTGCCACGGCCGGAGGTGTCAAATCGGAAGACTCGAATGTTCGATAAGGATAGTGGCCGTAATCATGTTCCCACGCATCCAAGTCTGTCGGGTCATAGTCGAAGCCAACGTCATCCGCTAGTGTATGGTATGTGAAGAGCAATGGCTGAACCAGCAGCAAAGCGGCACAATGCATATCCGGGCCTCTCGTCGACCGAAACGTTGTCCGGGATTTGTTTGCTCGCCCTTACGCAAACACCAGGGGCAACTTCAGTCGAGCATAGGACTCATGTCAGGCGATAGGGATCAATACAACAGCCGCAAATTGATCGCGACCGTCAGAGAGGGCACGCGAGCCTTAAGGAGCCGCGAGCCCTGCTGGGACCCATGAGTCGGCACCGATGATGCTTGTACCTAACTTTTTGGTCAATCAGTGGTTGGGCCATTGCCAAGGCCAGCTCGGCCGCATGATTGCATCGCTCTTTGTTTCGTCCTGCTACGACAATACAGTCTTGATGGACAAAAGTTGCACTTCCAGTATGTGCTCGACTATAGGAAGCAATTGGTATAGATCAACACACCCGGCAAGGCTCGAGAAGTCTCCAGGAATCAGAATACGAGATCCTTCGTCCAAAAACGCCAAGACTACACCACTCGCGTCATGCCGCGGATTGATCATCCAATAGATTTGATTCATCAATTCGCAATTCTCTCTTCATTAATCCAGATGCGCTACATTACTGTCGCGATATTCAGGAGTTGATCGAGTCAGGGTATTCGAGCAGGACATTTCGAAGATCATGTACTCCGAAGAACATTTCTCGATAAGATAAACAAATTAATCAAGATAGCCAACACCAGAAGCGAAGATATTGCGTTTCAACAGCCGTACAGTGGCGTGACCCCAAAGTTATCATTCTTCTCGTCTCACCTAAGCACCATGTCTAGCCTTGATGATATCGGCAGCCTTCTCAGCGACAGCGTAAACAGTCGCCTGGAGGTGAGTACCAGGAATAAGTGGCATGATGGAAGCGTCAACAATGGTGACCTTCTTGATGCCATAAACTTGAAGGCCAGAGTCGACAACACCGCCCAAGTTTCTGGGCATCATGGCGCATGAGCAAGCAGGATGAGCGAGGGTAGGGTAAACAAGGCCAGACACAATCTGCGACTTGAGCTCATCATCAGTCTGATACTTGACACCAGGGCTGGCTTCAACAGGCTCAAAGACGGAGAGTGCAGAAGTGTTGTAGATCTGACGAGTGTAACGCATGCTGGCAAGTATCATATCCATGTCGACAGGGTTCTGGAGGCCGTGGTAGTCGACGATTGGCTCGCCGCGAGGGTCCTTGGGGTCAAGATAGACAGTACCGCGGCTGGTAGGCTTCTGCAGAGCAGTAATGGAGAAGCCACCACCGATGAAAGAGAACTCGTACATCGAGGCTGCATCAGAGTTGAACTGTTCAATCTGGACCTTGCGTTGCGCTTCGTAGCCAGCAACCAACTCGGGGTAATCAGAGTACATATCAGGGAGGTAGTCGGCAGCCTTTTGGGCTGCGAGCTTTTTCACAATTGATTTGTACGATTTGGGTGCAATCCTGGTAAGAGGCAAGAACGCAGCACCGTTGCCGTGAGCTTGAGTGTATGGACCAGTCTTGTTGGCGACATACTCGTCGTAAGCAGTGGCATTAAAGGTTGCGTTGCTAGTCAAAGAGTTTGTGTTGGGAGTTGTGTCGTTGAGGAAGTTCCAGCTCATGTATGCTGTGGGATGGTCCTGGAAGTTGTTGCCAACACCAGGAAGGTCGACCTTGACCTTGATGCCTGCCTCCTTAAGCACGCTGGCAGGCCCTACACCACTGAGTTGCAGAATCTGAGGAGTGTGGATGGCACCAGCTGCGAGGATGAGCTCCATGTCGGCGTAAGCAGTGTAGGTCTTGCCGGTATCTCTATCAAGCAGCTTGACACCCTTGGCAGTCAGAGTAGAGAAAACGATCTCTTGGACTTGAACACCAGTGGCGACCTTGAGGTTGGAACGAGAAGCAATGGGATCGTAGTAAGCAGTACGAGCCGAGGACCTGGTCTGAGACTTGGGGTCGGTGGTGGCAGGTACCCAGAAGTAACCAGGCTCACCCAGAGCACCCTCTTGAACCTTGTTGATCTTCATCTCGTCCATGGCTTTCCAGAAGGTAGGCAACTCGGGATACTGCCACTCAGGTAGAGAGACTTGGACAGGTCCATTTCCATAGGCCGACAGGTCGTAAGTGTAGTTGTACTTGTCGAGTGTCTCCTTCTTGTTAGGGGTGAATGTGCTACTCTGTCGTCTTGGTTAGTGGGGTTCGCAGAACGATTGTCAAAGCTGACTGACCTTCTTGAAGTAAGTGAGCAAGTTGCTCCAATTCCAGCCATCATTACCAAGCTCACCCCAAGCATCGTAATCAGGCTGGGTTCCACGGTCATAACCCATACCGTTCACGATAGAACCACCTCCGAGGACTTTGCCAGCATAGGCCACGAAAGTCTGGTTCTGAAGGTTCTCTTGCGGAGCGCTGTTGAGCTCAAACATGTCAGGATCATTGTAACCTGTACCATAATAAGGCCATAGGGTCTTGGTTGAGTTGTCAGTGTATCCATACTCGAGAACGAGAACAGTTTCTAGTCATGATCAGTCATGTCCCTGTCCTTTTCATGAACAAGACGTACTCTGTGATTTCTCCGAAAGTCTGTTTGCGACGACCAAGCCTGATACACCACCTCCAACGATGATATAGTCGTAAGTTCCACTCAATGTCTTTTCACGAGTGGTCGTGCCAAGGACGACGTCAGTAGACAGGAGAAAAACTGAAGAGATGACCGCTGTCAAGCGAGTCATGGAAGAAAAGATGGGCGCCATGATGTTTCAAAAGAGTGTGTAGGCGATGAGTGAGCCTCCCTGTCAGAGGCGTAGGACGAACCAGAATACTTATGTCTATCACGCAGGTGTAGAGGTCCACAATCCCATATGAACGGACCTACCTAGTGCATGCTAACTATGCGAGGAAAGGCTTCGGTAACGAGGTGCTTCTCCATAGATGAAGCTCTACTTATTAGCTACCTATCGGCGTGTTGAGGTCCGTGGCGATCGCATCGTATTTAGGCTCAGTCGATGTCGAGGCGACCGACCAGGGCATGGACCGATCAATCACATGTCGGCAGTCAGTCGTTGGGGCAGGGCAATCTCGTGGTGCATCTCAGACAATTCTGCGTCTGCAAGGGTTGGAAGGCGAAGGGCACGTCGAGCAAAAGCCACAAACCAACATGATACTCCTCTTTAGGAAGGAAGTTGATGCGGGGGAAGCCTCAAGTGTTACCAAGAGCTGACCTCGTGGCATCTGAAACGAGCTACCGAGCTCGAGCTCTTTTCATCCTCAGCCTCAAGCGTCTGAAGTTCACGACACCCGAGGTTTTGATGCCACAATCGTTGTACGGACACTCTCACCGCAACACGTGGAACGATGCATCCTCAAGTAGATGCAAAGCACGGCTGAAAGCCGCAGACTACTCACAGAATACCGGGGAGCTCTGTTCGTTTGACGAAACCTCCGTGCGAGCTTAGGCCAAAGGTTGCTCGAGGGCAAGCAATCAGTGTTCTCGACTTCTACCGAAGACTCGTTAAAGTGCGGCCCATGGTCCCATCTACCGCAGACGCACCCACGTCTCGCAATAATATGGCGTTTCTTTCTCTCATCACGGCTCGGGTGTGTTGATCCCGCTAAGATTCCTTCTTCCCTCCCCGTGTGCTAAAGTTTATAACGCATACAACTTTGGGAATGCACGATTGGATCGGGGAAGAAGGCAATATACATTGAGAGCCAATATTTATGGTGGCTCTCTCTGGCCGTTCCTCTACTCCAGAGGACATTTGTGCCTTTTTATAGTGCACACCTTGCTCTACGCTCTCGTCAGAGAGGGTGGAGTTAAACACTTTAGCACATGGGGAGGTCGGAGCTTGAGCCCTGTTGCGGCCCTATGGACAGCCGCAGACGGCACTGCCGACAGCAAAGACACTGGCTTAAAGTCTTTGCTTCTTTAGAGTGTGTTTTAGCGAGGAACGTGGTAGCACCGTAGCCTCGGGCGCCAGTCGAGATCTGAGATTTTTGCGGGCTGCAATCGGAGTGTCTGGAAAGGGTCATTACTCGGGTTGATCAGTTGCTTGACCATGCATAGATATTGTGGCTACAAGACCATGGACAAGCCTGCATTTTTCAATTTATCTGGATACTCTGCCAAGTGTGAATACAGAACCTATTCATCTCAGACGAACTGCCAATTTGTTCAGCCTATTTTCGATCGCGAAGTCTCTCGGTTTCCTCTGGCCTAACCCTATGATCCCTCCTTGCACCAGCTCTGCTGTCCGAGTTTACTGTCTATGGCTATGGAAAGCCGGCGAAGTGCGATTGTTGTGCCAGAAGTCATATTCGCCATCTTAGCTGGATCCATCGTGTTCTGGAGAATCATTAACAACGTAGTCCTGAGGAGGTTGTACAGACTCGCTGACCTGCTCATCTTTTTGGCATTGGTAATGCTCACGTATTGTCCTGAAACTTCGCATATGCTGACTCGACGTAGGTCAGCAACCTTGTAGCGCTGTCATGTAGTTCCTTGTCGACACAATATGGCCTGGGGAGACACATTTACGACCCGTCAATTACACCCGAAATGCTAGAGACATGTCTGCGATGGATCTGGATTGGAGAGGCAACAAATCTCATATCGATGCTCTTCGCCAAACTCAGTATTGCCGCCTTCCTTTTGTACCTGGACTTCGCTTCTGGCTACAAGATTGCCATGTGGATCACAGTAGGACTGGTTCTCCTCTGCAATGGAGCTGTCGCTTTGACGTCGATCTTTGGATCTTGCAGCCCCATATCTCTCAATTGGAATATGAATCAGCCAGGTCAATGTTGGGATCCTTCTGTCAACAAGGTCAGTGACAACGCAAAACGTCAAGCAGACTCGGTGTGCTAACAAGGTGAGATCAGATCTGCACCTATGTTCAATCTGGTAAAGACGCCTGGTCTTGTATTATAAACGAGAGACTCGACTGACCCTTTCTAGGCTCGAACATTGTGACCGATATTCTGTACACGTCGGTGCCAATATTTTACCTCTCAACAGTCAAGCTGGGAGCGAATGTCCAGTGGGGATTGCGCATTGTTCTGCTGTTCGGATTGATGTAAGTCCTCTCCATTGTATTTGTGTAATACGAGACTGATTTTCGATAGTGCGACTGTCTGCTCGGTCGTCAAGATTGCAGTTGCCGGAAAGATGTTCAATACACATGATCCTACATGTATGTTCTTCGAGCGACATCCTCCCCGTGTGCTAAAGTATGTAAGGCGTGTAGCTATAGAAATGCACATTGGTAAGGAGAAACAAGACAGTACCCACCGAGAGCTAGCACCCTGGCGGCTCTCTATGGCTCGCCATCTGCTTTGGAAAAGAATTGTGTCTTTCTGTAGTATACACTTCGCTCCAGGCTCTCATAGGAGAAGGGTGGAGTTACAGACTTTAGCACACAGGGATGACAGATGCGATACTGTACTGACAAGCTCAACAGGGGATGCAGTCGATCTTTCCATCTGGAGTACGGCAGAAGTCAACGTCTGCATCATCGCAGCCTGTCTCCCTCCACTGCGAAGCCAATTCGACACTTTCCTCAGACGCTTCTTTGGCATGGCCTTCGTCCGATCAACCAACCGCAGTCGACCAATCTACGGCTCCCAATCAATCCATCTCCAATCCCAAAGCAAAACCCACCGAACAATCATCGAAGTCGAAGCTCAAGATTTTGGGAGCGAGCGTTCTATTCTCCCGCCTGATGATGTAGAAGGTGGAATTATAAGAAAAAACACGGCAGGTGCAGGTGCAATATGAGGAACATACTCGTGATGGAGCGTACTCGCCGGATCCATATGCTGGCCGACAATAAACAGCTCGGAGACGGGCGCAGGGCGTTCCCGAGAGTCTATAACATTGATCAAATATGCAACGACCGACCTCTTTCCAAACGGCTTACAGCCAGCCTCTTTACCAACCGTTTTTGCGGAGATGACAGGTCATAGAAATGACGACTGGTTACATAGAGTCACCTTGTGGACTTCTTTAAGGGCAGATCAACAGGATCAATAAAGGTAAAGTGATTCGATCAATGACTTGATCGTGTATATACATTATTCTTTGACAAGGGCCGAAGCCGAGTATAAGCTCAAGGACCACAAGGGTCTTGATGATGCGGCTGTTTCAGCGCAAAGTGCCGTATGATGCGTAAGACCCTGATTAACCGTTTTGTGTGCAAGAACGTTTTGCTCGACGGGTTTAACGGTGTATTGCCAAAGCGATCGGCAATAACAGTATCACCCAAAACAACCTGGATGGTATGTGTCGTCTGCGACATCTTGCAGATCTGAATTGCGCGGCCCTAAGGGCGATCATCCGTGGCTACCGAGATATGAGAATCTGTGGTATGTGCCGGATAAGACCGTTGATGACGACAAATTATTTCGTCGTGGCCTTTGGAGGTTGCAGGAGAAAGGAATTTTGAAGAAACGATAGCCTCTTGAGGTTCTTTCACTCGATCTCGGGAACAAGCTTCTTCTCGTCGAGGAGGGTCTCATTCTCGTGCTGAGCTTCGAGATCTTGTTGGTCCTGTGCAGGAATCTTTCTAAAGAGTCTGGCGACGCCGTTCCAGCAGGAAGATACAATGGGAGCGACGAGGTAGGCGACAATCGTGCTGAGAGCGACTGCGGTAGTCAAGGCGGCAATGATGGCGGTGGAGTAGATAAGACGCATGACAAAAGAGTCGGTAGCGTGACCGAAGAGCGGGAGACCGAAGAAGACAAAAGTGACGTGGAAGCCACTGAGCATAGCAGACATTAAGATAGAGGCTGTGTTCTCTTTTGAAGGTATGTCGGATTCGGAGTCGTCTTCGAAGGTGGTCTCTTTGGGGTCCATGGCAGCACCGAAGCCATAGCAGACCATGAAGGAGAATGCAGTAATGAAGCTGAGTGAGAGAAGGAGCTCGGCAGTTCCCCAGATGAGGGTCATGGCGAGGTTGAAGATGGGCATGTCGTTGTTGTAGGCAGGAAGAGCGTCGATGGTGTGGGAGTACATGCCGGGTGGACGAAGGAATATATACTTTGGTCGATGAGATCGTATGATGTGACAAGGTGTGGGCGACGTTTGGAATGCTAGACAGCAGATAAAGGAATGTGAGGTGGAAGGTTTATAGATAATGAACGAACGTGGACGAGACCACAACAAGTACGAAATGATCAGCAGCGCTTCGAGTAGTATACCAATAGTGACTTATTGAATTTGGCGGTTCGGACGGTCTTATATCAGCCAGCCACGCCGTTGTACATGGCACTCTTGTCTGCCGTTGCACGTTGAACATTTCAACAGGGGGAAATTGTTTTTCTCATGTTCCATGTCGTCGTCGACCTGAAATAGAGCAGCCGCTCCACTTTGGCCAGAATACATGGATAACACGGCTCTCAGGAGTGAAGACTCGCAAGCCATCAAAGGAGGATGTGTGTATACAAGAAGACTCTTCTCGAGTCGAGGCGTTGATGGCTGAACTCTAGGCGGTAAACATGCGGGGAAATACTTGGCTTGACCGCTCGATGAGGTAAACGGTCCGTGCAAACTATCACTAACTTCGGCTTTGGCAGCGGAGAGAGCTGACTCTGTCAATTCTCGCTCCCTCGGTCATCTGCGTTGTGACCTTTCGCAATCTAACTGTTTCTCAGCTGTTGTTTCTAGCCCGTCCGAGTCAGGCTATCAGCTTTTGGCATTTCTGCTGTCCTCGGTTATAGGCCCATCAACTGATCGACGCGCCCACAAGAGCGTCAGTATTGTGTTTCAAGAACACACCAAGCATCCAACAGCAATCATAGTCCATCTCAGCAATCAGACAGTAACGGTTTACACGAGGTGAGACTGTGGGGGATAGCGATTTGGTTTACCCCTATGAATGAACAGCCATGACCTTAACGGCAAACCACGAGCAACAACTGCCTGCTGAACTCTAGAGTCTGACCTCGAACCATCAACAAGCGGCCAGAGCAGGCAGAGCAGGTAGAAGTTGGTCACGTTCGAGCAGGTGAGCTGGAATTCTGTTTGAGCAATTTCAGAACGATCGACGTTACTCTAATCGTCCGTCGTACGCACACCATGCAAATTGTACCTGTACTGCATGACCTTCACGCCGTTGAATATATCGCATGCTCAGAACACCCGTTTCCCGCCACGAACGGCTGTCCGGCATTTGGCTGTACGTTTGGGTGCTTCTCTGCCATGTTCGCATGTTTGCATATCAATCGGTAGGATATTCCCATTGGCATTCGTTGTGAGTTTGGCCACGCGACATATTCAACTCCATCTGCTGAAAGATACACACCACAACTGCAATTGCTCGATGCATTCTGAACTCTGGTTGAATCATGTTTCGCTCATATCCGAGTTCTTCAGCTCGTCTTGAGCATTTTCCAGAACGAGGTTCGACCAAGACGGCCGAGTCAGGTGCCAAGTAGAAAACGCTGACAACGACTACATACAAAGACCACTTTCCACTGCGCAGCCTCCAAGCATTTCAGAAAACCGTTCTCACGTACGAGCTTTCTCCCTCATCAGAGTCGAGTCAGCGGTACAGCTGAACTGAAGTTTTGTTATGAACACTCGAGGCCGCTCCTGCCCCATCCAGACGAGACTTCTGAGTAGGACTCACTGATACACGGTAATGATGGCAGCCAACAAGGCAACGGTGGTATAGCTTCGATGTCAACTTCTCTACTTCTATCAACAAGCATTCTGGGATAGACCTCTCACCAGTTGCCCTGGATGGCGCCGAAGATACATCTGCAGCTGACTTTCATCAATTCGGCTTGGTCTGTGATGAGTATGGTAGAATGTGGGCCTCTGTTCACAACACACTACCTCCGAGGCAACCGAGAGTCAATTGATGATGGACATTGCCCGGCGCTTCCAAATTTCTGGAAACCGAGCAATCATCACCGCTGACGCAATGGCCAATTGAGTTTATCTTACTCGAAATGAATCTTCAAATGATGATACTCGAGGCTTATAGGATAAAACAGTATGCTTTTATTCTGAAAAACAACAGAAAACAAAGGTTCTTGGAAGAGGGTTGCGGAACAGAGCCGCGAACCCAAACACCACCCCGCAATTCCTATCAACCCCGCCCAAGGCCGATCGTCTCTATAACGAGGGGCAACCTCTTGGCCGATGTGCCACCACAGCGAAAAAGAGGAGTAAGCTGTGCCTCTGAAGCCGAGAATAAATGCTGGTTGAGCGGAAGCAAGAGCATCCGTAGAGGGGTCATTGGATATAACTAGAGCTTTGTACGCTCTGTTCGTCGAATCACACTACAACATCCTTGTTATACTTTTCAGATCAATTGCAATCATGTCGACTACTGAGACCATGAATATGGAGGAGACGACACCTATCATCCCCAAGACTTGTAAAGCTGGTGTCGTCGTCAACTCTGGTCCTGACTTTACTGTATGTCACTCAAAGTCCTTCAACAGCTGTGCATGATCCATATTCACAAAGTATCTTAGGNTCGAGGTTCAAGATGTACCTGTGCCTGAAATTGGTCCTGAAGACGTTCTCATCAAGCTGAATGTCACTGGTCTATGCATGTCAGATGTGCACTTTATGATGGAAGACTGGGGCCTGCCACCAATGTAAACTCGATCAATTTTTATGAATTGAGATGATATATTAATCCTCCTCAGGTCTCAATTCGGCACCAAGTGCGCTGGCCATGAAGGCGCAGGCGTCATTGTCAAAATCGGAGAAAGAGTCAAGAACCTCAAGGTTGGTCAAAGAGCTGGACTTAAGCCTATTCAAGACGTCTGCCATACATGCGAGTACTGCAAGTCTGGAAAGGAAACTTATTGTCTAAGTTGTGTAATGACTGGTCTGCACATCGATGGTGAGTTTGCCTTCATTTGCTATGCTTTCATGCTTTCACTGATGTATCCTCAGNGCTCTTACAAGCAATACATTGTTTCTCCTGAGCGCTATACTTCGCTCATTCCTGACGGCGTACCCGATGAAATCGCTGGGCCCATCATGTGCTCTGGAAGTACTGCGTACACGTCTATCAAGGAGTCTGGTCTTCGTCCTGGTCAGTGGGCTGTCTTCCCCGGTGGCGGAGGCGGTGTAGGTATGCAGGCTGTTCAGCTGGCTATCGCCATGGGTCTGCGAGCCATCGTCGTCGACACTGGAGCCGAGAGAAAAGAAGCATGCCTGAAGTTTGGTGCAGATGAATTCATTGACTTCAAGGAAGTTGAGAATCCCGTCGATAAAGTTTTGGAGGTTACTGGCGGTGGCGCTCATGCTGTTTTTGTGACTGGTGAGTGCAGTGATTTGGTTGTTGGTCTCTTATGCTGATCTGATTGCACAGCTGTTCAGTCCTACCCTATTGCACAAGGCTTCCTCGGAAACAGGGCCGGTGCGCAAGTCATGTGCATAGGACTACCTCCTGCTGGCAAGTACAACATGGAGGTTAATCCCTCAACACTCGCCTTCCGCAATCAATCCATCAAGGGCACGCTCGTCGCCGGCATGGCTGATGTGGACGAGACTATGGACTTTGCTCGTCGAGGTATGGCAGCGCAAACTGCCGAGTCTGGCATTAATTGACATGTTTGTANNGGAAAACTCCGCCTTGAGCCCACTGTTGTTGGTCTCTCTCAATTCAACGAGTCTGTGCAGAAGCTGAAGAATGGACAAGTCGCTGGGTATGTCTACGGCATTCTTACGTTTCTCAAATATCGTGCTAATCTAGTGTGGCCAGTCGCATTGTCGTTGACTTCAACATGGATTAATGATCAAGAGTCTGATTGCTGTATTGGATGTCTTCGACGCCTGTGCAGTGGCGATGTTGAAACCCTTGGACCTGCTTCTCTGTAGCCAGTACGAGTGCATGGAACACACTGGGATTATGTTGTACACATGGTTTCTGTAGTCGTGAGTTATTGTCGATACTGGTGTAACGATCGTCAAAGAAGCAAGATTAAAATCGCAGACTATTCATCATATAGTTTACCATACTACCCTTCGAACCAGACCTAACATTTACTGTCTGCCAATCTAACCAGATCATCAACAAGCATATAGCGAACAATGCTATACTGGACAGTTGCTATAAAATATGGAAGTCGTAGAATAATAGATCTGATAGAATGTTCAGTCATCTATAGAGACTGTCACATCACTCCAAAACTGTTTATGCGCTTCCAGTAGTTGATAGACCACTCTGTGACTATCTGGAAACCACAGCCTTTGGCACACCAAGAAAGATCATCGAACACAATTGTTGATGAAATTCGTCATCTGCGCAGATACCGAATGCTGTTTGTGCAGATACGAGCACCCACTCTTTGCTGCACTTTCCTCTGCAGACTTGATGTACAAGACCATCTAGTGCAACCTCCTCAATGACTCAACAATACCCCTGACCTCTTCGACATCAACAGTCAACCCTTGAACAATGTCCTCCTGCAACTGCTCATCGCAATCCAAGAACCTCTCGATCAACTCGCCATCAACAAAGCGATTCGGCTCTTCGCTCTCACGCACAGAAGTCTTGTACGCACGGTAGCGATTGAACGGCACATTACCAGGACTACTAACCTTTTCAGCCATGTTTTCTTGCAAGCGCATAAGTGTATCTTGATGTTGAGGTGCGATGGTGGCGAAAAGGTAGATGGCACCTTCGACGGTGGCGAGGAAGGCTGAGGGGATGACGATGGCGTTGGGGGTGGGTTGGACCTCGATGCGGCGGATGCGGTTGACCATTTCGCCGAGCTGCATGTCGGAAAGGACGCGCAGACGGCGCTTGTCTTCGTCGGAGAAGCCATTGGCGTCTTGGTTGAGGACGAGGAGGTTGCCTTCGGCGTCGCTTTCGAGGTAGGTGTTTGGTGAGATGTTGGCGACTGCTGTGCCCCAGGTGGTGTCGTAGTGGCGGGCTACTTCGCCGAGAGTATCGTCTTGACCATTTGTGCCTTTNTTGTATTGCACGACGGAGATACTTTTCATCAAGTCTGCGATGGCGATCTTGTCCCCTGTCACCGAGATGTCGATTGGTGCCGTGGATGTTCGATAGCTGGCAACCTTGTCGAGGTATGGTCGGCTCGCCGTCTCGTACTTGAAGTTGTACATTACGACNCTGTAATCTGTTAGTGGATGGGTTACAAGTGTGGATCCTTGGGAACTTACTGTCTTGACGAGAGCAGCCACAATACGACCCTCGCACATGGCTAGACATCTACATGCTCCCTTGACTGCATGCTCAGCCACAAGCTTGAGGTGCCTTTCGTCTGTGACCTCAAACACCAAGATGCGACCCTTGGGCGTGTCTCCCGTGTCTTCCTCGATATAGCTTGTGCCTACAACGAATCGCTCGACAAGGTCACCCGAGCCGTCATCCAGTTTGGCACGAATACAACTCTCGACCAGCTCCTCTTCGTTCAATGCAAAAGTGTGCAACTCTTGAAACGCGACCTCATCCACGAGCTTGAAATGACTCTCAATGTGTTCGTAGCTATCCTTGATGGTGCGCTTGATTGTCCCTAAACCAAAGGCACGCAGGTCGGCCGAGTATGCAATCCTTCGGACCGTCTCATTGACTGGTAGTGTCTGTACGTGGGTCGTTCTTTCCTCATCCACGATAGCAAGTTTGAGTTCAGTCGCTGTGGCGATTGCGATGGCGTTGGGAAAAGCCTCAGTGTCGAAAGGCGATACACATGTGGCATCTTCTGCTGTGATGGCAGAATATACAATGCGACCCTCTGATCCATATATCAGACTTGGGTGCTCGCAAATTGCAAACACAGTGTTCAGCCCGTCGCCCTTGGGCAAAGCCTTGAAGCTAGCCTGTTGTGTGCCGAGTATTATGCTCTTCTTTGACGAAAGAGTGTTGGTGCTAGGATCGATCGAATATGTTACGACATTGCCATCCGCCATACCGATAAACAGGGTCGGTAATGAACCTTCTAGGATTGGAGCGACGAGCAATGAACGAGGAACTGCTATGCTCTCTTCATCAACCGTCTCCGAATGAATGGTTTTCAAAGAAGAAGCGTCGAGCAACGATATACTTGCGTCTTGCCAGAAGCCAACGACACACGTGTTGCGTAGCGTGGGCGACAAAGATATACAAGCGACCTGTGAGCCGCTGTCAAACTTCCTCGATGCCGTTACTTTGATATCGTCGCCAGATACGTCAAGCATGTGAAGACCGACTCCGCTGACAGAAACCAGGATGTTGTTGTCTGCTGTCGAAGCTGCGGCGATGGAAGCGCCACCCTCGGGCGACCAGCTGTCCAGACTCATGCCGCTCTCGGGGTCAACAATATGGACGGCAGAAGCGGTGATCTGCAGGATCCGGCCCTTGGAAAGATTGGTAGCGAACAGAGTGCTTTGTGACAGATCCAATCCCTTGAAGTTGTCAACTTCCTCCACATCGCCATCCGCCGAGAAGTTGAACACTCGTGTGTTTGCGATGAAAGACACAACCAGTATGTCCACAAACTCGAGTGCAGGTTTCGACTTGAGGCTGAAGACTTCGGTGGTGTTCTCCATCTCACCAATAGAACCAAGATCTTCCAAACCAACACCACTTCGGACGCTGCGAAGACTACCATCCTTGAAGGCACCACTGCCAGTGACGATACGAGCTTGTCCGGAAGAGTACTCGTTGACCTGAGCCTCAGAAGAGCGGTTACCCATGTCCATGACGGTGAAATCGAGAATGGGCGCGATGTTAGGGAAAGTTTGTAAAATCTCGATAGAGCCAGGTGTGATTTGGATGAGTTGAGAGTTGCCTTGATGTGAGCCCACAAAGATGCGGCCTGCGTCCAAGTAGACCAGGGTCGATGCCCGGGAAGTCTCACCGATCACGTCCAGTTTCCAGCCCTCGAGATCGCTTTTGCTATTCAGTGTCACCATCAGCAAGTACAGCTTACCATACTCGTCTGCGAGGACGAAGCGCTGATCATCAATCTGCGTCCAGGCGACAAAGATGGTGGCTTCTTTGAGAGGTTCACTCTTTGCAGTTTTGCGCATTCTGCCATCGAATTCTTCGCAATATGAAATGGTCGTCTCTCCCAGGACAAGTACACCATAGGCTGGGTCAGGCAGGGGTATAAGATGGCTGGCACCCAGATCGAGCTCTTCGTCTGCGTCTTGCTCATTCTCAAGTTCTGCTGATCCCGGCTCGTTTGACTTTAGTGCTGGAGAGTAGTCGAGATCGCGGACCTTCAGGCGGACTTTTCCCATAGAATCCTCATAGAGCAAAGCTAGTTGTGGCTTGGCCTTCTCACTCCTCCTGTGCAAGAAAGTCGATGATCGTACATTGAGCTCGGGTATCCTGACGGAGGCTGGTTCTCCGATATCTCCTAGCTGGGCCTGGGAGGATGACTTGCGCTTTGTTTCGTGTGCGATGGGGACGACGGAAACGATTCCTTCGTAGATCTCGATTGTCATGTACCTCCGTGTTGGGTCGATGTTGCATCGTTCTCCAAGTTGTGCTTCTCTTGCTGCTCTATCCGACAGATCCTGGAAACTCTTCTCGGTGCGTAGTTGCTTAGTGGTAGGGTCCCATGAAAGAGTAAAGTACATATATCGATCAGTCCCGACGAATAGGTGATCGGTCTGGGAGGATTGAGGGCGGATGGTTTGCAGCATGATAATCTTGCCGTAGATTGCCTTTGAATGCTGTAATACGAGGCCATCTTGTTGCTGGGCGTAGAACTCGAGGCGGTTGGCTTTGCTACCCTGGTGTCAGCGCATACAACGAAGCTCGTTGCAACAAGATGGGACCTACGCCACTACAAGGGTATCGTCGTCGGGGCTGAGGAAGTTGAGCTTCAGCGCGTGCCGGACGCTGCTGGGCCGGTGGATAGATGCCAGATACGCCATGCTGATGAAGTGAATATCTGCAAACACAAATGTTGTGTACAAGTGTGAGAGAGCTCGAGAGCTTCTGCGACATTCGCCATGACGCCGTCACTACGTCCTTATCTCCGCTCCGAGGCTGCATCTCCCGTGCGGAGAGACACCATCAACTTGGCAGCAAACTTTCATTCATCGATGTGTCTTTCGACTATCTTTGCATGCTTCAAGCCTTTCAGAGACGTCAACAGGAGACCAATATGTATGCTCTACAGTGTCTCTGACAGCGTTCTGGTGATGTACCCTTGACAAACACCCCTTAGTGTATCTCATCGCCGGTGTTGATGAATTTGATCAGGAAAGTCGTCTGTGGGATCAAAACACCCAAACATGTTCCTATGAATACAAAAACACCACAAGATACAGATCAATCAACATTGATGCTGGATTGAGACGAATCAGGACAACTGAGACCATAGGCCGACTGCTATTTGGATCTCATCCACAGATCTGATTGTTTCTGGGATGACCCTGCTCTTGACAGACTCGAACATTGCGAACTTGACTGCTGCCTGTGAATACTCAGTCTTTCCAACGATATGACTAGCTTGGAGAGCCAGAGCATCAGACACGAGTAATACAGTCCCTCCACATGTGCATATGTGCGACATGTCCATCTATCAAAACACGCCATCAAGATAGAGGTCGTTTCTCCAGAGAGAGGCGGTATTTAGTTCTCCCTTGGTCACACCTCAGATGACAAACAAACTATACATTTCTACAGCCTGCTATACTGCTATGAGGTCTCAGAGAAAGGCCCGAGGTAAGAATGTGATGTGGTAGATTTAAGCACATGTCGTATGCAGACGGCGTCTGTCAGGTGTTTCGAACAATAGAACCGGGCGTCAGCGGTTGAATTGCGCACTAGTGGGTGCATATGTCATAGGCACCATAGACCACATGGCACAGGACTTGTTTTATGTGAGAGTGCAGACAGGCACAGTGACATGTTTCGAAAGGATTGGCTGTCCGACATGGTCGAGTGTGACTTGCATGGCCAACACTCCGCGACAGAGAGGTATACCGCGGTGGAAACGACCAACCTCCTCCCCACCATTCGCAGGGAGAGATCGAGCACAGGCCAAGAGTACACGATAGTCTATCGATATCGAGCACCAATAAATGCCCGTTCACGCTTCACAAGAAAAGCAAATGGCTTTCGGGGAAGGAGGGATGCGTTTGGAGGCAGCGTGGTCATGAGCGAATGTGTACGGTTTCGTGGCCAGGAGAGTCGCTTTTCGTCAAGGACGATGTGATGTGCGATTCAGTAGAAACAGCGGGCTTGTGCAGACACAGCCCAGCCACGAGTAGTTGTCGGCATAAAAGCTATTGATGATCCTAAGCTGGACGCGAGCAAAGTCGCGCATGGACAAGCAGCAGCGAACCAGGTGGTGGATCATACTCTCAGGAAACAGAATCAAGTTGGTTGTTGGCAGGGCACCGCTTTGACCACTGAGAGATCGTCTTGCCCGTGTACAGCGTCACTGCCCGACCCGCGCCGCTGTCTTTGACGCCGCGAGTTGCGCCAGCATATCGACGACAAGCTCTTCCTCGCTCGTCGCAAACTCATCATTCGTATTACTCGGCCACCTCCCGCCGCCTGCGCATTCGACCACGACGCAAGCGACGCTTCCTCCACCACCACAAACAGGCCCCGCGCTCCGACTCTTCCCATTCTTCTGATTCTTCTTTGTACCGCCGGCCACTGATAGTCCGTCAGAGCCAGCAAGCTGCAGCGCGTCATTGTCTAGACGTGCGAAAATGAATGGATCCGACATCAAGAAGGCCGCAATCCAGAAAGCAAAGCAGGTCGCCCACTCTGCAACCAACGCTGCCAACGGCACCAACGGCAAGAAGCGCAGAAAGCAGGAACTGAAACCCATCGTCACCACCGAACAAGAGGCGTAAGTCAATCCACCAGCTCTACCACCCCTGTCCACCTCTAACCCACCGCCANACAGCGCCTCGGCCACCGCTTCGCCCATGAGCTACCAAAAATCCACAACCAGCACCCGTGACCTGGNNAGTCCGACGGGCTCAGATTCATCCTCGCTCTCCGGCGACGAGCAAACCGAAAACACGGCCGACGAGGAGGACTCGGAGGACTACTGCAAGGGCGGCTACCACCCCGTCCAGGTCGGCGAAGAATACAACAATGGCAAATACACCGTCGTGCGCAAGCTAGGCTGGGGCCACTTCTCGACCGTCTGGCTCTCGCGCGACAATGACACGGGCAAGCATGTCGCACTCAAGGTCGTGCGCTCTGCCGCCCACTATACCGAAACTGCTCTGGACGAAATCAAACTGCTTAACAAGGTCGTCCAGGCCAACATGGATCACCCCGGCAGGAAACATGTAGTCAGCTTGCTCGACTCGTTCAACCACAAAGGTCCGCACGGCATGCACGTCTGTATGGTCTTTGAGGTTCTGGGCGAGAACCTTCTGGGCCTGATCAAGCGCTGGAACCACAGAGGCATTCCCATGCCTCTCGTCAAACAAATTACCAAGCAGGTTCTACTGGGCCTCGACTATCTCCACCGCGAATGTGGCATCATCCACACCGATCTCAAGCCCGAGAACGTCCTCATCGAAATTGGCGACGTCGAGCAGATTGTCAAGACATATGTTCAGGAAGATCCCAACAAGGCAAAGGACGAACACCGTAACGGCAGAAGGAGGAGAAGAACTCTCATCACCGGCAGTCAACCCCTCCCTAGTCCCCTCAACGCCAGTTTTAGTCAGACCGACCTGTCGAGCCTCAACAAGCTCATGGCAGAGCAAGGTAAACCTGTTCCGATCACGGGCCCAAGCCCCAGTCCGAGTCAAGATGTTGAAATGAGTGGTGCTGCAGGCGCAACTTCTCCCACAAAGTCCATGAAGGAATCTCTCGGAATTTCAGACGAGGCGGCACAAAAGGAACGCGAAAAGACTGCGTATGTTTCCGTCATCCACTTGGTCGTCGTGCATCTTCAACTGACCACAATCGTAGTGNATATCCTCGCCAACAACGTCTCTGGTATCGACCTCTCGTCTTCGACTTCGTCGACCAAGGCAGCAGAAGAAGTATCATTCGACACAATCTCGGTCAAAATTGCCGATCTGGGTAACGCATGTTGGGTTGGGCATCACTTCACAAACGACATCCAGACACGACAGTACAGATCACCAGAGGTCATTCTTGGTGCAAAGTGGGGTGCTAGCACAGATGTTTGGAGCATGGCTTGCATGGTGAATTGACTTCCCCTCAAGGCTGACCACAATTGAGCTAACAACTTTGTGTCAGNNGTCTTCGAACTCATCACTGGCGACTACCTCTTCGACCCTCAGTCTGGCACAAAGTACGGCAAAGACGACGATCACATCGCTCAGGTCATCGAACTGCTCGGCACATTTCCCAAATCGTTGTGCGTGGGTGGAAAGTGGTCACAGGAAATTTTCAACCGCAAGGGAGAGTTGCGCAACATTCACCGTCTACGTCACTGGGCCTTGCCTGATGTTTTGAGGGAGAAATACCATTTCAGCATCGAGGAGAGCAAGCGCATCGCCGAATTCCTGTTACCCATGCTCGAGCTTCTCCCCGCAGACCGCGCCAACGCTGGAGGCATGGCTGGCCACGGCTTCCTGGATGGCACAAAGGGTATGGATGGCGTCAAGCTGGAAATCGAGCCCGGCACCAAGGGCGAGGGCATTGATGGATGGGCCACAGAGATCAAGAAGCAACGGTAGTGCAGCTGCAAGCACCTTTGCTGGACTTGGACACATATCAAGGACTGGGCCGTTCGCATGGCACTAGTCACCTACATGACCGTCCACCGCAGCACATTGTTCTTCTTACATTTACGAGAAACGCCGTCGCCGAGAGATGAGGAATCACAGCAGACAGCTGTTGCTGCTACAGGAAACAAGAAGCCCAAGAAGAAGAAAGAAGGAGGATAAGAAGATTGAGAGAAACAAAGGCCCTTTTTAGAACAAGGAAAAAGGCCAGGAAAGTAAAGAACAACAGGCGCTACTTTTCTGATGGGGAAGAAGAATGAGATATTTTCGTGGCCCGGTTTTTTTCTTAATTACTTTTTATTTGTTTCTTCTCTCTCTTGCATTGATCGGATGTCGATACTTTATGCAGACTTCGAAACGAGGCTCGGTTCTTTTTCATGTGCAGTAGATTTATTCTCGTGGGCCTTGTCATAGGCTCGTGGCTGTGACGGCATTGTCGTGGTAATTTTGAGATTGAAGCATCCAGATCTACGAATCCCTGGCAGGAACGTTGATGAACAAAGAAGACTGAGCAACTGCATAACACGACGATGTATTGTCTCGTGTTTGCGACGACAAGTGAGATGTCTAGAAAGATAAACAACAAAACATCACCCTTGAGAAACAACAACAACATGCAATATCATCTCAAACATGGTACGAGAAATGAGGCCATCCATGCCAAAAACCTACGGCGAACCGGGATTTGAACAATACATGTATGATTTACAAAAGTGGCGTTCACGGGATCTGTATAGTAGAAGTCAAGTCCAATGTCTAGAGAATCTGGTGATGACACGCAATCGCCGCCATCAGACCAGAATACGGTGTCTGTACCGAGGATGGATGCCTCGGATTTGTGGCTTTGAAAGGGGGCAAAAGGAAAGGGACGAGATGATCTCAGTACAGAGAGTGCTTGGCACGATTAGCATGAGATTTGACTGACGCTGACCAATGAAAGGTCAGGTCAATCCCCAAAGGGCGGTCGGCGGCTTCTAGCCTCCGCGAATCCAGGGACGGTGGAACCATTTTGTGGGCAAATCGTATGATTTTGGTTCTCACTGGAAATTTAACGTTGGTCCGACGTGTGCGGCGTGGTGGTTGTTTAGAAAAAGGGTAGCTCATCACTTTCCGTGTCCTTTGTTGAACACACACACACATATACACCTCACCTACGGGTTCACTCTCTCTCTTTGGCAGCGATACGATCCTTTTTCAATTGAAGGATCAAGAGAGGCTTGCATCATGTCGTACCTGTGAGCCACGCCCGCCCCACCCCTTTGTTGATCTTCAGGAACACCCAATTCTGACCCGTCGACAGCAACGCGACAGCTATCCTCGAGCACGCGCTCCCTCACACCTCGGACACGTACTGGAACCAATTCGACAAGGTCTCCGAGTACAATGTACACCTCAACTACTTTGAGAAGCTGTGGATGGCCTGGTATGCCTACATTGGCAACGATGTGCTCGCCACCGGTATCATGTCCTTCTTGATGCACGAACTCGTCTACTTTGGCCGCTCTCTCCCTTGGATCATTATCGACTGCATTCCCTATTTCAACAAGTACAAGATTCAGAACGTACGTCGACCACTGTCTTCATCAAGGCTTCCGACAAGCAGACTGACATGGTCTTTAGCAAAAATTCCTACTGCTGCTGAACAATGGCAATGCGCCAAGCTCGTTCTGTTGAGCCACTTCACTGTCGAGCTTCCTCAGATCTGGTAAGACGACACATGTGCACCATCAATTGAGATCGCATTGCTAACAGTGGCTCCTCCAGGCNTCTTCCACCCCATGGCTCAGTACTTTGGCCTCGGCACCGGCGTCCCATTCCCTCCTGTCTACAAGATGGCCTACCAGATCGCAGTCTTCTTTGTCTTTGAGGATGCATGGCACTACTGGATGCACCGCGCCTTCCACTGGGGTCCTCTATACAAGGCCGTCCACAAGATTCATCACCAATACTCTGCCCCCTTCGGTCTTGCTGCCGAGTACGCATCGCCTATCGAAGTCATGAGCTTGGGTTTCGGCACTGTTGGCATTCCCATCGTGTGGTGCGCCATCACCAAGGACCTCCACATCCTGACCATGTACATCTGGATCGTCCTCCGCCTCTTCCAAGCCATTGACGCACACTCTGGCTACGAGTTCCCCTGGTCGCTACACCACTTCCTTCCCTTCTGGGCTGGCGCCGAGCACCACGATGTTCACCACGAGAAGTTCATTGGCAACTACTCGAGCTCTTTCCGCTGGTGGGACTATGTTCTGGACACTGAGGCCGGCGCCGAGGCCTCCAAGAGAAGAAGAGAGAAGAAGCTCGCAAAGGCCAGAAAGGCCCAGTAAATGCTCTTGGATGTCCTACTCTATACTTCGAAGCGCATTTAGTTGCGTTCTCTCGGACATGGCACGCTGTTGGCTGAATATTATGCCAGCCCTTGACGCTTACCGGATCTCCTTGTAATGGCCCCCTTTTTTCTTCGTATTTTCTTGCATTGGGATGGAGTTGTTGTTACTAGACAAGAGAGAAAGATTCACTTGAGCAAAGATATTTTTTGAGTCCAGCGTTGCTGGTTTTGCCTATCTTCTACAAACCATTAGATGCACGGATTCTGCATGCAATACACAATATCCTACATTTTCAATTCTTGACTCATCATGTCCGAGATGTAGACTGATGATGATATAACGCACAGATGAAGACGCACACTGTCACATACACGTTCTCATGGCTGTCAAACCTTGAGATATGAATCCATCTGAAGACACGACAGTCTCAAGCACTACACCGGAGAGCGACTAGACTGGAGTACTCCCCGAAGGCACTTCTTGCGCTCAGAGTCATGCTCCTCGAACCTGTGCGTGACAGATTTCAGCCTTAGGGGGACCCGAAGGTAGGCGCTCTGTGTGGGGTCGACGAAAGATGTTATGATGTAATCGATATCTATGTTGAATGGCCAGTAACACAGCTAAGGAAAGCCCATCTGTTATCGGATCTGTACAAGGGAGACATACTCATATCTGTTAGCATGGCACGTGAAACAGAAGAAGTAGCCAATCGTCGAGCAAGAGAGGCAGCCCTGACGTCTCACGAGACACGAGATGAGTTGATCAGCGGTGCAGCTCGTCCCCGCTAATCGCTTATCTTCGGGGCAGCTTCATTACCAACTTTGCGACTGCAAGATAGCCATCCACATAAACAATCATCACCTCCCTTTCAAACCCTCGACCCCTCGACTGCACGATCAGAGGATAGTAGACTACAACATGGCCATCACCGACGACCCCAAAGCTCTCAAGCTCGAGGATCTGCCAGAGTTGCTGAAGAATGACACGAGCGTCAAGCTGGCAGGGTGCGACATTGACGGTATCCTCAGAGGCAAGCTGGTCTCCAAGAAAAAGTTCCTCTCCATCGCATCGTCTGGCTTTGGCTTCTGCTCCGTCATCTTCGGTTGGGATATGCATGATCAGACATACTTCAAGGAGCTCAAGATCTCGAACAAGGAGAATGGATACAGAGACCTTACCGCCCAGATCGACCTGGGCAGTTACAGAAGGATTCCTTGGGAGAACAACGTGCCCTTCTTTCTGGTCAGCTTTTACGAGCCCGAAGGACAATCCGTGTCGGCTTGTCCGAGAAGTGTCTTGGGGAGAGCCGTCGACAAGATTCAAGCCAAGGGCATGAGTGCCATGGCAGGAGGTGCGTCCTCCCAACATATAATAATGAGAACATAAGACTGATTGTGACGTGTCTACANNGCCGAGTACGAGTTTTACCAATTCAGATCGCCCTCCGACCCTACCGCTTCTGAGCGCAACTCGTCCAGCACAGCAAAGTTCCTCAAGGAGAACNCCCCGTCCGCTCTACCGTCCCTGACCGAAGGCATGTTTGGATACAGTGTTACAAGACCGGTACACAACCAAGACTACTACTACGGCATTTACGACGCTTGCGAGAAGTTTAGATGCAACATTGAAGGATGGCATACCGAGAGTGGTCCTGGTGTCTTTGAGGCCGCTCTCGAATTCGGCGAGATCAGAGGCATGGCAGACCGAGCAGCTCTATTCAAGTGCGACTTCAAGATTCCTCAGCCTGAAGCACCGCTAACACATCCGTAGANNCTCACCGTCAAGTCAATTGCTAGCAAATTCGGCATCACACCTTGCTTCATGGCCAAGCCTCGCGAGAATCTACCAGGAAACAGCGGTCACATGCATGTTTCCCTTTGCGACCCAGACACGAACCAAAACCTCTTCGCACGCAGCGAACCCGATCCCAACGCTCCTTATGAGGACATCAAGCACCTCTCCGACCTAGGCCGCCATTTCCTCGCTGGCCTGATCGAGGGCCTTCCGGACGTCATGCCCATCTTCGCTCCCACAATCAACAGCTACAAGCGTCTTGTCGAGAACTTCTGGGCACCCGTCACTGTAAGCTGGGGCTTGGAACACCGTGCCGCGAGCATCCGCCTTATCGCACCACCCACCGCTTCACCAAAATCTACTCGCTTCGAAGTCCGTGTGCCCGGTGCAGACACAAATCCATATCTCGTTCTGGCAACCATTCTTGCATTGGGGTGGAGAGGTGTAGAGAAGAAGCTTGAAATTCCAATCCCACCGTTAGGAAAGGGTGAAGATGTTGGTGGTGCATCGGACAAGGGTGTCAGACTAGCCAAGAGCTTGAGAGAGGCTACCGAGAAATTCAAGAGCAAGGATAGTATTGCGAGAGAAGTCTTCGGCGACGACTTTGTCGATCATTTCGCTGGCACTCGCGAACACGAACTCAGACTCTGGGATGAGGCAGTCACGGATTGGTAAGTTAACCTGCCTCTATAACGAAAGACGTGATACTGACGACAAGCTTGTTTAGGGNAGTTTAAGCGCTATATTGAGACAGTGTAGAAGCAGTTGCTGCTTTGCGATGGCCTTCAACACCATACACTGGGTCTGGAAGAACAGCATAACTTATCAGGTTCCTGGTTCCATGAAGCACGATTCCCCTCCACAGCTTCTCTTCGGTATGTTTCCATGTTCTCTTTGCAGTTTTTGACCAGAAAGAAGACTACCCAACGCGGCAACCACTACCACCCTAGAGCAACAGTTACAGAAAGAAGCACATGCCCCAAAGCGACATAGCCCTATGCAACTCAGACCTACTATCAACAAGTGGACGACAAACGCAGGATCAGAGACCGTCACACACAATGGTTATGGAGCAACATTGGTAAGCTATAAGACTGCACAGTTGTCTTCAGCACTAGGGATGTTTTCCGGAGAAAACCTCTTGACCTTACCAGTTCTCTGGACTCACGTACGATTTAAAAGACAACCGTGGATCTATACAGCTATATGCGGGCAGACCTTCAGACACGCAACAGAGACCAGCTTCCCTCATGCAGCACACTCTCCGACACCATCCCAGAGTGGGGGTCCATCGACACCCTATAATCAGCGACAATCCTAGCTTGACCGGAGGGGGGCGGCTCGAGTTTTGCTTTTAGGAGATTGCAATTCACAGCAAAATTCACCTTTTTCTGGGTCGTTGTTGTACCCCCCCATACAAGCCCGAACAATTCGCAGGAAAAACAAAGTCTTGCAATCCTTTTTTTTTTTTTTGGCTTCAGGGTGCAGGAATAATCAACAGTTTGTTTTGCTTTATTAACGCTTGATGATTTGTTTTTTCTTTTTTTTGCCAGTCTTTGTTTATTGTATGAGAAGCAAGAATCTCGGGGCTTTGGTTGCTGAGCGCCGTGTCCAGAGGAGAAGACAAGAAGAATATTCACGCATCTTTGATGTGACACAAGGAACATACTGGGTCTCAAAAAAAGGCCAGACGCAAAAGAACAAAAACGTACAGCAGCAGGGATTCCCACGTGGTCACCCACCGTAGTACTAATCTGCCGTTCAACTGCTTATGTATGGCAGAGCGGACGGGATGCCCAGTTTTCAGCTGACTGTGGCCGTACGTGAGAGAATTGCTAGCTTTTGTGGTTATAACCATATAGCAATGGCGTCAAAGAAGAGAGTTTTCGTTTTCAACAAGCATCCTTCTATTCCTTCTATACAGATGACGATGCAAGCATGTACTATCCATTTCGCAAGTGTTATCGCTTACAGCATGCAAGCTCATATACTAGCCTTTTCCATAGACATCGTGATAACATTGGCTCAGATCAGGACAACTGTTAGAAAATTCAATTAGCCAATGTCTCTGTCAGAGCTTTGGGAGGGAACTTCCTAGTACTTACTATACTGGATTCTGGCCAAAGATGATATGCCAGATATATTCAAACACACGCCCACTTGTGGCATCATCAAGCGGTGTTCCATGCAGCCACTTCAGAGCACCGACATAAAAGTCCAAAGGCCGTTTATGGACTTGGTCTCGCGAAACAGCGAATTGGGCACAGCATGGAGTACCTATCACCCTGGGCACATCGTCATTACCGAAAATCTGTTTCCACGCTTCCGTCATTGCGTTTTCTGCTCTTCAATCTCCTTCATCGGGCTCTTCGCGAAAAGGTTGAATCTCGTCTGGACAGCCTGGGATGGCGATGCAACGGAGATTAGCATAGCCATTGCTTTGCACAAACTCGGTTCTGAGAGTCGACAAGCTTTTGATGTTTGAATAATGGTCTGCATCTGTATGCCATGCTCGCGGGTAGCCGTCTTCGTGAGGGTGTACGAATGCGATGGTCGATGGAAGCTCTTGATAGTTCTCTACAAGGTATGTGAGGTAGACATTGGCTTCACGGCCTTTATTGCTAGTATGCAAAGGCCAAGTATCGTTGTCGACGGAGTACACAGCGTTCCGCCATCTGTGATTCGTGTCAGCAATCGGCACACAATCAGAGTCACCTGAGAAGACCGACTTGGGAAGTTTCTCAACCCAAGATGTATCGTCGCTGTTGATCCTGCCCATCACCACAATCTGGTCAGGAGAGATCGAGCTGCTGGTTGGGGCTTCAATTGCCGAAGCTCTATCTTGAGCAGTTGGGGTTGCTTGGAAGCGGCCGACGTTCGTCGCAGATGTTGGAGCCAATTCTACAGCCTCATTGATATCTGTTGGCGCTTCCGTTGATGCATCATCCCCGGCGTCGACAAGTGATTTGAAACTCGAGCCATGGAAGGCTTTCGGGATTGGCAAACGATGCAAGTATGTTTTGGTCAGAAAGAAGCCTGCTAAAATCAAAACAGCAGGAAAAATTCGTGTTACTGCCTTCATATTGGCTGTATGAGGGACGATATGGCGGAGATGCAGATTGTTCTGATTGTGAGCAATATATCCGGCAACCTGCTCTTTATGGAGACTTCGGCCTTGGAAGGCCACCAGGAGGTTTGCATCTTTGAGGTGTGCTGCATTGCTGCGGCGCAGCAGACAATCTCATGTTGCATGGTAGTGTTTGAGAGAGGCACGTAATCCACGATTGGCTGTCGATGAGGGGTAGCGCTTCTACGCGCCGACCCATTTCTGTTGGTTATTTGTCCATATTGATCCGCCGATACTGCCTTTCAGAAATGGCTTCATAGGTTGGGACGCTGCTCGAATCCAGCGCATTGGATCCCAAGACGAACATTACGAACGAGCAATTCGCTATTCTCGATGGGCAAAGCGAGGAGGCAGAGACAGTGGTGATCTACCAGCTGTTGGAGAAAAGTCTTACAGAAGAACCCATTTCTGATCCAGAGCAAGCACTGGGAATTGCGAGAGTGAGGAAGAGTTGTGGTTGCATTGGACTGTTAGGTTCCAGGATGTAGATGAGTTTCTGGGAAGTCTTGAGACCTTGGATGCATTGCCAATTTTGTGCGATCAAAGGTTTGTTGGTCAAGATGGAATTTTCAATGTCAAGAGAGCTAGAAAAGCGTTCCTCGATGGTGGGAAGGCCAATTGATATTGTCTCTGTAGTGTGAGTCTCCTGGAACCTCCATTGAAGACGGTGCTCAACACATACAGTGCGGCACGTGTAAGCACCTGAATTGCTCAGTCCGAAGTAAGGGGCGGCTATTCTAGCGTTAGCAGGCTTGAGCCATCTTCTCCAGCCATACCTGAAGATGAAGCATCCATTGCGGGCGTGGTCGGTCCCAAATTGGAGGATGATGAACGATGTCGCAACTTCCTTTCCAAGCTCAGACAGTAGAAATGTGCGAGTTATGCAGTTTGTATAAGTTGGAGCTTGGGCCTCCTGTCACAAGACTATCTCATACCAATCATGGAACATCTGCAAAGCTATCTCCAACCACCTCCGTAAGATGGCAATCGAGAATGTGATGATCGAGACTGATCAAGTTGTGAACTTTGCTGTTTGCTGCACCATAGATATGACAGTCCAGGTAGTTAACGTCCTATAATCTGGAAGCGAATGCGATGTTAACCACTCAGTATTCAAGGCTATCAATCAGTTCCTTGCCCGAGTACAAAAAAAAGAGCTCCAAGAGTCAGCCGTCAACATCCTAACTCTGGTCCACAGTCTTGAGTTACAGCTCTGGGGTCCTACAAAAGAACTTCGAGGAAATGACACCGTTCTGCAAAGCCCATTCACTGGTTGTACATACTTTCGCGTCCATCAACTGCTGCAAGATATGAAGAAAGCTACAGAGTCCAAACTGGATACCAACTGGTTTCTGGTGCTGGATGAAAACTCAGAGCAGAGTTCCACCGCTGTCATAGTCAGGGTCGAAGATGGAGATGTGCGTTCGGGTCGTGTCGCGTATCCCGTGGCTTCGAGATATTTGTCGGCAGCTAGTATTGCTCATCCGTCACTCGAGGAGATGATTGAGATTGCAGATTGGAAGCATGGTGGGATAATTCAAGATTGAGTAGAGAGCTGTCAGGGTTGCCTCTGAAGAGGGCATTCGGGTAGATTACTCCCGTTCTGTCAGAGACAACAGTCCTCCGATGATGCTGCCTACAAGAGGACCGAGCGTCAAGAGAACACCAGTAGCTTTCTGGTCTTCCGAGGATCGCGGATATCGGGGCGTCACGCTCGCTCCAAAAACGACAAAAGACAAGATGGTGCAAGATGCAGTCCTGAGAGCGTGGTACATGAATTCTGGTCTGCGCCAGAGTTTCTTTTCGTCGCTGGTGGTTGTTTGGGTTATGATGTTACGTATGTCGGTCGCGCCCTGAACATAGATGTAGGCGAGGATGCCGACGGCACCCGTCGAGAAGCTGAAGCTACCCTTATGCGCCCTTGCAAGGTTGGTGTTTGCGGCGGCTACATAGAGGAATGCCATCGGAGATATGGGTTTCAAAGCATCCATTTTGATGATTGTGATGGATTAGCACTGAGGGTGGAGAAGTCAAGAAAGTTTGTTTGATGAAATCTGTTATAACCGTTTCTTCTGAACGTCTGACCTGCCTTGCTTTGTTGGGAATGTGTTGACGGCAACTGCAACCGAGACTTTTGGCGGGCTGCTGTAGCTAGCTTGAGCTCCCATCATCGGATAGGAGATGATGCGAACATCCGGCAGCGTTCCGTACCCGCTATGATCTGCTTCACCTATCATCTGCAGCTCCTGCTTTGTAATCTACGTTTTTGCTGACATATACCATACTCTCCAGATCACTCGCCCTTGGATAGCAAGACAGGCAGTCAAAGCTGGAACATCTGCCCATCAAAAGCACTTTCGAATCTTTTGACTTCCCGCAAGAATCTCTCTTGCAATATAACAACTTTTGCAAGTCGTCATGGCACCCATTGGAGTCGGAATTATTGGCCTTTCAGCCGCAGGAGGATCATGGGGAGTAACAGCTCATCTCCCATACCTCAAGGAGTCCTCAAAGTACAAGATTACTGCCGTCAGCAATTCGTCAACAGAGTCCTCGCAAAGGGCAATCGATACCCATGGTCTCACAGACGCCAAGGCCTATGGCTCTGTTGCAGACATGGCAGCAAGCTCCGATGTCGATCTTGTTGTTTGTAGCATCCGAGTTGACCGTCACTACGAGGCCATCAAGCCTGCCATTGAAGCTGGCAAAGACTGTTTTGTCGAGTGGCCGTTGGCCTCGAACTCTGAGCAAGCAACAGAGCTGCTCCAACTTTCTGAGAGCAAGGGTATCAAGACCATTGTCGGCTTACAAAGTCAGATGAGCCCTGCTATCAGCCGTATCAAGGAGATCATCGAAAAGGACAAGTCTATCGGTCGCGTCGTCAGCTCCAACGTCAGCTTTGCTGGTATGCTAGGCGGCAGAGATTCTACAGAAGCCCATGAGTACCTCAACTCTGCCGAAATTGGTGGTAATATGTTGGTCATTCCCTTCGGCCACTTGTATGACGGTATCAGCTACACTCTCGGCGAACTCCAAGCAGTTTCTTCAACACTGTCTATTCAACATCCAGATGTCCCCGTCAAATCTGCCGATGGCTCAAAGGTCTTGAGGACGACCAAACGCACTGCCGCCGACCACATCACCATTTCTGGCCTTCTTACCAACGGAGCACATTCCTCAGCAGTGGTGACCGGTGGCCAGCCCTCCATGGGCGAGCCAGCCTTGCTTTGGAAAATCGAAGGCGACAAAGGCGTCATCGAAGTCCGTGGCCAAGAAGCTTTTGCTCTCAGCATGTCGCTAGATGTCAAAATCAGCATGCAATTGTTTGAGACTGGCGAAATACAGCAAGTCGAGTTTACTGAAGATAGACCTGGTCCTCCTGGTAATATCGGAAGACTGTATGATGCTTATGCTGATGGTCAGTATTATCCTGATTGGAAGTGGGCTGTCAAGCGTCATGCTTGGGTGGATGCACTTTATAAGAGCAATGAGACTGGAAAGCGTGTATCCTATATTTGATGCTGAAAACTGCAGCGGTGGAGTCAATGGGAGTACCATTACGACACTGAATCAAAAGCAAGACCAAAAATCTCATGTTTCTGGCTTCTTCTATCGAATGCACTGCTCTCTGAACGTAATACCACAGGAGTATTCCGTAGTGAACTTTACGATCCATCATCTCATAAGCATGTCTTCGTAGATTGAACCCTTCAGAGGTTGCCAAAATCACCATCGTAAGTGCTGCCACAGGCAACAATACCAGTGCAGTTAGTACCCTTACGAGCCATGATAAGCTCCTCCCAGTAACTAACACCCTCAGCACGAACAAGATCAGGCAAAGAGACTGAAGTAGCGTTCTGCTGGAAGTAATAGTACTCAGGCTCATCTGCATCAACAGCCACCCAAGGCTCTGCTGGTACTNNACAAGTTTATCAGCAAATGTGATCGCTCGGAGAGGGAATAATCGACTTACCACCAAGATGCATGTTCGGGTTACCGTAATTGACAAAGCTGACCCACATACGGCACATTTGCTTTGCGAGGGTGACCAGCGAGTCACGCTCCGGTCCGCCCAGTGGGTTTGGGTTGCCGTTCTGAGGGTAGCCAAGGCCTTCAGTGTTGTAGAAGACGAAAGCTACTTCTTGGAAGTGGACTGCTCCTGCAGTGTATGGGAGACCATTGACGAGAGCATTGAAGATANNCTGCAAACAAGGTTAGTCAAAGGATCATAAATCGAGCTTAAAGACTTACTAGGTATATGCCTTTGCACCGTGTCTTGCCCACCAGTGAGATGTCAGACGTCTGGCAGCATTCATGCTCATATCTTGACCGATGGCAGCGCCACGTTTGAACTGGAGTCCGATGGTGGCATTGGGTCGACCGTGAAGGGTACTGGGTACGCCAAGATCTGGAATGTCAGGATAGAGGATCGCGATATCGTGGGCTGTGGCATTGTCGTAGCCTGATCGAACAATGTAGTCGAGGATTTGCTGAGTTGTATTGAGGCCTCCTGGTCCGAAACCAACACCTTCAGCCTCATTGACACCGATGATGTATGGTACCTTGAGGAAGTCACCGTTGGCAAGAGCTTGCGAGGCAGTCTGCGTAAACCAGTCTCCATCGACAACAGGGCCATAGCGAGCTCCTCTAGTCACGGTAGAGTTGATGACAGAGTTAAGCTGATCGGTAGGGACTTTGCGGAGACAATCAAGCACAGAAGCAGTACCGTCACATCCTGTAGCCTTGCTGATATTGGCAATGACGGGCTCCCAGTCGGCAACATGGAAGTCTGGCTGAGGGCCGACAGGAGCTCCTGACTCTGCGATGGCTCCATGGAAGAGACTATCATCCCTTCCATTGTAAGCCAGTAGTTGGGCTCCGACACTGGTACCTCCTGAAGATTCACCTTGGATCGTGACACGACCTGGGTCACCTCCAAAAGCAGCAATGTTCTCTTGTACCCATCTCAAAGCAAGACGTTGATCTCTGAAGCCATTCATGGTGTTGCCTGAGTCTTGGATTTCCTTTCCATAAAGGAACCCCCATGACGATAGTCTGTAGTTGATGCTGACAGCAACAATGGGCATGCCAGCTTCAACAGACTGCTGAACGATGAAAGACTGGTTGTATCGATGGTCTGCACTGCCACCCATGACAAGACCCCCACCGTGAATCCAGACAAGTACCGGAAGCTTCTCGCATTGACCGGCCGGCTTGACGACATTCAATGTCAGACAGTCTTCACTGACATAGTTGCCCTGACTCCAGGTGTCCCTGCCATAGCCAATACACTCCGGGCTGTATTGAGTAGCGTTCTTGGTTCCAGTCCAGGTTGTGTTGAGCGATTGAGGGATGCGGAAACGCAAATCGCCGACAGGAGGTTGACTGTATGGCATGCCGAGGAAGTTGTCGGTGCCATAGGCGGCGGCGTGATAGCCTGTGTAGGTGCCATTCTTGACATGTACAGTAGGCACAGAACCTCCGTTGTTCGGCCAGTGGTTGTCGGATCGCTTGGTAACAGCTGCATATGCAGCATTGAAGAGCACGAAGCTGCTCGTAAGAGCCTTGATGTTGACCATTCTTAAAGTCGGAAGATATGGACTCTCGATCAGAGTGAGTTTGTATAACCAGCGAGAGCTCTATACTTATAGCTTTCAGGTCTCGACAGAGATACTTGACCAAAGTCTAACCCCGCCTTCTACATGATGATCTCGTGGTGCTCGTTGTATAAAGCTGCCCCGCTTCTGGAGTGATGTACGAGGCTGTGCCGTGGTAAGGGAGCAACCAGCAACGGCAGAGCCTGTGAGTCTACATCAAAGTCTACCTTGAAGCAACTGCCGTTTTGTTCTGCTCTAAAGATCTTCGATGTATAGCTGCATGACAAGGAAGGTCCGACTCATGACGGGCATTCGGGGCCGAAGACCCCGCAAACAACCCCGCAAACAAAGATGCACTCCACATACTCTGCAGATCAAGAGATGGTAAGGACCTTGGTGGGGAAGGTTTATACAGAAAATCTCAGTGTGATGCTGTGAGATCATCAGTGGGAAGCAGAACATGTGTCCGGCTAATAGTGTCGGCCGTCGTCGGCCGTACCTACTATGTGGATGTGGAAATGTCCTGCCAGCACAACACGACAGGACAACTCCACATCAGGGCGGGGAGGAATGAGAGGAGTGAAAAACTGTATCCAAGGCGGTCGGTATTTCATGTGACTGCGTAGTCTAGTTAGCCTTCGGTATGAACTTCTTCAGCCATCCCAGAACCCTTTTCGTCCTCGAGGTTTTCGGCACCTCTGGACTAAATCTGTATTTTTCGATAGATTCGGGTACGTCCAAGTCTCTGTTCACTGGTCTCGAAGATGGCTGTGTTGGTCTCCACATGGCGGGGACTAGTTCGAGGTTGGAGATATCGCTTGCACTGCTTTCGTAGGACCATCGGGCACTATGTTGGTTGATAGGGTCGGATGGCCACCTACGCGCTCTCATGTCGTCCATGAACCTCCAGGTATCGAGGATGATCTCGAGAACCCCGCCTGGATGCTTGCAAATCGTTCATTTGTACTCAGTCAGACAACCGCTACATCTGCGCAGTTCCGAAGTCTTCTTGCAGGCCTTGTCCATGATGAGCTTTGGTATCAAAGCCAGGTTCAGTCTGATCAGCCAGGGCTTGTGTTCCGAGACCGAGACGCCACACACATGCTCACAGATGCGAAGGCTACATATCGCTTTGCGGGCCTGTAAGTAGTTGGTCTGATCTTGTCTTTCTGGATGGATCATATACCCCGGGCCATATAGCAAACGTTGCGAAGCGTGTGTCATTAGCTTCCCTGCCACCACTTCCGGCTCGATGCTAGACTTTTTCCAACACAACCCCAGCTGTGCTTCACAAGCGTCCAGATGGCTCTGCCAATCCGTGTGCAGTGTGATACAGGCCAGATTCTTGTCCTTATTGGCACCTTGAGCATGACAAACCATTGTAGTTCTTATACACCACCAAGGAAGGATCTCGTCAGAGATCACCTGTATTCCCACCGGTGAGAGTGGTGGTGTTGGTCCTGTGCAAGTCCCGCAGTCAAACCACCCGCTCGAGGGAATATCTTTGGCGTAAAAGTTGAAGCACTTGCCACACAACGAGTGATTTGGGAGATCCATCCATATCAGCTTGAGAAGCCCGAGCATTTCGTCAGACTTCACATCCCATGTATCGATGAGCCTTCCTGAACAGTATGGAACTTTCCGAAAGCCAGAGACCCGGATGCGTCGCAAGTGTTCATTTCGAAACAGTTCGCGACATGTCAACGAGAGACAAGCGATCTCTCTGAGACGTAGGTGGTCCGTCATGTTGTAGAGCAACTCGACAGGCAGTTTGCTTAGGATACCCGTCTGTGATCTTGTTGACCTCGTCGTGTAGACGGCTTGTTCAGTAGACCGCATGTCTGGTACTTTCTGGGGGTTGGGAGGATCATTGTGTCCTGGTGATTTCGCATGCGACATACTGATGTCACTCGCAGGAGGAAGCGCAAAAGCTGGAAGTCCATCTCGATGTCCAGATGTGTAGGCGAGCAGGTAGCTCGGAATCTCGATAGCTGGAAGCGCTGTAGTTATGGCTGTGTCGATTTGTTCCCTCACGAGCGTTGCGCTATACTGACTTACAAGAACAGATATCTGAGGATCAAGTCTTTACAAATAGGGTTAGAAACGAGATCTTGCTCATACGAACTCAACATCATTCGGTTGGTCTCAAGACTCCCATGAGGGTGGCTGGTCATGGTGTTCTGATGGATTGTCTTATGCTTATGAACGCAAACTTGCTCGATACGACTTTTATGATGGCCGGGCTCTTCCAGAACCAATGGCTTCCGAGTCCAGAGGGGCTTCTTAGTAACATGTCCATCTCCTTGACCTGATGTTATGAAGAGTGGGCGCAAAGACGAATCATTTTGTTTTCCAGAATTGGTCATGGATGAAACAAGTTTGGACATGTTCATGATCTTTTCTTTTTAGACATGAGGTCTACTACATCAAGATGACTTTCTGTCATTCATGGGTCCGTTGGCGAGAGTGATTCGGAGCTCGGATAGTAAGACGAAGGACAAAGACGACATGCGTGTAATGAGTGCCTCCTATCACTCCGCATCCTTGAAACGGAGCAAGTTATCGCGGAGTACGGTTCACCGTCTGATTTCGCGAAAGGACACAACGACTCCAGCTCCGTGTCGAAATAGGAAGGCATGTCGTCGAAGCGAACCTCGGCCATGCTGAAACACCTGCAAATTCGTCTTGGCGCGTTCTAAACCCTTTTCTCCACCACTCTTCCAGCCCTCGCTTCTCGACCGACGCGACACTCGACTACATGTCGTCAACCCTCAGATGAAGAGGTCACGCCCATCTTCAATAGCCTATGCAACGATACGGCCGGATACATGCGACCCCTCGCAACAAAATGCGTTCTTCCACGAGTCACGAGAGAGAGAAGTTCGTCTCGGCTTGATTTGCTTGACTGAAGTTCGAATCTTGCATGCCGCATCATCTGGATTTGGGAATGTCCTCACGATTATCAATGCGAAACACCACTGTCCAGACAATTAGGGCTTCGCGGAGATGAATTGTATGGTCACGATGGTCCGTTATTGCATATACATACAGTAGGTACTGTGAGCTTCTAGATTTCCCCCCTCCAACATTACCCTCACCTGTAGTGTCAGGCTTCAGCATATATAAGCTGGTTGTATCCTTACCTTGATTTCTTACTTGTCTCCATCGCGAAATCTTCGCTTCTCTTCCGGTACAAGTCTCAGTCATGAGACACTCTCTTACCTTGGCAGCTTTGGCCGCCGCTGGAGGTGCCTTTGCGCAATCGCCAGTCCCAGCGTACGGACAGTGTGGCGGTCAAGGCTATACTGGATCCCTTGTCTGCGTATCTAGCTTCTATTGCAACAAGGTCAACGACTGGTACTCGCAGTGTGTTCCAAACTCAGGATCAAGCGTTTCAACCACTGTCAAGACCTCTATCTCCTCTTCCTCGACCACTGTTGTAACCAAACCACCTGTCACTACATCGAGGACCATCTCGACATCCAAAGCCGTGACCACGACTGCAGCTGCCAGCGGCCCTTCTCCAACAACCTCTGGCACAAAGTTCGTCATTGACGGCAAGGCAGGCTACTACGCAGGCACAAACTCATACTGGATTGGTTTCCTGACCAACAACGATGACATCGACCTTGTCATGCAACATCTCGCCAGTTCAGGCTTGAAGATTCTTCGTGTCTGGGGGTTCAACGACGTGACTACAACTCCCACCGACGGAACTGTATATTTCCAATCTTTTGCCAACGGGCAACCAACCATCAACACCGGTGCCAATGGCCTCCAACGCCTCGATTACGTAGTCAAGAGTGCTGAAACCCATGGAATCAAGCTGATCATCAACTTTGTCAATAACTGGACTGATTATGGTGGCATGGCAGCTTATTTCAAATATGCTGGCATTACATCAAACACGCAATGGTACAACAGCACCATCGCTCAAACCCAGTATCAAAGATACATCAAGGCAGTCGTGTCACGCTATGTTTCCAGCCCAGCCATCTTTGCCTGGGAACTTGCCAATGAGCCTCGCTGTACAGGCTGTGATCTCTCAACCCTCAAGACATGGGTCATCAACACCTCCAAGTACATCAAAAGTTTGGATGCCAAACACATGGTCACCACCGGCGAAGAAGGTTTCGGACCCATCGCTGGAGACGATGGCAGTTACCCATACCAACTCTCTGCTGGTGGAAGCAACTTTACCGCAAACTGCGAGGTCCCCACGATTGATTTTTGCACCTACCACCTGTATCCAGAATCTTGGTCTGTAACGCCCACTTTGGAATGGGGGACTCAGTGGATCCAAGCTCATGCAAAGGCTTGTTCGGCAGTTGGCAAACCATGCTTGCTGGAGGAGTTTGGTGCAAGTAACAACTGCACGATTGAGAGTAGTTGGCAAGCTACTGCTTTGGCAGCTGCTGGTACGGGAGGAGACCTTTTCTGGCAGTATGGTGATACGTTGAGCTATGGCAAGACATCGCAAGATGGGAATACTGCTTACTACGGCGATGAGCTTTACGCTTGTCTGGTTGACAAACACATCAAGGCTATTGATAGCTTGTAGGTTGGTGTCTGCTGCGAGAAGCTTGACAGGTTCTTGTTGGTTTTGACGAACTTGACATACGGCACAATTCTTTTGACAAGTAACACGCATTTCGACAGAGACCCGTATTGTTATTCCTCGTTCAGAACTTTTTGTGGAAACCCACAGAGACACATTTCTATAGCTTCTACACTCTATCACGACCCTGACATTCTTTTTGCTGTTTCGAAACTCTTGCGTTGGCCAACATCAGTCTCTGAGTCCTAAGCAGGACGGCTAATCGACGAGGTATAAAGTGTATATAGAAGGTTTGAATCGCGATTCAGGAAGCTCGAGGTTTGTTTGGAGATTGTCGCAGAAAGCAGGACGGCAGACTCGGATCAGATAAGATTTCATGTGGATCTTTCAGTGGAAGGCTACGTCACGAGTGACCCGAGCAAGCCGCCCATTTTCGCGTCGACCTTGGACGGTTTGTTTCGCGATCTCAACATATTCATTGACTCGTCATCTGTATTCGGCGGCCTTTGGATAGGCATGCACGACTTGTATTAGACTGTTCCAACTCATCACTCGTTGTCCTCCATCACATCCTCTCTACTGGTCCCTCGACGCATCACGCCCACGATGCAGCCGCTTCGCCAATTGAGCGGTCGCACTGGGATGCAATTGCGCCGCTCCATCATTCAAGCATGTCGCTCGCAACAGTTTACTCGCTCTCTGGTCAATGGTCCCGTACGCCGTGAACTGTTGCAGCGCATGCCGGCGCCATCATGTCTTGCAACACCCGCCATCATCCGTCAATTGAACCACGTCCGTCGCCAAAGCACAAACACCGACCCTCCGCCAAAGTCTCCCGCCGCTTCTCCCGTACAAAGATCCCGTCTTCTCCGTTTCCTTTGGCGAGGCTTCACCTTCCTCGGCATCTTCGTTGTCGTCTCTGGTGTCTTTGTTGTCGCCTTCTTCGCCTTTGATGCAACCACATACAAGGAAGAATCCGACACGATCGATATTACCGTCTCTGAACTCGCCCTGAACCCTAGAAGAGGAGGTCCCAAGAACCTGCCCATTGCTGAACACCTCATCGACGATGACGACTCTCCCGAAAAGAAGGCTCAAAAGCACAAGCCCAAGCTGGTCATCCTCGGTACTGGTTGGGGCAGTGTTGCTCTTCTCAAGCAGCTCAACCCTGATGACTACCACGTCACTGTCGTCTCACCGTCCAACTACTTCTTGTTTACTCCTATGCTTCCTTCTGCCACTGTCGGTACTCTTGAATTGAGATCGCTTGTCGAGCCTGTCCGTAGAATCATTTCTCGCGTCAAGGGTCATTTCCTCAAGGCCACTGCCGAAGACGTTGAGTGAGTTGACCTGGAAGATGTGACTTTCTCCATACGCTAACCAATCTCTAGCTTCTCCAACAAGCTCGTCGAAGTGTCTGCGACCAACCCGGATGGCACCAAGCAAAACTTCTACCTGCCCTACGATAAGCTCGTCATCGGTGTCGGCTCCATGACCAACCCTCACGGTGTCAAGGGTCTCGAATACTGCAATTTCCTCAAGGATATCACCGATGCTCGTCTGATCCGCAACCAAATCGTTCGCAACCTCGAAGCCGCTTCTCTTCCTTCTACACCGGATGAAGAGAGACGTCGTCTGCTGTCGTTTGTCGTGTGTGGAGGTGGTCCCACTGGTGTCGAATTCGCCGCCGAATTGTTCGATATGCTCAACGAGGATCTTTGCAACTACTATCCTCGCATCCTCAGAAACGAAATTTCAGTCCACGTCATTCAGAGCAGAGGTCACATTCTCAACACCTACGACGAAACCCTCTCCAAATATGCCGAGGCTCGCTTCGCAAAGGACTCTGTCGATATTCTGACCAACTCGCGTGTCAAGGAGGTACAAAAGGACAAGATTCTCTTCACACAAAAGGATGAGAATGGCAACACCATCACCAAGGAAATCCCCATGGGCTTCTGCTTGTGGTCGACCGGCGTCGCTCAGACTGAATTCTCAAAGAAGCTGGCCGACAAGCTTGGTGAGAATCAGACCAACCGTCACGCTCTCGAGACCGACACTCATCTCCGTCTTGTTGGTGCACCTCTTGGCGACGTCTACGCTATTGGCGACTGCTCGACCGTTCAAAACAACGTCTCGGATCACATTGTGTCATTCTTGCGTACCGTTGCTTGGGAGAAGGGCAAGGACCCTGAGAAGATGATTATCGGTTATGGTGATTGGAGAGGTGTTGCCAGACGTGTCAAGCAGCGTTTCCCTCAAGCCGCCGAGCACTTGAAGCGTCTGGATAAGCTTTTCGAACAATACGACAAGGACAAGAGTGGTACCCTGGATTTCGGTGAATTGCAGGAATTGCTCAAGCAGATTGACGGCAAGATGACCTCGCTTCCTGCAACAGCACAGCGTGCCAACCAGCAGGGTATCTACTTGGGTCGCAAGTTCAACAAGCTCTCTCAAGCTGCTCCCGGTATGGAGTTGAACAGACTTGACTATGGTGATATTGATGATGCCGTCTACAAGGCTTTCTCATACACCAACATGGGAAGTCTGGCTTATGTTGGAAATGCCGCCATTTTCGACTTTGGTGGCATGAACTTTGCCGGTGGTCTGGTGGCAGTGTACCTTTGGCGTGCAGTTTACTTTTCACAGAGTGTCAGTCTCCGTACGAGAATTCTCCTTGCCATGGATTGGACCAAGAGGGCACTATTCGGCAGAGGTAAGCAAAATATCACATTTTCCAAGCAGATGAACAAGACACTAACGTGGCACAGATCTCATGAACTTCTAGAGCAGACATATAGATAGCGTCGGCGCTCATATAATTGATTATACGTTTATGCAATTCGTTTTCAACACTGCTGTTGGTAATTTATGCGAACAAACAAAAGGCCGGTGCTGTCAGTCTCGGTCGATCGGCAAAGGACGGGTCGAGTGGAGCATGGACGCAGCCGAAGCTCCACCTTCCTCAAGCTCGCCATCGCCGACGAGTATTGCGATAAGAGCATACCTTCTTTCCTTTTCAATCTTCTCTTGTCGTTTCACGTCCTCTAGATCTGGTTCTCTCGCATGTCCCTCCGTCGTCTCGTTCAACCTCTACGAACCATCCACTCTCTCGTCACCTCGACACGTCCGTCCCTCGCATACCCCGCATCTGTCAACAACCTCCGCAGCATGTCCACAGCAATCAGCAAACGCCTCGAAGGCAAGACCATTGTCATTACCGGCGCCTCGTCCGGCATTGGCAAGAGTACTGCTCTTGAATTCGCTCGTACCGCCCCTAAGAACCTCAAGTTGGTCGTTACCGCACGTCGTCTCGAAGCACTTGAGCAATTGAAAGAGCAGATCAACAAAGAAGTCGGCGAGGGTGTCAAGGTGCTGCCCGTCAAGCTAGACGTCAGCAACCCAGAACAAGTTCGCCGCTTCGTAGCAAACCTGCCAGAAGAGTTCAAGGACATCAATGTTCTGGTGAACAATGCAGGTCTGGTGAAGGGTGTTGCTAAGGCTCCCGAAATCGCCGAGCAAGACATGAATGTCATGTTTGCTACCAACGTCACCGGCCTCATCAACATGACCCAAGCCATTCTCCCCACCTTCCTCGCCCGCAGCAGCGAGGACCTCCCCGGCACCGGCGACATCATCAACATTGGCAGCATCGCCGGCCGCGAACCCTATCCCAACGGCAGCATCTACTGCGCCACCAAAGCTGCTGTACGCAGTTTTACAGAATCTCTCCGCAAAGAATTGATCTCCACCCGTATCCGTGTCATCGAAATTGACCCCGGGCAAGTCGAGACTGAGTTTTCGGTGGTCAGGTTTTATGGCGATAAGAGCAAGGCTGACAAGGTTTATGAGGGATGTGAACCTTTGACGCCGGAGGATATTGCAGAGGTGGTGGTGTTTGCGGCGGGGAGGAGGGAGAATGTTGTGTTGGCTGATACGTTGGTGTATCCGAACCATCAGGTATGTTTTGATTCTTTCCTGTTTTCCCCCTTCTATCCTTCACTTGTTCATTTTTTTGCTTTTTTTGCATTTGCTGATTGTTTTTACACAAAAAGGCCGCTGCTACGGTCATGCACAGAAAGACCTAAGATGGAGAATATTCGCAGCGCAGCGCTCTTGGGGATATCTGTCTGACATGAGAAATGTATAGGCCGGTGCTGGAGGAAGCAACTCGTTCAAACGCCCTTCTTCTCAACCCAAAATCTAGACGTATATGTGGAAGCTCTAGAGTATTTCGAGATGATTAACCACATGTCAACATCAAAATTCGAAATCAAGGTTATACCACATGATGTGTGTCTCTCTCGGCTCAGTTACTACATCTTGCTTCATTCCCTGCATCTGATCCAACAACCCACAAACCGCAAATATCCCAGCCTTTTGCCGCCACCAAAAGAAAACTTTCAGTCCAATTGGGGATTCTTCAACCCGCACCCGCATAACTCGCACAAGCTCCCAACCCAAACAAATTCCCGGAGCTCGTGTATTCGGCAGCCACACCAGCAGGACATTGATCCGAACCGCTCGCAACGGGAGCAGAATTGAGAACATACAACTGGCAACCTCCACTCAGATAGTAGATGAAACAATTGGGCGTCTCGAAACATTTGGCGCAGCAGCCTTGTTGATCTTGGATCGAGGGGTAGGAGGGGTAGGTTGCGCCTATGATTCCTTGACCTGGTCCGGCTACTGTGTAGCCACCGGTATAGCTGTACCCGAAGGTTGGTGGAGCGCAGACTGTTATTTGATTATTAGTCGTGATTGCTTCATAGGAGGGCGGGTTCGAAACTTACCTGTTGATGTGGATTGGACTGTTATAGTGGTTGTTGTGGTAGCAATGGCTGTGGAAGTAGACACGGATATTGTCGTTGTGGTCGTGATGGAAACCGATGTAGGCNGTCGCTGCAGTGATTGTAGTCGCCGTAGCTCCTACACACGAACATGCACTCGAGTAACGAACAGCACCGGAGCAAGGAGACGCATAAGCTGGAATTGCAACCGGACGGACTGTCTGCTGTCTCTTTTCGAGGTTGGAGATGGGTAGTGCAGCAATGATCTTGTCGGAAACGGTGGACGGGCTGGCGATGCGAAGATCGCGTTTCTGAACTGTGGCTCTCGGTGCTGGGGTTATGACGCTTCCGCCAAATACACTATACACTGTTTGTGTGGTGGTTGCGGTATTAGTGTTGGTGGAAGTAGTTGTCGTGACACTAACACTTTCCACCGTCACTGTTGATGTGGAAGTACTGACATCTNNAACCATCAGTACGAAGCTTCCTTCCATTCTTGGTGAGCGATGTTCTTACTATGTGGCTGGAGTTACAGTGACTCGAAGGAAACTGCTACAATCGGCTACGCCCTGAGCGGCACGACCAGGTGTGTTTGTTGCACGAATGGAGCGGAGGCAAAGGTCAGCATTACATACCATTGACGATGTGGTGGTCAAGGCAGCAGCAAAAGAGCTCAGAGCCAGAAGAGAGAAAAGGGAGTGCATGACGAGAAAGAGCTACTGCAAGTCTTCGAGTCTCTTGAACACGACAAACTCACATCGAAGGCTGCGAAAGTGTCCGGCTTTATACAGCACAAGGAAGGGCCATCTGGTACATACCTTACCGTATTACACTCAGTCTGACTTCTTGGAAAGCATGTATCAACATCTTCGGCTCTAATGGCTTATGGTACTGATGGGCGAGCGCTGACTTTTGGTCACATGGGGAGTTTGAGATTGGTCTCGCTTCGAGCATCAACCCAATGAATAACCGCAGCTGGGCAGATCCGACGTCTTCAGCTAGAGTCCTCCGAACGTAATCCACAAGCTGAGAAAATACCCCGCTCGAAGGTGTGAAATAACGAGCTGAGTTGAGTAGATTCAGGATGCTTTTCAGCTCGGGCTTGCAATGTCAGCTTTCTCGCTTAGGAAGGTTCACGTGGCTAGCACAGAGCTTCAACCCTCGCCTACATTTGCTACGCGATTCTGTCGGACTTTGATCCATCAAGCCATCAAGTATTTGCAAGTTAACAACGTTGCCTCTAACATCATAGTCTATACATGCAGCGGGATGAACAAACTCGTAGACGCTAGTGTAGGTGCCGGCAATGGGGTCCAAACCTGTGTAGGAGTGGACATCATGTCAGTTCGACCATGATGATATCATATACCTATTCTGGCCATTTTCTTTGTGCGACTTCTACCTCTTCTGAGCCTTACTTCCATAAAAAACTCGATGTTGATGTGATAGTAATTGGTAAACACGACAGGCAGGGTCATCCCAAAAGCACGGAGATTAACGGAGACAAGCGGGAAAAACGTCACAGCTTTCACATGTTAACCGTCTCCCCAGCGCTGACATTTTTCTTCTTACCAACAACACTTTTTCATCAACACCTAGACGCAATCATGACAGACGCATCAACACCCCTCACAGCACTCTGCAACATCTGCCACAGCGCACCACCCAGATACACCTGCCCCCGCGACGCCGTCCGCACCTGCAGTCTCGCCTGCTCCCAAAGCCACAAACGCCGCGCCGCCTGCACAGGAATCCGCGACCCAGCCGCCTACATCTCAAAATCCTCTCTTCAAACCGCCGGCGGTATCGACCGCGACTACAACTTTCTGAGCGGGGTGGAACGCAACATCTCTCGCGCCGACAAAGAGACCAGTGAACGAGGAGTTTCGCTGGACGGAAAAGGCAAAGCTGTGTTTCAAAAGAGATGGCATGATAATGGGGCACTGGGAAAGTATTTGCGGGATAATGGGGTTGTGGTGCATAAAGCGCCGATAGGGATGGCGAGGCAAAAGGCCAATCAGACGAGGTTCATTGCGAAGAGTAAGAGGATTGTGTGGAGTGTGGAGTGGGTTGTTGAGGGTGAGAAGAGGGTTGCTGAGGTTGATGAGAGTAGGAGTATTGAAGAGGCTTGGAAGGAGTTGGTGGTTGAGAAGGAGAGGGAGAATAAGAAGAGAAAGAGGACACAGGAAGATGCAGGAGCAAAGGCGCAGAAGCAGAAGGTGCAATCAGAGAAGCCTGACGCCGACAAATCAAAAACACAAGTTGTGGAAGGTGCGACAACTGAACTGGAATCAGAAGGATCAGCGACAAACGAGCCCTCGGTCGCTCCTTCTACACACGAAACCACAACACAAGACGCACCTTCACAGCAAGAACAAGCATCCGAGGACACCACTTTACCACAGGAGAACACCCACTTCTACCTTCACAAACCACACACCTCATCAACAAACACCGTCCTCATTCCTCTGACCCCAACAACAACTTTAACACACGCCCTCCATCAAAAACATGTCCTCGAATTTCCCACAATATACGCCTTTATCTCAAACATACTCGGAACAACAAACCCCTTGCCCAAAGGCTTTATAACTGTCCAGCAATACAATGCCGAAAGATCAGCCGAGGATCAAGAGTTGATGGGATTGATGGAGTCGATTCCAGATGGACAGAGAAAGATTGCCTTGGATGGAGGTATCTTTGGCGGTGGTGAGGAGAAAAATGAGACGGTGGATGAGAAAGAGATTTTGGAGGTGCTGCAACGGGATGCTGATGCGCTAAAATAGTATTTTAGTGGCAGATCTTCAATGCATGATACCTTTGCCCTCAGGCAAGTAGTAGTTCTCCTCGATCAGCTCTCCCCTCCTTTGTTGCTCGTGCTTTTTGATCAAAGTGTGGCTACGTAGACATCCCTAGAATAGTCACCCCTGTCCTGGCTTTTACAGCAAAACTTTAAGCTTCGCTTGAGTTGTGTTGGCCTTTGTTGTATACACCGACTAGAAGACGTACATGGAATGCTCGTCATGTCAGAACATAACTAAAGAATGGACATGGATAGGCGAATCTTGTGTTCTGCAGTGATTGACAAAGTCTGGTCTGAAAAAGTGATCTTGTCGATCTATACGATATCCGAGGAGGGTTTCTCTTCTGTTTCCTCCCCCAAAGTCGTCGCTCTAGGTAGCGGCGGTGCTGGATTTCCAATCAGTCATGTCTGTCGAAAACTCCATCAAGCCGTCATCGAAGATACGGACACCCTGGATGTTGTAGGGGTTTTGATTCGATTCTAGGTCTAATTCCTGATGCAACGTGCTGATGTGCACGATTCGATGTGGTGGAGTGTGCTCTTGAGTCTTCCTCCATTCGGATACCGTAGTCGTACTCGTCCCCGTCATCAGTCTTAGTTGGAGAGGGTTGTTGACGGGGTGAGGACGAGCCATACTAATCCTTAGACGATGGAACACGAGGTCGTCCTGNATACCTCGCAAGAGAAACTGTTGGTTAGTATAACCAACGAGCTGGGTTGTAAAGGTGCAGGTGTCGCCGTGCGCATGACATGCAACCCCTTTGATGACACAACCTTCTGCTAGAATCGAAAGCCAGCGTAATGCGGTGCTCACCACCGTCATATCGAAGGAAATGTCGTCAGACGAGTGGCGGCTTGGGAGCGATGGGTAGATCATTGAGGCCAAAGCCGTCCATCCACGGCTCAAAATGAGGTCAAGCGGATAAATCTCCAGTCTTCCCGCCATATGACCGACACTGCTGGCGCCGTTTTCGATGAAAGCAGTGGCTAAGCTAGGCGTCGGAATTTCCAGAGCGAAGAATATAGCTGGGCTCGTTGTCGACTCTGAGAACGCGTCGATCTGTCCCGAGGATATGTGAGTATTTAGAGATACCCCAGCCTTGACGAGACTAGGGATGAGGCTGAGGTTATTGTTCTTGAGCACCCAGATGAGAATATTGACATCTCGACTAAATACTGATTTCACATACATCTTCCTCACAGCATAGTCCACCATTTCTGGTTGAGAACCTCCAGCATGAAGAGCTTTCAGCACATGTTTTATGGTGCGTGATTTCCAGAGTGAACGTCCGCAGCACGAATCCATCGTGTCAACTGTAGCGAGAGATCCTGAAGCGATTGCTAGATCTAGCGGAGTGCGACCTTCACGATCGCGCACATCCACTGAGTCCAAGGTTAAATCCATCAGGAAACCCACGATCTCGAAATTTCCTTGCTCAGCAGCATAGTGTAGACTTGTTCGCCCAGTCACTGGACGGATATCTCTCTGTATCATCCTGCTCTTATACCTATACACTTTCTTGAAGGTATCGAACGAGCCTCGACTGGCGGCTAGGTGTAAAGGCCATAGTCCACCATGATCGTGCAGATGTATGTTCAAGTCCTTCTGTAAGGTTAAACCCAGCTCTAATAAAGGGGAATGGTTGTGACATATGGCCCAGCCAAGGATTTTGCCACTGAGTGGCCCTGGACTTTGGAAGTTCCATGGAAACATCCCGAAATCCACGTCCTTGTATTTCTCCTTGAGCTTGCGTGTTTGCAGTGAGTCTCTTGGATCGACGAGGACAAGCTCTTCGAATCGTTGCCAGATGTCCGACTTGGCCATGATACCACAACTGAGTGATAGCCAGTTGGCCCGAGCATAGCTGTGGAACGGTCCATATAGTTTCTTTGAAACATCGTGGCTTGTATGAAGTGTCAAGACCATAGGGCCTTGACTGTCTTCGGAAGATGTGGGTGTTGGTTTTCGTCCGCGTAGCGAGGGACTGACCACACGCGAGATTACTCGAGGGTACGAAGGAATCCACTTGCTCATCTTTGTGATTGGTGGTAGATATACCTGAGTAGTGTTACCATTTGGTGCCGACATCTTAGCCTGACCAGTGGGGGAGACTGAAGCATGCCATATCAGATGCGCAATACACATTTCGCCAAGATCCAATTCAGCGTTATCCCATATGGACAGCTCGAAACTCTTGAGTATGTCAGCCTTAGAGCTTCCCAGGAAATTTTTGACAGAGTGATGGGCTGGGGTGACTAGTCTATCCACCTCATCGAAAGAGATCAAATTCGCTCCAGATTGCACAATGATTGGGTGTCGTGGAACGTCCTTCTTTCCAAGCTCTCCAGTCTCAGGATTCGTTGCTAGAGCCTCTCCCAGAGCATCTATTGTGAGGGGAGTCTTGGCGCCACAAACATATTTCAGGATTCGCAGGGAGTGCACCTGTTGGTTCTTTTCGAGTCGTTGTAGACACCGTTCATACGTTTGTTCCAGATCCTTAGGCAGATCGGAAAGAGTCATGTCGATTTCCGCATCCGTAGTGCAGGTAGTCCAGAGGACATCGATCTGTAACCGTGCCCATAAAAACCTGAACCAACGATGAGTATGTTGTATGTATGTGAACGCTTTACCGCATGCGATTGTGCAGGCTAGCGGATGAGTATGATCTCGTACGTACATCTCTCCCGCTTGTTCTATCAACCTTTTCTCGATTTGGTCTATAGTTCTCGCATCATTCGATATCGGCCCGTCGGACCTGCTGCGTTCTTCCATGTGTTGTTTGATGAACAACGCGACATCGGTTGTGGTCTTCGCGCGTGTAACCTCAAGACGTAAAGAGCCGGGAAGTCGTCTGGTGATATTCAATTCATCCCGCCCACAGATAATGACCTGGACCGGTGTGTCCTGAAGCAAGTTCGACAGGCGATCGAGAGCGATCTTGTACTCTGGCGGCGAACACAAATCAAGTCCATCAAGCACAAGAAACGAGCGTTCGAATCCCTGCAGGAGTGAGGTCAGAATTTCTTGCACAAGCTCATTGCAGCTTGGTCGATAACCACGTGCGCCAAAGATACGCTTGATGGCAATCGCCATTTGTGCTGGTGGCTTCTTCTGACACCTGTATGAGTGTCTGAGAAATTGTTTGATACAACTTCGAAGAAGACTCTCGGTCTTCAGTGTGTCGTGCTTGTTAGGATCGAAGTAGAAGTGTGCGACAGGATCTTGGTTTCCCAGATCTAGTAGAATCTCGATAGCAGTATTGCTTCCATAATCAGCATCTCAGTCTAGTAAGATAGGCGTTACTTACGCTAGGAACGTCTTTCCGCAGCCTACNTGTAAACGTGTAAGCGCAAGCTCAAAGATACGTCAAACTGACTTACCTATTCCAGATATCCACAAGCACTTTTGATGGCTATTTATCCATGACAAGATTTCTCCCACGATCCATCGAGTGGTGCCCTTGGTCTTCTGCATCATAATCTTGCAGTGTTCACGCTGTGGCTGATATTCCGATATACGCTCTAATAAATCTCGAGTATCACCCTCTATCGAATGAGCTTCGCTGCAATTCCAATCCACGCGCAAGGAAGTACTCACCACTGTTGGCAAGCTGCCAGTGAGAGTCACGACTAAGTGTGTAGAAATCTTGATCTTCGTCCTGGGCCACTCTTTCAATGGTCTGGAGGATCATGCCAGATGATTGCGCAGGTGGCTGAACTATGTACACAGCTGTAAGCGGAACGATGTGCTTGAATACATGAATTCTGACACACTTTGCCACTCACCCAGTCGCTCCACACAACTGCGCAGATCACTCTGTACAGCTTCTGTTTGTAAGTGATCTGCTGTCATAGACTTGATGGTGGAGAGTTGCTCCGTCTCTGCCAGACCGATGTCGCCTAAACCACGAGGAACGTTGAAACGGAAGCACCTCTTCCTTTCGAAAAGCCCGGAGTGCTCTCGATGAAATTGATTGGCAGTAGTTTCGGTCTCGGTCGCGATGGCTAGTAGTGCTTTCCCAATGCCCAGAGCCGTCTCTTCGAAAGGTTTGTAACCAGGCTGACCCGTGCCGATAGAAACCAGGCAACCAAGATTGCCTGGCAGGGACTCCTGCCGGGACAGAAGGTCCGTAGCTTCGCCCCAAATGTGACGAACAGGGTTGTTCGCGCCAGTTCCTCCATCCAGAAACCGTTGCTGGGGCTCACCGATACTGATTGAATCGAAGAATGTAGATGCTGCTGAGGTAGCACGAGCAGCTTCCCAGATACGAACTGTCCTGTATAGGTCTGGATCTCCTCTTGTCGTGTGCCAACTTCGGAGTAGAGAAGTCTGTGAGGTCTCGCCGCTCGTACAACATACGAAGCTTCATACAGTCAGAAACATATCTCAAGCGATGACTCAGTGTACCAACAGTTTGGTCCCTCGAGGATTCTTGAGTAGCGCGTTCTCATCCATATCGCGATTTCGCAAGACGTTCTTGACAGCGAGTTCCAGAGCTTCACTGTCGTAACGCTCTTTGAGGTCTCCTTTAATGCCAATGGGCGCCCTTCTCTTTTTATGAAACACCTCCTTGGACAGTTCGGAGTAAGCCTTGATGCATTCATCGACACTCATCTCGAGACGACCCAGCATGATGGCGATAAGNACTTATCTGCATCAGTCATGTATGATTGGACCTTGCTCAGGCAACACTTACCCACCAGTGCTCGTTCCACCGATGAGATCAAAATAATCGCAAGGCTTGGGCGGATTGTCTGGATCGATCGAATTCATGATTCGCTGCAGGATGTATAAGGAAGAGAGGCCGCGAACACCTCCGCCATCCAGGCTAAGAAGGTTGAAGTTTCTACCAGGCATCGTCTGATATCAGCAAGGCGGCACACGCGATCGAAAAGGTCCTAGGCCAGAAGACGGGTGATGCATCGCTTTATCGACAAAACGAACCGGGGTCTCGAGCTTTCAGGCCAGCTGCGCCTGGTAAGAGGAGCTAAGCGTCGGCGCTCCATTGGTGTGGCTTGCAGAGGCGGCAGCACTATACGATGGCCGCGTGATACGCGCTGCATAATGCATGAGGAAACTCCGAGATAGCAGACGAGGAGCGATCGCGCTCATTATGGTTCAGATGATCTGGACATTTTGACATGCACGAGACGGTTGGAACTGATGTAGAGAATCTTGAAAATTTGTTTGTTTTCCTTTGCAAAGTGTGGAAAGTCACAGAGGTTGTTATAGTGGAAGGAGCAAAGGTTGAGCGCGTGGGGTGTGGCTGGCGTTGCCGATCATCTCCGAGTGGGGCATTGTTGCCATCGATGGCCATCATGATGATACCAACAGGTCAAAATGAGAATATGGTCCTTCCATTCAGTTGTGTTCATTGCGCCATCTCTACCTTTCCCATCGTTTAGTAGTATTGTAACCTCTCCTTCGTCCATCCAGGTCTGAGGTAATCCGAATCGAAGCCAACATCGAACCCTGAAGCATGTACACCAAGCACACTAACACTAACAGAAACACTCGCATCAACATCATCCTGAGACCAAATCGACAACCCAATAGTATTGTTACCATGATAATCCAAGATACCAGGGAAAACCGGGAACTCAACTTGATTACCGATATAAGGAACGAACTTGCCAAACTGATATCCGTTGACGTAAAGCTGAGCTCTCAGCTTCGAGCTCTTGGCTGCGTGAAGGTTGAAAGCGAGAGAGATGTCGTGGCCTTTGGGAAGATCGAGAGGAAGGATGGTGCGGTAGAAACTTGCTCCTGCAGTATTGAGACCAGTAGACGGCGAGCTGGAAGCCCACTTGCTGTCGTCGAAGCCGGGAAGGTGCCAACCCAGACGCTCGGCGTGTAAACCGCCTTCATTGTAGGGGCCGCGGATAGGATCGATGTTCGCGCCGCCACCAGCCTTTCCTGCTACCTTCCAGGAAGTGAACTTCGCACCATCGGCAAGAGTGGCATTGAGGATACCGCGAGGGTTGATGGCACCAGTAGTCTGATCTTTGCCCATGTGATCCTGGATAATGAACAAAACGTTCTCTCCACTCTTTACAGCGTCACCGAACTTGAGTGTTTGGTTGGTCTGCGAAAGCTTGATGTCGCCAAAAGTCGAACCGACGAACTTGCCATTGAGCCAAGCTGACCAACCACTACCGGTGCCGCCGATGACGTTCAGGAACATACCGCTGCTTGTTCCATTGAAGCGCCCACGCCAGAGAATGTTTCCGCCGTGAAAGCCATACTCGTCGGCATAGAGAATATGATCCGTTGCAGGCTTGTTCCAGTGGGGCGTAGTAGTGTGGTTGGCATCCATCCATCTCGAGTCATCATAGTCAGCCTCACGCTCAGGAAGACCGTCCGCGACCTTCCACTGAGATAGCGCAGGAAGGGAAGCAGACAATGATGTTACAGTGACTTTGTCCTGACTAAGCTCTCCCTTGAGACTGCCATAGCCGGAACCTTTGACAGTGACGCACTCGCCGTTGAAGGTGACCTTCTTGACACCTGCAGCAAAGACTTCAAGGGGAGTGGTTCCATTGTAATCGCCGACTAGAGCAAGAGTGTCGCCCTCTACACCAGCAGTGCGGACGAGGTATGGTCCAGTGATCAATGCAGTCTTGTCGAGAGGTACATGAGGATCGTTGGTCAAAGTAGTGTGCCAGAGCTTGTAGGCGTGCGATCTGTCAACGATGATGGCAGTCACGCCATTGCTGTACTGGAAGACACTCATTCCAGAGCCTTGTGCAAAACTCGTAATGACACCGTCTTTGGTCTGGTAGAAGCCAACGCTGGAGCAGCCATTGCATTGCTTGACGCTTCCATATTGGGCGCCCTTGAGATAGAATTCGCCACTTTCTCCTGTCGGTACCCAGAAGACAATGATGGGTTTACCACTCTGTATAGACACAGCCAAGACTTCGGCAGTAGAGTAGACAATCTTCTGATCTCCAGCATTGTAGTCCGAAACAAGAATCTTGGATTCTCTTCCATTGATGCGAATGTCAGCAGCATGCTGAGGCACCTGGAATTCTCCAAGAGAGGTAGTCATGTTTTGCTTGAAGGAGAGAGAAGTCTGCAGTGTTGTGTTTGCATGTCTGACAACATAAAATCGAGCATTGTTCTCGACATTGTACAGAACTTGAGTGAAGACATTAGCGTTGGTGGTGAGATTGGTACCGTTGGTGCCTCTTTCGATTAGAGGGAGATCTTTAGCAGATCTGATGAAGTAGCCGAGCAGTTTTGCCTCAGAATATTTGTCACCTATAAGACGATCCTCTTGAATTGGCGCAGAGTAATCGTAACTAGTGCCAACTAATGGGAATGCCAGGGCGCCCCAGTTGGTTCTTCAGAAGGCATTGGTCAGCAACGATTCCTATAGACTATGTGTAGAGCATAACTTACCCNNGCCGTACAACATGTACATGTTATGAGCAGTAACCTTTTGGGCAATGTTATTCCTGTAGAACACATTCACCCAGTCAGGTCCGGTATTGTTTCTGCATCCGCCAGCGGGGNNGCCATCCCAAGGGTTATAAGAACCACCCTGAAACTCAGCTAAGAAGGAAGGATCTCCAGGTGCTGTCTCCTGGAAGTGGGTGTGATAGTCGAGAACAGTAAAGTCAGGAGCCGGAGAGTTGGTGGAGCTACACTCTTGGAGGTTGCAACTCCAGCATGAAGGATAGTTGTCGACAGCGTACAACCAAGTATCGCCGCCAACCTTGTTGATGTCATAATCCATGGACCAAGACTTGCTTCCTAGATTAGGGTTGTTATGCACGGTAGGCATGTTGATGCCAGTGTCGTTTGCAACAGTCTCTAGAAGTTCCATGTAGTGGATAGCAGTTTCGTTGGGAGTTCTGCGAGCAGTGTTTGTCCATTGGTAGCCGTACTCGTTCTCGACCTGGTAGAAGATGACGTTGCCACCATTCACGATCGAATGCTCAGCGATGATACCATTAACGGTCTCGATATAAGGCTTCCAAGCCTCAGTGTATCTGGTGTCATTGTTACGAAGAGAGCCATACGCACCAGTCGTCACCCAGCCAGGGAAACCTCCGCCAGTACTTTCAGCATTGATGTAGGGTCCAGGACGGTAGAAAATGTATAGACCAAGTGACTTGCAAGTCTCGAACAGGCTGGTAATATTGTGGGCACCAGACTCGAAGTCGACAACGCCATCGCGCGGCGCGTGAAAACCNCCTGTATATGATGAGATCTTTGACTTGTCTATTTCACCACTGTTTCCTACTTACCAGTGAGAATAGAAGGAGACTGCATTGAATCTGTCCGTATCTTAGATAGTGCGACTTGAAGTATCGGTGGTTGACTGACCCNNAGCAGCCTTGACCTTATGCAAGACATCAACCCAGAGCTCAGGAACGGGTATTCTCCAGTAGTGCATCNNTGTACAACATCAGATCAATGTTGTGTCATCTTGGCCAGCAGTGCGACATACCTCTCCAGACCAAATGAACAAACGTTCACCGTTCACTTTAAAGCTGTAGTGGTCCCATTCAACCAAGTCAGTGACGCCATTGCTTCGGAGTGGCCATTGTGTCTCCTGTGCTTGAGAGAGGGCAGCAAGACCCAATGGCAGGGAAAGCGTCAAGTTCTTTAACAGTCCTTTCATACTGTCCGTTGGCCCAAAAAGCTACAGCAAGAGATTCTAGACAACCAGGATGTCAGGGCATGGGTGATACTTATGTTACGCTGCCCGCTCTATCAGCCAAGCAATGCCAACCATACATGACATGTCCGTCTAACTGGATGCAGCATCTTCTTCGTTTGAATAGGGCTCCAGCACGGGAGAATAACACTTTACCCACAGAACTCGCAGGGAATATGAGACGGAAAAATAGGTGCACGGTGGCTGTACGAAGTGGCGGGTACGCGAGCAAGGAAATGAGGGAAATGGTGGATCGACATGGTATAGACATGGAATCAATCTACCGAGCACGTAGGAGTGCGATCTCTGCTTCTTGATGTCACGATCAGTATTGCCGTCTGTTTTTCGCTAGGCACTTTGACAGGTGCTTACTTTCACTCGATGTCCAAGTAAGAACCAAGACTGGGTGGGACGAAGAAGAACAGGAAGAAACGGAGGTGAGTGTGGGGGTTTCTGCCCTGAAAATGTGGAGTCAGGATGGCTCGTGCATGTACATCACCTTCCTTCCCCATCGGGATTTCTTCGTCCTGCCATCCAGTTCAGTAGACAAGCGAGAAACGCCGTGCCTGTAGAAGCAAGAACGATCACGTTCGAAGCATACAGACTTGTTTGGATTGATAGCAATATTGATATTACACGTTAAGTGTTCCAGTGAATAGTATATAAATAGAATAACGAGATATCCAAAATCGAAACAAAACACTTATAATCCAGAATCGATCTGGTTGACCACAGTCGTGTTGCTGTACGCAGACCAATCACGACAAGTCTGTGCCATGACATATGGAATCTCCATCTCGTCGGTGACATATGGGGTGTTGACGAGCAGATTGATGTTCATGCCTTCACTGATGTGCCAAGCGATATGACAGTGGAAAGGCCAAACACCCCAGTTGTCGAGCTCAATCTGGATAACGAGGAAGCCATTGGGTTGAACGAGTTGAGTGTCGCGGCGTTGAGGGTTTGAGGGGTTGGTGATGGAGACGCCGTCCCAGGTTCCGATACCTTCGCTGAGGATTTGCATGTTGAAGCCGTGAATGTGCATGGGGTCTGGGATTTTATTAGCATGATTTGTGAATCTGTTGAGAAGAAAAAACTTACGAGAAGCAGGGAAACCGACACTCTGCATGATGATGCGGACAGTTTTGTTGGTGCCCAGATCAAAGACACGCGACTCGGTAGGGAAGTCGAGATTACCAAGCTTGGCCTCGAGAAGAGTGGGATCATTGTAGTTGGCATTGTAGGTCTCGTTATTCATGTACCATTTGAAGGCTCCAGTTGCGTTGTAAGCAGCGGACATGGTGAAGTTGAGGACAACGTCAGGCTCCTGAACGGCAATGGGGTACTTGGGGACTGTGAGGTTCAAGGGCTGGTTGTTGCAAGCGAGAGGGAAGTAGGTACGAGACACATCAATAGTGTTGGAGGTAGTGGGAGGCTTGCTAGTATCAGCATCTTCGTAGTAGATGGCTGCGAGGGCCTCGACGCTGTTGCCATCGTTCAAACTGCAACCAGTTTGTCCACGAGGAGGTCCAAGTCCAGAAGGTCCTTCAGTCATGCGCATCCAAACTGCATCGGTGCTGTTACCGGTGGCTTCAACAATGATATCGGTACGCTGACCAACAGAGAGAGTGACCAAATCAGTATAGTAAGGCTCAACAGGAACAAAGTCGTTGGCGACAACCTTGAGCTGGTATCCATCGATCGAGAAGAAAATAACAGCCTCGGCAGCATGATTGACCAGACGCAAAAGATGCTTCTTGCCACTTTGGAAGCGGAATTGAGCAACACCTGCATTCTGAGTACATGTGAGGTTGGTGTTTGTGCAGTTGTAATTGTTCTTTCCATTGATGAGCATGTTGTTGGCCATGGGAGGGAAGATGGGTCCGAATTCGGAAGCAACAAAGACCTGTTCAACCAAAGTGTAGTAATCGGCGTGGAACCAGTCAGTCAACATGACGGGACCGAGATCAACATCGTACGCGTCGGCAACAGGCCCGTGAATGATGATGGGACCAGCCAAGCCATTAAGATACTGAGCAGACCAGTGAGAGTGCCACCAACTGGTACCATAAAGTTCGGCGCGGAAGCGGTAAGTGAAAGTTTTTCCAGGAGCGATCGGGCATTGAGAGATACCAGGAGTTCCATCATACCAAGGGGTACCTTTCTGGAGGAATCCGTGCCAGTGCATGGCAGTGCCCTCATTGAGATTGTTTGTAATCTTCACCTCGATCCAGTCACCNCTAGAGATTGTTAGACACGATGTTATGTGTACACTGAGAATTTTACTCACCCAATTGGCCTCGATCAAAGGTCCTGGGAACTGTCCATTGACTACCAGAAGTCCGAGTTCGACACCATCTGGAGCCATGGTTCTGTTGGAGATTTCCCATTCATAGTAACGAGTCATGCCAGTATTGGGAACATTCTTCTCGTTGTAGGGATTTGTGTCGTTTTGCTGTCGCAGACCCCAAGGGCAACCTTGAGGCAAGGGACCATCTGACCATGCTGCAAAGTCAGACTGGTTGAGTGTACCCCATGTGCTGAGACCTNNGGAAAAATAGAATCAGTAAGAGCTCTCAGGATGATATAAGAGACACGAACCATTGGTAACATTTTGAGGAAGTGCAGCGCTAGGAGACCAAGGGTGAGATGTAGCTGCTGGCCATGAGGCATCTTTTACAGGAAACGCGCTCCAATGATTATAAGCTGCCGGAGTTCCTTGAGGGACAGAAGCAGATGGACTTCCAAATTGAGGACCCCACGCAGAGACGACAGCGGATCCCCAAAGTGCCGCAGCCGAAAGTCTAGTTACGGCCATCTTGTCAAGTGTGAACAGAAAGAAGAGTCAAGCGAACAGGTATATAAGGGCGTAGTAGGACGTGTATCGGGTGTATGCGGGATTCTGAAACGAAAGACTGGTAGGGGAACGAAAGATTCAAAGGTTGCACCTTGAGTCACTGGTGACGGAGAAGCTGGGAATGCGTCCCAACTATATAACAGGTCAAGAGGCACAACCACCTACCAACATAATGGGTACTTGGTTGCCAGCAGCATCCGCTCGCTAAGGATCCGCTCCTTCACAGTAGCTTCCCACCCAGCAAACAAGGCCATAACAAGAAGCTAAAAGTTGGCAAATGACTCTCGAGCCAATCCTGCCAGGGCGGGTCTGTAGTAAGTGGCGGAACTGCTTGCATAAGGCAGTGGACGAGCGAGGGAGAGTTGTTGGGTAAAGCGGTACCGTTTCTATGGCACACACACCTCCACTTGTCATGCATGCAGAATCTCTTAGCTGTTCATGCATGTTGAAATTTTAGCTTTGTGATCTCTCTGGAGAGTTCCACTGCCAGATCAATCACCAAAGGAGTCGAGGCGGCCTCGACGGCACATCGTACTTGTAGATACCTACTCCAGGTACATGTACAGCTGGTTCAGATATAGGGTATGAGGCTTGCCACGTTCATGTTGCTCTGTTGTATTTTCGTAATGTCGAAGCATTCAATCAAGGCTCCACAGGCTCAACATTGCCTTGACCTCATCAGACCTCATTCCCACACTTGCATATCTGCAGAGTCGTACAGCAATAAATCTCCGAGATAACCAGGATGAGTGTGTTGTGCAAGGATAGCCCTTCAACTTGACCCGAGGGATGGGACCCAAGGACGGGACGTTGCTTTTATAAGCGTCATAATTGCCGTGAAGTTCAAAGCTTGGCGGGTTTGCTTTCCTCTCTAGCCACAGCTTCTTGTTTTTGGTGCCTTGGTGGAGCTTGTTCTCCCATCTTTTTGCGCCATTCCAACGACAGTGGGGTAGCTAGTGTTGACCACACGTCCTTCAACAACAAGAACCCGCGGCATCGTTCAACATTGCTACACAGACATTTGACTTGTTATTGGCACTTTAATCCATGACGATGCTTTGCTTACACGTCCAAAGTTTAGTACATGCATGCAGCACGCGCTGTCCAGCCGGGCAAGAACACCCCTTGCATGCTATTGCTGCTTACGCGAACCTTGTTCAAGGCAAGGATCATGCCTCTGCCTCGTTGTTTATCACTCCTTCAACACATGGATGAGGATGATTATCAAACAGAAAAGTGTTTCAGGCATGGATCTCGTGAGTAAACACTTCTCGCCAAGTGCTGCGTGTAGTCACGAAGCCAAGGTAGAGATGTCTTGGGAGTTTATGCATCAATCCGAGTGGTCTCGAGTTTTGCCAGTCGCAAAGCAAACCCTTGATCACCCTCTCTGCGGATTGATACACTCCCAACAGACTTTGATCTCGACTGTTCTTCTTACCGACTGGATGCCTGCTATTCATTGCTAACGCCGTCCACGAACCTGCATCGGAGAATTTCTCTTGATGTCAAGTCGCTCGTACAGCATTCGGACTCCTAACCGCTGGTGTCACGCGTCGGTCAAGCACGTTCGGCAACCTGCCGGATTGACGCCTTTGTGTACTACAGCGAGTATAAAGCTCATGAGTATCCTGTCTTATATCTCTGTTGCTTCTACGAGTCTCAGCTGCTACACATCTCGAGATGACAGCTGAAGTCCTCCATGGAGATACGAGAAGGTACTTCTGGCGTGTACCCATCACCCAGAAAGGAATACCGTCCACGTTGATCCACTCCCACAACCACCCAAGCTCCTAGTAAACCCACCAAGCCGCTACTCCCCGTGGCATCATTAAATCGAGATGAGGGTACTGATCGCGAGGAAGAGAGCGCGTGTGATGGAAGTGGCGACAAACAAAAAGCCGTGGGTTGTGAGGGGAGCCGAAGCGGACTTCTATATCCCACTCCTCCAACTTCCAAGAAACACAAAACCCACACCCAAGAATATTCCAAGTACGCCCACAACACGAAGAAAAGGAAAACAAAGTCAGCTGCTCTTCCGATTAGACATCCCAAGCAAAACTGTCAACTCATATCCTCGGAAAGGACTGCTGGATTGACCGTGGAGAAAAAATGTCTCACTGTGAGGACTTGACAGGCAGCCTGGAAGTACCATCCCCACGTGCATTGTCTGGAACCCGTAAGCCATGCTTTGCTTCTTTATATTGTGATTCGGTAACTCGGCATCCTGATTCCTACTCGACTCTCTAGGGCGACCTCAATCGAGACTGTTGCCTTATAGAGGAATTGATCTTCCGTCTCGTCTACAGCAATTCGCTATCGGTCATTTGGCTCTGATGCGAATCTTGGTTGAGTGCTTGGATAATCACAGCCGTTGAGATTGATCAAGAAGTTGGTGTGCACGTTGTTTTGCTCTTGTCATCGCTTTGCAACATGTCAATCACACGATGTATATCCGGCTCAATCGCAAGCTTTTGGCTTAACAAAATCCTTGGACATGGCGTCGACGGGCCAAGGTTATCTCGAAGCCATGTGTTTATGCACGAAGCATGGCAACGCCCCTGACAGCTGTTCGCTATACGCCTCCTCGTCAGTATTTTCGCCCACTCTATCTTTGGAAAGCTGAAAAGGGACCATCTCGTCAGGAGGCGCATCCAGACAAAGTATGTTGATATCAAAGACGATCTTGAAGAAGCTCTCGACAAGTCCTTCGCTCGTGGCAACTTCGAGGAGTCGATCACAAAGCTTAGTCTTGTTACAAAGTTACAAATAGATGACCGGGTGAGACGACACGTAGAGACCTGCCAGTGGTAATCATGCAACAATCTAGCGCCTTGCTCGCCAGTCGAAATTACGGTTGCAGGTATTTGCATCTTGATACCGACACATCCTTCCACGCAACTAGGAGGTTAGCACGAGACCACGTCTAGGCTTGCACTGTCTCTTCAAATTAGATCGCGTTTGTTCTTTTTGGGAGACTTTCTCTTACTTTGGTATGATACTTGAAAGATCCGCATGATCAAGATACTACTCTTACCACACTGGCGTTCTGTCCCTGTACTACACTCCTACCCCATGATTATAAGCATGTAGCATTACCTAGCATAGTCTCGTCGACTGAACGACTTGATAGAAAAGACAGGGTTATACTTCATACAAGTATATTTATCATTGACAACAATGTCATGGGTAGTATCTTCCATTATTCCTTCCTTCTTTGAGCCTCATTATATCCCTGATATGTTCAGATTGGTATGCTTGTATACCAAGTCAAAGTAAAAGGATTTTCAAGGTTGATATGGCCCAATACGTGCTTCCATTTTTTCATCTACGCTCACATTTAGTACACACATAATGACTACTATAACGAACTCCCAATTTTACATCAAGTCCTTTCCATTCCACCAACAGTGTAGCCTTCCAGACTACAGTGCCCATGAACGAGGAAGAGATGACGGCACGATAGAATCGAAACAGAATCAAGATAGTGTAAGAAACTAGCGATCAGGATTCGACTGGAAATTTGGAAAGGCACGACCGAGCAAGAGAGAGGCAGACACAATAGACCAAGAAGAAGGAGTGATCAAGGATGAAGAAAAAACTTACAAAATATGAAAACCAGGGACAACTTCGACGGACCGGGAAAGGGGCGATTCAGCAAGTGAGGAGGGAATTGAGTAGAAGCGGAAGGAACGATTACATAAAAGAGGAAGGCAAGATCAACTCAAAGTGGAAGGCACGGTCAGGCATGCGAGGAAGGAGCGACAAAGTCCGACAGACAAGAACGACCAATCGAACCAGGAAAGAACGTTCACGACCAAGCAAAAAGTGATGAACACTCAAGCAGGAGGAAGGAGCGGTCCATAGTCAGTAAGGAGCCAAGGAGTCAAGGACGGAATGACCCAATTGGGTTGAGCAACGAAGAGAGCACAACGAAGGAGAACACGACAAAGGAACAAGGTGGAATCAAAACAGCATCTTGGAAATTCATCATGCATGTCATTCCACGTTATCTAGAAAGTCTGAACGAAAAAAAGGCTCGAAATCGCTATAGCCTGTAAAGACCCCCATCCCGCTATGAAGAAACGAGCAACCTCCCATGATAATCAACAGAAAGTGTGCAATCCCCCATCTATGACTGTGTCGTGTCGTGTGATCCGTCACTTTTGTTCTAGCCCTTTCGAGTTGGAAAGGGAGAAACGAAGACAACTTTTATGCCAAAGCCTTCTCCTGCTCCTCGATCGACTGCTTCGAGGGCAGCTCAACAGCCTTGTACAACAAGATCAAGGCAGAATGGCTCTCACCACCTCCAGAAAGAGTCTCGACCTTTTCGGCCTCGACTTCGCTGACCTTGTCGTCGTTGAACCACCACCACTTGCCATCCTCCTCGCCAACAGTACCGTCGGCGTTCTTGCGACCGGTCTTCTTGATGTATGATGTGTAGTGACCGCTGTCGGCGCTGGAACCCTGGTGAGTAATGACACCGCGAAGTTCAAAGAGACCAGTCTGGTTAGCGGCTTCATCAGCGGCAAGTTCAGGCGAGACTTGGGCGAGGAGGTCCTTTCTCATGGCAAGAATCTTCTCGGCGCGCTCTCTCTCAATCTCGGCATCGGTCTTGTAGGTCTCGGTGCCGCCCATTTCGGTATCACCGCCGGATGCGCTCATACCAACAGCCTTTTGCTTAGCAAGCGGGGCGTCGGTGTCGGGGCCAGTTGCCTTGGTCTCCTTTTCCTTGCGCTTCTCCAGAGGCTCAGAGGCATTGCCAGCCAGGTCATCGCGTTCCTTTTGCATTCTCTTTTGTCTCTTCTTGGCACGTTCAACATCCTCCTGCTCTTTGCGGACCTCGCGAATGCGGTCGCGGATGGGGATGAGTTGCTTCTTGAGCTCCTCAGTACAGAACTCAACAGCGTCGAGCTCCATGGGAAAGGTGACCTTGCGCATAATCTTCGCCTTTTTCTGGGTATCCTTGCGCCAGAAGAAGCGAACAAAGTGTACAGGCATGTACTTGGGAAGGCGAGAGATGCGGGAAGATTTGGTATATACAGCCTCGCGACCGAGTGACTCTGAACGCTTCTCAATCTTCTCGTTAAGGGCGATCATAACGCCTTCGCGGAGGTGGTTGGTGTCGCCGCGGATGTTGCAGTCGAGCTTGAAGAAGACGTCGCTACCCTTGACAGGCTCTTCGGTGGCTTCCGACTCGTCACAGGTCATGACTGATTGGGTGGTGCCGGCCATGAACTTGTCAACCCAGTTGTTGCCACGGACGTTAGCCGAGGCTGATGATGAGGACTGTTCCTGCTGAAGCTTCTGGCGAAGCATTTGGATGATGGAAGACCAGGCTTCTTCGGCGTCTTGCTGTGCGTAGCCGTGGCCATCCTTTGCCTTTTGGTTGAACTGAGGGTAGCTCTGGCGGAGAGCGTTGAGGAAGACGAGAGGAGGAAAGCCTTGCTGAGTCTCGCCCATCTGCTTGTACAAGTCGCGGAGGGAACCAGTGAGGTCGGTGGACGAGCCAAGGCCACCGAGACCAAACTCGCTGAGGTTGCCGAGGCTGGACGAAGGACCAGCGCTGCCGCTNGTGAACGTGTCAGTTGAAGGTAAAGGGTCTTCAGTGTAAGAGTGGGCATACCTGTCCTTGTAGGTGTCGAGGGCGTCTCCGAGCTCGGGTATGCTCTTGAGGGTCTGAAGGGCGGAGTTGAGGTAGCAGGTGTTTCCAAGGTTCTGGAGACCGGCGGGGGTAGCACCAGATACTTGAGCGGCCTCGGCTTCAGTCATATCCTCGAGGAAACGGATCTTCTCGGTGGGGCGGTCGACCTGGGAAGCGGCATCGCCAGAGGGAGTGCCCATCATCATAAACTGCTGACCAGGCTTGGCCTTGAGGGATGAAAGAGCAGTGTCATCCTTGAGCTGGCCTCCCTTGATGAGGATCTTCTGGCGTTCGGGCTCGACGTTGGTGAGGGAGTAGAGCTGGTACTTGAAGGTCTCGCCGGTTGCTTCGGGGTCGAGATCGACTTCGTACTTCTTGCCCTGATGCTTGACGACGACGGGGATGGAAGCCATGGTGAATGTGCGCACGAGGAGGCAGTGGGATGACGGGCCGAAGGTGTTGTAGAGAGAACTGTGCACTCCAAGCAGATGCGCAGAGGCGAAAGCACCGAGCAACAACATCGTCACTGCCCGCGTCGGCGTCTCGGTGTCGGCAAACTCCGCTCCGCCATTTGCATGTGCAGGTGAGCTGCTTGTTGTCAACTCCAAATAACAACCACGAATTTCTACGGCAACTTATCGACTTTCTCACACAAGTCTCGACGCTGTCTCGAATCTCTCGGCGACAAGACACTCGACACACTTACACATCCCGGACTTCATCAATATCGCAACAGCACGATGCAGCAGACTTCGGCCGACGACAGCTTTGCCCATCTTAGCCGTCTGTCGCAAAAGGCAGGAGTGCAAGCAACCTTGATTCTCTCTCGCGAAACCGGTGCTATCGTTCGATCTTCTGGACTGGTATCGCGCGACGAGTCCTCGAATGCAGAGAGTACACTGCCCGCCTCCAATGGCTTGGCCGATGATCGGAATGATGGCGCCATGCCCAACGCTGAGCACGTCGCTGAAGTTGTTTGGAAATTCGCAAAGGCCGCCGGCGACATGTTGGGAGAACTTTCAAACTTGCCCGACGACGATGTGAGATTGCTCAGGTTGCGCTCAAAGAACAAGGAATATGTCATCTTTCCAGGTACGGACACACCTCTCCATGTTGGATCTCACTTCTGACAAGACCCAGATGCCAAGTTTATCGCCGTCGCTATCCACAACACTCCACCAGCATGAAGGTCCCATCTCATCACCAGCAATTGCTGAAACTCGAACAACATCACGCGATCCACTCATCAAGACACGATACGAGGCCACAACTCCAGGCCCTGATAACAGGCTGCAAGCATAGCCAGGTCCTGTGATAGATTACGCTACCAGTGAGCTTCGGAAATATCCACCGAGTTCACGTCAACACCCTCCTTGAACCAGCGCTCGGCCTCGCTGATCTCGATGTTGTTACCACTCATCTGTCGCTTGCGCATCTTGCCATCCTCGGCAAATGTCCAGTCTTCGAGCCCATAACATCTCATCCACTTGCCCGTTTCGGCGTGCTTGAACTCATACCAGAACTGCACGGCAATCTTGTTGTCGCCGAATGCGAACAGTTCCTTGCGAAGGCTATACTCCTTTTCTATGGCCCACTTGCGGGTCAGGNNGAAGTCGATGATGGCTTCAGTCCCGCTGAAAAAGTGGTCTCTGTTGCGCCAGATGCAGTCCAAGGTGTAGGCCNNTAGGAGGTGGGTCAGTACGAGCACAGGGGAGCACGGGTTCTATGAGGAATCAAGATTGTCAGGGGAATGAGAAACAGAGATAAACGAGGTCTGTGAGGCTCAAAAGGAAACTTCCGCATCTCGTGTAGTTACCTTTGCAACTTCTTCAGGCTTCCTACGGGATTTGATCAGCTTCTTTAAACACCGAACTGCAACCAGCGACGTATCCTACTGGGCGTTCCACAAGTCTTGAGCTTTCTTTACTTTCTCCTGCGCAGTCTGCCGAGTGAACGGTGGCTTAGACATGTTACTTCTGCTTGACACTCAAGGTCAGACCAGAGGTGTTTGCTGTGACGTGATTGTGTTGGTTCATCAAGGTGGACTCGGAAGCAGAGACGAGCTGCCCGAAATCGGTCCGCCCGCGACTCGGTCAACCACGTTTTTCGGCAACTTCCACAAAAGACGGTGACTGCTGTGGAGCTCTTCTCCGGTGAGGCTCACACGGTCCATCTTGGTGGAAAGTGCCAGAGAATGGTGGACTCATGGGCTCTGAGCTCTGGCCGTACGCGGACAAGTCATGGTCTGATTTCAAATCTAGATGCCGATGTTGATGTCGCTGTCTAACATAAAAGTCCCCAATGTGCTTGACTTCTTCCTTTTCTACTTTGTTATCATATCAATCCAATCTAGCTTTTGTTCAACATCTCTACACAACTATTTCATATCTAATCACATCAATCACAATGGTTCTCAAGGCTGGTGACAAGTTCCCCGAGGGTGTCAAGTTTGNNGGTACGTCGTGCGGGAATGTGTTAAAGTCATGGTGAAGCTGACAGAGCATTACTAGTTGGGCTCCCATCCTTGACGAAGACCCAACCGTTTGCGGTATCCCTCAGCTGTACGATGCCAACAAGGAGTGGGCTGGCAAGAAGGTCGTCATTGTCGCCGTCCCTGGAGCTTTCACTCCCAGCTGCTCTGCCTACCACCTTCCTCCCTACGTTCAAAAGTTCCAGGAGCTCAAGTCCAAGGGCGTCGACATTGTCGCCTTCATCGCCAACAATGACGAGTTTGTGCTCAATGGATGGGGCAAGGTCAACCAGGTCCCCAAGGGTGATGATNTTCGTATGTTGCAATTGAGGGAGAAATGCGGAGAATCAGAACAGATGGCTAATCAAACACAACAGCTCATGCTCTCCGACAGCAAGACCTTCTTCTCTGAGAACTATGGCTGGCAGGCTGGCCCCAACAAGGGTGACCGTACTGGTCGCTGGGCCATGGTTGTTGAGAAGGATGGCAGTATCAGCTATGCTGAGAACGAGAAGCACCTTCAAGATGTCGAGGTAAGGATTTGTGAATGCTGGCAACGAGATGACCTTGTCACTAACACGAGCACAACAGGTTTCCTCTGTCGAGGCCGTCCTCAAGCAGCTTTAAGTGCGCCCAAGTAAGAATGACTATCCGCGTGTATCACGAGATATAGCGTCGGAGTAGACCACAGAGATTCCAAGAACCATAGACGTAAACTATAGAAATGCCGCAATGAACAAATAATATTCAAGACAGGATGTTGCATCACAAACGACCCGCTTCCTTCAGTTGAAATATGGAGCAGGAGATACAGGACGGACTTCTTTCTCACGCGAACCCATCGGGACCGACAATGAAGCGGTCAACCTGCCTAAAAGCCTTTTCTTGAAGATATCAAAGACTCGCAGCGGGCGCGGTTGTGAGGAAGAAGAGCGAGAATGCTCGTGCCCGCAAAAAAATAAGCAGAGTCGTGGATCAAGGTTTGCTTAGTCAGCTAGCAGAAAGCGAGAATCGCAGAGCACACACCCTCCCCTCTGCAAACTACAAAACCCGCAGCAATTTTTTAACATGGACTCTCTTGACGGATCCAGTTATGATGTCTTGATCTCTGGAACAGGCATCCAGCAGTCTTTGCTTGCTCTGTATGTCTCTGCATGCCTCAAAGGTCAGGAGCTTGTCTGACTGACGCAGCTTCTCTGTCTAAAGTGCTCTCTCGCGCTCTGGCAAGAAGGTCTTGCATGTCGACAAGGATGACACCTATGGCGGTCCTGAAGCTGCTTTGAGTCTTCAGGAAGCTGAGCAGTGGGTTGAAAAACTCAGTTCTGGTACGTCACCACTTTCAAGCGCGACTCGATCTGAACTCATACTGACTTGTTCACAGCAAAGCAATCACGATTCAGCAATGCTTCGATCACCAAGTCGGATGAGAGACAGCAGAAACTCTCTCCCTCCAGGGCATACAACCTGTCGCTTGCGCCGACTCTGGTCTACACTCGCTCCGGCCTGCTACCCATCCTCGTCTCGTCCAAGACCAATGATCAGCTCGAATTTATGGCTGTGGGTGGATGGTTCGTGTATGAAAAGCAGGAAGACGGTGCGCGGGTGGTTCGTGTACCGAATGGACGTGAGGATATCTTCGCCGATCCTTCACTCACACTAAAGATGAAGGGTCAGTTGATGAAGTTCCTCCGCTTCGTGGCCGCGTTTGAGGAAAAGCCTGAAACATGGCAGCCTCATCGCGACACTCCATTTGCCAGCTTTCTGTCTGAGCAGTTTGGTCTGCCTGCTGTCGACACCCTCATGGCACTGTGCCTCAGCCTTGAAGTCCCGGAGAAGACGACCACCGAATTCGCTTTACCACGTATCGCTCGTCACCTTCGATCGATTGGCGTTTTTGGTCCTGGCTTTGGTGCTGTTGTACCCAAATGGGGCGGGCTCTCGGAAGTTGTTCAAGTGGCTTGCCGAGCTTGTGCTGTTGGTGGTGGCATCTATGTTCTTGGTCAAGGCATTTCTTCCATCGAGCTTGCACAGACTGAAGAGGATGATGTTGAAGAAATCCCAAGAGAGCCCGAGAAGCCCGACGTTTCGCAAGACATTCACAATATGATCACCGAGGGCGAAGGCTTTGTCAATACAAACCCAGACAGTCTCGACGAACTCGAGTCTGGTATCAAGGAACAGTCCCTGGACGATCTTCTTGCTGCAGCTGGATACAGCATTGCTGGTGTCGAGGAAGAAGAGCCCACACCTGCTGCTGAGAAGCCTGTTGAGAAACAGAGCGCTGCCGTGTCTTCTGAGAAGAAGTCATTGTATACTGTCCAGCTCAGCAATGGAGAGAAAGTATCTGCACACTACATCGTTGGCTGCTCAGATGATCTACCTGGATCTCTATCTGCCACTATCATTGGCACCAAGGTTCCAGGAGCTCAACCCGATGCTGTTTCTCGCAGCGTCACAATCATCTCATCACCTCTGCAACATTTGTTTGTCACTGTTGCCGAAGGTGGTGTCTCTCCTACTGGTGCTGTTGTGGTCTTCCCTGCTGGATCTCTCTCGAGCACAGCTCACCCACCTGTTCAAATCATGGTTCACTCCAGTGATACTGGCGAATGCCCTCAAGGACAATGTAAGTCTTGACCCTCTACCTCCACCCTACCCTCTGGAAGACCACTTGCATGATGAATGATTTTTACGAATACTTATCTACATTGTCTGAACAATAATGTCGATCAACACATCTCTGACAACCTGATCGCTTTGGTCTTTCCAACATCCAATACACTATCAATCGTCACAAACGTTGCCCTAGCAATTGCTAATCGAGATTGAACAGGCATCGCATATGCAAGCACAGCACTTACCGGCCAACAAGGTCAAGAGCTTCTCATTGAGGCTGTCAAGTCACTTCTTGCAGCTCAAGAGGGAGATGCTCAAGTTCTATGGTCGTTCAGCTATGAGCAACACGTCGATGCGGTAGCTCCGTCTAGTCAGACCTCGTCTAGCATTCTCAAGTTCCAAGATACGCCCTTGGACTTTGTCTTTGATGATGCCATCATTGAGAATGTGCAGGCGGCATGGCAGATGATCTTGCCAGAGGCCGATGACTTTATGGTCTTTGGTGAAAGAGGTGCCGATGCTGAAGAGGAGACAGAGGATAACGAGTAATCAGAACACGCTATAGACTTGTTACATCACACGGATGACATGATTGACATACAACACTTTTCTCGCACACTGTCCTACCTTGCTCATAGTGACTAGGATTGCCGGTGGGTGTTGGTGACACTTTGTGACTGTATAGCTACCCCACATGACGTATGTGTGTCGTTCCTGCATCGCCGTTCAAAGTCGACTCCGGTCCTGCCGCATTGCATCTGCTTATAACTTGACATCTTTCCTGCTTCACTAGAACAAAATCAACCTATCCATTGACTCGTACAAAACAATTCAGCTCCAATCTCTCAGATAACAATCCACACATCATGTCTTCCGACAGTCTCGCCCTCTTCCGCAAGAGCATGGGCAACGAGCTTGGCGCTCTTGCAGAACAACACTACCAACACGAGTTCGTGCCTGACATCCTTGGAGTCTAGTCATCTTCAACCCCTAACCACACTCACAGTCTTCAATCCTCGGACCGCGCGGCCCTCCAATCCGCAGCCTCCCGCGTCAGCACACACACAACCATCGGCTCCATCGTCGGCTTCTCCCTCGGTCTCTACCTCTCCTTCCGCCTACGCGCCAACCGCACCGCCATGTTCAACGCCTTCCGCACCTCTGAGAAACCCGTCGCCGTGCAATTTGCCGGTGGCCGCACCGAGCAACTCCCAGACCTTACGCCCATGCTCAAGCCATCTACTTTTGGCGACATTGCTACCTACACACTCTTTGGACTGGGAGGACTGTTTGTGGGTGGAGAGACTGGATTGTTGACGGGTAGTCTGTCGGCGCAAAGTGCGATCAAGAAGGATCCTGAGGCCAAGGCGAGGATCGAGACTGCGTTCAGAAAGTTTAGGGCCGAGACGCTGAGGTTGGAGGCGGATCAGTTAGAGAAGGGTGAAAAGACTTTGGGCATTTAGGAGATTCTGGATGAGAATCTGCTGTAACGAAATTGCGATTGCTATGAGATGATGAAAATGACACTTTCTGCTCTTCACTTCAGCTGCCTGACCGACATGAGCATCTGGACAGTAGCCTAGACAGCGTTTGATGCATGGACACAGGTAGATCCACCTCCTTGCTTGCTCACGAGGGATTTCTTTGTGAATCGGAACCGTCATAAAGACCGAAGGCTCCTTTGTCGTTTGCTTCAAACCATCAACACGTTTGCCTTCTCACCTCTTCATTCTGCCATCGATACTGTTGTCTTGATGCTTTATTCGCCATTCTGGAAATATCTGGAGTTCGGTTTCTTCGTGCAAATATCTGTTCGTCCTGTCAGAAATCAAATTCTTTCAGGAGCTTCAGGGAATGGACGGAGAAGTATATGAGGGATCGAATACCTTTGCTATGTCAGGTCGCTCGTATCTGCGATCCCATCCGCAACCCCATCAGCGACTTTTATCATATATATGCCATGCCAGGATCAGCTGGGCGTCGAATGAGATGCACAATATCTTCTCGACTTGTGTATATAATTTGGAGAGCTTGCCCAGCAGATCCTCTCTTCCGTGTCTAGTACTGTCTCACCGCTCTAAGTGACCTCTTACTCGGCAGACCCCTTCGACATGTATTCGATCAGCTCCATTCTACAAAAGGCAAATCACTTCCATCAATCGAAGACGCTCGTTCAAGCACGTCTGACCAACAGTTGGAAGCTGGATCTCAGGACTTGGAACTCTTCGGCCTTCTCGCTCTTCAAGGGTTTCTTGAGGTGCATTCTTCAAACGCTGACACTTCGGATCCCAGCCATCGAAGGCCTCGAGGAAGATTGGACCAAGTCTTTGGGCATGAATCTTTCCATTGAGCATTCGTGGGGTCAACAAGATTGGTCTCACACCAAAATTTGCCACCATCTTCCACAACAGCATTGAGTCTCTCAAAAAGATTGATGGTCTTGGAGAGAAGATTGTCGCCCAGCACTGGCGTCAAGCTGTCCACGCATGCCATCAACATCACGTACCATGGCGACGAGTACCAGTATCTTACCGACACTCACGACATCTTCAGATTCCGGTACATATTTCAGATACTCAGACCACTGATCTGCAACATGACATGGCTGACTGTCATGCGGACCGCTCCTTGAACTATATAAACTGGCGGGTCTTCGTAACCTGACAGGCGAAAGATCCAGTCTGCCTGAGTGCCATTGGCACTACACTGGTTGGTGCCATGCCTGCCGTTGATTGTCCCCATCACGGTATCGCAAGACAACACAAAGCTCGATAGGCTCAGTACTGAATATCCAAGACTACTACTCCTCTTTTTTCAGGCTTGTCATCTTCAACATTAGCATCAAGCCACGTAAGATGATGAGGAAGGAGTCATCCATCCGCCCCAGTGATGGTCGCATATATGCACAAATCGATCTAAGCTCTCACAACAGCGTTGGTGTCTAGCACAACGTATCGGTTTTGCGGTCTGCTCGAATTGCGCACCGTTGCGCCTGGGACTGCCGGCATACACGATGCAATTTAAGAGCCCGACGTATATGCGGGAGTCCATGTTGGAGAGACTGAACAGGACCGTGTGCAAGGATATACTCAAGGCCGCGGCGCAACAACCCGGAGTCTTGTTAGTTTGAGGGATCAAGATGCGATACCTTTAATTCAACGTACATATACATTTTCAGTCAGGAAACCGGCCGAATACGATATGATGAGCATTATCCAGGCTGCATTTGCTGAATGTGGTGGATTTGACAACATTTAACCGCTATGGACTTTTAGCCGCCTCATGCACCCCACCCCCACCTCCGCATTCCAACCATAAATATGTGCCCCGGTCGCGATCATTATATTGAATCCCGCCCTCACTCCTCAAGCCATTGCAAGATCCACTCGTCATGCCTATCTACGTACTCACCGGTGCCAACAGAGGCCTTGGTCTCGAATTCGTCCGTCAACTCTCGGCAGACAGCTCCAACACAGTCATTGGAGCAGTACGCTCAATGTCAAACGACCTGACCGATTTGAAATCACTCAACAAAAACAACAATATACACATTCTGGAATGTGACACTGGAGACGCATCCAGCATAACCTCCTTTATCGAATCATGCGGCAAGACGCTCAAAGGCAAGAAAATCGACTACCTCCTCAACAACAGCGGCATCAATGCCGTCCCAGAGCAAAACTCACTCTCGATAACCGAAAGCGATATCAACGAACACATCAAAATCAACGTCTTGGGACCGGCAAAGACGACCGAAGGCTTCTACAACGCCGACCTGCTGTCGCCAGATGTGAGGATCCTGAACATGACTTCTGGACTCGGCAGCATGAAAGTCAGCTTAGGCATCAAACCGAGAAAGTGCACTACATATAGTATCAGCAAGGCTGCTTTGAACATGCTCACCGTACACCAAGGCGAGGAGTTGCGAGAGAAACTTCCTGGTGCGGTGGTCATTTCTATGGATCCGGGTTGGGTCAAGACACGCATGGGTGGAGAAGGCGCTATGATTGAGGCGCATGAGAGTATTAGCGGTATGCTCAAGGTGTTGCATGGCCTCAAGAAAGATGATACTGCTTCGTTTTGGACGTATACTGGGGAGCAGGTGCCGTGGTAAAGCGAGCTATTGTGTATAACATGTACTCAGCATCGACTTGACATGCATTTTGTAGCCATCAATGCTGCCGACACCTACTTCTCCGATATCAGGTCCAACAAAATGTCTTCCTATATATCTATGTCTCAGGTCTTCACTCATCACCACAAAGAAGAGGAGGCATAATGACAGCCAAGTCAACCCCCTCAAATTCGGAAAAGACTGACGCGCCGAATGTATAAAACGACATGCAACACGTCAAGATAGCGATGACAAGTCGGCCTGGCAAGAAACCATATTCACCAGCTAAGCTACCAGAGACCTTATATCAAAGATACCCAAAGCAGAGAAAGAAGGAACGATGAGATGATGGAAAACGAGAACACTCATTCTGGTCTCGAAAATGCTCGATTCCTTGTCGAAAGCTTTATTGCTCAATTGACATGTATATACATCCGCTCACAATTTTGTTTGCAGTACCACGAGTACACAGGAGCAGAGCAATGCACTGACCAGACCTTCTTTGATCCCTTCCAGAGTCTCGCTTGGCTCCCAAGGAAGAGTCTACCTCAACAACCTCGTCAACGTACTATCTGGAGGGTACCAAGTACTTGATCTTCTACCGACCAGAGAAGCCACTGAAGTGAATCCGCGAGTTCCTCTTAAAGCGCAGTGCTGAGATCCAGGGAGGATAATGATCAATACAGAAAACACGGGAGCTTTACTGAGGCACTCATCAGGTCATCAGGTTCATTATTGCACTGGTCGCCAAGATGGCTGAAGAAGGAGATGGAGCAGAACGATACAATTGTTGTGCTTGCCGGACAAGGGAAGGAGGAAGCGAATCCATCGAGCTCGATCCGCCTCGTTCATCGAGCTAGGGTTGTTTTCCTGTTTATATTGCAGCTCTGGTTTCGTGGAGTTATGTCAAACTCTAGACATCTCGACGGCATCTGCGTCCCAAGGACTCAATGTCGACAAGGCGTGTGTACCAACACCAGCAATCATGGTTTCTCCCAGGATGACTGGACGGAAGAAACTGGCTCGCTACCAACAGTTTAAAGACTCACTTATGACCACCAATCTCCTCGTCAGTCACAGCAGCCATTCATCAGCATTCGCGCTCGAACTATCAAAGCATCGAGTTCTTCCATAGATATGTGGTTGATGCGAGATGCAGTCGACAGGAGTTGCTGGATAAAGGTGATGTAGCTGAAACAGATAGCAACCACTTTGCATGCACTTCGCCCCACTTTAGTGTTCCAAACATTGTAGTCAAAGAACACTTGTGCTTCTCGAGTATCCCGATCATCTCGATAATTCGTTCTCTATCCTGGCAAATGGGTAAAGGATCCTTGATGTAATTGCGGTGATTTTCGTAATCTCGTGGCTGGAAAGAATGTCCAAGAAGAGAACTTAGGCTAAATCCTGAAAGACGACCACATCTTGTCTACTCGAGGGAGAGCGCGAACGTTTTTCCATTCTAGTATGCACGGGGAAGGAGTTGTTGGATCTCCTGCGCATCGCGGAAGGAACCAGAGTTCTCAGAGAAGCAACAAGATTAAGCATCAGCGTCAAATTTTAAGCCTCGTTGTTTGTCTCGGCAATGTCAGCAAGTTTAACCGATGTGCATGCATACCTGGGGCGACGACTTCCCTTTTGTGAGACTCATCTAACATGCGCTTTTACAACATTTATACAGCTTTCTAATCTAACCAGTCAATATCTGTTCCCGTTCCCTCTAAGTAATAGATCTGAGTCATGGAATATTCACAACGTCTTTTCAGCTGAGCGCTAACCGTCAGCCTCATGAGAAGGCTGCACGCTAAGCCCCTATAACGTTCCGGCTGGTCAACCGTGGCAAAACCTCTACATTCCAACCCAATTGCCCATGATCAGCCAATATTCGTTTCAGATCCCCTGCAGGATTCGCTCCAGACATATACTCTCGAGGCGCCAGATCTCTGACCCTTTCTCCCCGACCTGATTTTCATCAATACAGGCGACAACATGTCTGAAGGCCAAACGAGTCCCAGGTGGACCCTCGAACAAGCTCGTCGAGATGTTGAGGCTCTCGGATCTCGGGCTAGAGGCAGCATCTCCATTCCAACAGTTTCTTCCACCTCGCATACTGCAAAGCAAGCCCTGGTCTTCATCATTCCGAGTCCGATTCAAAATATCCTCTACCCGCCAGCCGAGCCAGCATCTGCCGTCCCTCAGAGACCAACAGCATGGGTAGACGGTATGCGCGGTATTGCAGCATTGTTGGTGGTCTTCTATCATCTCTCGTATTCGACATTGGATGTCTATACCGGCTGGAGCGAAGGTCATTATGACTATTTACGCCTTCCGTTTATCAAGGCCTTGTACAGCGGTACCGCAACAGTCTCACTCTTCTTCGTTCTGTCGGGATACGCTCTATCTTACAAGCCGGTCAAACAGATGCGCAGCGGAGAGTATGACGTACTGTTTTCTGGCCTCTGTTCATCTGTCTTCCGTAGAGTCGTCCGATTATTTTTACCTTGCGTGGCCTCAACATTCATCATTGTGGTTCTTGTTCGTCTGGGATTCTACAGCCGCACCTACGAGTTCGCCAATGATGCCAATCGCTTACCGGGTATCCGTGAACATCATGCCAACCGGTACAACACTATAATCGAGCAAATCTGGGTTTGGCTCAAAAGTTTTGCAGGTTTCATGAACCCATTTGCAGAGGCCGGGATTGGAAAGAGTGTTTATTTGGATGTCCATCTATGGACGATTCCTGTTGAATATGTAAGTCCATGGTTATATCGTCGCTTTCTTTCCAGCTCTCTAGGCTAATTGTCTTGCAGANAAGCGTCTATTATTTTGTTTGTGACCCAGCTTGGACTCTCTCGCCTAAGGCCCATTCTTCGCATGCTAGGTCTAGTGTGTTTGCTCTGCTGGACACACCGCATAGATCACTGGACAATGACCCTCTTCTATGGTGGATTTTTCATGGCCGAGTTAGATATCCGGCGGAGCACTGCAGAGTCTTCTCACAAGACCGACTCCAATATCGCGTTAAAGTGCCTCTGGTCCGCTTTCAACATTTTTATCTTTATGGGCGGATTGTTCCTAGCAGGTCAGCCCGAGAGAAACACAGAAAACACCTACATCTGGTCCACAATTATGACCCTGGTACCCGGATACATCATTGACAGCTGGAGATATTGGACAACCTGGGGAGCTCTGTTGCTCGTCTATTCAACTTCCAACGACAAGATATTGCAATGCCTATTCACAAACTGCGTATCGCAATACCTCGGCAAAATATCGTTTTCCTTGTATCTGGTGCATGGTTTCATCATCCACACTCTGGGGTATAGCTTGCTGGAGACGTTTTGGAGAATCATTGGCGAGGATAAAAAAGAGACTTGTTTTGTCCTGGTGGCGACTTGTGTCGTGACGACAGCCATTTGGTTGGCCGATATCTTCATGCGGTTGGTAGATACACCATCTGTCAAATTTGCGAGATGGCTCGAAGGCAAATGTGCTGCGAAGAAAACAACGGAAATCAAGGAGGAACCTGTGTGGCGAGATGCCAGCACTCTTGTATAGTCACAGATAGAAGTACTAAGTTGCACACGAAGCTTTGATATCACGACAGAAACACGAATCTCAAGATCATGTGTCCCAACGTCTCGAAGAATGTTCTCAAAAGCATGCCAAACTTATTCGATGCAACAAATAAAGCGCCGATGGCTAAACAATGTTCTACTTGCCGGAGAGACTCTGTCAACAAGGTCAGAGTCGACCTCACAAATTCGTTCGGAAGAAACACAAGAACAAAAAGACGTCAGTTCAGTAATGTGTAAGTCTTCTGTTGCAGTATCTCAAAGCACCTGCACCCCTTTCGAATATGAGATGGAAAGAGCTCAGTTGCATCTCTTCAAGTCCATCTTGCAAGAAGTATGACCTGTCACAACACCCATGGTATTCTTGGGCATCATGCAATAAGACCTGTTCAATTCTTCTCTGACCTCCTCTGTTCCAATGTCCAGTCGAGTGAGTATCTCCATCAATGCCACGTATAAGATGTCAATATTGCCATCCTCAATCTTGACTGCTATGCCGAGGCCGTCTTTTGCACCTAGACGTCTCGTGGCCTCGCAATTTCGGACGCCAACGCCGTAGCAGCCTTCTGCACCTAGTTTGCCGACTACAGCGCCGGAGAATAAGCGCATGAAGTCTGTGCAGAAGCGAGAGTCGCCAGCAATCATGTGTGGGTGTGCCGCCATTGCGCGGTAGATACGTGCCTGATTTTTCGTAGATGGTCCGGGGGAGACGTCGTCTTGATCGGCGGCGTGAGCCAATCCGGCAAACATCAGAGCCAGATTCCATAGAGGTAATGCCGGGGAAGGTGCGTTGCAACCATCGATGACCCAGCGAATTTCCTCGGGTTTCAAATTCGCGAGATCTTCGTGGACTTGCTTGATCTTCAGTTGAACGGGATGCGATGGGTCGTGGTAGTTCTCTGTTCCAACACCGAGAGCCTTTGCAGCAGCCAGCATGCCTACATGTTTGGCAGAACAGTTGCTATAGATTGCTGTAGGTACGAAATCTGCCTTTAGCCATTTGGTGTTGATGACTTTCGAGAGAGCAGGGTGACCACCACATCTCATATCTTGTTCCGTCACGCCTACTTTTTGCAACATAGCTGTGACTCGAGATATATGTTTGTCTTCACAATTGTGCGAGCCAGATATCAGTGCCACATCGGCTTCATCGAATCCAAACTTTCCAGCTGCTCCGATCTCCAAGATTGCAAGTGCTTGGAATGGCTTTGCTGCCGAACGAGCGAGTGTAAGGCGGGATGGGTCGCCAAGGGAGTAAAGGAGATTGTTGTCGCTGTCGACGATGGCGGCATGGACTATGTGACTGTTTTCAAGGACATCGCCGCGCCAATTCAGGACAAGGTCGTGGGCATCCATGTTGTTTGACGATAAACAATGTTTGAGACGTGCTTGATGGGGTGATGGTGACCAAGATTAAAATCGTAAAAAGTCGTAATCGAAGAATGCAAGAGGAGATGACACGCCCGTGTTTTGATATCCTTTCGATGTCGTCTGTCGATTGTCCACGTTGTGTTCTGACCTGCTCAAAGAGGAAAGGTCGCTCCCGAGCTGGAGAGCTGGAGAAGCATGCCCTCTGCGAGCTGACAAGCAGGAAGCGTGTTGGAATTCGAGACAGACATGTCGGTGCAAGATGAGCTTTCCGATTGATTGTCGAGTAATGTCTTACTTGCGAGGAAGGGACATGCGTCAGAACAGATTGTGTTCTGGCAAGAGTGATTGTCGAAGTGACGACCGGGCGAAATGCTTGGTCAGCCTCGGTAGACAAAAGTGTTGACTGCGCCTTCATCACTCAAGACTTGCTGCAACCGACTTTCATGACCAACACACATAACCTTCGAGTTGATATCGTACCAAATTTCGGGTCGTGAAAGCTCGGGATGATCTTGAAGAGGCGATGTGACCGCATACACTTGGTATGATGTAAAGTGATGCCTTCCAACAAAGCCTATCAAAAAGCGATGGCTCGCGACACCACTGTCGATGGACCAGCGTGTCCAATAGCGAGTACAACGAATACCAGCGGCCGAGATTCAACATTCTCCGAAGCCTAGGATCGAGACTTAAAGTTGTCTTTTCTCAAATTCAGCGCGTCTAATACACCTCCCTCTCGCAGACCGGCTTCTTTCTGGCACCTCTTCTCCAGTCTTGGAAGCGCATTGAGCATCTATATTTACTTTCACTACCTCTGCGGACTCCAAGAGCTTCACATAGCTCTCTTGTAGCTATACTGCCTCACTCAACCTCGATCAAATACACTATCACACTTTCGACGACTATATATTTCTTCCAGCTTGCCTTCTTTCTCCTTCCTACCTACAACAACTATCGGCACGATGACTTCAAAGCGGAGCTTTGCAATCGAAAAACGACTTTGAATACGCGGTGGGACCACCGAAGAAGAAACAGCTGCGCAAGCGGACATGTCTCGTATGTGACGCTGAGAAGGGCATCAACCAGTTCCCAAGCCAGAAAAGGGTCTCGTCACATGAGCACGATCAGAACGTCTGTCGCCCTTGCTACCTAAGCCACCTGGAGATCGAGATCGACTCGAAGAATTGGGACGAGGTTGCCTGCCCAGAATGCCCGACCGCGTTGACCTTCACAGAAGTCAAGGATATGACGACTGCGCAAAACTTTGCCAAGTGAGACAAATGGCCTTTATACTGATGACGATACTGATAAGGTCGAACTAGATACGAGCAAGCATGCATCAAAGCGACTCTTGCGGCAGACCCTGACTTTAGACATTGTCTTTCAACAGCCTGCGAGTCTGGTCAATTGCATCCTGGCGGCGCAGATGAGCCCATCTTCCGCTGCCGAGAATGCGGTCACAAGCATTGTGTTGCTTGCGAGGCGAATTGGCACGAGGACCAGACATGTGAGGAATCCCAGGCTGCACGTCAGCGAGACGCCGAGAACGAGCAGTCGCAGCAAGAGGTGGAAAAGGTTTCGAAGCCATGCCCAGAGTGTCGTGTTCCCATCCAAAAGAACGATGGCTGTGACCACATGACTTGTTAGTAACCCCCATTCTATCAGAATATCTGCAGTGCTGACACATCGCCTAGGCNNTCAAGATGTCGCCACCAATTCTGCTGGATTTGCTCTGCATCTTATACCGCCATCTTCAATGAGGGAAACCACCATCACGAGAAGGTTTGTAGACATTACAGGCAACCTCCGACGGCAACGGAGTTGGGAGCTCGCGATCGCAGACTTCGACAATGGAGAGAAAGAAGAGATCAACGGAGGCAAAGACAGCGCGAATCGAGGCAAGCACAGCAACAGACCATCGCCACTGCTGATACGAATTTGGTCCCACAATGAAACCGTAATTGAAATTGCGCATAATCTAGACTTTTTGGAATAGAGAATCAAGTAGATGCACGTCGTGCAGTTACAGCTCATAGCATGCGATGTAATCTTTTTGGAACCCCCACAACATCCACAAGAATATCCACCGAATGCAATCAAAGAGTCTTTACTCATACTTCGCTTGACACGAAAATGGTTCCCAGAGTCTTTGTCTTCTCACAACAGAACATTCATCAAGAAAGTGCAAACTTCAACACTTGCCAATATATCTCAGGAACCAGCCCAAGAATATCAGACGACACATCTCTCCCCCTCTCTCAGCCGTCTCCCCATCGCCCGCAATCTCAACCATCTCAAGCAAATTTAACAATGCTTAACATCCGCATCCTTGTAAACACAAGCCTTGCTGGGACCCTCCTTGAGCGTCGAAGGCTCCTGGTTGTTATTGTTGGTACCCTTGTACTCCTGACAGATGTGCTTGACAGAAGAAGCGCAAGTATTGGTGATGGTAGCTGTATCGCCATAGTTGCTATTGATGCCGATGAGGTACTTGCCGTTGGTGGCTTTGACATTGTTGATGGTGACTTTTCTTGCTTTGCTATTTTTTTGCGAGAGGTTATGGGGTTAGTAATTGCTTCTGTAAGATTTGAAGGGGGGGGAAGAAGGAAGGGCGAATAGACAAAACACATACCCATTCTGCTTGCAGTTACCACAGCTACGGTAGAGTTTTCCAAAATCAGAAACAGTGAAGCCGTCAATGGTGATGGACCCAACGCCATTGTGCTGGATAACCTTGTCCTCAGCACCGCGGGCACCACCACCAATAACCTTACCATCACCATTTCCCTTGAACGTCAACGCATCCTCACAAACCGCATCCCACCAAACATTTTGGATCGTGCAGGCGCCAAGACAATGCACACCTTCACTCTAATCTTTACCAATGATTGCGTTTTTGAGGACGGCGCCGTCTTCGAGAACAAACACGGCGTCAGAGTTTCCGCCCTCGGCTTGGCCGCCGCAAGAGACGCCGCGCCCGTAGGTCTTGTAGCCGCCGTCGAAGGTGCCCGAGATGCTTTTTGCGGTCTTGTAGGTTACAGAGCCTTTGCTGGCGGGGATGGGGAAGCTGGACCAGGCGCGGGTACGTAGGGGGCCGGAGCGTTCGGCGGCGGCGAGGGAGAGGAGGCCGGCGAGGAGGAAGGAAGTGTTAAAGTGCGTGGTTGCTCAGTTGACTTTGTGTTTCTGGAGAAGAAAACAGGAAGAAAAAGTTCAAATGAGTGACTTTCGAAGTGAAAGAGTGTTGTTGTTGCTGGAGCACGGCTCTGAAGAAAAGAAGAGAGCTCAAAGAGGGAAAGAGGTGATGGTACATATACTTGTCTGATGCACTGTGCTGTCCGCAAAGCGCATCGAGACCTACTATTCAGACATTGCACTCTATAACTGGAAACAACGACATACTTTTTGATGTGTTGGCCCGTTCAATCTCGTCTATGGATCTCAAGCTGGAGTGACCGTATGGTGGAGAAGCTCCAGGGACAATGCTTTGGCAGAAGCATGTTACACATAAGGCAAGTAGCGTGTCGATACCCGCGAGTCAGGCCAAATCTAGGGCTTCAGTAGCGAGTAGCTTGGGAAGGCAATGGCTAATTGGTCCCAGAGATGTGAGTGAACATGGAGGCTGGGCATCGCGATGCGCAAGGGCAAAGTCACAAGGTCGTTTGATGTGGTCTCCTCTCGATTGATGCATCATTGCCCAGAAGTACTTTAGAGAAGAAATGAGAAGAGAGCGAGACTCGTTGTGCTGGGAATTTCGTATCACGGTATAAGAACTTTGCAGCGACCACGCAGCAGATATCGTTTTCTCTGATGTTTGTGTCCAGGACCGCAATGCTATGCCTGGATGGAGTCTTTGATATGCCGATCCTTGTTCCAACAATCATTCAACAACATTGAATCATGTCGAACCATGAAGTTGATCGTCAAGGTGGAGTCGACACAGCCTCATTCTCTGAAACGTGCCAAGGCATGTTCGCCAAGACGAATGAATATAGGAACAGTCCGGATGTGACAGACATGCAGGAAGTAGGTGTGGCTGCAGCTGCTCGAGTGCCATGTGCTTAGAGTTTGTAAAAATCATGGATACATCAGGGCTGGGCGACATCATTGGAAGCTGAAACGTTCACAGCATGAGTCCCACCATTGCTGCCAATCGATGACTTTGTTTTCAAGCCGAGCCTCTTCCGCTGCGAAGACTAGAGCATGGCTTCTGATGACTTCTTCCAAGGTACATCCAAGGTGTTGGATCTGGGCTTGCTCAATTGACAACTCCTTGGACTTGACAGCATTGACGGCCTTGAGGAACTGAGTTGCCAGTCCATAATCACCACCACCGTGACCTCCACCAGGTCTATGCGGACGACGGTGTGAGAATTGGCCAGTCGAAAAGTCATAAATCGTGATTAGGGTTCCATCGTAGGAGATCTCTCCCTTCTCGCCATAGATTCGGCCTCGCCGCTCACATTGTTTCTCGGTCTGAGCGATCATGTGGAAAGACGCAGTCTTGGCCATTCTAGCTGGTGTTTCGTTAATCTTAGGGCTAGGTGGGCTGGTGTTCGGTGTTCCAATCAAAGGGTCGTCGTTCCAGGAAAGAAGGACAAACTGATCATCGCACACATCATTCTCGGATTCCCAAACACATCTCCCAAACCATGGACGTTTGTGGATCTCCTCAGGTGGCGTGTTATCATCGTAATCGACTCCAAGTGTTTTAAACAACATGTCTTTTGCCGCGTTCTTACCATGGTCGTTGTAACAGGCTTCGATCTCTGGATTGACAATATTGACTGGCCAATCGGTGTTGCCCTTGGCAAGTTGGTTATCGTAATATATCCTCGGAGCGCTATAGGTACAAGTCTTCTCGATTGGACATTGCAGACAGTTTGTGGCAGTGCCTGCACCCGCAGGTTTTCGGGCCCTTTGGAACTGTTTCAGGGATCCAAACGAGGCCACTGCCGCTGGGACATGGGGAGCAAAATTTGATCCTGGAGTCGGCGAACATAACATCCATAACAAAAAGTCGATGTCGTGGCATGATTTTGTTAGTAATGATGGGGCTGTCGTGGATTCTTTCCTCCAATTGCCCCTNGATGCTTGGATCAACAAGGGAGACATTTCGTCTGAAGAGCATACAACTCACCTGACATAGCTGTGAGTGAAATGCCAATTGCCAACCGGCTCAGTGTGCTCCATGGATAGTACAGAGCCAATTACTTGGTCTTCAAGAACCAACTCGCGCAACAGCATGTTGTGTGGACTGTAGCGAAGTACATGTCCAATGCCAAAGATAGCAGATTGTCCTCCTTGTCGAGAAGACATGGCTGCTGAGATGGCCATACAATCTTTTAGTGTTGTGGCTAATGGCTTCTCACAGAGCGTATGGATTGATAGATGACCCAAGGCGGTGACAACTTCTGCATGCTGTTCGTCAAGTATACAGATGGATATGGCGTCAATAGCAGGAGGAACTTGGCGGCCAGCAGCAGCGTCGCTTCGACGTTTTGTTTCCCATCGCAGAAAGTGTTTCCAATCGCTGAACTCTTGTCCTTCTGCAGGCCCCTCAGTCGAATTCCAAATGTACTTGGATCCTAAAAGGTCGCGTTTGAAAGCTATTGGTTCTGCCACGGCAGCTACAATGCCCTGTCCAGATTCTGATACGGCTCGGGCGTAAGCAGTACCGCGAGAGCCAGCGCCGATGATTAGAACTCGCGCAAGTGCTGAGGATGGAGATCGTTCATCTGACATGGTTGTAAAATCACAGTTCTGACACAAGACAGACTGTTCACGAAAATGATAGGGTGAGTAGGGAGGACATGTGGTTGTTGTCTAGCAGTGCCGTTCTTCCGTTCAGCACGTATACGATCAGATAAGATGGTGGCTCGAAATGCGGAGATTGTCGGCGTTTTGCTGACATAAACTCTCGTCGCCGCCGTCTTGCGATGCCTCATGCATCACTTTGACATCCGCATACCTAAGACTCAACACAAGCAAACATGGCGCTCTCAGGAAGAGATTCTCTGCTACGATGCTGTCGTAGCGCATTTACCNAGGCATCCCGAGATGCGCGCATATTCTACCCCCGCCGTCAGCTCTCACTCTCTGCTCGCCCGTCACAGTTATCGCCACGATCCGCACCAGTCCCAGGCTTTGCGCCCTTCGCAAAAGACATGCTCCCATCACAGAACAGCCGAGGCTTCAGCGCATCAAGCCGGCAAGCAGTCAAGGCCATCATCAACCCACGGAAGAATGAGAATGGAGAAGACATGATGATCGACATCTTGCCTCGCGCTGTCAATGTAATCTCTCACACACTCTCTCGTGGCGCAAGCAGTGCAGTATACTGACATTGAATTCACAGCNGTCTGCATGCCATCTCTGTCAAGGAGAACAATCCGTCCCTCTGCCTACGTGTCGCAGTAGAATCAGGCGGCTGCCACGGCTTCCAATACCTCATGTCGACGACAACGCTAGAAGAAATATCAAAAGAAGAAGACACGGTCTTTGAGTCGGATGATGGCAAGGGAGCTAGGGTGGTTATAGATGAGCCCAGTCTAGAGCTTCTCAGTGGCAGCAAGATTGACTACACGATGGAATTGATCGGCAGTCAGTTCAAGGTGACGGGCATTCCGGGAGCCACGAGCAGTTGTGGTTGTGGATCCAGTTTCGACATCCAGGCATGAGCAAGACAAAATGAATATATGTTCCAGATGGTAGTATTGCCGTCGCATTAGACAAACCATGGCTTTTATTCATGTCATGTCAAGAAGATGGCAGCGATGGCGATTCCTTGCAACGTTGAACAAGCAACCCTCAGCATTAGCAGCCATGGGAGAGCAAGAATAGCAACATGGCAAGAGCTGGGAAACATGGCGTCCGAGCTTCGAGATTGGAGGATGAGACAGGCCGAAACGGGAATGACGATTCCAAGCATTGAAAGTCAGCTCTCCAAGCGGACGGTGGTATAGCTGTTGGGGTTGTCGCAGGTGCAAAAGACGATCAAGCTCCGTCTAGAATGGAGCTACAGGTTTCTGGTTACATTGTGGCGTCCGTTGGACGGCGAGAATGGCGATTTTATTCTCTACATGGAAGCTTGGGCGGCTCGGGTCTCAACGCTTCGCAGCGTCACCGCCTTTGGGTCAGACCCCGCTACGTAAAGCTGAGGTAGCGTGGAGCAAGCTTAATAAGGGTCAAGTCCCAATCTTTCCTTCTTGACAAGCACTCGTATCCAAACACACACATCATGAGCGTCAAGACTGTTTCCCTCAAGCCTTTCCAGGACCAGAAGCCCGGAACGTGAGTTGTTCCCACTCTCCTGAAGCTTGCTTCTCAGTCGCTCGTACCCAATTGCTGACTTCCCTGTCCAGCTNCTGGTCTCCGCAAGAAGGTCAAGGTCTTCCAGAAGGAGCACTACTCAGAGTCCTTTGTCACCAGCATCCTCCTGTCCATCCCTGAGGGTGTCAAGGACTCCACCCTCGTCATTGGTGGTGATGGTCGTTACTGGAACCCCGAGGTCACCCAGACCATTGCAAAGATCGGTGCCGCATACGGCGTCAAGAAGCTCATCATTGGCCAGGACGGCATTCTCAGCACTCCCGCCGCTTCTCATGTCATCCGTATCCGCAAGGCCACTGGTGGTATCCTGCTGACCGCCTCGCACAACCCTGGTGGTGAGTCGTAGTGACTTTCCAATCCATCAAGACACGTTAGCTAATCGCCTTTCGCAGGTCCCGACGAGGACTTTGGTATCAAGTATAACCTCGCCAACGGTGCCCCTGCTCCCGAGAGCGTCACCAACAAGATCTTCGAGACCTCCAAGACTCTCACCGAGTACAAGATCTCCGACATTCCCGATGTCGACCTCGCCTCCATTGGCTCCAAGACCTACGGCGACCTCGAGGTTGAGATCATCCACTCGACCGAGGACTACGTCAAGATGCTCAAGGACATTTTCGACTTTGACCTCATCAAGGCTTTCCTCAAGGAGCACCCCGACTTCAAGATCCTCTTCGACGGTCTGAGCGGTGTCACTGGCAACTACGGTATCGACGTCTTCGAGAAGGAGCTCGGCCAGAAGGGTTCCACCCAGAACTGCATTCCCAAGCCCGATTTCGGTGGCCACCACCCCGACCCCAACCTCGTCTACGCCGCCAGCTTGGTCGACGCTGTCGAGAAGAACAACATCCACTTCGGTGCTGCCTCTGACGGTGACGGTGACCGCAACATGATCTACGGAAAGGGCGCCTTCGTCTCTCCCGGTGACTCGCTCGCCATCATTGCTCACCACGCCGAGCTCATCCCCTACTTCAAGAAGCAGGGTGTCTACGGCCTGGCCCGTTCCATGCCCACCTCGGGCGCCATCGACCTTGTCGCCAAGAAGAAGGGTCTCGAGTCATACGAGGTTCCCACTGGCTGGAAGTTCTTCTGCGGTCTGTTCGATGCCAACAAGATGAACATCTGTGGTGAGGAGTCTTTCGGTACTGGTTCCAACCATGTCCGTGAGAAGGATGGTCTCTGGGCCGTTGTTGCATGGCTCAACATCATTGCTGGTGTTGGTCAGCAGAAGGGCGAGACCCCCAGCATCAAGTCTATTCAGCAGGACTTCTGGAAGATCTACGGCCGCACTTTCTTCACCCGTTACGATTACGAGGGCTGCGAGTCCGAGGGTGCCGAGAAGATGACTGCCCACATGAAGGAGCTCATCACCACCAAGAAGGACCAGTTTGTTGGCTCCACCATCTCGGGCCGCAAGGTCATCGAGGCCGACGACTTCAGCTACACCGACCTTGACGGCAGCGTGAGCAAGAACCAGGGTATCTACGTCAAGTTCGACGATGGCAGCAGAATCGTTGTCCGTCTTTCAGGCACTGGTTCCAGCGGCGCCACCATCCGTCTCTACGTCGAGAAGCACGATGCCGATGAGAAGACCTACGAGATGGACGCACAAGACTACCTCAAGGACAATGTCAAGCTCGCCACCGATCTCCTCAAGCTGCAGGAGTACATCGGCCGTACCGAGCCCGATGTCAAGACCTAAATGTGTCGCGTGAACTGAGATGTAGCATTTTAATATAACGACTTTTGCATGTACAGAAACAGAGGGTACATAAGACACGAAAAGAAAAACAGTTCAAACTTTGTATCATTGATGATGTGGATTTTGCTTCCTATTGAGACGTGTCTTCGTAATGCAAATGACTGTGACACTTACCAGGTAGGTTGAATTGGTAATTTATTGTCCATGTCTACGAAGCCAAGTCGCGAGTGCCACCATTTCTGTCAAGATCTTGCTTGCCAGAGGTAGCACCAAACCCTTCTGCCTCAAGGCTCTGCACCGTTGTCTGGGCTTCTTGCGCGCCGACTTCTTGAACAATCTCCTTGGGCTTGACCTCCTTGTCACCAAGTATTGCGCCCTGGGCATCACCGTCCACCTCTGCCATGTCCTTTTTAGTCTTTTCCTCTGGCTCGGCACCATTTTGGAAAAACACCTTCTGGTAATACCTCGCTTCCTCGATACTCTCGAGGATATCCGCTCTAGCCTCGTGTTTGCCAGCCTTTGGGGGCGAGTGTTTGAGCACAGACAAGGGCGCCCATCTTTTCGCTGCTTCCTTTATCGCCGAAACGTCGAGGATACGGTGGTGTAGCCATTTGATCACCGGTGTATATGGTTGCAGCACCAAGAATGCTCGATCGGCATGTACAGTATTGCCAGCCAACAGCGCCTTTTTACGGTCTGGACAATACTGTTGCACGTACTTCAACAATTCATCAGCAGCTTGTTCTGCTGTTGTGGTTGACGCCAGACAGGCAGCTGTCAATCCGGTTTTGGCGTGTTGGTTTGTGCACCATTCGCCCATTGCGTCTAGTTGATCTTGAGAGTGGTGGATGATTGCGTCGTAGCCATTGGCATCGAGGAGGTTTAGTTGGGCGTCGGTCACGAAACAGCAGAGGGACATTATGGTGTCTTTTGAAGTGTCGAGGCCGGTCATTTCGCAGTCGATCCAGACTAGAGGGTGTTTGGAGCGGGATTCGGGCATGGTGGGTGTGGAGGAGAAGGAGCGATGGAGAGAGATTGAGAGGTAGGGACGAGGAGTCTGGGGGAAGGTCGAGGTGATGCGAAGAGTGAGAGAGCGAAACATGCAATTGCGTGCAGAAAGTGAAGAAGTTGCTCGAAAAGATGGTTGACGATGACGCAGGTGAGGGAAGGTGTTGCTGGGTCGATTGCTGTATTGGGTTAGATTGATTGATGCGCTGCGCCCGGGGCGGCTTTCGCGTGCGCGACACGACGCGTGCCGGCAATAATCAGTTGCGCCCACGTCCTTGAGTGTCTTGTTTGTTGCAACATCCATATACCCAATCGTATACACACATCTATTTCCACAATCATGCCTCCAAGTAGGGCAAATGCACTAGCCGAACTCCGTGCTGCCAGAAAGGCTGGCAAGACAAACTTCTCGTCCTACGAGGTCCAGGACGAGGAGCAACTTTACGAAACCGTCGACGAGGACAGCTACAAGAAGATTGTCAGAAAGAGACTCGATCAAGATGACTTTGTTGTCGACGACAATGGCGAAGGATATGCAGATGACGGCCGTGAAGACTGGCAGAACGAACAACGACAAGATTATGATGACGAGAGCGACGATGACCTACCCACGAGGAGCAAGGCTGGTGACTACTTACCGTACTCCTCACGCACACTGCAGCATACTGACACTTNNGCAGCAAAACGCAAGCGCGAGGAAGACGCACAACAGAAGGACAAGATCAACAAGGGCATCAGCAAGTACTTCAACGCAAACCCGACCGTTGCTGCACCAAAGTCCAAGCAGCCTTCGACCGCCGAAGATGCCGCTTTCATGGCCGACCTTCTCGGTGAGGTCAATGCCAACATTCCCTCATACAAGCCCAGATCGACCATGAACCCCGTCAAGTCCGACACCCGCCGCAAGACTAGAGTCCTGTCACCGCCCGTCCAACAGATGAACCATGCCCCCACATACGAACCACGCACACGCAAACCCGACTCTCCGATAGCACCTGTCGACGATGACACGTATTTCCCCATGGACGAAGGCCTTTTCCCGCCGCCCGAGGACAACGACGTGCCAATGAGCGATCCTCTACCCTCGTCCCCCGTTGCAAAGGCCGCACAAAGAAAAGAGTCGAATGTGAAGATCGAGGAAGACGACGACGAAGATATGCTCGAAGTTGCTCAAGTCACAAATCAGTCTTCTCGAAGCACGGCTGCCATCAACATGCGCGGAAACAGACCGATCCCAAAGATTACAAAGACCGACTACCCAACACCCGCAAGCTCCTCTCCTTCACGGCAGGTTCCTGAAGCTATCGACACGGCGGCATTGACAAACGTCACCGATAAATTGAATGTCTTGAGCAGCTCTGGTGCAGAGACTGTCACTTTCGGCAAATTGGATCCTCAGCATGCTCAAGAAGAGGATGGTAGTGTACGCTTCTTCTGGTTCGACTACACTGAGATCAATGGAGGTCTCTGTCTTTTCGGCAAGGTCAAGGACAAGTCTACTGGTCGCTTCGTCAGTGCCTTTGTCAAGGTCGACAATATCATGCGCAAACTCTTCTTCCTCCCTCGCGAATATCGCAGGAAGCAAGGTCGTGAGACAGATGAAGAGGTCGAGATGGGTGATGTTTATCAAGAGGTGGATGGTCTCATGTCCAAGTTCAACGTCAACATGCACAAGATCAAGCCATGTTCGAGGAAATACGCATTCGAGCTGCCAGACATACCGAAAGAGGCCGACTATCTAAAGCTGCTGTATCCCTACGACAAGAACCCTTTGCCCATGGACATTCAAGGAGAGACTTTCTCTCACGTCTTTGGTACCAACACTGCGCTGTTCGAACAATTCGTCCTCTGGAAGAATATCATGGGACCTTGCTGGCTCAAGATTGAAGCAAACAGTATCAACTTTAACGCCGTCAAAAATGCTTCTTGGTGCAAGTTGGAGATGCTTGTCGACAAACCTCAAGGCATGTCGACTCTTGGAGATACCGACAACCTGGATGCTCCACCATTGACATTGATGAGCATTGCTCTCAGAACGAAATTGAACGAGAAAGATAATAAACAAGAGATCCTACTGGCCAGTGCACGTATCTACGACAGCATGTCCCTGTCAGACACGACCGCTCCAGAGAAACTTCCATGCAAGACATTCACAGTCATGCGCCCCAACGGTCCGGATTACCCTGTAGGATTCAAGACTGACGCAGAGAAGTACCGGGGTAACATCCAATGCGAGAGAAGTGAGGGTGCACTTCTCAGCAAGTTCTTGGCCTTGCTAGATCGCAACGATCCAGATGTCTTGATTGGCCACAGACTTGATGATGTCGACTACACGCTCTTGCTCAACAGAATGAGAGAGTGTAAAACACCTGGATGGCACCGCATCGGAAGGCTGAAGCGTCATGAGTGGCCCAAGAATATTGGCAAAGGTGGTGGCAGCTTCTTTGTCGAGAGACAGCTCGCTGCTGGTAGATTGCTCTGTGATTTGGGCAACGACATGGGCAAGTCTCTGATGACAAAGTGTCAGTCTTGGAGTCTGGATGAGATGTGCGATCTTGTTCTTGGCGGTGAGAACAAGCGTCGTGATATTGACAATGATGTATTGCTCAAGATGGCTACCAACAGAGCCGGTCTGATGCAGTACATCAAGCTCACCGAAGCAGACACATTCTTCATTGCTGCCATCGCCTTGAAGGTCCAGATGCTCCCCCTCACCAAGGTTCTCACGAATTTGGCTGGAAACTCATGGGCCAGAACACTGAGCGGTACTCGCGCTGAGCGTAACGAGTACATTCTGCTCCACGAGTTTCATAAAAACAAGTACATTTGCCCTGACAAGATTTGGGGCAAGGGTAAGGCCAAGTCTGATGAGGACAACCCTGAAGGAGATGAGGGAGCAGATGCAAAGAAGAAGGACAAGTTCAAGGGTGGTCTGGTTTTTGAGCCCGAAAAGGGTTTGTACGACAAGTTTATCCTGGTCATGGACTTCAACTCGTTGTACCCCAGTATCATTCAGGAGTATAATATTTGCTTCACTACGGTTGAAAGATCAGAAGNNTCGTAAGTTATGGCTACCAAGTCCTCAAAGATGCAGCTAACAAATGATTAGAATGAGGATGAGGAAAAGGTTCCCGAGGTCCCAACGGATACCAATAACAAGGGTATCCTTCCACGACTGATTAGAACACTCGTCCACCGCCGTCGTGAAGTCAAGAAGCTCATGAAAGACAAGACCGCTACGTCTGACCAACTCGCGACTTGGGAAATCAAGCAGATGGCTCTGAAGTTGACTGCCAACTCCATGTACGGATGTTTGGGTTACACCAAGTCACGCTTCTACGCTCGTCCTCTTGCCATGCTCACTACCTACAAGGGTCGTGAAATTCTGCAATCGACCAAAGATCTGGCAGAGTCTGCTCACGGTCTGAGGGTCATCTATGGTGATACCGATTCCGTCATGGTCAACACCAACGTGGACAACATCATGGATGCCATGAAGATTGGAAACGACTTCAAGAAGAGCGTCAACGAACGATACGAACTTCTCGAGATTGACATTGACAACATCTTCCGCCGCTTGCTCCTACACGCAAAGAAGAAGTATGCTGCTGTCAACATGATCGAAAAGGATGGCAAGTGGATCGATAAACTCGAAGTCAAGGGTCTCGATATGCGCAGAAGAGAGTACTGCGCATTGAGCAAGGATACCTCGACCGAGCTCTTGAACTTCCTCTTGTCTGGTGAAGATCCTGAAACAGTCGTCTCGCAGATCCACGATCATCTTAGGGAAGTCGCTTCGCAGATGCGTGCCAACACTATTCCGCTTCGCAAGTACACCATCTACACCCAATTGGGAAAGCACCCCAAGGAATATCCCAATGGAAACAGCATGCCTTCTGTGCAAGTCGCGTTGAAGTTGATGGCCAAGGGCAAGAACGTCAAGGCCAAGGATGTCATGTCCTACATCATCTGCAACGACTCCTCTGGCAGCGCGGAGAAGGCAGCAAAGAATGCTTTCCCAGTCGATGAAGTTCTTCGTGCGGAGAACGAACTCATACCTGACATTGATTACTACCTGCACAAGCAAATCCTGCCGCCGGTCGAACGTCTTTGCGCTCCTATCGAAGGCACCAATGTTACTTTGCTTGCCGAGTGCTTAGGCCTCGATACGAGCAAATACCGTGTCAGCAGTGCCAGCGGCGGCAACTCTTACAACGCCGAGACCGAAATCCACCCTCTGGAATCGCAGGTTCCCGATGAGATTCGCTTCAAAGACTGTGCACCTCTAGGGCTCATGTGTCTTGCCTGCCGCACCCCATTCCAGTTCCGTGGTCTCGGTGTCGCCGCGTCTCCAGATGCTGAAACCAGACTTGCAGTCGTGGATACCGATGGCTTGCACTGTCCCGCCGACTCTTGCGGTACTCTAATGTCGCAAATGGCAATGTCCGCACAACTGGAATCGCAGATTCGCGCACATTGCGCGCAATACTATGCAGCCACACTTGTCTGCGACGAAGCCACTTGCGGGCAGCGCACACGTCAAATGAGTGTCTACGGTACACGATGCCTAGGCCCCCGTGGTCTTGCTTTTGGCTGCACGGGCCGCATGCAATTCGAATATACAGAAAAGCAGTTGTATAACCAGTTGCTGTTTTTGCAGCGATGCTTTGACGTGGAAAAGACGTTGCAGGAAATGGCAAAGAGGAAGAATGAAGAAGCTGAGAGGGTGGGTGTGCTGGCGGAGATGTTGAGAGGCAGGTTTGGGGTGTTGAGGGGTGTGGTGGAGGGGTATCTTGATAGGAGTGGGTGGGGGTGGGTCAGTATGGATGGGTTGTTTGGGTTTGCGCTCAAGGCTTTGTCGTAGGGTTGTTGTATGTTTTCTGGCGTTGGTGCTTAAGCATAGTTCATGAAGTTTGCTCTTCGAGTTTTTGAATGTCTTGTTTTTATTGGTGGCAACATGTGTAGTTGTCCTGTTGTGTTGTGTTTCTCACCTCTAGAGCCATTTCCTCACCATCACGATTGTTTTCTCCTTTGGATCCTTGTTCTCTGCTTTCTCTCCACACCCTCTCGCAATCCCTCCTCCACTCTTCCTCCTCGAACTCATCGGGCCACTTGTACTCCTGCACTAGTATTTTCTTCATCTTCTCGTACTTTTATTTTTTTTTTGTTCCCAAGTCAGCACACCCAACCACCAAATGAACCACTGCATCCCACGCCACAACAAATAAATAACTTACTTCTATCCCCTGCGTACAAAAACTCCCTACACCATCACCCACTCGTCTGGGTATCCAAACCAAACTTTTTAGATTCTGCACACATTGCTGTAAATATTCGCGAGGATCGAGGATGGGGAAACGTGTGTAATGGTCGTGAGGGGAGGAATTGTTGAAGTCGTATCTCGAGTGTTTGGTGTCGGGGTCGGTGGGGAGGGATGGGGGTTCCCAGGTACAGTGTCTGAGTGTATCNTGTTTCTCGTGAGTTGGTTGTTTTTGACTCTGTTTTTGTTGATGGAAAGGTAGGGATGGAAAGGTAGGGATGCAAGGGACAGGCAAAAGGGAGGCATAAAAGAAAAGGCAGAAGAACACACTCTTCTCTGCATCCAACACCAAATAACACCCTTCATCTCCCATCAGTGTCAATGCAATTTCCTCACCTCCCAAAAAGCACNNCCTGCGCTCCAACATTTCTGGATCACGACCCAATTCTATATCCTCAGAGGACACGAAACAGTTTGCAAAGGAGCAAGGCATGAATTCGTGTTCGAGAGCCATGTTTAGGGAGATGGGGCAGGGCAAATGGCGAATTAGTGATGTTACCGCTGGAGAAAGATGTAACTCTTTACGAAGATTTTCTTCAATGGGTCTGCCNGTGGGAGGTGCAAAGTCCATTTCAGAGGGATGCAAGTAGGAGAGGCGGAGGAGGAGGGTGTAGTATTCGGTGATGAGAGCGATGATGGCGGATTCGTTGTAGGTGGTGGAGATCATTGTGGTGATACAGGTGAGGTGTTTTGCTGCTGCTTTGTGCGAAAGAAGACACAGATGATGTGAATTATGGTATTGCTTCATGAAGAAGGATTGTCATGTTGGCTGGCCTGTTGTTTCTATCAATCTCGGTTAGGTGATGGGCTGTTTTTGTGCATAGAGCGCACAATATGCACAGCTGTGCAACCAAGCTCGTACTTTTCTTCTCACATCCGCTTGCAATGTTTGTTCTTTGACTATGCAGTACCTCTCCAAAGTGCAGTCAAATTTCAGGGTAATCTCCGCTTGATATTCTCCTTGATATTCTCTGGTGGAGCTGAATGCTTGTCTCCGCTCAAATGATCCACACTTCCAGATGCAGTCTCTCCAGCCTCAATCACTCCAACTAAGGCCAAGTCTCTTGCAAGTGTTTAAAGCGCATTGCGACATTCTGCGACTTCAGGTCCTTCTTCGTCAATCTCGTTCAACAGCCGAAGTTGATGTGTCCAACGAAGTTTTGTTGACGGCGAGATCTGATGTTAAGGAAATAGCAATGTGTTACTTCGTCTTGAAATATGAGGAAAACACTATGACTCACAACTCCCTTTACGTTTGCAGCTTATGTGTTTGACAGAATTGATAAGTTATGGTCTGAGCTTAATCTGTGCGGACAAAATCATGAAACTTCCACGAGCTTACTTGATACATAGTGTCATCATACTCCATGCTTGTCTGTAACACTCATTGTGCTTGAAAATCATCAAGTCGCAACACATCCTACTTCTCAATCTTATTCACATCCTCCACAAACGCAGCACCACCCTCACTGCCTCTCTTCTCTTCACTCATCTTCTCAGCATCATGCTCCACGTCCGCACTCAGACTGATCTTTACAGGCTGGCTCTTGCTAGTAAACTTGTGGATACCTTGACTGCCATCTTTGACGAAGAGATAGTCGACTTCTTCAAGTGTCAAGTTGGAGGTCTCGGGNCTGTGTTTTTGTGTCAGTGATGGTTCTTGAAGGAGAGCAGAGGAGGGTAATCATACATAGCAGAAATAAACCAGAGGCACGAAAGCGAGGTTCGTGCACATGAAGATGAGGTAGGCTTTCCATTGCAGCTTGTTGATGAGGGTTGGCGTGATCATGACAACGACAAAGTTCTGCGCGGGCTTGTGTTAGCAGTGAAACGAATGTGACATGACCATGGAAGGAGTGTGAGTTGTNACCCAGAGCCAGTTTGAGGAAATTCCAATGGCGGTTCCCTTTGCTCTTGCATGCAGAGGTAGAATCTCGGGCACATATACCNNCTAGATTGATTGTTAGCATTTTACAAGCGAGACTTGCGATTGGACAAGTGAATCTTACCATGGAATACAGTTTGCCGATGCTCCGAAAATGAACATNCTGAACAATTGTCAGTCTCGCGCTTGCTGGAAAGTGGTCCCTGGACAACTCACGTATGTAAAGAAGAAAGCAACGCTCGCACTCGCAGTCGCGGTGTTTAGCTTGTCCGAGTATCCGCGTTCAGGTGTGAAGCTTAATAAGACTGCGATGAGCATCATGGAGATGGCAAGACCGAAAGATCCCCACATCATGGGCNNTGTTTGCTATTCTTTAGTCGTGTCTTCGAGTAGTCATGCATAGAGTGTACTTACGCGTCTTCTGCCCATTCTGTCGAGCAAGAATGTGGGAATCAAGGAGCCGAAGAAGAACATTGTTTGCACGAAACCACCTNNGTGGAAGGAATCGAGTCAGCTTTATTCATCCCCCATGTCATTCGATTGAGACATGCCTATGAGGAGCGACAAGTTGTGTGAGAGATGAACATTTTGCTGGAGGGCAGTAGGCACGAAATANACTGCTCCTGTGTCAGTCAAGCTGACGAGAATGAATAACCAGCTTCAGACTCACACGACCAGATTGATACCTCCGATCTGGTTCATGAATTGCATGCCATAGGCGAGGAGAACACGTCTTCCAGTTTGGACCTCGTCTCGCTTGAGTATTTGGCTCCATCTGTGATTTTCATTAGCACCTTCCACTTTTTTGATATGCACAGTTTCGGTCTCGTACTTGTATTCGCCATGCTCGCGTTCTAGTTTGAGTGCATCCAGAATATCTTTTTGCTCTCGGGCAATCTTTGGATCTTCTGGTGTGCCATCATACACATCACATAGAACCTGTAAAGCCTCTTCGTTGCGGCCTTCCTTATAGAGGTATCTCGGTGACTCGGGAACGCCCAAAACCATGATTACAACAACCTACTCGTGTCAGTGATTGTGATATGATGTTGAACCGGGGATCCATACGATCGCAAAGAAAATCTGGCAAGCAATTGGCAAGCGCCATGCGATCGGTCCTCCAGCGTAGGCAATACCATAGTCGAAGAAGTAGGCAATAACGATACCCACGCCGACGAAGAGAGGCTCAGAGCTGACAACGCGACCACGTTTGTGTGCTTCGACCAGTTCACTCTGGTACATGGGAACAGTACTGGTTTCGATGCCGGTACCAATACCCGTGATATAGCGGGCAACCAGGATTTGGGGAACGCTATAAGAGGTTGTTTGCAGGATAGCACCGATGATNCTAAATCGATCAGTACCGATGCAGTATATCTCGGTGCTAAGACTTACGATGAAGACCATGGCAATCCACATAGACAGCCGTCTCCCGGCTTTCTCTCCTCCGAAGAATGCCAATATACATCCACTGAAGGCTCCCTGGTCTCAGTCAGTTCTTGCAGACCTTGTCTGAGTATGACGATGGAAGTACAAGNNGTTGTATATCGAGACGATGATGCCTTCAAGGGCGCTGCCTGGATGGCCGAACGTTTCCAGCCAGTCTGGATTCTCAACAATGCCAGAGAAGACTCCTTGATCATCTGGGCCATGTTAGACTCTAGGAGAATGCGTACAGATAACAATATACATACAGCCGAACAAAATAAACGCAAGCTATCATTCGTCAGAACGGATGTGTGCGTAACGATCCTTGATTGTGCTTACTTGACAAGTGATCATGATTGCTATCTGCAGCGGCCTGCCGCGCCCAAACATGTTAAGACGAGGCATGATGTGGTATGTGTCTACTACCGCAAGCGACAAGATGGAACGAAGAGAGGTGGAGTGGTATAAGAATCAAGGCCGCAGATCGCACGCGGCATTCGACCTACATATAAGAATCACGCTGCCGCACAAGTCTCCGATAGAGGATATGACGACAGCTGTATTATTTGGTTGTAAGTCCAATGGCATCGGTAACTGTCCGCTGTCCAGAAAGTATGGCAATGTATGAATCAGGCAATCGGCTCGCCATCTACGTGCAGATGTGGTACACGCATACAGGATCTGCATCTTGCCGTGGGATGCGGGGTCAGCGGTTGCGGAGGTGAATGAACCATGGAGTACAACATGGGGGATACGTGGTGATCAGCAGGAACTCATTCCGTGTGGAATAGCGTCCGTTGGGTGTATGATTGGGTAAACAAATGCAGTAATTCCGAGCGCTTGAATACCGGGAAGTAGGAGGTGTCATGAGTGAAATAATGGTGTACAATCTACTTGGATCAGCAGCTGAGGATGGTGTTTAACCAGCCACGTGCATACAAAGCTTCTACATTGATCCTTCAGATGGCGAGAGTTCAAGATATTATTGTTTTTAAGAAGTTGAGTGTGGGTGACATCGCAGCCCTCGTGCAGCGGTTCAGTATTGATATTGAGTTTTGAACGCCACCTGCTTCATCGCCGGCGTTGTGTTCGTGTTGCCGGCTATCGGCAAGAAGCAACTTCTAGCCTCCCCAGAAAATCACAGGCAGTCGGGACGAGACGGACATCTAATCAGATCAGATGCAATGACATGGGATCTCTCAGATGAGCAGTTGATGCACTCTTCTCTGTACATTGGACGCGCGAAGGTGCAGTCAGTTGTGCAGTAAACGACAAGATTATGTCGGATTTGAGGAAGCCCACCAAGACCATGGCAGAAGGAGCACAGAGCTATGAAGATGTTCTAGAGAAACTTGGTGTTCATCGTTGGTCGGATGTCTGTTGGAGAAAACATGTGCTTTGTGGTCATGTTAACCAACACTAAGGAAGTCGACCCTGCCAAGACAAGAGCGAACAGGAATAGGAATAGCAACGAGAGCACGAGGTCGGTCCGCTCGATGGCTCCTTCCCAGGGCAACCGTAAGGTTTGTCAACACAAGCAGACGAAGCTTCGACATCTTGAACGTCGAAGCGATATCGAGTCGAAAGAAGACGTTGGATTTGGAATGTGTTTACCCAAAGGAGGGAGTTGTTGGAGAAATCACGATGCAAAATTGGGCGACTGGTCTAGGCCTTTGCGCGTTGGTGCAGTTGGAAGGCTAAAGTGGTAGTTTGTCCGAGAGGTCGCACCGGATGTATGGACGTCCTGTGCTCACATAGAGTTGGGCATGCTGCGTAGCCAAAGGTACTCGTAGTCATGGCGGCCGACAGGAGTTCGAAAAAGAGGGCGCGGCCAGACGCAATCTCTCCCAATGGCAGCGACGACCAGACGCTGACGACGGCGAACATGCCCATCCGCACCTCCAAAGACGCCGCCCTCGATCAACTTGGCCTCGTGGACTTTCTCCGTCACGACACACGCCCGACGTGCATCGTCGACACAGCGGCAGGCTACATCGCCTACCGCAATCCCGCCCTCGAACGACTGCTCGCCGGCACCTGGAACCTCCAGCACTTTCGCGACTGGGCCACGACTCTTAGCCCACACCCGCAGGCCGCCAGCTTTGGAGGAAGAGCATGGAACTGCATACTACAAGACCACAGATGGCTCATCGCCAGTGCTCAAGAAGAGGCGCCTCTTCCGGCGGTACGCGGCCCACCAATACCGTGCACCACATCGCAAAACAGCAACCCAGGCACATCATCGTCCGACTCGCGCCGCCAGTCCGTCGCATCCTCGTCATGGCGCACCGTGTCCGACGAGGGCGGCCAGCGCTACCTCGATTGGACCCGCGCTCCGTCTCCCGCCATGTCGGCCCATATGCACCTGGTGCGCAACTTTGCCTGGCAGGACACAACCATCGGCAGCATCCAGTCCTGGCCCGATGCCCTGCGACAGGCCGTCCTCTCTGCTATGGCTAACCCGGATCCACGTCTGCTACTCTGGGGAGACGACCATGTCATGATCTACAACGAGGCCTGCATTTCCATGTTTGGCGAGCGACACCCCCGTGCCCTGGGCTCCAAAGCCGAAGATACGTGGTCAGACATCTGGTCTGACATGTACCACTTGATCAAATACGTCCAGGTCGAAGGAAGAGGCACCCGCCTGAACAAGCTCCCTCTCGTCATGGAACGTAACGGATACCCCGAGGACACCTTCTGGTCTTTTAATCTGATTCCAGTCGTCGGTCCTCATGGTTCCACCATCGGCATCATCGACGAGTTCTCCGAAGTCACCGAACACGTCGTCAGCGACCGTCGCAGAGATTCCATTGTCAAGATCAACAAGGCAATCGCCAAAGTCAACAGCGTCAAGGAGCTTTGGTTCGAGTTCCTCGAGGGTATCGAGCCTTGCAAGGATGACATTCCCTACGCTCTTCTCCACACGAACCACACTGCTGCCAACAATCATTCTATGCCCGACAACATCTCGGCCTCTTCTGGCTCAAGTCCACAGCGCTACTTCCTCGAAGGTTCAATTGGCCTTGCTGCAGGTCATCCTGCCGTCCCTTTGACATTTGATCTTGCCGACTGCGCCCATGACCAGAACCCTCTTGCACGTGCCTGCTACAAGGCCTGGAAGACTGAAGATGCGGTCGTCTTGCAGCTCAAAGACGGTAGTCTGCCTCAAGTCCTCCATCAGGGTGTCCCTGGCCGAGCTTCAGGCGACAAGGCACAAACTGTCTGTGTTATTCCAGTGCCCGACATGTCCGGTGGCCAAATAATGGCTTTCTTGACTCTAGCACTGACTCCCCGTCGGCCATACGATACAGAGGCTGCCATGTTTGCTTACTATTTGCGTGATATCCTGGTCAAGTCTGCCTCGGCCATCTGTCTTCCCGACGAGCAACGTCGGGCGCGTCAGAAGTTTGAACAAGTCGAGGCATCTCTAGCCCAACAACTACGTGTCACTGCACTCGAGACTGAGCGTCTGGAGAGCCGGTTTGCACGAATGGCTCAACTTGCTCCCATTGGGATGTATGCCATTACGCCAGACGCTCGTACCACTTTCCACAACCAAGCCTATCTCGATATCACTGGTATCACCGAACAGTCCATCGAAGCTCAGACCGACCCCTTGGAGTACCTACACCTCGACGATCGTGAGAGGGTCATGAATGCCTGGCTTCAGTCTCTCGAGGAGAAGCAGACCTTCACCATCGAGTATCGTGTAAGCCGTCCATGGTCCTTCACTGATCCAATTTCGGGAGAAACCTTGGACGGCGATACTTGGGTCTTGGCTACCGCAGCACCGGAACTCGATGAAGATGGTAATATTGTCCACATCCAAGGCTGGTTACTCGATGTCAGCCATCGCAAGTATCACGAAAAGTCTCGTATTGAGCAGATCGAAATCGAACAGTCAGAGACTAGATTCGCCCGCTTGGCTGCAGATGCTCCTTTGGGCATGTATCTTTTGAAGCCCAATGGCGAGCCATTGTATCTCAATGAAGCATACTTCAGAATACTTGGCTTTACCAGAGAAGAGTTTGAGGATGCTCAGCGACGCGGATTAGGTTGGGGTGACAGGATCCATGACGACGACCAAGCCAAGGTGGGCGAGGCATGGCTGGCCCTGGCTCAGCAAGGCATCCCACTGAATCTGGAATATCGCATCAAGAAAGACTGGAAGTACATGGACGAAGCTAGTGGCCTCGAGATGACGGGCGAGACTTGGCTACAAGGTACAGCCATAGCTGAGATTGGCATCGATGGCTCAGTGGTCGCAATACAAGGTTTCGTCACCGAAATATCAATGAAGAAAGCTTCGGAACGCTTGCTTAGCGAGAGATTGGAGGATGCTCTCGAACACAAACGTCAAGCAGATCGATTTATCGACATGACCAGTCACGAGATGCGCAACCCACTTTCAGCAATTTTACAATCTGCCGACGGTATCTTGACGACACTCGAGAACAACAATCGTTTAGGCATATCAACTGGATCAACGACTTTCAGTGGCGACGTCCTGGAAACCGTACTGGACTCGGCTCAAACCATCATCCTTTGCGCTCAGCATCAAGGTCGTATTGTCGACGATATTCTAACCTTGAGCAAGCTCGACTCGAATCTGCTTGTGGTATCACCAGACACAGTGGACATGCCAGGTTTGATGGAGAAGTGCTTCAAGATGCATGAAGCAGAACTTGTCAGAGCCAAGATTAGCATCAGCCTTCGCATTCATGAGGGCTTCCGCAACCTGGCCGTTGGTAGAGTCATGCTTGACTCCAGTCGCTTGCTGCAGGTCATTATCAACCTTCTCACCAATGCCATCAAATTCACACAATTTGCCAGCCGCAAGCAAATCACGGTACATCTAGACGCTTCCTTGACCCGACCGAAAGAGGGAATGTATGGAGCTCCTTATGTTCCCTTTCGTGTCAACAGGCCTGAGCACCACTTTACCGCAGAATGGGGAACTGGCGATGAAATCTTCTTGTCGTTGTCAGTTCAAGACAGCGGTAAGGGCATGAACGACGAAGAGCTGAAGTTGCTTTTCAACCGCTTTTCACAGGCCAGTCCCAAGACCTATAAGCAATATGGAGGCAGCGGTCTCGGTCTGTTCATCTCGAGAGAGCTCACAGATCTACAAGATGGTCAGATTGGCGTGCACAGCGAGCCTGACAAGGGCAGTACATTCAGCTTCTACATTAAAGCTACAAGAGCAGTCGACGATGACGAAATTCTGAGAGAAGGAACACTGACCACTCCGACACTAAACACGCCTGTCACCTATACCCGCGATCCTGCTTCTAACTCCTCTCAAGTCAGCAACGATACCCAGACACACGACAAAACACAGAATGTTATCCGCAAAATGTCCGCTGTGGCTAGCGATCTCACCGAAGAGAAACCACACCTTCATGTGCTGGTAGTGGAGGACAACATCATCAATCAACGCGTAAGTTCTGCCAAACACCGTTTTTGAACAGTTATTAACATGTTCTTTACAGNNGTCATGTCTCAACAACTCCGACGGCTGGGATGTACGGTACATCTCGCAAATCATGGTCTCGAAGCCCTCGATTTCCTTCGCAAGACCTCTTTCTGGGCATCCCACCCCGCATCAAGACAGAAACATGAGGAAGCACCAAGTCCGAAGACAATGCCGCAATCAAACATCATCCCTCTCTCCGTCGTCCTTATGGATCTGGAGATGCCCGTCCTCGGCGGTCTGGAAACAGTAAAAAGAATTAGAAGCCTACAGAGTGAAGGCAGTATCATCGGACACGTCCCCGTCATTGCAGTAACAGCAAACGCGAGGAGCGAACAGATTGCCGTTGCCATCGATCATGGTATGGACAGCGTCGTAACAAAACCTTTCAGGATCCCAGAACTGGTGCCCCAGATGGAAGGCCTGGTCAAGAGAGTGGAGCAAGGCAGGACTGGCAGAAAGTCTGTCGTGAAAGATGGGAAGTCTTCTATTGTATGATTGGATAATGTGTGTCTTGGTGCACTGATGGGCGTTTCTTTGTCGGTGTATGGATTTGACTCTGGGAATACCATTTTGGGGGGATGGATTTAGCAGGAGTTCTTAGCTTTCCAATGGGGTGTGAGTTCTTTGAGTGTATTCAATCATAGAGCTTCTTGTCTGCATCGGTCCAGCTCTCAGTACGTTACATTGCGCCTGAGAGCCGCCGCTGTCTTGGTCATAGCACGCCACGAGTTGCAAAGAACATGATACATATCAGCATAGCGGTCGATCCAAATCAGATTCAAGTTGCAGCACGTCGATATCATAGAGGTCATATGATGTTCCCAATTGAACAGGGTGGTACTGCTGACAAGATGCATGACAGGGTCACCCTTCGTGCCTATTTCTGTTTGGTCGAGCGTCTCGAGTTGTCATGGCATTTCCCGTCTCTAACAGATACTAACCACTGTATATCCCACCGACTCTCCATCTTTCGCGACACTCCAACGATGGTCGCAATATCGTGATCACTTCGCCGCATACCGCCTCGGTCATCGGTCGCACTCTCATACTCGTCAGTCCTTCTTCGTCATGCTTGTAGGTGGTCACACCGCGGCAGCGCCCGCACCACCTTCCCTTGTCATCCAATAGTGACTGGAGAAATTACTGGTCCATTGGTCTTGCGTCGAGCATTACCACGTCTTTTGGTTTCATTCCAACGTACATCGCAGGTCCAGAGGAAAGCTGAGACTGGACTGTGGGTGCCTTGCTCATTACGACTTCACATCAGAGCTGCCCAATCATTCACGCAAGCTCAAGACGATGGACTCTACTCTTGGTCAAATCTTGATCATCAGCTCTGGCAGTCTCTGATATAATCAGGGGGAAAGCTGCTGGACGAATTCTTCTGAGTGATATTGAGAAACATTAAGATGGTTCTACGAGTTTCCCGTGTGAACGAAAACACTTCTGATTCGACCAAGCCCGACACACGCGGATTCCGATGAATCACAGCAGCTGGATGTGAACACAGCATGCTCTAACAGTCTTACAAGAAGATGGAAGATCGGCTGAACGGCGTAAGGGGTCTTTTTGATCTCCAATATAATCCGTCGAACTGTCAGCGACTTTATTTCCCTATCTACCAGCTTCAAAATGTGTTCCGCAGAGCCCAATCAACCTTTTCATTCCCCGGCAACGGAATATCGGAAGTTGATCGAAGACCTACTCAGAATGTTCACCATCCTCTGGAACATGGTTCTGCAATCCGACACGGCCAGATGTCTTGATCGAATGTTCTCCGAACAACCCGAGCACTTACCCCAAGGACTCCATAACATCTACAACCAACGATCAGATGCTAAGATACTCGAAGCTAACCGCAGTTTTCTTAAGTCGCTGGAGAGCCTACGCGAGACGAATCGAAACTATCTGAATAACATACAGCCGGCGTCCGTAAGACCTATCACTTCACCTCTACTAGCGCGACTGCCAACGCCTCTGAGACAGAACTCGTGCCCAGCGCCATCTCACCTTACGCGACATGAGGAACAAGATTATTTCCTTGTGGAAGACTTTAGTGTAGAAAGATGTGTCAAGAAGTTTGAAAAGATGGATCTAAATGGCGAATAGGGGATTGCGGGAAGTTCTATCTAGAGCGGAGGATATTGAAAAGGAAAAAGAAAAGGGGAAGAGGGAGCAGCACAAACCGGGGATGACAGAGAAGCTGGTTTATACCAGGATGCGTGCGCGCATGACCATGTGGGTGGTCGAGCCCTTCCTTCTCCAGAGGCACGCAAAACTTCTCACGATGTCGTATAGGCGATATCAACACCAAAACGGGAGTCAACCAGCAGTCAGACGAACTAGAGTATATCCGTAAAGCGCTCTGCTTACCAATAGACTGTTGGCCATACTCGCGGCGAAATATCTGTTTCGATGCTGCAGGCAGCCATCCACGTGGCAAGGCTTGCAATTCATCGCAGCCAAAGGATCCAAGTCGTCTAGTTCGTCAAGGTTTTCTGTTTCGCATACCAACACCACGCATGAGGTAGTTTACTCCCATAAATAAAATCTCTGTTTCGACATCCAAGTATAAGAAAGCTCTCTGCTTCCCACATCTTCTAGTCTCCTTCGTCTCCATCCCATCCACACTGTTACCACTACACAAACAAACAGTTGCACAAAACGAACATACACAAGCCCTTCCAGAAAAAATTCTACTTTAACAAACAACATCATCCATCATGCTTTCCGCCACATCATACATCTTCTCCAACGACACCGACGCCACAAACTTCCGTCGTGCTGTCAGGGAGACAAGTGGCACGCAGAGCCGAATACGCAGTCGCTGGCTCGGGAGCCAGTGCCCAAGAGGTACAAAGAGCATACTTTGCATACATGCGCTCTCAACAACAACGACAACAACAACAACATCAAGGCTATGATACCAATACTGCAGAACAGCAACAATTTACTCCACCACCAGCATACTCTGAAACCACAGACAACGAACCTCTGCCAGCCTACTCTGCCGCACTCATCAGCGAACCAAACCAACAGTCGCCAACCGCACAGCTAGATTTCTTGCTCCATGGCAATATCTATACCCAGCCTTTACCACCTACATACGAAGAAAGCATCCACCCACCACCTTCCTACCATCAACAGAATGCTTCTACCTCTACACCCCGACCATCAAACGAGTCACAACTATCCCATCAATCCATCACCACAATCTTCGCCAACTGCACCACCCGCACACCGCAAAAACAACTGCACAATAAAAGCATTCAAGCTATCCACCTGACACCACAAGGCGACATCTCGACTCCATCCAAGTCAACAAGATCAAAGTCTGGGGTTATAAAGAGAGTGTTCCGGTACAAGGGTTTGATGACTGCAAGGGGGCTTTGGTAAGGAGGGATTTCTGCTGCTTCTTTTTCTTTCTCTCTGCTACGAAGAAAAAGTAAGGAGGGCTTTTTTGATGAAAGGGCAGATGGGCGGAAGTAGACAGCTTGACTTTGAAAGCAAAAATGGCAAAAATGTCCGCTAACAACAAAAAAAAACAAGAAAAAATGATTGTGTGGTTGTTTATGTGATTTGTTTCTTTTCGTAAAGCTAAGGGAGATAGGTTGGGCATGACAGTGTGTTTGTAACATGATTCACCCCAAGGGCAAAAAAAAAAAAATCCAGATGCTTTTGCCGCATTCCTTTCTGGCGTGCAAAAAGGTATGTGGTTCAGTTTCTTCATTTGTTTGTCGGAGATTTGGGACAAAGATTCAAATAGCAAGTAGAGACTTATTTTTCACTTGTCTTTGCTTGAGAGGTAGAAGATATACGGATCTGGTCATGTGATACTCGCAGATTCCCGTTTCATCAACACCTGGATACAATATAGTCATCAGTTGCGAAGAGAAGAAGAAAACTATACATATATCTCAAAACTCTAGAAAACTCAAAACCACAAAACGCCAAATCCATGCAAATACAAAAGAAGAAGGAAGAAGAGAAAAAAATCAAGCATCCTCCACAATCATTACACGCCCCTGCTCATCTTTAGCAATGTGTTCGCCGAGACCCAGACTACCCAAAAGATCACTAGACTGTGTATCCCCTACAACAAATGATACCCTCTCACTCGGCCCCATGCCATCAACCCACACATACACGGGCATAAACAGTCAAATACCCGTCTTCTTCAAGCCCCAAGCAGCGACGAATGGCCAACCTAGTACCGTGCTATACTGCTCATCAGTATCAAGACATCAAAATTTAAAGACGTATATATGGAAATATAGGGGGTGAGGAGATAAAAGACCAAAGAAATACTTACGCAAGAAACGGAACAAAAGTCATTCCAGTGCGCAAAGTGCGTCTTACAAGCAATGAGTTGTCGTGCGAGTGTGGCAACAGAGTAGATGTGTTGCGGGCAAAGGGATGTTCTTCGCGAATGAGGTTTTTGAGTGTGCGGAAAAAGGTGCGGGATTGAGTTGGTCTGAATGCCATTGTGTTTGTTTTGATGATGGTTTTTGTTTTGGGAGGCGAGATTTGAGAGTTGTACTGATTTTCTCGATTGAGATTGTCGAAGAGTGGAGATTGTTGTATTGGTATACAAAGAGAGGAGATTTGAATGTGAGATGTTGTTGTTTGATTGATGTTGATGATGGAGAAAAAAAGGTTACACAAGCAATAGAAACATCATATACTTATAGAAACTTGTCTACAGGCCAGACCTGTCAAGAGGCACATGGGCATCGGGAATCACAACAGCAGTTCACGCGGAATACCCGGTTCACTCAGCACATCACCAGGTCAGCAGATGACAGGCGATTGCATCCTCCCTGACATGCCAAGTGGATTACCGCATTTGACAACTGCAAAAATCTGGGGAGTTCGGTTGGCTGCGGCATGCAAAACCACGGAGATTTATTGCGGCATGCGAAAATTAGGCAGAGGATACGGAAGGATTAAAGACGGCGTGATGGGTAAGGTGACAGGACCCTGGAAACTGGTGATGGACGGCGTGATTTGTGCTCCGTGCGCGGGCTTGTGGTGTGATGTGCCAAGCCGCAAACCGCCGACGACCTTTTCGTCTTTGGCGACAGCATCAACGAGAGCGATCTTGAAGAGTGGCTTTTCACCATATTCCGAGAGATAGACGTTGCTGTGCAAGGCTTAAGATTCGCTATATCTATAGGTTTCTGTAGCCGTACATGCATTCAGATCAAGAACTCCCACGCGAAGCCTCCAACAATGGATCCGTCTCGGTGGGCTCTTGCTCGACACTCTCTCCTTTCTTCTCTTTCTGATAAAACATGACGGCCATGACCAGCAACGCGCCCTGCAAAACGCCAGTCACACAATACACAAACCATGTACTCCATCCTTCCCAGCCAACCCTCAGCCACAAACTAAATGCAAAGACAAAGGCTCCTGGCACTTGGATGAGCATACTCGCAATGCTGAGCGACAGCACTTGCTTGGCTTTCCAGGTAGTGTAGAGTTGTGGGATGTATTGGATGGACGAGAGGATGGCGGCGAGGATGCCGAGAAAATTTGCCCAGCTGAGGAGGTGCGAGGGTAGGCGGAAGAGGAAGAGTGTTGAGATGAGGCCGACGAGGAGGAGCGAGATTAGCGAGGTTACACCGACGATTACGGCGTCGCGTTTGCGAGGCGTGTCTGGGGGAAGATGCTCAGGCGGTGGGTTGGCAAAGGCATCTCTGGGGAAGAAGACGAGGAAGAGGACCATACTGTATTTCGAGCGTCAGCATGCTGGAAGTAATGAGAGCAGCAGAACTCACATGGTCATGAAGCACACCCACTGCACGCCAATCTGAACGACGCCCAACAGCGCAGCACCGCACGCCGTGCCCGAGATCTCTCGGCAACAAGCCATGTCGTGTTGGCTAGTTGGCAAGACCAAGATGTTCGCCAGTGCGGCGATAGACGATATGGTGCCTAGCAGAACCCACCAGGGCGAGAGCCCGGCAGACGTGCCATGGCTAATGATTTTCAGATGTTGAGGGATGTACGAGATGAGGATACCGAGCACGAGTTGANNCTGCATCGCAAACACATGTCAGCACCTTGATGGCCAATGTCCATGTGGTCATGATTACACGGAAAGCGCGAGCACCCAGCCATTTGGCGACGCGAGATGTTCGCAGTATGGGTCTGCTGTCATGGCGGAGAAGAGCAGCGCTGGTAACCAGCAAGATGTTGAGGAGCTGAAGGTTGACAGCGATAAGACAAGGTGATGGGTGATGATGGTCAAGTGTGATGCGACCAGAGCTTGTCTGCCGCAAGCAAGACTACGCGACGCGTCAAGCAACCCTGACCTTGGCCGACGTCATATCTAAACACTCTGAACACTCTGAACACTCTGAACACTCTGAACACTCTGAACACTCTGAACACTCTGAACACTCTGAACACGTCCATCTTTTCCATCGTCCATATTTGATGTATCTGCTCGGCACAACAGTGTTCTGGCAGTAGTTCGGATGTCTTCGGGCATCGTCTTCTGCGTAGCTGAGTACCTACTTTTCCATGGGCGCCATCGTCGCCATTGATTTGCACCCAGTGACAAATCGCTCTCTCTTCTGTCGCTTTTCCGCAAACAAACCCTGACGAACACCATTGGCACGTCGAAAGAGCTGTCAAAAGCCTGTAATTGCTCCATGAGACGCTCATTCGCTACCGCGTGTTTGGTCAAACTCAATGGCAGATCACTATTGTTGTGATTTTCCATCAAGGTTTCGGCCATTGCAAACCCGACCATCTCGCGTTTGGTCATACGCACGTATCTTCACGAAGGCCCAGAATCCTTCTCGTATAGCCCGCAAACATGACCTAACGGTGCGAACGCTTGTCTCGTTCAAGATGAGCTTGGCCCAAAAGCTTGACCCGCGCCAGTGCACAACGTCGGCCTGTTCTATCTCATAAGACTGTCAAAAGGTGCTTCTGTTGGCCCCAAGCTCGTATAAAGCGGCCACAACTTGCTGACATCTCCTGCCTATCCAAACCTCCCCACAACCCGTCCACAGCCAGCATGAGTGTCCAAGTCAGCATTTGGTGCCATGCGTACCTCAAGAATCTGCTCGAAGCTGCAACTTATTCTTTGGAGACATATCCTTTGTTCACTTCGACTGTCCTCATCTCGGTTCACCTCATGTCCATAGTCGGAGCTGGATACCTTCTACTCTGGCTCTTCACTCCTTCCCCATCCAAGAAGATACAAACAAGAGCCTCCAAAACTCGTGTCCAATAGACTTTGGTTCGATCCGCTCCTTCCGCACGCTGGAAGTCTATGTAAGCGCCGAATCTAGGGCACACCCATGAAGGAATTCCTCAAACTAATGTTGACCGAGGACAGAGTCTGTCCGGTGGACTCGGACGTCCAGGGCAAACTTCCACTGTCGATCATCTGCAAAGCCGGGTATAAGGATGGTTCATAGTCAGTGGTTCGCGTAGATACATTGATGTTTTTATGCGACGAGAATCCTGATGGCGTTCGTAACGGTCGCGACACGTCCATCCATAGTGTACCACTTGATATCACACGTGCGTATGATCTCCGACCGGCTAGACAGACCTAGACAAATCAGAGAACTTTCCGCTGGAGGATGAACGCTATATTTGCATGGACAAGAGGATGAGCAGAAATCCTCCAGCGAGTATAACTTTGTCGAGCAAACCAGTGACCATCTCAGGAGGATGTAGCTTTACTGGTGAGTAGACCAGTAAATGTGGCACTCTGACTTTATCAAGACGGAAGGTCTATGGATCACTATCCTGTGAGAGTATCATTCCCTGTGTAATATGTGCTATACAACATTTCCCGCTTGTAGGACTGCTTAGAGAATAGGTTGAGCACATGCACAATTGATTCCGAATCAGAAATGTGGCCATAGAAATGCTCCAAGACTTGTTCTCTATGGACACTGTTCCCTCCTGGAAAGTACTGTGCATCGATATAGCCACATTGGGACGTTTCTCCGCTCACGGAGATGTCACAGCTTGAAGATCCACAGTAAGCTTTGGGGGACAATCATACCGCCCACTAAGGTGATGTGGAGAGTGGAACGAAGGATTCACTAAGCTGTATGCCCTTGAAGGATTCAGGATCAAGGATACAGGATCTAAAAATCTTGCAGGTGCAAGCATAGTCTTTTCCCTTTGTTGACCGACGGAGATATGTCTTGATGGTTGTAGGTGCTTCTACATGGCGTGTATATAAAGAGAGTCCAAATGCCCCGTGTTGAAATGCAACCACATCCAACACACTTCGTTCTGATATCTTCTTGACACACTTGGCCATCATGCTTATGCTGTCTACTCTCCTAGCCATACTCGGCACCTCTCAGCTTGTCCTGGCTCAGCCAACAGCAGAGCAATCCAGCTTCATCGTCTCGCATCATGCCAACGACTTGTTTCCTCATTCCAAAGGCAAGCTGAGTGCTTTCGACGTCAGCGTCGAATTTGTGGGCTACAATGCGTCCATGCAATCCTGGCTGTCCGGCATCAACCCCGCCACTGGGGAATCCGACGAGCACAAAGCTCAAATGCTGCTCGAAACAGCCTATGCCAAACCATTCGATCACACCGACATGGATATGCTCAATGACCGTGACGACATCCTTGCTGTTGTCGCCGGCAACACGACCTCCTCTGCACTTGCCAGACGTGCGGAGGTCACCTATCGCACTGCTTCCACACATGCTGTCGTGTGGTCCGTCTGCTCAGGTGCCATGTCCTGTCTCGCTGGCTATTCTTGCGCCTTCACCATCGACGTGGGCAAAGCCCCTCGCAGCAAATGTCAATCCCAAGGTGGTCAGAACTGCTGCATCAGTTGGTCGACGTACACTGTCAAAGCTGGCTTCTTCCAGCGCACGTGGACAAACTGCAACTCAGAGGTCCATGACGAAAACATGTCAAAGGCGTCGTGTGAAGGACATGGTTCTTCGTCTCAAGGTGGTGATGTCTGTTTGAGCAACCGCGCTACGGGATGTACTTGAGAAGGCAGGCAGACACGGTGGTGAGGCATTGGGTCTGTGTAAGAAGGTGGCGGTGGATGGCTCTCCCATGATGACAAGTAGTGCTATAGTATACTATCGAAATGCACAATCACTTACTCCATGAGCCGAGGGACCATGGAGATAGCTCTGAAGTAACGTCTCTCCGTGGGTATAACCTGGTTTCAAAGATCATTGTGCATTTCTATAGACAACTATTACAGCCTCAGTATAAAGGGAGCAAGAGCGGTAGTAAAAGGCACAGAACGTCGTCTGCCACAAGCAAGATTACGCGACGCGTCCAGGGACCCTGACCTTGGCATCGACGTCACATTTGAACCTTCTGAACACGTCCACCTTCAGGTCGTCCACCTCCAACATGTCTACCAGATACAACAGCGTGCTTGCAAACGCTCGAGTCCTTGTGCTTGGCGGCTCTTCAGGCATCGGTTTCTGTGTAGCTGAGCATGCTCTCGCTTCGGGCGCCATCGTCACCATCTCCTCTTCGCGCCAATCAAAGCTAGACAATGCCCTTGAAAGACTGAAAGCTTCCGTGCCTCACTCGTCAGCAAACATCGACGGTCAGATCTGCGACTTGTCCAATCTCGACTCCACACGTTCGAACCTCGAGACACTCTTGAAATCCGTCACATCCACCCAACTACTAGACCACATTGTTTTCACCGCCGGCGATGGCATCAAAATCAGACCTGTTGCCGACCTCGAAGTCGAAACCATCCAACAAATGGGCCACGTACGCTTCTTTGGTCCCATGTTACTCGGCGGCCTTGCAAAAACTTACATGAGCCCTTCCAAAACCTCTTCCATCACTCTGACCAGCGGCACAAACATCACAAAGCCAGGCAAAGGATGGACTGCAGTCGCCGGCTATGGCGCCGGCACCGAAGGCATCGCGAGGGGTCTTGCTGTCGATCTGGCTCCCATTCGTGTCAATTGCGTTAGCCCTGGAGCTGTGCATACCGAAATGTTTGACGATATCCCAAGCGACAGGTTGCCCTCTGTTCTGTCCAATTTCCGCAAAAGAAGCTTGACGGACAGCGTAGGCACGCCGGAGGAGCTGTCGGAAGCCTATATCTACCTGATGAGATGCTCATTTGCTACCGGTTCTTTGATTGAAGTACACGGCGGATCGTTGTTGGCATGATCTGCATATCTCTTTCTGTAATGTATGTACTAGTCTGATCCCCTCTCCGTGGGGTAGGTCGGAATGAGGGTAAGAGCTTGTCTATGGTGCGCATATAAAGAGATCACAGATTTGGCCAGTGTCAGAATGCAATTACATTCAACACACTTTGATTCTGATATTTTACTCATGCTATCCGCTCTCAAAGCCATAACGATCAAGTCCCGTATTATCCTAGCCCGACCAAATGCAGCAGCAGATCAATCTAGCTCCATCCGCTCGCATCACGCCAACGATCTATGTCTCCGTTTCTCATCTGCCCAGCATCCACACAAACCGACAACTACGCAGACTCAATAGAAGAAGGGCACTAGATCATCGCAATTACTATAGCAAAAACGAGTTATAGCTAAAGCTACAGTCCTACTATATAATTTCCACACACCTACCCAAGCACCACACTCAACGGCAAATCCCTAGACGAAGACCCCACAAACACCCTCTTCTCATACCCACTAACAACCCAATCCTGCATCCTCGAATCCCAATTCGCAATATCCCTCCTCGCCAACGGAAACGTAACCTCCAAACTCTTTTCAGCATCAATCTTCACCCGCTCAAAGCCTCTAAGCACGATTTTGGGATCATAAGGCCCGCCAAGGGAAACGTATAATTGTGGTACTTCGTCGCCGACAAGGGAACCGGTGTTGGTGATGGTGACGCGGATGTGGTACAGGATGTCCCAGAGACCTTGGTTGCCGCCGTTGGGTCCTGATGATGGTGGGTGGGTGAAGGTAGAGCCGTTGAGTGCGTTGGTGGGGATGAAGGAGTTGTCGCCGTAGTTTGGTGCACCGTAGGAGGCATTGAGATTGGTACTGTTGAGCCAGGGATATACGAACAGTGGAATTCTGGTAATGTTTTCGGGGAACACGTGGGCAGAAGTATTGTTATCGATGGTGCCGTAAGTGGGTGCAGGTTCAGAGGTACCGGTCGTTGGTACATAGTCAGCGACTTCGAGTTTCTCCACCGTGAGATTGGAGTATTCGAATGTGGTGTAGCTCAATCCGAAGCCGAATTCATAGACTGGAATAATGTTTCGATGATCAAAGCCGCGGTAGTCGATGAAGACGCCTTCTTGGAAGTTGTATTGCGGGACTTCTTGATTGGGCTTATAGAGAATATCAGTGCCGTAGTCAGATCTGTTACGTCCCATGGTGAAGGGGAGTTTCGCTCCAGGATTAACTCGGCCGAACAAGACGTCTGCAATCGCATATCCTGATTGTTCGCCNTTGGAAGATGTCAGTTTTGAACACACAATGAAGCATTCGTAATGCTTACCGGGAAGTCCTGCCCAGAGGATAGCAGTGATGTTAGGATTCTGCTTGTACTGTTCAATCTCAACGGTACCAACCGAGTGAATGACAAGAATGGTGTTGTTGCATGTAGCAGACACATTCGCAATGACAGCATCAGCACCTTGCCAAAGAGTCAGATTGTTACGATCACCATAGTTGCCATCGACATTGGCAAAGCCTTCTCCCGAGTCTGCGTTGGCAAAGCATATGCAAACTCCAGCGACATCGTTGACACGGCGAGCCAAGGCGTTGATCTGAGTAAGCGCAGAGTTGTTGGTGATAGATTCGTATGAACCAAAGCGAGAGACGACCTCATGCTGAATCGCCGCATCGGGACTGATGAGATATGGAGAGCTGGCTTGACCACTACCCCAACCAACGACAAGTGTTCCAGTATCACAGGCATGATTCCTGCATCCATTGGGACCATTGGGATTGGAGCCTGCATCTTCACCAAACACTGCCGTCAGCCTCGCTGTGTTGTTCAGAGGCAGCGTACCATGTGTGTTTTTGAGAAGCACAGTAGACGCAGCACCAATCTCGCGAATCAACCTTCCGTGCTCGCGACGCACATCGACGTGTTGATTGACAAGACCAGTACCCCAGCTAGAGCCGACGTGAGCATGTACGGCGCCGAAAGTATCGGATGTCCAAGACTGAAAATTTGGTGGATTGGCTACCTTGGTGTCTCCACCAACAAGATACCATCCGGCTAGAATACGAGTGACCATGTCATCAAGACGCCACTGTGGTACTGTGCTGTTCAAAACAGCGATTGTGAGGTTTGGGCCGAAGTAGCTCAAGCCATCACCAAAACGAATGTCGCCAGCCATTGTCATGTCCAGTCCAGCGAGGATGGCAGGTACTCCACTTGCAGTGGCTTGCCAGTCGCTCATGACATAGCCTTGGAAACCGAGTTCAGACTTGAGCACATGGTTGAGTAAATAGCTGTTTTGACATGCTTGTGAATTGTTGACCAAATCNTGAAAGAGATTAGCGTGTGCGTTTGGTAGACTACCATAATCCTTACTGTAACTGCACATTACCGACGCGACTCCAGCTTTGACAGCATCAGCGAAAGGCCACACGTACAGCTCATGAAGCGTCTGGTCATCGATATTAGAAGATCCAGGCTGGGTGATGTTGAAGCCATAGTCTCGTGACTCAGGAGTTTGGCGGAAGTGCTCTTGTTCCTGTGCAACATAGTGTTTGGCGCAAGCCTGAACACCTGTACTTTGTATACCTCGGATAGAGTCGGCAAATAGCTTTCCAGTGAGATACGGGTCAGGGCTGAACCCTTCCCACGCGCGGCCACTTGCGGGTGACNNTGGTCACTCGCTATCAGCTTTATGGACGAGCAATAGCATGACGAAACTTACCCTTCCCAACGTTCCAGCGACAGGACCAAGCAGGACAGTAACACCTTCGTCGCGGTTCTCATATCCCATAGCTTTGCCTCTTTCGTACGCGAGACGCTTGTCCCAGGTCGCACCGACATTGATACCGGCTGGGAATAAACTGACAAAACTGCATACTCGTCAGGTCCAGTGTAAGAGATTCGGATGTCTACACACTTACTCCGTATATCTTATGCCCACGGGCGAGTCCTGAAGACATTGACCACGAATGCCAAGGCGAGGTACACCACCGGTCTGACCAACACATTGTTCTTGCTGCCAACCAGAGCCTNNAGTTTATGTTGTCAGTCACATCCTCGAGATTTGAAACCCAGTCGGAATTCTACCTGTAGTCAAATTCACCTTCTCTTCAAGAGTTAATTGCTCAACAATCTCAATTGCTTTCTTGTATGCCTCTGCCCAGCCGCCGGCCCCACTGCTCCAAGGACTGGGATATCTTGGTGGAGAGGTCTGGTTGGTCTGGGCTCCAAGGACAGCATTAGGATTAGGCGAGATGCCATCAGGATATGTTACATTGGGAAACNNTAGACAATTTCAGATAATATTTGCGTTTCCGACTCATGAACACCGTACCGGAGTTTGATTCTTGTTGACCTGTGCCAGCGAGCCGCCGACAGCAAGAGCAAGCGTGAACGCGGTCAATTGCATGATGAGAAGATTGTCATGGTAAAAACGAGCATCATTTGATGCGAACACAGAGAGTTATATGAATACTTGAACCTGGCTCGTGTTGATCAATCCTCTCGACATTTAAGAAGTGATTACCCATCTGGGCGAAGGCTGGGGATGCTGTGTGGAGAGCATGTCGCATCATCATACTGCCAGCCAAGAACTATTGCGAGTGGGGTAGCGATCCTGCTCGTTTACACCAAGGATATAAAGGTTGTGTGATGCATGCAATACGACTAGGTCGTCAAAATGTTACGTGAGATGTGACTTGGTGCTGACTTGACGACTGCCAGAAAGGAAGTGGAGGAAGGAAGACTAGCCAAACCGGGTAAATTTCGAGGCTGTTCGGGCCGCTGTTCCCCTCCGCATCAGACCCCCGACATGCCGATCTCACTCCACTCTTCGAACTCTCCTCAAGCTTGAGCTTCCCTTTTCTTCTCTTCCGATAACTCAGTAATCACCTTGAGCGCATCCTCCTCTCTTCCCAATGGTACAAACAGATGATCATGGTAGAATCCACTGATCGGATTTACGCCCATTCCAGCAGCAGCAAGTCTTGTCGCAACAACAGCAATAAACCCAACGGCATCCAAACTCGATGCGACATCCAGAGTGATCTTGCGGCATGGGAATGCATATTCAAGTCCATGGTTCTCGGCATACTCTCGATTGGTGATCACTGTGATGCCTTCGGATTTGGCCTCGCGGAACAACATCTCGACCTCTGAAAATGGTGGAAGTTTGGATTCGTCTGCAAGCACAGCGAAGACGTAGGTCGAAGGGTGTAGAGTGGCTGTCAACGTAGCCAAGAGCTTGGAGAGCGAGACTTCGCCCGGGTGTGTTGTTTCTGTTGACATGTTGTTGATGAGTGAAATGCGCAAAGAAGAGACCCGTGGAGGCGGAAGGTGTCTGCTTTATGGAAAAGGTTGATGGACAGGCGGGTTGCAGGTATCATGGAATATCTTCGGGCATCGGAAGAAGTCTCCGGCAGGGCGTGCTGCGTATCGCGTATTGCGTATTCGTGTTTGCATGATATCAGCCTCCAATTGAGCCCCAAAAAAGACATTGTCTAGCTCCTGGTGTCGTGTGTGGGTATGTCAGGACGACCCCATTTTAAGATCCATTCACATCGTGCGATTCGATCGATGGTCGCACGCTTCTGTGGGTCGTAGACCAGCATGGAAGCTATCATATCGATGAATGCTCGTCTTTCCTCGAGTCCGAATACCTGCTCTTTAAATCGCAATCTAGGTTCGGTGACAAAGTAGTCGTATCGTTTCTCGAGATTGTCGTCAAGCTTCCAATTCTGAGGCAGGTAGGTCGTCACATCCTTGTCGAAGTACTTGCTCCGAGCACCCCATCGAGACCACCAGGATTCTGGTAGTTTACCCAAAACCATGACATGCTCGGAGATGATGGCATCGCTGTCCGCCCATGTATCAAATGGTGCGCTACCTCCCATGATTTCGATCATGGTACAGCCCATGGTCCAGATATCGGAAGGAAAAGATATAGAGCCTGTTCCAACCTCTGCAAAGAACGATTCTGGAGGTACCAAACATGGACGAGTGCGAGCATGATCACGGCTCGTAGTTGATGGTTGAAAAGACTCGCCGAAGTCGGAGAGCATAGCAGGCAAATGTTGAGTTAGAGAAATCTCGGTTGTTTCGACGTGCAATCTGGCTGGCCAAACGACTTCGGATGGCACGTTTGGAGGAAGAGGTGCTGCGTCCGTTCTAGTGACGCTCTCCGTTATGGGCTGACCTATGCGGTTATACAGAGCGTCGACGTCCATTTTCCTGATATCTTCTGGGGGGCGCAAGAGTATGTTGCCTGTATGGATGTCTNNGTCTTGTATGTTAGCTATGGAGAGGAAATCTTCGACTATTGGGACATTCGAACCACCATGAACTATGCCTTGTGTATGTAGATCTTGAATAGTAGCAACCAGGTCAACAATGAGTCTACGAGCATCGATCAATGGCAGCGGATGGAAATATGATAAGTCTGCTGAGGCGGAGACGCTACACGATGCAGGCTCCAAGACAAGAAATTTGTGCCGTCCATTTGGTCCTGACTCTGTAAACTGCTCTATCAGTTGTCTGATGCCAGACTTGCCCGAAAAACGGGACAAGTGTTCGGTTTCCTGAGTACGGGTGGACATGCTAGCCATCAGAGCTTTGATTGTAACGAATTCGCGGGTGTGCTTGCATGAAGCCAGCCATGTTGTTGATGTTCCTCCGTAACCCAGTTTGTGGACGATNTTCATCCGGCCATCATGCAGTACATCACCTATATGGATAACTGGAAGACCTCCTGGTTTGTGATCAGTCAAACATTCAATGCCTTCTTCAACCTCGTTGTAGACGTCTTGTTTATCCTTTGGCCATGTAGTGGACAGGTTTGAGCTTGCTTTGCAACGTATCACCTGAGCACAAACAGGTATGAAAGAGCCGCGGCGAGGTGGTAGACATCTCCTGCCTTGGAGTGGCCAACAAACAAAGTGAAGCCTGAAAATAGTGCCCATCCTGACATTATAGATGTATTGGCTGAGTGTCAATATATTCCGACCAGCTCGTGGGTAGCGAACGAGCTGAGAGTTGCGACAAAGAGACTGCGATTAAGCGGTTCTTTCGGCGTCTTTCACACAAGTCATGTATGTTTTCGATACTGCTGTATACTGGTCAGGGTATATCAAGAGATGACTGGTTGTCAGACTTTGAGGAGAGGGACAATTTCACAGCGTGCTGACATCCTTGTCAGCGTGTCGAGAATTAGCGGAGGCAGTGCTCCGTTTGTCATGCATTTCGAGCAATCATCTGATATTGTCACAGATCCGAAAAATCTTGACGTAGAAGAGGGTTTTTCTCAGCGCGACAGGAATGCTGGTGGTGGGTCGAGTAGCGTAGTCGCGAGATGCGCATTGAAGTCGCCACTGAGCGGCATGCCAAGGCCCGAGCTTCAGTGCGGCTGTCGCTAACTGACGAGGCTTCACTTGCACAAGATCCTCGTAGAACATTGCCCTTTGCGTCTGGCATGTTCTGGACCTCTCAGGACGTGCAAAAAGAGTAAAAGGATGAGCAGAGTGGGGTTCGAACCCACGCTCTTTCGAACTGGCGGTTTAAGATAGGTATAGAGAGATTTTTCTCCACAAGGATCGAATCTTGCTATACAGCCTAAAGCCAGCGCCTTAACCACTCGGCCATCTGCCCAACTATAGAGAAAACTCGTGGCTATCAATCCATCTACTCCGCTTCGCAAACGGACGAGGTTTGGGTGTGCAAAGTGAATTCTTCGTCTGAGAATAAAAATCCCCTCTATCCAATTATCAGCACGAATACTGTGCAGATTCTGGTGGTCTCGAGTTACAACCTGGGTATATGGCTGTCTGCGGTCATTTTGCGCTAATTTCCAGTGCGATCGACTGAATATTTGCTGAGAAATATCAAGTCCAATCCGAGAACGTCTGAAGAGCTTGCGATGTATGTTCCAGCGACAGCAAGCCTGAAAGCACTCTCTTCGTCGGTCGAGCATGGTCAAAGGACATTGTCAAAGGCCTCCTGTGGCCGTACGCCCAAGACCTCGCACTGATTGGAAGTAATTTGAAGAGAAAAACCTGCGAAGCCTGGATTTGCGCCCGCGGGCTGTGCCGAAGGTCCACCACTTTCTAACCTTGGTAGCAGTCATACAATAAATATCTGCTTCCATACTCGACTCACGTACACAAAACATCGTTTCAACAAGCCATCAGCAATGTTGCCTTACATGTAGCTCTTCCAGTATGAACAAAGAGCAAGATTCAAGTTTAAATGGTATCCCAACAGCTGTATACTCCTAACAGATATTCCATCCCTGTAGAGGTACTTAGTACAGCGAAGCAGGATCCACATTACCGCCGCCCAAGGTCAGTTCAATTGTGCGATACTCTTGAGGCCTCCATCGCTTGAGATACATCTGGTCCCTGGCCCACATGCCGCCCATCATCTCAATAAACTCTGGTCTGGAATTCCCGCCCAGTCCGTCCGAAGAACCCCAGAGTGGCTTCCAGCGGCCGTCCTCCAGTATGCCATAGCTGACTTGATGGCCCCAGTCCATGTCCTGGTTGTAATACCCAACGAGAATCGCACGATCATGACGTGTAATCATGTGCGTGGTAATCCTCTTGCTTCCAGGGTAGTCGTCGCAGATGGCGAATTCAAACGCAGAGTATTTCTGAAGGTCGAGGAAGGCACGGAGAGCGTTCGGGTGCCAATTCCAGAGTATGGTAGCAATGGCATGGACAGCTGTGAGATCCTTCTTCTCGGTCTCTTCGACAAACTGGCTTGTGTCTACGATGGCGATAGGAGAGCCATCGATAGAGAGATTCAACCTGGGGAAAGGCTCTATGCGTAGAAATGCAAGTGGTCTGCGAGGTTCGTAATAGTCGTCCTCTTCATCTTCGTCGTCTTCATCGCCGTAGTCGGTACCGTCGCCATCGTCGTCATCATCATCTTCATTCTTGTCAGGCTGATTGCGGGTAGTCGTGTTGTGAGCAGATGTGTTCTGCGAACCCTGCTGTTGTTTGCAGAACTGTTTATGCTGCTTCCAGTGTTGCTTCTGACAGTCTTGCGAACAAAACAATGCCTGTTTGCACCCAGCACAACGCTGATGAGGGTTGCCCGCCGGCGCAGTAGATGCACAGTTTGCACAAGCGTTGACTCGTGACTGCTCCATATCCGTTTAGCTAACGATATACGAATACGAAGAGACTAGAATGAGGTCAGATCAGCTCAATACAGTCCCCAAAACGTCTTTTGTTTTGGTAATCGCACCAAAATCTTGGATCTCTCCCAGATTTGTTACGAAAAACTTAGACATGGTGATGGCCTCAGGCAAATTATATCGTGCCAGCTTGGTAGGCAGCAGGGGACCCTTGGACAATCAAGCGCGTCGAAGAACACGTTCTCATCCGAGAATCAACCGCAGATTGGTTCTACTCCGCACCTCCTCCTACCTCTATATTTACTCTGGACCTTGACATCGTCAACAGCAAAAGTATTGCATTAAGGTCAAGTCGATTCCAGAGTCTGCCGAATGCCGAGAGACGGCTGCAAAGAATGCTCGCGCCGTCGTATCAAGTGCGACAGAGGCACGCCTGAGTGTGCAAAATGTCTGAAGAAGGGCATCAAGTGTACAGGCATTGGCCGTCAAATCAGATTTATCGAAGGCGCAATCTCAAAGGGGAAGCGCAAAGGACAAGTAATTCCTAATGTTCAGAATTTCGCGACAAAGCTGAATCAATACCTGAGCGACGCATCCGAAACGACACAATCTTCTGAGGCACGAGCAGAAACATCCGAGCAAGGCACCGATGTCGAATCGCCGGTAGAAAATGATGGCAGTGTTGAAGTTGATAGTACGGATGATGATGTCGAGGAAATTGGGCTGGTTCTCCAACGGCCACAGACTTCTCGTCCGACATGCGCATCAACGAACGACAGTACCACTATCTCATTTCATCTCGACCCAGGTGCTGATATGATATTGGAGCTGTTGAAGCCTGGTATACAGATGCTTTTCAATCATTGTAAGCTGACACGGCTGCGCTTTGATTCCATGCCAGGGATTTGACAGCAAACAGTCTCACAAAATATTGCATCAATCATGGTTGTGTTTGATAGCGAATCGAACGGCTATCGCAACTTCTTGCTTCCACTGGCCTACCAAGATGACCTCGTTCAGCGCGCAGTATCTGTTGTTGCTGCCTTCCACCTATCATCAAAGCAACCCAATCTTTTACCTCTCGCAGAGACTGGACGTGCCGAAATCATAAAGAGACTGCGTGCAGATGCTTTTGTCAAAGAAAGTAACAAGGTCTTTAGCATGTCCACTTGGGCTACAATCATTCTCCTCTTGGTGGGAGAAACTGTCACTGGCTCTCGAGACTTTGTTCACTTGTATCCCATGCTCACCAATCTTCTGAGCCACAATAGACTTCTAGATGCAGAACCATCATCTGAACGAGGGTTTNTGCTTCAGCAGTCCCGGATGTGAGTATCCAAAGACGGTATCCCGTCATTTTTTCTGATTATGTCTAGGTTCCAACTATTCACTCCTCCTCTTCTCGACCTTTCTCAAGGATGCAAAACGTTCGAGAAGGATCTGGATTTCTACTTCGATTTCATCTTTGCTCAAACATATTCAGATGTTCCGAAGGTTTTGGAGAACACGATGATCTTCCGCCAGTCCATCAAGCAAGCGCGGAATATATATATGCGCCAAGCATTAGACAACTACCATCCCGGACAGCTCTACGACGATATCGAGCAGTTACGTCATCTGGTATTGCCCATTCATTCGGACAGCCCTTGTATGCATACACTACCCTGGGTCTATTTCGTCGCTGGAGCTTCCAGCAAAGATCAAGGTCATAGAGACTTTTTCGCAGGCAGACTTACTCAAGTCTACGAGAGAACACGGATGAACAGTATCATTGTGGCACTAGAACGTCTTAAACAGATATGGTTACTGCAGCCGAACGGAGAGTGGGCTCGAAATCCTAGCTTGGTTGACCCAGTCCTGATCATTTGAAACAAAATTTCACACTGGCTTATCTGCAATGTGGTTGAGGTGGATTTCCACTGTTCTACGCCTATGTCTACAGGTGTGCTGCACGCGTCCTATCAAGGTCTCTCTTGACTGCCAATGCAGCACGAGTACCCTCCTCAATGGCACCATCAATAAAGCTTCTCCAGCCCACCGCCCAATCCGAGTTGGCAAAATACATGTTGCCCTGAGGAGCTCGGAGATCTGCCAAATGTTCTGTCACAAGACCCGGAGGAGAGAAGAACCAAGCGCCCTTGGCGAACTCGTCGTCTGCCCAGTTGTGGAATACCNNTACATATTGTCAACAGTCGTCTTGTGCACTAGCCAAGGTTCGACTTACCACTCGCTCGATATCCATGGGAGTTAGCATTTTGAGGGCGTCCATGGTCTTGTTGATATCTTTTTCTGGCTGGATGTGATTGTGCGAACCACCAAAGGCGACGATATGGGTGTTGCCGCTTGGAGTTGTACCATCTCCAATGGCATACATCAAGCTGTTGTTGGGATATGTGATGCCACTCCAGGATCTCAAATCCCTGTCACGGACCTCGGCATGGACCTTGACACATTTGTTCACATGCTCGCGATTCGAAGCGTCGATCTTGCCAGGGATCAACGCCGGGCTGAAAGAAACATCCTTCAAGATGTTCATAGGTATCGCGGAGATCAGCCTGGCTGCCTTGAATGTTCTTCCATCTCTTGCGGTTACTTGGACATCACTTCCAGTGTCCTTGATTGCAGCGACTGGTGTGTTGAAAGCATACGACAATCTTCCAGTCGCACAGGCTTCCTTGAAGAAGTTGATTGCGAAGCTCGACTGGCCACCCTTGAACTTGTACTTGATGAGGTACTCGATGCAATACTCGTATGAGTAGTTACAGAGTGCCCACCAGTGGAGGTACTCGTAGAAGCTGGTCTTTTCCGGAGTGCTGCAGCTGCAGAGCAGTACAAATCCAAGTAGAGCGGTGTGTTCATCTGGTGAGAGGTCGTCCTTGATTTGGGTAACGCGATCGGCGACAGACATTTTGTCGTACTTGGCGGCATCCGGATTGTGGCCCTCGCTATGTGGGAAAGGCATGACTTTTCTTCCGAATTCGCCGTCGACATTGGCAAACTTCTTCAGAGCAGACTCCATCAGTTTGTCCNNTGTGAACATTCAGCATCACACCAAGTCTAGGGATTAGCTAGAGACTACCTCGTCCTGGTGGCTCATATTGCGATTCCCGCTAGCGGAGTTGAGCGAGAAGTGGTTCACGCCTCGACTGTAGTCGTGAGAGATTTCTAGCTCGTCGCGCATGTCATATCTCGAGATCTCTCTCCATACATGAGGCTGACCCCAACTGACCCAGGTGCCACCCATTTCGAAAGGGTAGCCTTCGATATTTGTGCTCCAGCTACGACCACCGATTCTGTCACGAGCCTCGAGCAATAACACTTTGAGCCCTNNGCATTTCTCGATCAGCTATCTGAGTGCCTAAGTCGGTTCGCATAGCACACCTGACAGAGCAGCATCTCTGGCTGCTGTAAGTCCACAGTAACCCGCTCCGACAACAATCACATCGTAGACTGCCTGCTCGTCTTTGACGTTTTTTGGTGGTTGGATGACACCAATACTAGGTACACCTTGGACGAGTCCTAAAGCTTCCGTCCACTGGTAGCCGTCTCTCGAGGTCATTGCAAATGTCGTTGGTGCTGAGAAAGTCTCTGGCTGCTTGCACACTGGAGCGGAAGGATGGGAGCCGCCAGACTATTTATTGTGTAAGCCCATTTTCTACGTCTTCCCCCACATTTATGTTCATCATTCCATGACCAATGGTTATGGTCATTCTCACCTATCACTTCGAGTCTCAAGGCTATCGGCGTGAGCACAAGCCTGAAGTGCGAAGCTTTTCTCACTTTGTCTTCCCGATTGGGCCTAGTTCTCCTTTTCCTTTCCTCATTGGGACTTCTCACTTCTATTGCCTGTTTGGGACTGCTCTTTTATATCGTCTTGAGCGTTCAACTACACACAAACATGGTAGCTCTGTAAGATAGGAGCTATCATCTTGGTGACCGATAGGTGAATCGACATTGCTATCACCGCCTTCCTTGATTTGAGTGAAGATGAGAGATACGATCACGGCCAAAACAGCAAGCCATGGCTCAGGGCGACCTCTCTCGTTTCGTGCGGGGTAAAGTTACTCTGGATCTCATCGTATCAACCCAAGAGTAGTCGTGTACCTGGTGGAACCATTCCCTCTTCCTGAGATACGTCAAGCTTTATCTCTGGACTTGACAGTGGCCAAACATAAGTATCCTTAAGATCCTCCTCCGAGTTATAACATTACCGACCTAGCATATTTGCTCCATTCATTATGATACCAACCAACGAAAAGAGCATGTCTCCTAGAAGTATGCCTCGTTTCTTGCATGATCTCACTCTAAATTGGACCATAGCTTACATGTCCTTCGCAGATCGAGCCGACTCCACGATAGCCAAGTATACTACACATGATCCTGAAAGGCTCTCTGTGTCGGTCGGAGATGTCAGCGAGCTAGGTGTACGGCCAACCCGTCGACACTTCAGTATCTTCAACATCATCGCCTTGAGCTTCAACATCTGCAATAGCTGGGTAGCCATAGCCTCTAGTCTGGCTATTGCAGTCTCGGCCGGAGGCACTGCTACATTGATCTACGGCATTCCTCTCGCAACACTCGCTTATGCTGCCACTGGGGCATCTCTTGCTGAATTGGCGTCTTGTTATCCCACTGCTGGTGGCCAGTAAGTCACAGTTGACACGTTACCTGCTTAAGCTGAACCTTACCAGANNTACCATTTTGCTTCCATACTGGCACCCAAGCGACTGTCTCGTGGGCTTTCCTATGCTTGTGGCTCGGTTGCCATGTTCTCTTGGATTGCTCTTGGCGCTGCCGCAACCCTTCTTGCTGCGCAGATGCTTCTGGCCCTGGCAGCATTCTATCACTCTGGTTATGTGCCTCAAGCCTGGCATTACTTCCTCGTTTATCAAGCCATCAATGTGGTCTTCCTTCTTTATAACCTCTTTGCTCTCGCCAAGACACCCTGGGTGCATAACATTGGATGTAAGCCCATGCTCTTGCATGTATACGCGAGCTGAGCTGACCTTGTATTAGTACTCCTCACTCTTGCCTCCTTTGTCGTCGTCACCGTCGCCTGCCTTGTTCGCTCCGAAAAACAGACTGCAAAATACGTTTGGGCTACCATGGAAAGTAACACAGGGTATCCTGCCGGGGTCACATTCTTGACAGGCCTCGCGACCCCCACATTCATGTTCGCCGGCCTCGACGCATCTCTACACCTAGCAGAAGAATGCACAGAGCCTGAGAAGACCGTACCGAAAGCCCTTTGTACAACGGTTACCATTGGCTTCGTCACTGCGTTCGTCTTTACAGTTGCCATGTGCTACGGCATCAAAGATCTCGACGCTTTGATTGCGACTACGTGGGTTTTCATCCAATATCGTCATGACTTGGCTTTGGATTGAACTAATATCACTCTACAGCNNATGCCCATCTACGAACTCTGGCGACAGGCAACCAACAGTGACGCTGCAGCAACCGCTTTCCTAGTCGCTCTTCTCGTCATCGTGCTCTTCGTCATTAATGCCGTCCAACAAACCTCTTCTCACCTCATCTGGGCTTTTGGTCGCGATAATGGCCTCGTGTTCTCAAAACACCTTGCTAAGATGCACATTGCGCTTGAAGTACCTGTGTGGTCTCTTCTCGGCAATGCCGCAGTGATATTCATCGCCGGGTGCATCTATCTTGCATCCACTGCCGCATTCAATGCATTGATCAACACAACCATCATCCTACAGATGATCTCTTTTGCTATTCCTGCCTTGCTACTCATGTGCAGAGGCAGAAGTGAAAGGTTTCTCGCTAAAGACCGATGGTTTCGTCTACCCAATTGGCTAGGTTGGATATGCAATGCCACTGTTGTCGTCTTTGCCATCATCGAACTCGTCTTCTTTGATCTACCAACTTCTCTCCCAACAACTGGATCGAGTATGAGTAAGTTGGTCTGATTTTGTCTCGCGCGGAATGCTACTTTTGCTAATGTCGATGACANNGATTACACTTGTGCTGTGCTGGCCACTATGGCGTTGTTTAGTGGTATCAATTGGGTCGTGTATGCGAGGAAACACTATAAAGGCCCACGAATCGATTTGGCAGAGGTTGGGGGTGACTTGTAGCTTCACCAAGTCTTCCTGCGGTAGAGTTTCTCTTACCCTTTTCAAGGATTGATGTCACCATCCAAGGGTTCTTCTGCACGAAATGATTGTGCTCGATACTCGACAGATGATTTTCTGCTCTGGAAAATTATTTGGCGCTGTTATAGAGATGAAAATGTGTGTCACAGTTCGTCATGCTTTGGGATGTTAGGTGCTTCACCCTCTATCATAGTATCATCGATGACCTGGTACTCTGCATACTCGATGATATAAGCGACTTCTGGATCCCTACGAATCAAATCCAAGTCGCTTCGATGAGTCACATGGATGAGAAAATGAACGTATTCAAAGTCTTCGGGATCCTCCCAACGTCGTTTTATTTGTTGACTCAAGTCTTTGCCAATCGTTTCAAAGTGCTGTGCAATGGTGTAGCCTGGTTTGAGATGAATTTCGTATTGGTCGGGTGGCGTGTAGACTTTCAAGTGCCAATCGGAGTTTGCGGGCTCTATGGGATGCATTTGTGATGGCGGGAGAAGTGTATGCATGGCCTGCAATGGTACTGTAGCAGAGAGGATCACCAGGTCAATCACGATGCACAAAATTGTGAAAGTTTGCACTACTGATTACCGCATAAAGACTACAGCTATAAGAGGAATCATGTATGATCAAAACATTACAGCCGCCTTACAATCTCATCTCCTTGGCAACGATCACAGCATGCTCGTCACTGACATTGCTGTATCGATCCCACACAATTGCATTTATGTGGTTCTTGACCCGCTTTCTCTCATCCCTGAACTTGATGGCCAGAGCCAAATCTTTCTTTACAACGTGGAGTTTCTCCTTCAAGAACGCAAGACCATATCTAGAATCTCCAAGTACTTTCTGATTGTACGACTTGAGATCATTGTGTACATCGAGCAAGCTGATGATGCCACGCTCGGTGAGGTTCTTGATGTCGTCAAAGCCATCGCTTGCATCGCGGACTTGATGGAGGGTTATGCGCAGACGGTGGAGTCGTAAGCTCTCTTCACGTTCCTCTTGAGTGCGCTTTCTGTACCAGTAAGCTTCACCACGGCCCCAGAACAAAGGGTTCCAGGAGATGGCAGGAAGGTTGATGACCGGAAGATGAGGGAAAGGCCCTACGGCTCTGAACCAAGGAAGAGGTATAGGGACGTAGATGGGTCCTCTGTTTTTAAAGTCATGTTGATAGGAGAGATCAATGACCCTCTCGACTTCCCTCATCAATATCTCGCGTGTTTGAAGGGCACTTCTTAGTCGTTGGTGCATGTTGACCAGATGCCTTTGGCAGGCAGCAGGTGGATCACTGAGAGCATTGAATGCGCCGCTGGCTGAAGCGACAGTCCAACCCGACCATACCGTATAGCTATTCCACGACTCAAGCCAATTGTAGGAGATCGTCTTAGAGAGTTCGTGGACAGCAATTTCAGGTTTTCTGATCATGCAGATCGAGAACTGGTCAATGTCCTTTTGGAGGTCCCATGCCGTTTCTAATAGAATATTGAGCTGGCGTTTTGCATAAGTCGTGTGTGCAATGATGGAACTGTCATTCTTCTGCAACATCTTGAGGTCGGCTTTGGCGACTGCCAAGGTGTGTTTGAGCTCGAGGTCTTTGATATTGGAAACCGTCTCAATGCCGTCGGACAAGGTCAACCCTGTTGAAACCGACTCGGTCCCCTTCGACTCCATAGTGTAGCCTTCACTGCTGGAACTCGAAGAAAAGGGCAAGTAGGCAGAACTAGCAGAAGATAGCTTAGATGTTGCATAGCCGTTTGCTTGGCTTGCCAATGAAGAGACGACGCTACTAGCTATGCTCTCGGCACGGCCAATCGTGGAGATGGCGGCAGTGGGAGTATAAGCATACTCGCGTGATAGGGTGTGAGTGCTGCTTACAACTCGGCCGTTCTTGGTGGTCGTAACAATATTGAATATTCTCTGAACAATCTTGGGTCCACCTATCGATGGCGAGTTTCTGGGATGATTGGTTCTGGTACTACTGAAGGGGTCTGAGAACACACTTCCGATCATCACGAAAGATTTGCGGAGCTTTGAAGCTGACTCCTTCACGCAATCGGACCACTCCTCCGCTCCTGGAAGAGCACAAAGAGACCTCTTGAACGTGGCGGTTGCTTTCTCGGACATGCCTTCGAACATGTTTTCCAGCTTGTCTGTGCCTTGGCCGACCGAGCTTTGACACGAGTGCACCAAGTCTTCGACATTTGCCTTTGATTCTAACATCTGAAATCTGTCGTGAATTTTGTCGGTAGCACTATGGCAGTGGCTTATAACATTATCGATGGTGAAGTTGAAGTTCCCGTTGCAATTCCATTCAGCAGGGTTTCCAAACCGATTGCATACTTCTTTGTACGCAACCTGAACTGGATTTACTTTGGGCGGAGAAGACAAACTCAAGAGAATGCCGAGGAATACCAACACTAGCCAGATGAATCCAGATCGCGGTACAAAGCCCTCAAGCGAGTTCCAGGAGCCTTTCTTTGATGGGAAGTCAAAAATACTGGCTCGAGTAGAGGAAGGCGTATCGAGTCTTGTCTTCCTCCATGTTGGAGATGATCGTGAGCGCGTGTATCCTCCCTGATCTTCATCGAGCTGGGTTGCGATCTTGACTCGCTTTGGACGTGACGTTGATCTCTTGCCTAAGGTTGGAGAGGCCATGGCCTTGGCTCTGGAGGAATTGGATCCGCTGATACGATCCTGGAAATCTGCCTTTGGTGAATGACTAGCAGGAGCACAATAGCTGCTCATATAGTAACCGCCACCATCATTTGGGTTGATGTAGGACACTGAAGGGATACCTCTCCAATCGGGTGTCATATCATGTACCCGGGCCTCATCCGAACCCATAGGGTCTATCTGATAACCACGTATCCAAGATGGTTTGGCAGCTGCCTCACGAGACATGATCTTGCCATTATTCTTGCCCTGGAATTTGCCCCATGAGGGTGACGGGGTGGACGCAGTCTTTGGTTCGGGTGTTGATTGATCGTAATCTGGGTCTGAAAACTGAGCAGTGGTTTGGATACGAGATAGAGGTCTTCCAGGCTGCGAGGACTTGCTGGCAGGTCGACCTCGACTTCTGCTGCGTGTTTGTGGAGTAGACATGGTCAATCGTCGTGATGTAGGATCTTGTAAGCCAGAGCAAGAGATTGGCATCAATACCAACCAGCGCAATTGAACAATTCATCTTTCTTCGGACCACTGTCTTCTAAAATTTCCGAAAACAGAAGATGCGACAGTGTAGCTGGTTGCGGCTGATTGTCAAAGTAGTCCACGGTCGATTGAACCGTTTCCGGCTATGTCGACACAAAGCATTGTTGTCTTGGTACAATGGCTCGCTATAGATGGTATGCAGCCTTTTTGTGGAAAAACCACAAAGAAGCTCTTCAATTAGCTCATTCTCGAAGAACAACTGTTTCAACTTTCCTGTCAGTCAGTATGACCTACCTTGTAAGGACCATATGGAAGCGCAGTGTCAGCCAGCCAGCGTCATACGCATGACGCACAGTTGAACGACTCTTCCCTTGCATGAATCCATGGGCTCTGGAATGTAACTCGACCCGCCCTCGCGTGAATAAGCATTCCTCTACGTCGCCATCGCATTGTTCGCGCTTCCGTCGTCCGGGCGAAGAGTCAAGTCTTCAATGCCGCGTGCTTTTCGGCCGAGGAGCTCAAAAGCTGAAGTCGAACTCGCTGACAAAACGCGTCACAAACTGGAGCCGTAGCTTTCTTTGCTTCGCTTTCTCCACACAGGGTCTGCATCATATCACCATATAACAGAGATAAGAGACGGGAAGTCGGGAGAGGCGTAGAAAGCATATCTATCACCCGTGCCTTCCGTGTCCGGAGGTCTCGAATTGGCCGAACATAGTGAGATGGAGTGGAGTGGAAAAGGAAGGGAGAAGTGGATGCTGACGCATGTTTCCCGGAGCAGTATCCGATGGGATTCGCTGACGTAGCGCAACAGCCTCCTCCAGCACGCGTCAACCGTTTCTGGTTTCGGCCATTGTATTGCCATACCAGTTCACATGATTTGTTTTTGCTGCATAAGCTGTGGAGGCTGGAGAAGACAGGCAGACGTCTTTGAAGCTGACGTTGCCTGAACACGTTTTCGTGTGTGCTGATCCTGCCATAAGAAGATGATTTGCAATCGCGAGGGGCGTTGATCCAGGGTCTGGTTGCGTGCTTGATTGATTTCCAATTCTCCTTCGGCAGGAGTTTATCAGATCTTCGCATGATGTTTGGAAACAATGGGATTGCCAACTCTTCTTGTATACCATTCGAGATGAAACTGCTCCCCATAGCATGGAAACAGAGAGCTGGCTTTTGTGTACCTGGACGCTGAGGTGAGGATGCCGTTGATTATATTTCATCAAGATAAGAAACGCTACATCAACAGGTTGTATAGTGTAATGGTTAGCACATCGGATTCTGATTCCGGTAATCCAAGTTCGATCCCTGGTACGACCTCTTCTTTTGCTCCTTTGCAGACTTGGAAACACTGGCCTATTCATGAGCGTTGTCCTAGACCTTTTGCAAAAGATTTCGCCGTGCGGAGAGCGCCCTACAGAAGCCACTTTGTCGCTGTTGGGAGAAACACCGAACGCCAAATCCACAAGACCCATTGCTTGGCTTCTCACGATAGAGATTTTCCAATACTGAAGTGGAGCAAGTGCATTGGGCTCGTATTTCGGATAGTCATGTTAGTTAGACGGAGTTGATTTCCTATTCGTGCAGCTTTTCCATCCGCTCGATGCACAGCACGCATTTGATTGAGATAGAAGTGCGCCAGCATCGTAGAGAGAAGAATTGACGTCGTCACCCACGGGAATGTAGATGAATAGGTGGATGCGAAGCGAAAGTGTTGTCGATCATTAGGCACCTCGTTGAACAGTGCGTCATGCATGGAGGAGAAAAAATGCAGGAGAAAAATAGATTAAACATTTATATTGTACATAAAAAGGTATTTGCGCTTCAAGGACCCGGCAATTGACATTATAATCTGAGTCAATCGTAGCAAAATTCAGAGAAGAGGATGAAAGGCTGTTATTCCGACTCGCGTACCCAAGCAATGTCGAGCGTTGAAGGAGGAAACAGCAAACAGCTTTTCCAGCGGAGACAACCGTCGAAGAAGCTGTAGAAAAGAGTGAAAAAGATCCACTGTGAAAGGCTTTCGGACACACATGAAAGAAGACTTTCTGTTTCCGGTCGACCACAAACGAATTGGACTTGAGTCGTTAGGCGCTGTATGGACACATGTCGCGGCCTTGACTCGGTTCATTCGGAGTGGCGGCGGACGAGCCGGTATGAGAGAAACCGCCGTCTAGTTGCTAGACCCTGACTCATAGTCCGGGGGCCCACCTAGTTCTGTTTTACCAGTCGGAAAATTGAAGGAAAGTTTCAATGGTTGCTCTGCTGATCAGGATGATCAGAATATGGCGGTATCAAGCTTTCTGTCGTTGGAAGAGCCTGTAGGCTTTCTGGTGTATGATAATGGGATGTGTTGATCCAGATTCCTCGATGTAGGTGAAAGTGTGCGACTGAGCGACGAAGGAGTGTGTTGTTATGTCTTGAATCCTCAAACGGCGTTCAAGGAGCGTTTCTTCTTCTGGTGGAGAAAGCTCTCATCAGGCCTGAGATAGGCGAAGTAGGTGTGGCAGGAGGACTGTGTGTCGAAGAGGCGAACTTGACAGACTCGATTGAGCCCTTGGAGCTGCTGCTCGACGAAGGAGATCTTTGACGGTGCTCGAGGCAGTCTTCAAGTGTGACATTGGCTGAAGGAAGAGATGGTGGCGCGCAGTCGTCGAGCAACTCGGTGAACTTGGAAGTAACCATGTTTGTTGTGAGGTGAGTGATATCGATTGATAGGTGGATTGAGAGTCCTGGGTAATGTTCTGGCGGTATAAGAATGCTTGAATGGTATGGTGTATGCAAAGGAAAATCAGAGCAAAAAGAAGAGGGATCAACAAGNTCATTTGTACCATTCCACCTGTACCACGAGCCACGCTACAGGGTCCAGCCATCCCTGCAGGCACAACGGTCATGGTGGACCATTGGAAAGCCTAAAGTTCGGCTCACGTTACCCTTAGCACCAAAACTCGGNGCCCACACACACAGGTCGCTTCGCGGAGAGGCGCGCAAGNNCAGATCTACGAAATGATGTCGTGGTTGATCAACAGGGNNCGCTCGTCTGCTGGGAGGTTTACGTACCCAGGCCATGTCGTCTCATTTCCTTCCAATGTAAGCCTGTGTTTCGGAATATGCGTCATGCAAAGATTGTGCGAGGCCGAAAGTCGCCATGCGGACGTTGGCAAAGAACATCAGCCACGTTGGACACGCAAAAGACACGAGCTGCGAGATTCTTTCTGTTACGAGCGGTCGTGCAGTCGGTTATCGAGTCTACCACTTCAAGCAAATCTTCTTGCTGATCATCCAATAGACACTCACCTACTTTTTACAGTTCGATGTTCAGCTAGAAAAGTACTCTACTTTCTGTATGTGCATCGCAGAAAACAAATCATTCAGAAGGCGGGGAGAGAGTTCCCCTGCTCCATTGCATCAGACAGGCGCCATTCCATGCCGCTTCCGCCGAAGACGTGTCTTCCTTTTCTCTACAGAACGCTGCTTGGTCATGCGCCGTGTACACCGTACACGTACAGGGTGAGTAATAGGGGAAGCATAACGGTATCGAGACCCGAACGTGTTCACATTCGCCACTCCGGGCGCAAGGCGGTTTACCTTTGCGACAACGGAGAAACAATAGTTGACTGTTCCCGACCTCCGAGCGTGAGGCGAGTTTCTTGAGGCAGCGACTTTGCGACAAATACTCGAAAACGTGTACAGTACGAGTACCACCCATCAGAGTTGGAGGCTACCTTCTTACCCATATTCCGTTCCATACAAACATACTCCAACTACGCAAGCGACTGTCTATCAATATTGATGCCACGGGAAGTCTTCATCTCAGTAGGCGATAGGCCTAGAATGCTTTAACGAGTCTGTTGCTTCGAGGAGCCGGAAGTATCGTGGTCAAGAGTCTTGACTGTTGACAACCGTGCTATTTCGAGATAAGAATCAACTGATCAACCGTTGCTAACGGTGGCCTCGGTTGTTCATGGGACGCGCGCCTGCAGACAAGTCACCTGTCAGCCTTTCACAATTACGAACTCAATATCGAAGTCGCAGGCAGACACTGAAACAAGATCTTGGTGTATAGGTTCGTGGACAGCTCTGACTCACGATGATCGATGGGCATCCACCTGGACAACCGAACTTAAAACAAACAGAAGATCCAAGCGTGCTTCAACACATGACCAAGACGTTGCGCGATCAACTGATTCGCAACCAAAGTATCAATGCTCCTTTTTCTTCCCTCCTTCCAATCCGGAGAAAATGTTCAACCAGCAATCCGGAGAGTAGAAACTTGTCAACTCCTTCTAGAAAGCGCATCATCCAATTTCCGCAACGCCGTCTTGTGGTCTAGGAGAATGGAAGGCCTGTTCCGAGGTCCGAGCGAGCCTCTTTAGGCGTCAGCAACTGGCGTCAAGAACACTCAGACGACCACTCGAACTTGACTTCGATGTTGAGTCTGCAGTGCGAGCTTTGTGACAACATCACGCCAAACCATTCTGACATGTCTCTTGGGACTGGTACACTTGAGCGGGGTGTGTGCGTGATGGCAGAATCTCATTTCTTTTCGAGTCAACTGGTCATCAGGAAGTCTGTAGTTGGGGTACGTATCTTGGCCATCGACTTGCGTCCTTCGGTTCGGCTTCTCGGTCCTCGAGTTTATTGTCGCTCCGATTTACAAGTCAGCCTCCTGAAGATCGAGCTGGATCTCAATTGTACGACCTGTGTGTTGCTACAGCATGAGTGATCAACAAACAAAGCCTTCCCCAGTGCCGATACGCATTCAGCCGGAACGTCGCACCTCACCGACATTCTAACATTCCCCCCACAGGCCATGAACGCCGCATTCGGAAACAGGACATGCTACTCTACCACTAGGAGCTCTGTGCCTAATACTAGTTTCTCAGCAGGTGCAGTAGCGACTCTGTAGTTCGGATCTAGTTGTGCTGGCTCCCCACAAACGTACAGAAGCCTAGATCGGCGACTCCATCGACAATCGTACAAGGCCAACAGCCGAAGCATGAACACAGACTGTCGCATGACTCTGTTTCAAACCGGGGCACAGTATCAGCTGGGACCTCATCGAAGATTCGAAAAGTTCCTCGACGACGATCGAGTCCGATGATCAAACAAACTTCATGGTTCGACACAAAGAACCCATCGAACATTCTCCCATCGTTCTTTGCTCCTAGGCTAAACTGGCGACTAGCCAAAACATAATGGGTTTCCACGCAGTCAGGTCGAAGGTTCCAAAGACACACGTTGTTGGACTGGACCTGGCGGTCTCCTCGGCACGTCTGTCGAACAACACCTCTGCAACTCCTCAACCTCGTACTCTGCATCCTCATCTTCATCTTCCACCACACCTTGTGGTCCAGTATCTGCTGTTGAACTCACCAACTTTTGTTGTTGCTGCAGGGTGGTGTTCGTGGACTGCGTTTCGTCACTGGCAGTGACTAGCGATGATGTCGAGACCACAGCGCCAGCGTTAACCGTCCTCAGAGCCTCGAATTTGATGGGTGTGTGCCCTTCGAATCGTGCCTGATGTTGTGGCAGAGTTCTCTGTATCCTTGTCTGAGAATCCCCTTCTTGTACCCTCCGCATGGCTTCCTGGACGGCTCGCTGTCCCACTTTCGGTTGACCATCGCCTCTGCTCCCAAACTTCCCAACAAGTGTTTCTGCAGCTGGGTCTTTGCATGAGTTGCCGACTTCGATGCCAGTCATGTATGTGTAGTTGCCACAAGCCGTCGAACAGCCTTGTTGACAATAAGGATCTGTGCCACCGCAATGCCCCATCCACGCATTGATATCTCGAAGATCTGGCATGACTGGGACAATCTGTTCGCTAGAGCAGTCGTTTCATGGATCCGCTGCACGGCGAGAATGCAAAGATAACATGGGTTTGCTGCAGTTGTCCTTTATCAGATCATGAGGATGATCTCGAATGTGTGCGACTGTGGTGTAAGGCAGGTTACATCGGGGTGGGACTGGCGTTCGCATGCCAAACAAGGTTTACTGCTGTTCGACAGGTTCCGGATGCTTTATTGTTCAGGGTGAGTGACACGCTTACTGTGGTACAGAAACGCCTTGGGATCTGGATACAAGGTGCGTAATAGAGCGTCATGGCCGGCGCTGTCGCTCGCCCCGAGGCGTTCCCATGAACAGAATTCGGTTGGTTGTTGCCATAGTCTTCCGCTCACAATACACTCTTCTCTTCTTGATTGGTCCATCTACCGTTAATAGCTTGTCACGTTTACCATCAATAGCATTCCATCAATCTCGACTTTGAAGCGATAGCTGTTTTGACAAGGGTCCAGTCTTGTCTCCTTGCGCTTGTAACATGAGTTGACCACCTTTACTACTATCCAACCATACTCAGTTGTATATTTGTTGACATGCCCATACTGTAGCTTCTATAATAATGATGGTAACTTCGTGATTAACACGCAAGATATGGTAGTTGTCAGCGTGCGATGCACTTCAGGAAGATCAACTTTTCCCACTATGATCTCGCTAACAATGTCAATCAACTCTCTGAATGGAGTTCCTGAGCCCGACATTGCCAGCGCAGCATCCGACGACTAGCCGTCCTATGCTATGTTTGGCATGAGTTTAAGGTGGTGCCTAAGGTAGTTTGTGTCGAACAGGACGGTGGACGGCACGAAGTTTTCCCCGACGCTCGCGTCACCTCCCTCAACGTCCGGTGGTCCCCTCCTTTTTCTCATAACTCCGAAGATAATACCTATATCCATTGTATCAGGAAAGTCATCTTTCTAAATGTTATTTGATAAGCCACTCATTGTGGGCCCACCTCGTGTCTGCCTACAATAGCTGGACAATACTGTTCGTGATGTCACCCTTTGCTCAGAGGATCAAGCTCATCAGGAACACTGGGGTATATAAGCTCTCAAGGCGGCAGGTCAAGAGGCAGCTCCTGACAAAGCTTGATTAACCAGTTCTAACCTTTGTGCGGTTCACATCTTTCTAACCATCTCGTATTGTCTTCATTCCTCGCGTCTTATCCCTACACCAAACAAAGCTCAACACTTCACCTGGAGATATGGTACCCNCGTTAATCTCACTGGAGGAGCACTATCTCTCTCAAAACGTCCGCAAACATCTCGCGGACACAGGCCGCCAAGATCCATATGCCCAATTTCCACCTCACTTGATAAATAAGCTCACCTCTCTCGGTTCGGATCGTCTGGCAGCTCTCGACTCCGGAAAGGTGTCCTTACAGATTCTCTCGCACAGTCCGTTGAACGCTTCTCCTCAAGAATGTCGTACGACAAACGATAATCTAGCTTCCGAGATAAGAGACCAGTCCCGATATGCAGCTTTCGCACTCTTGCCTATGGCTTCGCCCCTAGACGCGGCCAAGGAACTCGAACGATGCGTGAAAGAGCACAAGTTTCTTGGTGCGCTGATCAACAACCACTGCGACGGGACATTCTACGATGGCGAAGCGTATCGCCCTGTCTTTGCCAAAGCTGTAGAGCTCGACGTGCCTATCTACATTCATCCTACTTTTGCAGCCGACGAATGGATGCCTCACTATCGCGGCAACTTTGGCGAGAGGGCTGCGCAGATGATGAGTATAGCAGCCTGGGGCTGGCACTCTGAAACTGGCCTTCACGTGCTCCGTCTCTGGGCCTCCGGACTCTTTGACGAGTACCCGAAACTGAAAATCATCATCGGACACATGGGTGAGATGCTTCCCTATCAGCTTGACCGCATCATCTCTACTTCCTCGGCATGGGCACCAGACAACAAGCGTGGTCTCGAGCAAGTGTGGAAGGAAAACTTCTGGATTACAACCTCTGGCATGTTCAGTCTAGCTCCGTTGAGTTGTCTCTTGAGGATGTGTGCCAAAGACAGGATTTTGTACTCTATAGATTATCCATTCAGTGGCAATGAGAAGGGTTTGAAGTTCATTGAAGAGATTGAAGCAAGTGGAATGGTGAGCAAAGAGGAGTTGGAAATGATTTGCTACAGAAATGCTGAGAAGCTGCTCGGCGTGAATGCGGAAAGTGCTGTCGGTAGTAAGTAGTGAGTGGAGTCCCCTTCCTACGAGCTCGTACTTGTGACGAATTGCTCTCTTCTGAAAAATTGTAACAAGTAGCTCTCCTCTCAATCACCTTGCAAAGCGAAGATCAAACAAACAGAGTTATCCTCAGAGGCTTCCAAGTTGATCCTCCAGCTACGGAACAGATAGATTGTGCATGAGCTATGGACCACCAAGCACACTCTCCGATACATGAAGGAAAAGCGCGCTTCGACAAAGAGTTCGTGTTCTCTCAAGGTACTGTGAAGTTCTTCAGTCAGACGGGATGCCGTGAACAAACAAGAGGCTGCCTTTCACTTTCCCTCGATCACTTCTCACCATCACTTCTCGTTGATCGAGCTGAGACGCGTCTTCTCACTTGTACTCGCTTTCCACATCTTCATAAACAAGATTTCCCTGTCTCGTCTACAGATATCCAGGCATCTTCCACCAACCTCAAGACTCCACACCTTGCCGCTGTCGCCGAGGTGGAAGAAGAAACGACCATCTGGCATCGTTCGCCACGACGCACACCCCTCGCCGGCGTAGCACCTCGGGTCACTCTACAACATCGCTGTCACACGCAGACCTCTCTACGCATCATCAGTCACACATCACAGTACTCAACAGTCGCTTCTCGCTGTCAGCAAGAGTGTCGAATCTACTTTTCCCCACCGTCAATCAGCTCGTTCAGGAGGCGTCTATCTACTTTTCCTCATCTCGACATCCTCATCGTCTCACGCCACCATGACCACTCTCCTCAAAGGTGATCCTAAAACTCTACTGGTCGTCTCCAGCACCTCCACCCCAGCAGGAATCCAACGCCCCTAATACTCCCCCACTGTGCCACAAGACATTAATTTCCTAGGTCTACGCACTCAAATCCTCGGTAAGTCTTCCTTTCCTTCCTCCTGCCCCATCCCCTCCCTCCCGTCCCCTCTCCTCTTCTATATCCGCTTTCCTCTAATTAACCACCACAAGAAAACTACACCCACATCTACCCCACCCGCTCCGTCCACCTCATAACCTCCACCTACTCCTCCCGCCACGGCGCCCACATCGTCGCTGCACCCTCCGACGGTGGCCAACCTTTGCTATCCTCCAAATTCCACATGCGTACTGAAAAAGCACTGAAGCAATTACTGGAAGTTACTGAAGAGGAAGTGTATAAAAAGTTTATATGGGTATGGAGGGTTAAAAGTGCATGGAGGGCAAGAGTGAAGGGACGTGGTAGGAGGAAGTGTGGGAGAGGGAAGAGGAGACATACTTTTGCGTTTCTCAAGGGTTTAGGATGTTGATGATGCTTTGCACTTGGGTTCTCGATTCTCATGTGAGAAGCAACGAGATGGGTGTGCAGAGACAAGGGCGGAGGGAAGGAGAAGAATGAGAAAAACCGAGGATGGCAGAGAAAGGAAGCAGCGATGGAGCCCACAAAGAAGCCACACATCAGAGAAACAGACGGTAACTCACATTCCAAAAGCTGCTCACTTGTGGTCCATGACGATATATTCCGATTTTGCTTCCACTGCATGAGATGGTATGTATGCAATAGCAAACCATCATACTCTTTATCACACAGGCAAAGGCGTGACACGAAGCGGTAGTCAATGGGATAGGAGTATGCCAATACTATCTTGCAATATCCAAGATCTCATACAACAAACATACTCTAGAGTGTCCATCCTGCATTACAACGACGAGATGGCACTAGCCCACCTCTGTTCATCTTTCCTGTTCCAATTTGTCAGCATCTGCATACTCGTGCGAACATAACCGTGTTCAAACTTACTTGTCGAAGTGCAACAACATGCCCAACACCGGAACCAACTGCAACTGATGCTTCCTGTCCTTCTGCTCCAAAAACTGCAACAGCACATTCTTCAGATACACATAATCGATCGCTTGATCTTTGGCATCGGGCCCGCCGGCGGTGGCCACACTGCCATTGCGACTTCCCATTGGGCTCCCGATGCGCGAACTCTCCAGCGATGACCGCGCAGACGGCTTGTCAGATCTGGTTTTGAGCGTCTTGATCTCGTCGGCGAGTGCCTTTGACGACTTTTGCAGTGTGGCGAGACGGGTCTCGGTGTCGGCCAGAGATTTGCGGAGGTCTGTTTTTTCCTTTTCGAGGGCGCTGGAGGAGCGTTCGTGGTCGTCGAGGGCGTCGCGGAGTTGTGTCATTGCACTCCTGACTTCTGTCAGTTCCTCCGTGGCGGCTGCAGACTTGTTCTCGAGTTCGGTTTTTTGTTTGCGCCATTGCGATTCCCTTCTTTCGAATTCTTCCTTTTCGTCGTTGATGGAGGAGAGGGAGGTTTCGGCGTCTCGGAGTTTGTGCTTGAGGTCTTCGAGTTCGCGGGTGCGGCGGCGGCCAACGGTGACGGCTTCCTCTTCGGCGCGGTCGCGTTCTTCGATTGCCACGTCCATTCGCTCGCGCATTTCTTTGACGCGCGATTCGGCACGGCCTTCGACGTCGGCGAGGAGACGGCGCATGGTTTCTGCTTCTCGGCTGCGCTCGCTGAGGAGACGGTGGGCGTCTGCAAGCTCTTCCTCGAGACTCTCGCATCGTCCCTTGACTTCCTTCATCTGGGTAGCCAGTTCGCGAGTCTGATCTTGCATACTGTCCATGAGTGATTGAGCTGATGCCTGTTGTGCACCCTTGAGTTGGAGCTCCTCTTTCAAGCGAGACGACTCTTGCGTCAATGCCGTGACCTGTTTTTCGAGGCTCTGCAACTTTTCGCGCTGTTTCGAGGCCTCGTCTTGAGCTTTGGACAAGTCTTTCTGAAGCTTATCTCTCGTTTCAGTGGCTTCTTTTGCAATCTCTCCGCTCGTTGAAGGTCTTTTTGCGATTTGGTGCTCTGCTCTTCGAGCGTTGCCGTGCGTTCTGCATTTTGCTTGACTTTCTCATTCAAAGACTTGATCTCAGCATCCTTGTCCTTTGACTGAGTCTTGTAGGTAGAAATTTCAGACTGCAGATCCTTCTCCTTAGCTTCCAGCCTGCGAAGAGTACCGTTGGCTGTGCTCAGATCGTCCTTGGTCTTCTTGAGCTCAGCAGCCTCTTGACGAAGACTCGTTAACTCGGGCTGGATCTTGTTGAGGTGCTCCCTTAATGCTGTCAGGTCCTTGTATCTTGTCTGAGCCAGTTCATTAGCGGCAGACAAATCAGTCTGCAGAGATGAAGTCTTGGATTTGAGTGCATCAAAGTCAGCGGTCAAAGTCTTGTGCTTTTCGCTCGACTCTCCATGACTTGACTTTAGTGACTCGGTCTCTTTCTTGAGCTTCTTGTTGGCCGCATCGAGGCTGTCCTTGTCCTTCTGGATGTTGGCAGCTTGTCCTCGAGCTCCTTGCTCGAAGTACCAGAAGATTGCTTGAGCTCGTCCAATTCCCTCTGCACCTTTGCATGTTCCTCAGTCTTTGACTTGATCTCAGACTCAAGATTGTCACATTGTTTCTGCAGAGACTTGCACCTGTCTTCAAGCTGCTTCATCTCTTCGGCACGTTCGCCGGACTCGGAATCCTTCTGTGTCTTCAGACTCTTGATCTGATCTCTTGCACCACACAAGTCATTACCGATATCCTTGAGCTGTTCTCTAAGGTCGTCAATCTCCTCTTTGAGATCGTCTTCGCCCTTGAGCTTAGCGTCGAGTCTGTCGATGGCGGCTTCTTTCTTCTCGATTTGAGAAGTGAGATCCTTGATCTCGGCATCCTTTTCTTCAATGACAGTGTGCAGCTCTTTGATCTTCTGGTCGTTGTCTTCTGAAGGTGCAGTTCTCGGAGCCAATTGGCTGAGAGAGTTGGTGATGTGTGCTCTTGCGGCAGCCAGCTGTTCAAGCGACAAGAGCGACTCTTGCGGAACGATTGGAGTCTGCTCCTCGGGCTTGGGAGAAGGCACAGACGAGGGTGGAGCGCTCTTCGGCGCCTCTGCAGCGGGCGTATTTGCAGCAGCACCACCCTTCTTCTTTTTCTTGTTCTTGTTCTTCTTCTTGGCCGCTCCACCGTCTCCGGTCTGTGTGGGAGCTGCTGTCTCGGGTGTAGCAGCAGAAGCAGAAGCAGGTTCGGGCTCGGCATTTGTAGACTCTTCTGGCTCAGAAGTCTTGCAGTGGCCACATGCAAGAATCATCTGATAAGCATCATCGCGTTCCTTCTCGGCAGTCTTTAGTTGACCTCGTAGTTCGGTCAATGATGTGTCCTGAGTAGAGACTACAGAAGCGGCCTCACGAGCAGCCTTCAAGCCAGCCTCGCTCTTCTTCAGATCATCACGCATGCCATCCATGTCTTTCTGCAATGACTTCTTACCAGATTCGGCCTCGGTGAGTTGCGACTTGAGTGTCTTGACCAGGTTGTCCAGGGTTTCCAGACGTTTCTTGTCGGCATCGCTCGCCTTCTTGTTGGTGCTGTCTTGGTTGGCTCTGTCCTTGTTCTCTTTCTCGAGTTTGGTGAGAGCATCCTGAGCAGAAGCAGCCTTTGTCTTGAATACCTCGATCTGGTTGTTAACGCTGTCGAGATCCGATGTTGCTTTCTTGAGCTTGTCGGTGAGCGACTTGATGCGTGATTCTAGTGGCTTCTTTTCAGACGCTGAGATGTGGTCGAATTGATTCAGCTGTGTCTTGATCTTCTCGATCGTACTCTCAGAATCCATGAACTTTCCCTCTAGATCAGACTTCTGTTTCTCCAGTTCCGAGACTTTTTGCTCAGACTCGGACTTTTGCATTTCCAGATCAGACTTTTGCTTTTCCAAGTCGGTGACCTTCTTCTCCGAGTCGGATTTCGATTGGTCTTGAGATTCCTTTGCGCTAGACTGATCTTTGGTTGCCTTGTCGAGTTTCTCACGGGCGTTCTTGTCAGAGTCTTGAGCAGTCTTCAAGTCGTTCTCCAGAGAGGTGATCTTGTCGTTCAGTTGTTCGACTTGGCGAGTCTTTTGGTCCAGCTCTTCCTGCAGACGAGGAGCCTCTTCCTCATAAGAAAAGAAATCCTCGCTCTTTCTAGTAGACTTTGCGTCCTTGTCGTCGACTGATAGGGTAGTGGCGCCCAGAGAATCCGTCTCGGTGGTAGGCTTGTTCTTCTCGTCCCTCTCTTTCCTCAAACCGGCAGCCTCATCATACGCCTCTTTAGCTCTTCTCTCGGCGTCGTCCAGTTTACACTTGATGTCGTCCTTTTCTCCAGTGACCTTCTTGTACTCGTCCATGACCATGTCGCCTTTGAGGTTGAGTTGCATCAGATATTCGACCAGAGCAGAGGGATCGGCAATGGAAGTCAGAGGAGTGTTTTCGCGGAGAGCGGCCTCGAAAGGCTCGATTGCAGTGACCCTTGCATGAGCGATGCGGTAGGAACGGAGGAGCTCGGTGTAGCGCGACTCTAGCTTCTCGAGCTTGCGCAACTTGGTCCGGACGTCCTGAGGCAGGTCTTCGGGCTGCTTTCCTCCATCTTGTTGTTTCTCAGAGACAGGGGCGTCGGACTGGGCGGGCTCTTTCTCGATGGTTGAGGTGGCAGGTTGATCGGAGGAAGAAGCCGAGGCTTCGTTCACAGTGGGGTTGGGAGTGGCGGTGCGAGTAGGAGTGTCATCGTCGTCAATGACAAACTCGCTCGGGTCAGGACCTTTTGGGGGGATGCCACGATTCGAGTCGGCGCGGGATCGGTTGGCTGGGCGGTTTGGCGATTCTGTCCTCGACACGCCTCTTCTAGCGGCGGACGAAGGAGTTCGCTTTACGGGGGACGATGTGCCGGGTTGGCCTCGTTGGCGAGCTTGTTCCTCTGCGATTTTGGAGTCCAAGAAGGAGTCCAAGTTGCCTTTGAGGCGCTGGGCATGCAAGTCAGGAGAGTGACGAGATAGTCATTCGTCAAGGGGCTCACCTGAAACATGGTTGTATGTCTACGATATGACTGGGCGCATAGCTAGAGGAACGACAGCGAGGAATAATATCAACACGTTGATTAGGCCGGATATCGGAAGCTCGGCCTTGTCAGGGCGACCCTCGTTCGGCTTGTGATGGGCGGCGGCTCTGGCTGGAACGAGGAAGGTGCGACGCGTGTGGAGCGAAACGTCATCGGCTCTTGTTCTTGTTCGACACGTTCGTTCTTGTTCGTGCTGCAGCTGCCTCTGCCTCTCTGCCTCACACGCATGCATCGCTCGTAGCAGACATGGTTTCTTTCTGGCCCTTCAAGGTGCGCTACGCCTCGTCCACTTACTCCTCTCTGCACTCTGCTGACATGCGACCATCAGNNGGTCACGACTCTACCTCGGCAGCGTCATTCGAAAAGCTGCTCTCTTCCCTCTCGTCCAAGATCAATAAAGAGACCGCCCGCAACGATCGTCTGCACCAGGGACAGCGTCGCTACAAAGTACTATGGACCTTGTACACCACCTTTGCCTACCTACTCGCTGCAACCATCCTCATCCTAGTCACTGGCCTGTCAAACTGCACCGCTGTAGAGTACACTGGTCTGGCCGCATCGCCTGTCCTCATCTACGGTGTCAGAACTGCCCTTGACGCATACTTCAACTACCGCCTCGCCTCCTCCCAGTCCTACCTCAACGCCCTGAACAAACAACGCGACGATGCAATCTCAAAACTCAAGGAAGCCACAAAGTACAACTCCACCCAGCAGCTGCTGGACAAGTACGGTGGCACTCCCACAAAGTCGCCCCAGCAAAAGACAAGACAGCAACAAGACACCCCCACAAAGAAGCAGCAATCCGCCCCCGTCAAGCGAACCGGTCTACCTCCTCCACCCACCGCAAACATCCCAGGCCGCCAACTGCCTCCATCTTTCCAACCAATCACCCCTCCTCAACAACCCTCTCAATTCCAATCTCTTCCGCCGCAGCCCCAAACCTCTCGCCCCGAACCACAAGCCGACTTCGCACCAAATGCCTTCACGGCACCTACCCCACGCGACACAAACCCCTATGCCTCTTCTGGCCCTCGCTGGTACGACAGAATCCTCGACATTGTCCTCGGCGACGACGAAACCCTCCCCAAAAACCGCATCGTGCTACTGTGCCGCAAGTGCCGCTTGGTAAACGGTCAAGCCCCTCCTGGAACACGATCCCTGGAAGACTTGGGTACATGGAGATGCAAGGATTGCCATTCTCTCAATGGCCAAGAGCTGGAAGCCAAAGCAATGATTAGGGAGATTGCTGGCGAGTCCACTGTCAAGGATGGAGCAAAGGAGATGCAGGAGGTTCAAGGAGCGGATAAGATGGTCGAAGACGATGATGAGCAAGAACGGCTCGAAGAAGACGAAGATGAGGTAATCTCTGCACCTGCCACGTCTACTAGAAGCAAAGTCAGGCAGCGCAAAAAGTAGATCTCAGTCAAAAACACAAAAATAGGCATAGTCGAGCAAAAAATAACAAAAGGCAAATTCACGACTTTACAGCTTCTCACTGTACAAGCAAAACCCGCAAGTCACTACAAAACACAATAGCGCATAGATGCAGCATGTATTCGTTATTGTGTGGTGGAGATCCAGAAGTGCAGAGGCAAGAGCAAAAACAAAAGTGTGGACGACTAGGGGATCGAACCCTAGACCTTCAGCATGCAAAGCAGACGCGCTACCACTGCGCCAGACGCCCAATTGATGGATAAGCCTGTTTTTGATGAGATATAGTCTTCGAGGAAACAGAAGAGAGGTCGGTTGTATCACCCTGTTCACATCTGTCACAAAGCATCAAGGAGAGGTACAAAGATGTCAGAACACACGACGACTTTCTCAAAGGGATCATGTATGTGCAAGCATAAATCATGGTCAGGTCTAGTCTTGATGCTGCGCCCAAGTACTGAGCCGGAAGAACTTGAAAGCATTTTTCTCATTTCTATAGGAAACATCTGTGATTGGAATGATTATCCGCTGACAACCACTCGCAACGAATATCTATGGACCATCCTCACTATACCGCTTGGAGTTTTGGTTGTCTATGAAGGAAAGTGAGTCTGCCCCAGCGGTCAAAGACTTGGGATCTCTTCGGGCATCGCTAAGGATGTTTCACAAGCAAGAGAGCAGAGCGCAGCCCTAGAATCGCTAGTTCTTTTGCTTCTGGCATTGGTGAGGTGCAACCAAGTCAGGGGCAAGATCATAAATTCGTGAGAAAAGTATTGAACGCTCTATGCAGTTTCCGCCTGCATCTGTTGTGTGTCCTTGTGCTCTTCCGTCACCTTGTGTGCTGTGTCCTTCCCTTTCCTCTCTTCTTCCAGAGCCTCCAATTCTGCTAGCCTTGCTGCCGTCTTGGTCGCTTCTTCTCGTTCCCTCTTTTCTCTGTCTGCCTTTTCCATGGCTGCGAATTCTTCGTCTACGTCTTCCTCATCGACTGTGGAGGTGCTAGCTCCATTGATGACCCTGCCCACCTCGTCTACATTCTCCATTTCATCCCTGAGGCGATCCACAACTTCCTCTACACCTTCTGTACCGCCCACCTCTGCATGGAGACTCTTCAAAACATTTGCAGAAGCAGACATGGCAGACACTATAGCGACTTGATCTGCAGCCGTCTGAATGGCAGTAAATGTCTCTTCCAGTTGTGATAGCGTAGCGCTGCGGGTGTGCAGGGTAGTTTCTGCTAGCTTTTTGCTGCGCAGGGCCGATTTGGCTTGGATGGTGCGTTTTGCGGCGACGGCTTCGCGGGCAGAAATGTCGAGAGTGGTGATGCGGTCTGTCAAGGCCGAAACTTGTGTATCCAGGGCTTTGATCAGGGTGCGTAGGTTTGCAATGTCGGTGTCTTGTTGAGTGATGGGTTGAGGTGTGGATTCAGAAACAGATTTGAGTTTGATGGTTGTCGAGTTGAAGGAAAGGTACGGTTTGTCGCGGGATAGATAACGGAGGAGGATGTCAAAGTCTGTGGTGCTCAAGGCAGCGTCGGGAAGTTGTGCCGGGTCGAGGACGTGAGCAAACTCTGATTCAAAAAGGGAGCGGGAGAAGATGAGCGAGGTGGCAGACTGGTCGAGCTGGTGTGCTTTGGCGATGATTGCGTTCGCTGCTTCNCTGTTTGTTCTTGGGTCAGAATGTGTCTGAGATAAGAGCTAAGAGGGCTGGGGCAGTACCTCGACATTGGCCATGACGACCAAATTGCCGACCGATAGTTTGTCAGATGTACCGAACAGCGAGGCAACGCCAACCTGCTTGAGACCCCAGCTGACAACCTGCCACGGCGATGGTATCCAGCTCTTTGCGTAAACACTCTTTGTCGCATTCAAAAAGTCGTTCAGAGAGATGAACTCGCGCTTGTCGACAGCGTCTTGAATGACAGCACCCAAAGCGAGCGGTCGACCCCATTGTGCAGAGTTCAATGCGCGCGACAGATCCTCACCACTCCCGAAGACGACGTGACTCGCTTGTCCAGATGTTGTTGAAGCGGGTGGTAGGCGGCCGGCGCATGCGGCAGCCGTCAGACCACGCAGCCATGCTCGAGAGTTTGCTTGGTATCCATCCGGGTTTGACGTCTTTTGTAGGCGAAAGTCCGAGTAGAGAGATTGAAGGCGGTTGCGACTGNNGCGTGGTTGTCAGTGCTGTTCTGATGGTGTGGAGAGGGTCGACAAGGGCATGTACCTACGGAAGGCCTCCTCGTGTGTGCGCAAGAACTCTACAAGGTCGTTCATGTCGTTGTATGTCGGGTGTTTTGTTTCTGTAGGTAGCAGATGGGCAGAAACAAGTTGGGCAATGACGATGGCTGGTCTTGGCGTTCACATGCACTGCGGTTTCCTTTCCGCCTTCTTGTCTCTGTTCGACATGTCTACATATCAACGTCCACATTCAAACATCTTATCGAAACATGCCTCCTCTTCTTGGTCAATCTTGGGCACGTGTTTTGCAGCCAATCGGCATCGGGTCCTGTGCTTTTGCGGCTCCACCGTGCTTCAAACTTCCTTTCTCACATCCTGCTCACAATCCATTACCGGACAATACCAATTCTCTGGCCCGAGAGAAGCAGCAGTCGCTATCTCAGCATCGTCCTGAGCATCCTCAAGAACAATCCAAGTCGAAGATGAAATAAATACACGGCGTCGCGAGAGATATCACAATGATCCTGAACATCGTCAAAAGAGATTGGACGAATGGAACAAGTATGTAGAAACTCGGGAGGGAGATGTGGAGTGGTATAGACTCCAGAGATACGCTGTGTCCAAGCGTAATAGAGATCGAAAGTTGGCAGATGCCGCTAATCGTCAGCAGCGTAGTGCCAGCGTACAAGAACAGCAACGACAACGTCGTCAGATCGATCCCCACTGTGTTGAGCCGCAAGGCTTGAGTCTTCTGCGCCAGACTCCGTCGCCTCTGTGTAACCAAGGCTCCTTGAACTCCACTGGAGCATAAGGGGGCGGAGCATCGATGTTGTCAGGTTCATGTGTCGCAGTGCTTTCTTGGCGTTCAGAAGAAGATGCGATACTCGCGGCAGACCCAACAGCCATCCAGAGGATGTGAAAGGACGTCGTTCCAGACCGCTGGATGAATATGCCGTCCTTCATCACACCGTCTACCTCGCATCTGACCATGTTGAAGCATCTGCTATGTTCATCCGTGGAGTTCGAGGTATTTGCGAGAAGAGTCGGGTGGACGAGCAAAAGACCTTCGTATGGATTCTACCTCGACGTACAATTTCTCTCGCCTGGAGGCTGGAATCATGAGCACAAAGCTCATGCATCTAATGCGCACAAAGTAGTGCTGAGGGTTTGTCGTATTTCCACACCGACTACTCTTCCGACGCAGACTGGTCAAAGTTCATGGAGCTATGTTGGACATGCCTGCGATTTGAAGTAGAGGGCTACGGATCACAGATAGCAGCACTCATCAGCTCTCACAAGCACATGTGGTGGATGGAGTACCGAGCGTATTATGAAAATGCGTCACTCAATACGCTTCAAACCCACCACCGTACTTGGCTAGTAGCACTAGATCCACAGGTTCCCTGCCGCAATTACCCAGAACATCATATGTTTCTAGAAGTAGATGTCGAGGTCATGGAGCGGTTCCGAGAGATGACGGATACGGTGTATGAGTAATTACCTCTTGAACAGGACCCTTCTGTCGAAGTTTTCGATGCGGCAGCTGTAAGCAGTAGCGACAGCGACGATTACCCAGGATGGATGAAGTTGAGGTTGGGTGGCCTCTATCATCTGTATGAGAAGGCTCTTGGGTGCTGAGGAACGCGAGAGCTATGTGTCAACCACACAATCTGGTTCGACAGAGGGTAAGGCTCGAATAGCTCGGGAAGTAGAAAAGTTGCAAAACAGACATCCTAAACAGATGTCGTGCAGACAAACAGGGGTATGGTAAGCAAAAAGAGGAAGGTATAACCGAGGGGCAGTGATCGACACGCGCTCTGTCAGCTTTCCTTCTTCTTTTGTTCTGCTGCACGACGCCTGTGCTGCAAAGTAGAGGCTGCAACCTCGAGCTATGCTCATAGCTGCGACAGGGAACCTTGTCAATGCAGGATGACTCTCCCAGCACGCCACCAATAGCCTGGCTGATAGTGTGATTTTTCTTCGCTGCTGTTCCCCGGGGACGGCGTGGAGTCAAAGCGATGCCCTGCAGGAGCTGACAGCTATATGTGCAGCACGAACGCAAGCCTCTGGGACCATGCGTCGTCAACTGCTTCGAGTAGCTTGTACGATTTAACCCCCGTCGACAAGTCCAATAGCTGCTCATGTAAGTCCTGGAGTAGTTGTCGGCATGCTCTCCCCGAAGTCCCTGATCCCACGATGCCATTGTCTCAGGAAAGATCTTCTCACTACGGATATGCAGCCATGCCTCTTATCCCAGTATTAAATGGCTTCTGGAGGATCTCATCTATCTGGACTTGACCGGCTCTACTTTTCTTCTGATCTATATGTCGCAGCCTCTTTATTGGATATGCGGTAGTCGGAACACATACTTGACACAAGAAAGCTCAAATGGTTGGTGGTCCCACAGATCAGGCGTGGATTGAGTCTGCAAGACAAGTTCATTCGGGAACACCACCTTGTTATCATCTCGTCACTTTGTTCCTGAAGGCAAATGGGGGATATGCTCACAAGCCTAATTTTTTCCAAACCCTCACCAGCTTCAATTGAGGTTTGCATTTGAAGACTTTCACTCGGCACAAGTGCGCACCTGCTTTCAAAACTCCGTCGAGCTTCTCGGCGTCTGTTTAACTCGTTCTTCTCGACGCACTCGCATCGACGACGAATTTATCGACACGATCTTACACCATGTCGACTGCCGCTGCTCCCACCGATGGCCCTTCGCACCATGGCAGCCGCGCTCACCAGCTGATCGTTGCTACTGTCGTTGCCATTGTACTTCCCACCATCTTCCTCGCTCTGCGCCTGCTCGCCAGACATGTCCTGCGCATCCGTCTCTACTTTGACGACTGGCTTATTATCATCGCCTGGGTAGGTCAATAAAGTTCCTTCATCTGCGCACTTTGCTCATTCATTACAGNNTTCTTCAAGATCGGCCTTGACATTAGCGGCTCCCTGCTCATCGAACATGGCATGGGTCGCTCCATTCAGACAGTCAGTGCCTCCGACCTCACCGAGTTCCTCAAGATTCAGTACACGGGCGTCATCCAATACCCCCTCTGTGTCACCTTCACCAAGCTCTCCATCCTCTACCAATACCGCCGCTTGTTTCCCAACCACGATTTCAAACTCATGACTTCTTTCCTGATTGCCATCATGGTCATGTGGTGTACTGCAGTCATGTTTACTGGCATCTTCATGTGTACTCCCATCGACAAGGTCTGGAATCCCGCTATCCCGGGCAAGTGCATCAGTCTGGTGCCTTTTTACTATGGCATGCAGATCCCCAACGTGGTCACTGATTTGTGTATCCTCTTGCTGCCTTTCCGCGAGATTCAGAGACTGGAGTTGCCGAAGAAGCAGAAATTGGGGGTTGCGGTTACCTGTTTGCTTTGGGTCATGTAAGTTTCCTTGCCTTTTTGCTTACTGCACTTACTGATCTTTCTCAGCTCATTGATCTTTGGCGTCGTACGTCTAGCCGTCATGGTACAGCTTACCGACAAGGGTAGCGATGTCACCTGGAACCTTGTCGCCCCTGCCATTTGGACGACCATTGAACCTGCCGTCCAGATCACCACTGCTTGTCTGCCTTCTCTGCGTGTGCTGTACCGCAAGTACATGGATAGCCGCGAGCAAAAGCACAGATCTGCTGCTACTTCTGCACAGCGTTTGCGTGGCATGGAATTGACTTGTCCGCGTGCAGACAGCACGGCCAACGGCTCCATCACTACCAAATCTAGCAGAGAACAGCAAGGTAGCGGGGTCGTTGAGAGGGATGTCTATGTCTGAGGCTCTAGAATCGATGCCGGGGAAGGAAACCTGACAGCTTTTGCAGTAACAAAGGATGGAACAAGCATGTAGTAACAAGCAAACACAAGCAAAAAGCCGAAAAAAAGGCAAAATGAATTGTATACCAGACACGACATCTTTGCTCTTTTGTTGCTTTCCATGTGTGATAGAGGGTGTACCGTTATGCTATAGAAATGCACAATATCTTGTGATGTCTAGTGATGTCCCAGAAGAGCCGTCATTTTGAACCTGTTTCCATGGTCATGCGTGAATCCGACTAAACACTGTGCATTTTTGTAGTATACTATTGACGATTCATTGGTGTGGAAGAGGCAGCTTCTTTTGCTATGTAGGCTCTCCTTTGAGATGCAAACTGTAATGGTATACTATGGAAAATGCAACAACCACCTTGTAGAAACAGAGTTATATCCATAAGAGAAAAGAAATTAATTAGTGCTATCTCCATGGCCATCTCTTGAAGACGGATAAGAACTATGCATCTTTATAGTACACTACCGACTATTCAACAGCATGGGAGAGGCAATTTCTTTTGCTAATCAGACTCTCTTATATAAAATGCAAAAACTATAATAGTATACTGATAGAAAAACATGCAAGCACAATATCTTGTTCGAAAAAGAGAAATCATATCCGAGGAAAGACGTTATGATGAGAATCCATTCTCTATGCTTATCTCTCGTATACATCAAAACAATGCGTATTTATATGGTCTACTAGTTACTAAACCATTGCTGTGGAAAGAGAGAGAGAGAGTTGAAAAATGTGCTAGCCTTTTTTCCAAGTCGTCTTTTTTGTGGTTGTGCGTGTGTATGATTGGTGATCAAGGCAATTTTTATGGTGTGTTATGATATCGCTTGATGTAGACGATATTGGGGACAAGTGTCTGGACACAGAGGATTTTGTTGTGTTGTAGAGATTGGGAATATGTCTCTCAGTGTTGAACGCAAACGTGCAAGTGTACAATTCTAGAGCACTGTCTTGCTGTATAAGGAGATTTAGCAGAGATAGAACAGCCAACGAATACACCAAGGGACTCCGAAGAAAAGGGTAATGTTGTACATGGCTTTCTCTATTTGTATACTAACTTGGATAAGTTGTGCGTGTTTGCCGCATCTCAGACGGCCATCAAAGCGCCTTTGCTCCAACTCTTCACTCTGGCGACATCAATCCCATTCTTGACTTTGGCTGTCAAGACATCCAGAGTTGACGCATCTACATCGCCAACCTTTGCCCTTTGGTCCAACCAAGCCAACACGCCTGTCCTAGTCACCAGAGATGTCGCACCACCCACAGCAGCAATCCTATACACCACCTTGAGCACCCCNTCTTTGACTCCTTTAGGCGCCGATGGACTCGCAAACAGATCCAACACCTTCTCCATACAATTGCGCGGCAGCAATAAATGCACATCTGCAAGTGTCCTTGTGCCCTGGCAGAAAAAGTCGAGCACGAATTCGATTTCCGCCCAGTGCTTGTCGTCTTCTTCGGGGGTTTCGAGGACGGTCTTGTCGATCCAGTGGTTTGCTAGTTTGCCAATGTTCCAAATGGGGCCTTTGTTGAGATACTTGTTGATCTTGGGGTACATGAAGTGAGAAGGGTCTTGCAAGATCGCCAAAGCTTGAGTGGCAAACACGGTAGCCATGTAGGGAAGTGGTTGTGTAGATATCGGTGGCGAGAGTTCGGCAACAGTTTCGGAAAGCTCGCCGAGCAAGAGGTATATTTGATCTTTGTCGTCGTTTGTGGATTCCTTGACAAGGAGCATGAGTTTACGGATGGCGGCGTGAGCTTGCAAGCGGACAGAGCTGTCTTGTGATGACAGGCATAGAATAAGTGCGTCAATGTCTCCGTTCTGTAGAGACTCGTCTAGGTCCTTTTGTTGCCACCTGCTCAGTTCGGGATGGTTTTGCTTTTCGACAGGAGGCTCTGAGAATGCAAGAGGCTGTCTTGTTGATTTCTTATCAGAGGATGACGCTGGGCCTGAAGTCTTGTCGTCATCAGATTGTCTGCGAGAGGTGATGGAGCGTAATGTAGGTTCCAACTCGACCGACGACACAGCAGGCAAATCTGTAACTCTCTGTCTGATAAGCTGCAACAACGCAACATCCTCGCCCATCACCTTGAGCAACTCGAGGAAGCGAGAAAACCACATCAACACATTTGTGCGGTCTGAGTCTGGTAGTTTCGAGGTGAAAGGGATCTGCTCCAAGCATACCATGACCAACACACTGAGAATCTTGCCGTGATCAGAGGCACCAGCCAACTCATCAAGATCGTCGAGATACTTGATTGGCTTTNNTCTGACCAGACGGCCCAAACCGTCGTCAATAAAGGTGTAGAGAGCTTCACTCGGCTTCCAAATCTCGTCGTCCGCAAGACTGGCAATCAAGGCGTTCACAGGCGGCTCTTTCGTTTGCTGTTGCAGAATGCTGTGCTCATCAATAACCGACTGGAGCAGATTGATAAACTCGGACCCAGTAGATTGATCCACGGGCGTCTGCGCGCTCAAACGCAGGAGCGTGGTGAAGGGAGAAAACTTGAGCGAACCCTGTTTGTGCCACCAACGCATACCCGCAGAGCATTGGGCAATGACGAGTAGATGCTGCAACTCCAACAGACGGAAAGCATAGTTCTCGCTGTCTGAAGTGACTGTCTCGGCTCTGGACATGGCGACCGTCAATGCCTGAGAGACGTCGAATTTCTCCTCGAGAGCAGCCTGCGGAGTGACTTGGTAATACATGCGGAGTAGCCTTGAGATGGCTTCCTTCTGAAGGATGTTATCGTCCGAGACTTTGCGGAAGGCGGCAATCACGTCTTTGATTGGAGGACATCTTTGACAAAACTCGGCGATCAGCCTGATGGATCCCTCTTTCCAGAGCGAATTGCCCTCAGCAGCTGCAACTTTGAATGCCTGCAAGACGTGCTGCAGCTTCTGGAAAGCAACAACCAGAATGCGGACAGCGAAAAGGGTGATGAGGTCGGAAGATTGGTTCAAGGATTTTGTCAAGATTCTCTGAGTCAGAGGTAGAGGCAGAATGTTTTCGATGGCGATTGAAACAGGAGGAGGGCAGCTTGCGTAGTGATCTTGGGCTCCGAAGTACTTGGGGAAAGGAACCTGGACGGATGAGAAGAGGAAAGATGCATATCCAATCCAAGTATTTGTGAGCTTGGGTTCGAACGAAAACTTTTCACCTCTTGCAAAGTAGTAGTCTGCGATGATCTCGGGTGCAGCAGCAAAGATTGAAAGCAGGATATCTCTTTCCTCCTCGCTTGCATATGGCTTCAGGGTTTGCGAGAAGCCAGACAGGATAGTGTTGCGCACAGTGACTTGACCTTGGAACTTGTTGTACCAATCGACAGAGTCAAGGCCAAGATCAAGCGCCAGGTCTGTTTCGACATCATCATTCTGATCCCTGGTGTGACGTTCGCTGCCAGGAGGGTACCAGCCGCTAGGACGAAGGAGACCAAGAGAAGGCGTAGTACTGACAAGTTTCAAGAATGATATGACTGCGTTCTTGCCACGAATCAGAGTGGAATCGTCGCCTGTCGGGCTTTCGGTGGCGGCAAAAGTACGAAGAGCAGCAAGGACGCCAGCCAGAGAACGCTCGCTGATAGTTTGAGTCTTGGTTGCGCGAGGAATTGTCTCATCTCGCAAGATACCAGTCTCGAGTACTTTGAAGATTTCTTGCAGAGCATCGGCAGAGTCATCCTTGAGGTGGTCAAACAGAGCCTTGGTAATGTGGCCGTTCTTGAGAATGTCGATCTTAGCACCCTCTCCTTGGTACTTAAAATGCGCGAGAAGATAACGGACAGCATTCGATCGGACTGACGGACCAGAACCACTCTTGACCAGACAGAGGTTGCGAGCAACAATTTTTGTTTCGAATGTAAAATCACGCTTCGCATAAACTTGCTTAGCCATAAGACCGGCATCGAAAGAGACCATCTCAGTGAGGATACGCAGAGAGGGAGAGATGACGTGTTCCTTGTGTTTCGGAGCAGACACGCTTCTCGAGATGAGCTTGAGCTGGGCATGGTTTAGAAGAGTCTTGATGAGCAGAATGCCATATTCGCGAGACTCAATTAGAGTTGCGATTGTCTTCAAGAGTAGGGCCAGGATGGAAGCCACAGATGTGGCCAGGTAATCATTGTTCGTCTGGTTAGCAAACCCCCACGCCTGCATGAAATCAGGAAGATATTCAGCATCCTTGTCACGGGCAGCTCTTAGTTTGGCAGCATCCAGATAGTCGTTGAGGATGTTGATTTTGGCCGGACGGTTGGGCTCGTCGGTTTGGTAGAGGATAAGTTCCAGGAATTGCTTGAAAGATTGGATAGCGTTCCTCAAATCCTGGACGCCATCTTGGCTGAAGGAAAGAAGATCCTGAAGCTGACGAGCGGAGAAGATATCTGTGGCAGGGATCACGGCGACGGGAGGTTGTGTTTTGGGACGTTTGTTGTCTCTGACTTGATGGCCGTCGGAGTCGGCGAACCTTTTGACATTTTATATTTGTTGGTGAATATGCAGATAGGCAGGGCTTGCAGAAAACATTCACATGTCTTTGGCCCAAAGCCTTGGCACCAGATTGAGGAAGTTTTTAGAGTTTGGCGGAGACGGCGGGAGCAGCCGCGGATTGGAACGGGCTCGGCATGCGTGGAGGCGCTCGGACATTTCACATGGGGAGGCGGACGCAGAGGCGTCAACTTTCGGAATTGATTCTGTATACCGTCTGGTTCGATAGAGTTACAGGCAGACGACGCGCCATTGTTACGTGCCACCGAACAACAGGAAACCGAAGCTGGACACAGATCCGACCACGACGTCCCGCCGGTCGACAGCGCACGCGACTGTGTTTTTGGAATGAGCGATCTGGACAAGGCCATCGCGCAATTGCGCTCATGTCGGCCCATCCCTGAAACACAAGTCAGGGAACTCTGCTACAAGGCCCGCGAGTTGTTGATCGAGGAGGGCAATGTCGTTACTGTGAATGCGCCCGTCACGGTGAGCCCATCTTCCTTGGTATCTTCCTCTTCCAAGTGCTTACTCTCGCCAGNNATATGCGGCGACATCCATGGCCAGTTCCACGACCTGATGGAGCTTTTCCGCGTCGGAGGCGATGTCCCTGACACCAACTATCTCTTTATGGGTGCGCTTCTTACCACCCATTCCATTCCCACAGCAGCTCACTCCTTGCAGNGCGACTTTGTCGACCGCGGCTTCTACTCGCTCGAATCTTTCCTCCTCCTTCTCTGCCTCAAAGTCCGCTACCCCGATCGCATCACCCTGATCCGCGGCAATCACGAATCGCGGCAGATCACCACCGTCTACGGCTTTTACGATGAATGTCTACGAAAATACGGCAGCGCCAACGTCTGGCGATATTGCTGCGAGGTCTTTGACTACCTTGCTCTCGGTGCTCTGATCCTCGGCGCTGCTTCAGAACTTGCTCCCACCTCTGCCGAGCTACCGAACGACGCTCAACAACCCTTTCCCGAACACCTCGAAGACGTCGAGATCGAAATCATCAATTCACACAACCAAGTCATGAACCGCTTCCCTCGCCCGAAACCCTCTACCGAGTCTTCCGTACCGAACAGTCCCTCACAAACAGGCCCTGCAGGCACAGGCGCAACCTCATCGAGCGGTGGATCCGCCTCAAATCAGGGAGGTGCCGTGTTATGTGTCCACGGCGGTCTCAGCNCCCTGATCGACAGCATTGATAAGATCAGATTGATCGACCGCAAGCAAGAAGTGCCCCACGAAGGCGCCATGTGCGATCTCCTGTGGTCCGACCCGGACGATATCGACGGCTGGGGTCTGTCGCCACGAGGAGCCGGCTTCCTGTTCGGTGCCGATATCGTCAAGCACTTTAATCACAAAAACGACCTCAGTCTAATAGCCAGAGCACATCAACTGGTCATGGAAGGCTTCAAGGAAATGTTCGACAATACAATCGTCACTGTCTGGAGTGCGCCCAACTACTGCTACCGCTGTGGAAACGTCGCTGCAATCTTGGAGTTATCGGAAGATGGTGCAAATGGCGGATATACGCCACGCAGCAACGGAGAAGTCGAGAGGTCACCGGGTGCCATCACAGACATGGTCTTGAAACAAGGGCCAGGCCGGAGGTATCGTGTCTTTGAAGCCGCGCCGCAGGACTCGAGAGGAATGCCTGCAAAGAAGCCAGTTGCCGATTATTTCTTGTAAGAGGGCAAGAGAAAGACTGCATTTGACGAAACCAGGGGAACGCATTTTCAATTCTAGAACACTATGGCATTTGGCTTTTCTCGCATTCTCTCTTCTCCCGGCGCAACGGCATGCAAGATTACAGACACGAATGACTTTCATGGTAGATACCCCCTTGACATGAGAATTGAATGTATGTTTCCATGCTCTTGACTCTTCTTCTTGCTTTCTTACAATGGCACGGAGCATCGCCTTTGAAGCATTCCAAAGCCCGGTTGGCTCGAAGGAATGAGTCTTCGGAGGACAGATGGGGCTAATATTGATCAACTCTGTCCAGAGAGGTAGGTACGAGGGCCTGATTGTCTCGATCCCCGAAGTTAATCGGAGCCGGACATAGCGATTACCCCTTTTGGAGCTATCCTCGGAGTTAACAAGCATAAAGCACAGCCACCACATCCCAGACTACTCCCAAGGACATGATATTCCCACAAGATTTGTCTTATGTACATAGGCACTGCTACCTATATAAACCCCAATCCAGATCGCGTCTCAAAAAGAACACAACCCCTTTTTTCTCAACAAACTCACAAACATCAATAAAACATCCAACACCCACCAGCAAACAAAACCTCCAATCATGACTATCCTCCTCACAGGTGGCACAGGAAAAACTTCCTTGCGGCTAGCTTCCTTGCTTCACTCAGCTAGCATCCCAGTCCTCTTGACTTCTCGCCGTGGCACCTCTACTACCTCTTTTCCTTGCGTCACCTTTGACTGGAACGACAAGACTACTTGGGCAAACCCATTCACCGCAGCCACCGACATCAAAGCTGTCTACCTACTCAGCGGAAATTTACATGATCCAGCACCAATTCTAAACTCCTTTATCGATCTTTGCAAAAGCAAAGGCGTGAAGAGGTTTGTGGTTTGTTCGGGAAGTTCGTGCGAAAAAGGTGGTCCTTTTCATGGTAAAATATGGCAGAAACTTGAGGATGAAGGACTGGAGTTTTGTGTACTGAGACCGAGTTGGTTCATGGGTAATTGCTTTCTCTCCTTGTTCTCAACCCTCTCTGCAGTACATTTCTGTTGACTGATGCTAAACACCAACGCAAATCACACAGAAAATCTCTCGGAACCAGGACATGGACATTTCGAAACCATCCTCCATCACAACAAAATCTTTACCGCAAGCGGCGATGGCAAGATCCCTTGGGTGTCTGCAGAGGATATTGCCGCCGTGGCTTTTCATGCCCTCACAGATGACAAGTCGCATGATTGTGCCTATCGCATCTTGGGCCCTGATTTGCTTTCCTATGATGAGGTATTTATGATACCCCTTCCTCCTATTCCTTTTTTTCTTTCTTCTTACTCCCTTTTATTTTTGCTTCGTTACTGACTTGGGGCTCTCTAGATTGCAGAAACATTGAGCAAACAGCTGGGAAAACAAATCGTGCATGTGAAATTGACGGAGCGGCAGAGGGTGCAAGGGATGATGGATGCAGGGGTACCAGAGGAAATGGCAAAGTTTTTGACGAATCTGGAGGTTATGGCGAGAGAAGGTAGAGAAACATGGCAAGGTGATGATGTTGAAGTCGTGACGGGCAAGAAAGCAATCTCTTTTGACGAGTTTGTTGTGCTGAATGAGGGAGCTTGGAAGTGAGATGATGGAGGAAAAGTTGTGTTGGTATGGAGTTTTTTCTTCTTCTTCTTCTAGGTGCTCGTATTCCTTTGTCTTTTTCGCATACTCGATGAACACTTGTGGACTGAGAAAGGTCGAGAATGCAGGGTTGAGGACCAGCATCTTTCAGATAAAAAGACAAATATCCTGTCCGCGATCTACAAATAATACTCTACCCAAATAATCGTGTACAAGCAAACCTGCAACAAACACAACCTCTATCTACTCTCCGCGCAGATACTTGTATACCACCGAAAAGTCTTTGCCCTTGTACTTGTCATTTCCCTCTATGGCTGCGTAGATAGACGCAGCCATGGGACCTAGTCTCGGTTCAATACCAAACTGTTGAGCAGCATGCATAGCCAATTTCAAATCCTTATTCATCAATGCCGTGCCAAAGCCGCCGGAATAGTCTTTGCTAGCAGGGGCATCGGGCATAACCCCAGGAACAGGATTGTTGACTTCGCTGGGCCAGCATTTGCCTGTACTGGTATTGATCATGTCTGCCAGTGCCGCAGCATCTAAACCCCACTTGACACCCATATTCATGGCTTCGGCCGTGGCGATGTTGTTCAGTGCTAGCAAATAGTTATTCGCGAGTTTGCCTTTGAGACCAGAGGTTTGGGGTCCGAGATGGATGACGCGTTTGCCCATTAGCATCAACACTTCTGTTGCGCGAGAAACCAGTTCGGGTGGTGCGCCAATCATAAACGTTAATTTTCCTGACCCGGCGCCGACGATGCCGCCGCTCATGGGGGCGTCGATGAATTTGCCTTGGCCGGAGGAGTGGGCGGCGTCGGCGACGTGGGCGGAGGAGAGGGGGTCGATGGTTGAGCAGTCGATGAAGAGGCGTTCTTGGTCCACGCCGTCGCGAAGCAGAGTGGGTGGTTTGAGCATTGATTTGAAGACATTTTGGACATGTGATGGTCCTGGGAGTGCTGTGATGATTGTTTCCTGGATTTCTTGATCAGTCTATGTTTGTGCTTGGGAATGAAGTAAATGTGGTTCATGGAGATTGACGAAAAATTGTAGTAAATGCTAGAGATATGGCACGGATCCCAGAAAACTTACCGATCTCTCAGCAACGTCTCTGACATCTTCTGCAACTTCTACATTCGAGTTCTCCTTTGCGAATCTTGCCGTTGCTTCGGTGTTTACATCGTGGATGATCAGGTTATCGGAACTGGGCAACTTGGCTCGTAGATTTTGAGCCATACGATAGCCNTTTGGTTTCTTAAGTCAGCTTCTTTGAGAACCAGCAATCAAGATAGTCATTCATGAAAACACACCCATCTGACCCAGCCCGATGAAGCCATAGGTCGCGTGCCGTGGACTCGAAGTGGAGAAGCATCGCTGTACAGGCGCATTCACACATATCTGGCGTCTCAAAGCATTCATCTTTGGCGATAATAAGCCGTCTCAAAGGTACAAAGAATTAGAGGTCAAGAGAAACAGCATTACTGATTCCTTATCAATGGAGAGTCAAAACCACGCATCATCAACGTGATTAGCGAAACAGATCGGCTCTGGGCCAACCGAGGAAGGGAGCAAGGTGCCACGGATATCCGGGGGTTGCGGAGACGGGAAAGAGGGGAAGAGGTCAGGCAGTTTGCAGGAAACAGCCTCGTCTTGCTTTTCCGGGGCAGCGAGTCGGCAGCGACTCTGAATATTCCCCGTATGCAAAAGTTTGTCATGTGTATTCGAGCAACTATCAAGATACACGACACTGTGGGAGATGGGACAGTGTTTGCTGAAGAATGTCAACCTGCCAGCTCTTTATGAGAACACTACTTATAGTTATGAGCAATGCATGTATAGTCATGGCTCAGAAGGTGGCATATGTCACCGTGAGAGAAGAGTTGCGTGTGTCATAGGGTGAGCACTCGAGATGTTGATGAGATGGTGTAATGGAAGTTGGCCAATTTAGCCGAGTCTCATTCGACGCTGCGAGCGCATGTTTGCATGAGATCTGAGGCAGAGTACAGGTACAGCCAGGAACAAAAGGGGACTGTCGAGCGGTGTGAATGAATGCCATGGCATCTGCTATGCATAATCGTGTTTCGGATGACGGAGTTGACCGTGATACAACAGATAGAAACGTGCCTACTCATGCGGTGGAAGAAGTTGTGCACATCGAAAGAGTTTTTGTGCAGACGTCGTACTCGAGACTATGTTACCTCGGAGTGGATACCGCATCACTAGAAGAAATTGACAATGACATCCATGATCAATCTACTTGTATACAAGAGAGATGGTGGATGTGGCAATGTCACTGATGGGTGTGGCGCACGAGTAAGGCTGAGCAGTGTCTAGCGCTTCTCGCGTCATTGGCGGCGGGCGTGAGGGCTTTTAGCGACGAGGCAACCGCTTTCAGTGTCGGTCTCTCTACTCCCATTCTCGACTCTCACCACTTCAGACAGATACCATACGATCAACATGTGCGGCAGCGACATCTTCTTGGGCTTCCTGGCCATTCTCTTTCCCCCCATCGCTGGTGAGTGACGGCCGCATTCTCCCCTCCCCTGCCCCCTTCTCCACACGACCCGCGCAGCCGCTGGCGCAGCATGGACCAAGCACCTGAGAGTCCAAACAAGCAGTCGCTGATGTAGTCTTGTAGTATGGGTCAAGCGCGGCATCTGCTCGGCCGACTCGTTCATCAACATCGCCCTCTGCTGCCTGGGCATCCTGCCCGGCCTCATCCACGCCTGGTACATCATCTCGCGCTACCCCGACCCGACGTACGACGAGCTCGCCCAAGAACCCGAGGGCGGCCGTGTGACATACTACTATGTCCAGCAGAGTCACCGTCCCTCCGTGAGCAGCTCAAGGGGCCCTGGCTATGGCACCATCACCGGCGCTCCCAGCAGTCAAGCCGAGGGCTCGCAGCCCCAGCAGTACCGTCAAGACCAGCAGATGCCTAGTGCCTCGAAGAAGGGCGATGCTGCAAACCCTCCCACTTATGCCGAGGCTGTCAAGGGCGACAACAAGACGCAGTCGCACGACTAGATTGCCACTGCATGCCACCTAACGACTTTATACCCATACCCATAACAACTTCTATCTGAGGGGACTGCAATACATCTCCTGTACTTTATTCCGCTGCTTTTTTTTATATCTTTGATGCGCTGCAGCATTTATGCTGGCAGAATGGAATGGCGTGTCTATGTTATTTCATTTCCAACAAACACTTCTGCCCATCAACTTGACCACACCCTGTCTGTGTTTTCCAACTCGTGCGTGGTAGGCGCATCCTTGAAAGCTTCGTCTCGATCACGTTCTTCCAAAGGAGCATCTGGCTCGTCGGCGAAAAGTGTGGACTCGTGACTCTCGGTCGCAAGTACAGTCGGCTCGGCACCTGCAGTTCCCGCATCGCCCGTCTCTTTGCTCTCTTCTCTTCTTCCAATAATGACACTTCCAGCAACCAGCATGGCAGCTCCGAGCAACCAGAGGCCAGGCAGAGATTCGGAGAAGATCAAGACGCCCAGAACGGCGGTAACCATAAAGTTGGCAGAGGTGTTGATGACACTGACTCTTGTCGTACTCGAGGCGAGGGTCAGGGCGCGTGTGAAGAGACCCCACATGATAGCATTGAAGACGAGGTTCAGGACGAAGAAGAGCTAGTCATGAGGAATCAGGACATGTATTCTAAGCAAGTAGAGGCATTCACATACGCCGCGAACGAGGAACTCAAAGAACTTGTTGGGACCTGACAGGCCGAAGACGTGTGAGAGCGACTCGGCCCATGCTGTGGTCAGATGGGTTGTGGTNGCTGTAGGGGTGAGCAGGGGTGGTGAGGAGGGCAGGCGATTTGTGTCTCACAGCTTGGCAAAGACACCATTCAGAGCAGCACAGGCTCCACTGGCGATTGCAAAGAGCAGCCACTTGGGCGTCGACGTCGACATGGTTGACAGACTTGACTCGTTAATAAACAGTCCTGTATGATGTCGCGACCTTGATGATGCCAAGGCTGTAACAGGCAGACGGAGATTGCCGTGGCGCATCATTGCAGGTTGCCCGAAGCGTCACCTCCAACGTCGCAGTGGCAGACACGAAAGACATCGAGTAGACGAGCAGACACAGACAACATGGGCGGTCTCACTTATGGCCTCTATGGCGCAACCACTGCCCTGACTGTCATCGGACTCTGTACGCAAACACGGCCCTACTGGACCCCCTTCTGGAGTCAAAGCTAACATGGCGCCTTAGACATGCTGTTCAATGGAGAGGGCGAAGCTTTCAACGTACGCCTGCTTGCCTGCCTACAACCTCACACACGTCTAACACGCCTCCCAGNNGTTGGCGACTTCCTTCTCAGCATCTCGCCCCACGCATGGGCTAGCACAGGCATCGCCCTCTGCATCGGTCTCTCGGTCGTCGGCGCCGCATGGGGCATCTTCATTACCGGCGCCTCCATCCTCGGTGGTGGTGTCAAGGCCCCCAGAATCAGAACAAAGAACTTGATTTCCATCATCTTCTGCGAAGTCGTCGCCATCTACGGTGTCATCATGTCCATTGTCTTTTCGGCAAAGATGGCCTCGGTCGGCCCTGACGCCGCGAGATCTGGCAGCAACTACTACACTGGCTTTGCTTTGTTCTGGTCTGGTCTTTTGGTCGGCGCTTGTAACTTGGTCTGTGGTGTTTCTGTTGGCATCAACGGCAGCAGTGCTGCGCTCGCCGATGCTGCTGATCCCAGCNTTGTACGTAGCCACGGCCCCTTCTTCTCATTTCCCAAGACTGACTCGTCCCACAGGTTCGTCAAGATTCTCGTCATTGAGATTTTCAGTTCCGTCCTTGGACTTTTCGGTCTCATCATCGGCCTTCTACTCTCTGGTCCTGCCGCCGACTTTGCCTAGACGGCATTTACAGGAAGAAAAGGAGGAGTTATAATGTAAACAATATCCACAACAAGAAGACAAGGGTCGGCCGGAATTGTTGCAACGAACACTTGTCGCAAACAGGCTAGATCAGCATTAGTAGGGCGTCCGGAGCGAAGCAAATATGGAGCCATGTTTATGTATTGGAAGCATCTGAATTATTGTGGCACATTGCCACCCGTGTATAGACTTTTGTATAGCGAAACCATTTCCATTGACCACTACAAGATTACTTATCAACACGTGGAATTAAGTTGAATTCATCTATTCGATGATAGATTGGACCGCGAGGGGAAGTGACCTCGTACGTCTGAGTAATCCGCTCTTGCTTCCTCGAGGCCGTCTCCGCAAATCACTCCCGCACTGTCAACCTCAACCTCAACCTCACACCATAAATCCGGCGCATACAACATTAAATGCCGAAGACAATGGCCTCTTCACCACCAAAACTCACAGCGGCGATCCTGATAATATCAGAAACCGCCTCCAAAGATCCTTCAACAGATAAATGCATCCCCGCCCTCTCACAAGTATTCGCCGACCTCGGATCCACCAACTGGACCATCTCAACTACAAAGATAATACCAGATTCCATTCCTGCAATCCAAGAAGCTGTTCTTCAGTGTTGCGATGAAAAGGTCAATCTCATCATTACTTCCGGCGGCACTGGGTTTGCTGTCAAGGACGTGACGCCAGAAGCCGTGGGGCCTCTGATTGAGAAGCAAGCGCCCGGGTTGGTGCATGGGATGTTGGCGAGCAGTTTGCAGGTTACGCCGTTTGCGGTTATGAGTAGACCTGTTGCGGGGGTCAGAGGTGCGAGTTTGATCATCACACTGCCGGGGAGTCCCAAGGGCGCAAAGGAGAATTTGGAGGCCGTGTTCAAGTTGATGAGTCATGCTTGTTTGCAGGCGAGTGGTGGTGACTCGAGACAGATGCATCAGGGTGGAGTCAAGAAGTTGGAGAAGGAGGCGGGGGTCAGTGGTGGTGAGAAGTTGGGTGGACATGGGCGTGGACATGGTCATGGGTGCGGTCGTGATCATGGGCATGGAGGTCATCATGGCCCTAAGGCGCATACTGCACCTGAAGATCGGCCACAACAATCCAACGATCCTTCTCAAGGACCTAGCAGAAGATACAGACACTCGCCATACCCAATGCTCTCGGTCGCCGACGCTCTCGAGCAAATCGATATGCACACACCTTCACCCACCATCATCACACTCCCGGTCAACGAATCTCTGGTCGGTCACGTTTTGGCCGAGAATGTCACGGCACCAGAATCTGTCCCTGCTTTCCGCGCCAGCATCGTAGATGGCTACGCTGTGATCGCTGGCCCAAAAGCCCCCAGCACAAAAGGAATATTCCCCGTCGCCATGATCTCCCACGCTCAAGCCGGCGAACACCAAGAACTCAAACCAGGTCAAGTTGCCAGAATCACCACAGGAGCCCCTCTACCTCCTGGTGCAACCAGTGTCGTCATGGTCGAAGACACCATCCTCGTCTCCAAAACTGAAGACGGCACAGAAGAAAAAGAAGTCGAGATCTTGACTTCCGAGATTGAAGTTGGAGAAAACGTCAGAGAAGTCGGTTCAGATGTTCAAGCTGGAGACGTGATTATGCAAAAGGGCGAAGGCATCTCTGCCATTGGTGGGGAATTTGGCTTGCTGGCTTCTGTAGGCGTCAAGCAAGTGTCTGTGTACAAAAACNCTGTCGTCGGCGTCTTGAGTACAGGCGACGAAATCGTAAACCACGATCGTGAGGGAGAGCTCAAACGAGGAGAAGTCAGAGATACCAATCGTCCTACCTTGCTAACAGCCATCCGAGGCTCAGGCTTTGAAGCCATAGACTTGGGCATTGTGTCCGACAAGTACGTTACTCTCTACTCAACTTCCCCTGATTTCATCCCCAAGAAAACACCAGACACTAACACCACTCAAAAACGACAGANNCCAGGCGCCCTCGAAGCAACCCTCCGCGACGCAACCCGCAAAGCCGACGTCATCATCACCTCGGGCGGCGTCAGCATGGGCGAACTCGACCTCCTTAAACCCACCCTCGAACGCCAACTCGGCGGCTCCATCCACTTTGGCCGCGTGGCCATGAAACCCGGCAAACCGACCACCTTTGCCAGCATCCCTGTAAAGTCCAACGATGGCTCTCGAGTCGACAAAGTCGTCTTTTCGCTGCCTGGAAACCCTGCTTCGTGTGTGGTTACCTATCACCTGTTTGTGTTGCCTGCTTTGCATAAATTATCTGGTGTAGAGCCGAAAGGCTGTGTGAGGGTTAAAGTTGTATTGGATGGGGATGTCAAGTTGGATAAAAGTAGGGATGAGTTTCATCGTGCGGTTGTTAGGGCTGGGGCTGATGGGTGCTTGCATGCTGTTTCCACCGGCGGACAGAGGAGTTCGAGGATTGGTAGTTTCAAAGGTGCGAATGCGCTTTTGTGGTTGTCTGCTGGGGAAGGGGTGAAGAAGAAGGGGGAGATGGTTGAGGCGTTGATGATGGGGAAATTGGTCGGGGACGTTTGAGAACGGAAAAAAGCATGAGATGAATCAGGCTTGCTACCAGATGCAGTCAAGTATGTATTGCGAAAATTGCGCGAGACCACTGGGCGAAGCCTGGGCGTCTTCAAACTGCCATGTTGCTTTTTCAATTATTGACTAGTCCAAGATCCCGCACCGAACAGATTGTTTGCCATGATATCGTCTGAAATGTCGTTCTTGGTACCATTACTGTCTGCTGTGATGTTTGTGACCGAGTTTATAGCCCATGCAAAATCTCCTTCATAGAGCCAGTCGGCATCGCTCGATGCGTTCAACGAAGAGTCAGGTAGAGTGATTTGGTAGGTGCTATTCTGGACAACATGACCTTGTGGCTGGTATAGCGAAGCGGTGGTTGCATGTGTTGCTTGGCATTGCGACATCGAGGCTACTTGTGTGAGTTGGTGCTGCGGTTGTGCCAAGCTTGAGGTTAAGGTCTGCGTTGGTGATCGGAGAGGCGCTTGTATTGGGGGTCCTGACGATAGGGCGAGGTGGCCTTGATGGTTGTCGATTTGANTCCGTCCGGAGACTCGATTGTTGCGGGTCAACCACATTCGATGGTGTGGGAGCAATTGACCTTACAGAGTTTGGACTGCTGGAGACTGTCCTGACACTGGATAAAGATGGAGGGCTTTGATCAATTTGATGTGTATCGATTCCATATTGTGCGAGAAACTGTCCACGGATATCTGGTATTCGACCTTCAAGCTCACTCAGATCACTGGAAGATTGTATCAATGCTCGAAGGCGAGTTTCGAAATCATCGACGACGGCAGACACGATGGAGATTACTGAGTCTTGGAGATCTGAGATCGTTAGACAGTCAAAGTTCGAGGGTTCTGTATGTTACCTACATGGGCATGGTGTCTCGTTTGAACTGCGGTCAGGGAAAAGCCATCGATAGGCAAACCTCCATTTTTCTTCGTCCGTACAGCCTCGATGATGTTGGTTGACGTCTCCCTGTAGAGCCAGGCGTCTGTCGTGGGTTATCCATTGTATGCGTTTGACAGCGGTTACTGGCACGAGGATACAAGACTCCAGGGCGGTCTGGTGTGCCTGAAGTTCTCCAGAGCTACTGAAACCAGTTCGAGTACATCGCGGACACTGCAACGGTTGATCAGAATGTACTCGCTTCAGGTGTTCACTGTTATGTTTTATTAGTGGTTGGTCATCATAATTGGTGAGCATCGATTGTATAACTCACTACAACTTGTTCATGTTCTGGAAGTCGTGCATCCCGCATATCTCAAACTTTTTATTCGTCTGAGCATTCGATCTATAGATCATAGGGTCGTACTTGTGAAACAAACAGGCAAGTCGTGGTGCAGATGGGGTCGTCGACTCAGGTTTATCTCGAGTGACACGTCGTCTTTTACTCGAATCTTCGTCTTCATCGCTCCGTCCGGCGATACTCCGCTTGCCACGATTCGAAGCTTGTAAGGATGGACTGGCCTTAGAAGAAGACGGAGAATGCGAGAGGGAGGTAGTCTTTAGCGGGGACTCCGTAGACCGTTCTTGTGAGGTTGACGAGACATATTCGCCATGCATTAGTCGATTCTGCAATTGTCGAAAGAAAATCTCCGATCCACACTGCTCAAGAAGCCACGATCTGAGTTCAGAGACTTCCGAATCGAGGGAAAGATTATCAAGGTCGTCCGCTGATTCTTCAGAGCCGGGTACCGAACTCGTGTCAGATAATACCTTGGAAGTCTCGCTATTGGACGGACTTCCACAATACTCACATTCTCGGGCTTCCTTGTCAAAGTCGGAGAGCTTGTGACATGTCGCACCGCCACACTGGAGCGGCTCTGGACTTTGAATTTGGTCAACTTCCATAGCCGAACAGCTATCAACTTCGTCAACAGAAATTGCATCCGGACTTGGTGAGCTGCTTGGTTCCGTAAGATCTTCGCGATGCTCTCCTGACGCTGATCGTAGAAGTCGAGTGTGTCTCTCGATATCACGAGGAGTCCCACCGTCGCAGACGTAATCGGGCAGCGCTATGGTAGCTGACTCCAATCGGATTGTGTTCGAACTTCTTGTATCGGCTGGACTGATGTACTTCTCCTCAGATGCCTGAGGTCGTTCATTGATAGATTTGAGTGGGGGTTCAAGGTTCCAAAACGAGAAATCTCGATCTGGACTATACGGAGGCTTAAATGACGATGACGAGGCAAGTCTTATGGCCCGAGTCTCATCCCTGAAGAATAAATCTGGCTCCAGAACGTAATCAGTATCGGAACCCGCTGGATACATCTTCGAGGCTGTTGACGCCCAACCAGTCGAGTAACGGCTTTGGTCGGAGACCGATGAAGAACTATTGTGACTAGTGGGACCAGATGATGGAGCTGTGGAAGCCAGTGAGCAGCCAGCGAGACTGGGACAAGAGGTATAGAGATCGTCATTGATTTCATCGCTTAGGGAACCACCAGGTATTCGGTCTTGGACTTGGTTGTTGATCACGCCTTTCTCACTCTGGGCGAGAGCCAATCGCACGGGATTGTTTTCTATGTCATCTGCGACACCCGTCTGCCATAGGTGAGTGGTTCCTAGCTTTGGCTGATTGTTGCCGCGTTGCTTTGTTCTTCTGTTCAGCGCTTGATCACACTTGGCACGAGCCAGTTGTTGCATTTCAGCTGGTGTGGGTATCATCTCCGACCTATATGCCTTGNNTTCAGCACAGTCATAATGCCGAAGCTAAGTCAAAGCATTGCCTTACCTTGCGACGAGCTGGTTGATATCCATGTCTACATCCTTATGCATTCGATTGATATGCGACTTGAAATTGTCTTTCCGAGACCATACCTTGTCCCTCTTGGAACAAGTTGGCATCGCACATCTGTAAAATGACTGGGGTCCATGCTTCGGCTTCATGAAATGGACATCTTTTTGGTGTCTGTCCAAATCGTTAGATGTCGCAAAGCCATTTGTGTTTGTGCAGTTCTCAACACCACATTTGAATGGTCGACTATGTGTCGATAAATGCTTTCTGTAAACTATTAGTTCAGTCCACTAACATGCAATCACAATGATGTGTAGAGTGCCCTACTTCTCTTCGGCCTTACTCCTGAATGCCTTCCCGCACTGGAGGCAGACTCGGGTTTGACACTTGAACGACCCATATCCAGAGTCTGTTTCAACTACCTGCATAGGTCCAAGGCTGGATTCTTCAGCAATAGTTCGGGTCAAGGTCGTTGGGGCTGAAAAAGCCATGGAGCTGCTGAGACCGGTCCAGGGCCCTGCGTATGCGCTTTCAGCCACGCGTTGATATACAGGATCCTCGAAGTGCCAAGGATCTTAGCGCTGCCAGACCCGTAGTTGGCATGCGGAACTTCGTTCTGGGACCGATCGCTGCTAGGAGCGCTGGACGCATATGGGAGACCAAAACCTGGCTCGCCATCTTGTTGTTTGAAAGATCTGAGTGCAATATTCCGTCTGGCAGAGGATAGATTTTTTTCGAGGGTAAGGATCTGACAGACGGCAAAGATGTGATAGGAGTAAAAGGTCTGGCAAATGACAGACATGAACTGATATCAACGTCTGGCTTACGGAAACTTGTGCCGAAAACAAATCTGTCTATGCTTGTCATGGTCTTAAAGGAGATGTTTGAGACAATTGAGGATAATGATTGAAAAAACAGGAGGTGGTGTCGGCTTGGAGTATATGCCCTAGGGTGGTACATTTGCTTGGGCAGGAGCGTGGGGATCATTATTGCGCAGCTGCGTAGAATGCTCCTTCTGTGGCTGAGCGGCATGACAACGTGCATATTTTCCAGGGAAAACCCGCGGTTAGTCCATACAGCCTCTTCGCACTTGGGATATGTTCAGGGTCGGGCTGCCACAGTAGCTGTTAGTGAGCTACCATAATGCATGTTTGATTGCTTTCCATGTCACAGGTATGGCCATTACTAAAGGGCGAGACGGCCTCTATCAATGGATCATTTGATCCCTTGAGAGAACCGTGCGGCCGTATATCTACAAAGAGGTAGTTCTGAGCAACCGAGAGTATGTCAGCTTGGGAAGCCCCCAAGTGTGGCGTGGACGGACTAAAGTAGTTTGCGCAGGTGCGCAAAAGTTGTGTTTGGAAGCTCACCTTTCAACACTCTGTAGAAAGTCAGCCAGAGAAACCAAACGATAAAGCACGGTCTACGCAAGTGCGTGAAAAGTTGTTTGTGAGCTGCTGGTCTTCGACAATCCTTGTATGTTCTGTGACGAGAGCTTTCAAAAAGCCCGCATCTGTCGGGCTGAAAACTGGAAACCATGTATTGAATTCCTCAACCTGCATCATGTCTAACAGAAAGCCAACAACACGATGGAACATCGTTCGTAAGGCGAAGAATGGTCTATACTACCTGGAGCATGCGGATTTCGAACCCGGATGTTCAGGAGCCATCGTCTTCGCCCAATTTCAGCAGCTAAGCTTGCCACAAAGTCGTGCTGTTGAACATAAGATGGCGTCCCTCCTATACTCTCCTGTTGTGTATATCATAACTGCGATCAAGGTAAGAAAGCCCTTTCAGAGTTGCGCTTGATCTGACATGTAAAGGGCCAAGCATCGACCGACAGCAACGACGTCGAGACTCAGACCCTCATTCAGGAAGTCTTCCTCAAGAGCCAACGCTACAGCGAAGCCTATACACTGGCGCTCCGACATCCAGCTAGACTCAAGGACACACCGAACTTCCTGGTGAATCGTGCACAGTTTAGTGTGAGCAGGCCTGATCAGATGATACACGCCCTTTTGGTGGTACAGGAGGTCCGACACGCCAAGGTACTTGTTCTGTTTGGAGCACTTGCTCTGTTGTCCCTCAGTGTGGGATGCATGGTCGGATGGGCGACCAGGGATGCGAACATGGGCGTAGGTGTGAGTGCAGGGTTGTTCCAGTTTCTGACCATGCTTCAATGGTCATATATTTGGGTGGTTAGAAGGTGAAAGAGATAGGAAAAAGATGCTGTTGCTTGATGTCTTGGCTCTTCAAACCTCTAGACACCCACTTTCAAGAAGTGGCCGTTGCAACCAGTTGTCCACAGTCTATCTGCTCCATGCCAGTCCTTCTGCCTCAAGACCTGTCTCCGTAGTGGTCTCATGGCCTCGGCTGTAAATGAGTGTAAATGATGCTGCGATTAGACGAGCAGAAACTGCGTAAGCCAACACAGCGACGGCGATGTAGAAAACCAGACGGGCGCCGCAGTCGATACCGCGAACGAGTCTAGTATTGTCCTCGAGAATTTCACATCGGTTCATGGCGCTGTCCCAAGCATGATTTGTCTAAGTAGTTGGTCCAAACGGCAACGCCGAAGAGGCCGCCGAAGCGACTAGACGCTCGAGAGGATGTTGAGGTTGAACAAGGTCGACAGACGGAGCCACGCCTTTTGCACTGGGTTGGGATTTTTCGGTCATGATTGATGGTATTGATGTTGTGCAGTGGTGTGTAGCAGACCTTTGTGGTTATTACATGGTAGTTGAGGCATGTCGCTGCTGTCAAAGGGGGGAGAAAATTTGCCGAGCATTGCTCGGTGTTTCCCGCCGTGCACTCGAAGGACGAGGCATTGAGGAGAGAAATGTCGAATTGTTCAAGTTCATCAGGTGCCTTGATGATGGATATCAATGCAAGGTGTCATCGCAGGTAGCGGCATCTATTTTGGGCAGACACGAGTGCTGGCAGAGTAGGTACCTACTGAATCGCTTATCTTGCAGTGCATGTCAATACAGCCGTTGAGTCAGGTCTTCAGAGTCGCGCCGTTGATGTCGGCAATCAGCTAGTCAGGCATGTCGGTGCAACGTCATGTAACCAGGGCTTGACTGTCGAGTGATGCGACGGGCAATATAACAACAGCCACCGGCGTCACAATAGCTGTCTGTAGAAGAAGATGTTGCAGAGTGGACTCGAGGGCAAGAGAAGCGGCACAATGAGGTTGAAAAGCGTCGTCAGCTGAGAGGGGAAAGACTGGTGGTCAGCGCAAGGGGTCCCGGGTCCCTTGGTCTCGCCAGGCTAAAGAGGACGAAGGTTTTGCGGAGAGACTTTTGGCGGGTGGGCGCGACAGTTGCAGTGCAGCTTCCCAAACAGAGTGGATTATTATTGTCTGCACCTGCCCTGCCACTCAACCACATTTTGTGCCATGCGCCTGCCATTGAGATAGCCCCAGCGCATCTTAGCTTCTTCTCGTCTTGCACTTTCTCCGACTCGAACAAATGGGCAAATGTACGACTTCTGTTGGGACTGTCTCTTATCGCAAATAACAACTAATGCCAGGCAGGGCGATATGGTGTAATTCTGGATGCCGGATCATCTGTACGCTTCTCTACCAACACTCGGCCGTCGCAATGCCATGACTAACCTACCTACGCAGNNGGCACCCGAGTGCATATTTACCGATGGCTCAACGCCCAGCGAGCCCGCAAGGAAGCCACTGACCTCGAGCTCAAGAGCCTGCCCACCTTGGTGACCAAGAAGAAGTGGACGCTCAAGATCAAGCCCGGTGCGTGGCCCTGCTGCTTGTCCCGCACACACACAGCGACTGACACGACCCTACAGNGTGTCTCGACCTTTGGGGAGAAGCCAGAACTCGTCGGCCCTGACCACCTCAAGCAGCTCGTCGACCACGCCCTCAGCCACATTCCCGACGACCAAGTCCAAGACACGCCCATCTTCCTCCTCGCCACGGCTGGCATGCGCCTACTCCCCGACGTCCAGCGAACCCAGGTCCTCGACAACATCTGCTCCTACCTGCAACGAAACACAAAATTCCAACTGCCCGATTGCGCCCTACACATCCAGGTCATCCCTGGCGAAACAGAAGGACTATACGGATGGATTGCTGCAAACTACTTGCTCGGCGCATTCGACGCCGACGCTACCCAGGCACACCACCATGGCAAAGACCACCACACGTACGGGTTCTTGGACATGGGCGGCGCCTCTGCCCAGATTGCCTTTGCTCCCAACGCCACCGAGGCTGAGAAACACGCCGAAGACTTGAAGTTGCTGCGCATGCGCAAGGTCAACGGCGACCCCATCGAGTACAAAGTCTTTGTCACCACTTGGCTGGGCTATGGTGTCAACGAGGCTCGCAGACGCTACATCGACTCGCTAACCACAGCAAGTCCTGGAATCGCCGAGCTTCCTGACCCCTGTCTTCCTACTGGTCTGGAAGTCACCAAGTCAGGCCATGCCATCTCTCCTGGTTCTCACGAGGCTGCTGGAAAAGAGACATACCTGCTGGGAACGGGCAAGTTTCCCGAGTGTCTGTCAAGAACATACCCCTTGCTGGACAAGGATGCGCCATGTCTGGACCCCCCCTGTCTGCTTCACGGCGTACACGTCCCTGCAATCGACTTTGACGTAAACCATTTCGTCGGCGTTTCGGAATACTGGCACACGACTCACGAGATTTTTGAGATGGCTCACAAAGACAAGGCTTACGACTTCAACACCTACCAACAACGCGTTCTGGAACTCTGCAGTCAGGACTGGAAGTCGATACAAAAAGGCGTCAAAGAGCAGAAATGGGGTGAAAAGGTTACGGAGGAGAAGGTTGCCGAGGTCTGCTTCAAGGCCAGTTGGTTGATAAACATGCTGCACGATGGCATTGGCATCCCGAGAGTCGGTCTTGAAGCTACAAAAGGCGGTCACAATGGCACAAAGGCTGTGATTGATGGTGCGAAAGAGAAGGGCTTCCTGGATCCTTTCCAAGCGGTGAATAAGATCAACGATGTCGAAGTCAGCTGGACGTTAGGAAAGATGATCTTGTATGCTGCTTCACAAGTCCCCGGTCCGGACGACAAAGCACTGGCAGTCGGATTTGGCAGCAATCTCCCTGGACCCGACCTCCCCAAGGACTTCCAGTTCGCTGGTGGTAGTTCCATTCCCTTGCCAACCGATCTCAAAGACGACGACGTTGACTGGCACGACAAACTCTTCACCTCAAGCTCCTCTCGCAGATTACCTGGTTTCCTACTATTCCTAGTCATTCTCCTGGTTGCCGCGTTCCTCCTCTGCGGCCGCGAAAGACGCAACTCCCTTCTTCGAAAAGCAGGCTTCTCACCAGGCAAAGGCAGCAAACGCAGACCCAACGCTGTTTCCACCAGCCTAGGCAAACTTTTCGGCACCAACAATTCTGGCCCTGCATACGAGCGCGTGCTAGAAGGCGGCATTGGCCCTGATCCCTCGGACTTTGAACTCGACGACATGAATGGCAACGACTCCGATTCGGATAATAGCAATGGCCGCACTTCTGGTTGGGCGACACCGAAGGCCAACAACAATGGCTTTAGCAGTCCTGTGCTGCACTCTTCACCACGTTCTGCGCGAGTGAACCTGCATAACCAAGGATCGCAACCCTCGGCTGGATACTTTGATGGCCCAGCCACTCATGCGTCGAGTACTCTATCTCTTGCTACTACGCCGGGCTTACAACTACCTCACGGTGGTAGGGGAGGATTGCTGGCCAGGACGGAAAGCAGAGAGCAACTGGCTACTGCAACGCTGAGGTCTGGAAGCAGGAGTCGGGCGGCTAGTCCTAGTCGGATAAGAAGTCCACTCATGACGCCTTTGCGGGAGGCTTGATGAAGACGACATACTTTGCGTCAAATACTGGGTGTGAAGCTATAGAGGTCCTGTTCTCATTCTTATCTTTTTTCCCTCAACCTCTTGGATTGAGTTCTTTTTTGCTTGTTTTCTCTCACGAGATTGGTGTTTGTTGTGTATTTGTATTAGCGTCGGTGTTTGACCCAAAGGAAAGGATTGGTTTTCGGTACTCTATAAGGACAGCAGTATCTCTCCGCATGTGCCCCACCACCTAGCTTTTCCCAGTACCCTATCCGTGATCATGGAGCTTTGAGAAGACGCACATGGCAAATCGTAGCTACATCTGCCATTGATGCAGAAAGTACCCATGGCTCAGTCTCAACCCAAGCCTATTTCGTCCGCGTCGTCCACCTCACTCGTCCTCATCAGCAATCAACCCCTCATAAGCACTTTGCACTTTTTCCTCCATGAATTTCCACAATCTTGCGTCTGTATACGGCAACTCAAACTTTGGCGCCACGGCATCAGGGGGATGGAACCAATAGTTTAGTGCTATGTGCACGTTATCATCACCGTGCTTGTCGTCGCTGAATGAAGTCACTTCGTGGAACCATGAGGTGGGTAAGTAAAGCATCTCTCCAGCGTGGAGATCGACAATGTAGGGTATTCCTGCTTTGGCCAGCGCGGGAGAAGATTTCTGCGGCGATGTGAGGCCGAGGTGGGAGTGTAGGTCGGCTGTTGAGAGGCGAGAGAAGGAGAGGGGTTCGGAGGGNAAGGCGTCTTCGCCTTGGGCGTGGGCGAAGGCCGAGTCGAGATCGGACATGTCGTCTTCGTCTGAGTCGTTGAAGTCGTCGCGTTGGCCGTTTTGGGCGCGCTCGAGGGCGGCGAGGAGGTCGGCGTCTGAATCGTCGTCGTCGTCGTCGTCGTCGTCGTCATTGGCTTCCGAGTCTTCATCATCAACTTCGTCTGCCTTTGCGGTCTTGGTGGCTTTGCTTGCTGCCAAGTCGTCCTCTGCTTTGCGTTTCTTGCTGTTGGGCACGTCGTCGCGCAAGACTTGATCTTTGAGGTCTTCGGGGTCTGATTCTTCCTCTGAAGACACCTCGTCAAAGTCGTCTTCGCCCAGCTCGCCGAAATCGGCGGTTTGGTATTTCATCAGAAGCTCGACGGCGTGTCCGTATTCCTTTTGTATTGCATCGAGGGCTTTTTTTNNGTCGGCAATGCCGTCTTGGAGGGCGTCCATTGCTTCTTCCAAGGCTTGCACTTTTAGGGCCGCGGCATCTCTTTCCACAAGACCATCTGCTCTGATGGCATCGGCTTGGTTGTCTTCTTGTCCCGCGTCCTCGTCGTCTTCTGCTCCGGGTTGCTTGTACACTATCAACCCGTTGTGGTGTACTTTTTCAGGTTTGCCGTGGGTATCCAAGTGGTGGACTGCCGAAGGCGGATACAAGACAAATCTCTTGCGGCCCTTGAGGAGAATGTACAGGTTATCGTGGAAATCGTGGTGCAAGCCCGAACTGGTGCCGGATTTTGTCTTGCCGAGCCAGATGTTCATTTGTTGGAGCACGAGATTACCCATTATGGCGGGACGGATGGGNGTTTCCTTGCGCAAGAGGGCGCGTATGGGTTGAGGGAAGGTACTGGTTTTGATCTCGTCGTCCTGGGGGATTTCGGAATCGTCGTCCGAGTCTTGATCGTCCAACATGTCGTCTTCGTCGTCGTCTTCAGAGTATTGGGTGGTCAAGTAATCGTACTCGTCCTTTTCTTCCCTCAGCGAGTCCAGAAACTCTCCGAAAGTGGTGTCCACACGCTGCACATCAGTGCCATAGCGCTTCTTTTCTTTATGCATGGGCTCGACCTTGACGCGCGCATCGCCAGCCGTGTCGCGCAAATACTCGACATTGGCCCAATTCCTCGTGACAAAGTCGAGATCTTCGAGTTTTCCCTCAATGACTACTGGTTGACGCTTGTGCACGTAGTTTGTGTAAAACTCTTTTGGCTGGCCGAGCCTCCAGTGCGGGATCTTGGTGGAGGTGGTTATGGTGGGTGCGGTGTACGGTTTTGGTGCTGCAGCAGCAGCGGATTTGGGTGCTTTGTTTTGCTTTTCCACTCCTTTTCCGCCGCCGGGCTTGTTGTTTTTGGTGCGCGTCATTGTTTTTGTGTCTGGTGGTGATGGACTGATAAGAGTTGAAGAGCTGGACATGGGATTTTTACAATGCAGGCATGGAGATGTGCTTTTCTTATCGCCGAGAATGTGGAGAGACCCGAGCTAGCTCATACGTTCCAAAGATGTGGCTATGATATGCGGGCTCTTTCAAGTGGGTATGGAAAGCATAGTGATGTATGGCAATAATGCACAGCAAAGGAAGAGCAATGGAGATGAAAGGGTGTATTGTTTCCAATATGTACAGACGGTGAAGAGCATATCAACAGCCCATATATCTATTCTCAACCCATCTCTCTTCATAATCATCGACAACCCTGCACGCAACGACATGAATGTCAGGAAAGACGGTCATCAACCTATTCAAACCTCTCTTGCCGGCAATATACGTGACAAACACAATCCTGCTTTCCTCGACTCCGTGATCCAGCAACACGCGAACGGCCATCAACGCAGCACCACCGCTAGACATTTGCGGATCCAAGAGTAACACTTTGTTGTGCGTGGATATATCGCCTGCCATTTTGAAGTAGTGGAGCTCGGGCTCGCCTGTGCGATACGAGGTTTGAATGAGCATGCGTCCGGTGCGGCAGTCGGGGATGACGCGTCTAAGACCAGTCTCGAGGATGCTGCCACCACGGAGGATGACGACAGCGCTAACCTCGCCATCCATGCGCAAGCCATTGTAGGAGTGACTGTGCGGNGGAGGTGTCTTGACGGTGATGGCGTCAAAGTTTGCATTCTCGGTTGCGCGCTCGACAAGCAGAGCGGCGAGACGATCAAAGTAGAAGACAAAGTCCTCGCGCGTCGTCTTTTCGCTGCTGAGCAAAGTGTTGATGCCTGTGATTTGCGAGGGCCCGTCAAGAATGGCGACGTTTTGTGAGAGAGGGAGGTCCTTGGCTTCTTTGCCCAGACGCTTCAACTCTGCTCGATGCTCCTCGGACTTTGTATCTAGAGTCTTGTGGATGCGGTCGGCCACCATGTCGATGGCGACCTTGTTCTCGATGCCGCGAGGCACGATGATATCTNNATACTCGATAGTCAGCATCAGGCAATCTCAAAGAAAGGCTGAAGAGTGAGGATTGAGAGTGATAGATCAGATAGGAGCGAAAGATGATGGTAAGGTTTATCAACACGAGTATTCTGTTGAACTATGCTATGGTTGTTGTATCATCATGAAAAGAGAGGGTGGAGAAAAAGAAAAGAAGAAGCACATACCAGCTACGTTTCGCTGAGGTTCCACAAACTTGTGGAAGTTGGGCTTGACGAAAGTAAACCACTGCTTGATGCAGCCTTCAATGTCACGACCACGTTCCTTGATATCGCGAACGATTCTTCGTGAAAGGCAGAGGTCTCCATCTGCTTCACAGAAGATTCTCAGGTCGAGAAGATCAAGCACGCGCGGATCGTGGAGGGCAAAGATACCCTCGAGGATGAGCACGTGAGGCGAGTAGATTGTGGTGGTCTTGTCCAGACGAGAATGCTTCTCGAAGGAGTAGACTGGAATCTCTGCCTTTTTGCTGGAGGGGAGTCAGTAAAGCTTGGAGATGATCGGGGATACAAATGACACACACCCTTCTTTGATGTCTCTCAGTCTTTCAACCAAAACATCGAAATCGATGGCATCGGGCGAGTCGAAATCATACTCGTTCCGATGGGCAGCTTGGATCTGATCCGGAGTGAGGGGACGATAGAACGAGTCCTGTCGGGAGTTGGCATAACGAAGGCGCACTCAGGGGCCAGAGACACGAACCATTGACAAGATGACAACCCAAGGCAGGCTCATTTGCTTGATGATGGCCAGAGCAAGCGACGTCTTGCCGGAACCCGAGCTGCCGGCAACGCCAATGATGCTCGTGTTGGCCCATGGCGGAGAGTAGTGGGAGCGCTCCATTCTCTGGAGGGCATTGGGGGCGGCCATGTTCAGTCGTTGACGAAGAATCGTGACTCGACCATGGCGGGAGCAAAGCAGAAGAGATGGCTTGAGCAGGCTGAGAAGTGAAGAGTGACGGGTTGCGAAGAAAAGGAAAATGTGCCAAATTCGGGATGGAAGATGCCGTGCAGCGTCGGGTCCGAGCACAACCGAGCGCAGGAACAGCTCTTTTCTTCAGCACCGCCGGAGCTTTTCTTCTCTCACCTCCATCACACTCTGCTTTGAAAACAATTGTGAACTGTAGTCGTCCCAAGTCCATCATCCAACCTGATGGGCCATTGCAGCTCGACTCATCCACAACAATGGTACGTCCCGACATGCGCACGTCGCAATGCGCACCCCTCCAACCTCAACAGCTGCTAACCTTTTCTCTGCAGAGCTCTTCTCTTCTCCCACCACCTTCGTCCCTGCGGCATCCATTTGATCGCCGCGTGGACGAGGTGAAACCTTCCAAAGCGTAAGCCTCTTCACCACTACCCCTCCTTCACCTTTCCATCGAATGATGTTGATTACACTCAAAATGGGAATCTCTCCGAAATCTATGTGGAGAACTACAGTATTTTGTCCTTCTGACTCGACCACCTCACTACTCCACTATGCAGACTTTTCTCATGGAACCTTGTTGACTGACCCTCGTCAACAGAGACTTGAACTTCCTCATCATGGACTATCTGATCAATGAAGGCTATCCTGACGCCGCCATGAACTTTGCCAAAGAAGCCAGCATCGTCCCCTCGGCCGATGGTGAAGCCATTCAAGAAAGAGTAGACATTCGTAACGCTATTCACACGGGTGACATGCAGCTTGCCATTGAGCGCATCAATGAACTCAACCCACAGGTCAGTCCTCTTCCTTTCTACCCTCTTCTCTTACTCCATGTTGTTATGATTATACGGTTTTTTCATGCACCACGCATAGCTTCGGGCATTGATGATACAAACCTCACACACTTCAGTCCTCAGTATGACCCAACAACCATACTCTCATCTCATTACCACATCATCTCCTTCAGAGACTCGATGCTAACAGATGTCTGTANNCAGATCCTTGACAATGATCCGACACTACACTTCCAGCTTCTCCGCTTGCAGCTGATTGAACTCATCCGTGAAATCGTCAATGCGCCGGGTCCTCCCTCCCCCACTGCCTTTACACCTGCTCTTGAGTTTGCAACATCGCAACTTGCTCCACGGGCCCCAACTTCGCCTGCCTTCCTGCAAGACCTTGAACGCACAATGGCCCTGTTGATCTTCCCATCGGACAAGCTCACTCCCCAACTCAAACAACTTCTCGATCTCAGTCTGAGACAGACAGTGGCCAGTCAAGTCAATGAAGCCATCCTGTCTTCTCAAGGCCAGAGACGAGAAGCGCGCATCCGCAATCTCGTTCGCCTGAGAGCCTGGGCCGAGCAAAGAGCGCGCGAGTCCAAGAGTGCCGCGGATCTGCCTGACAAGATTGGCTTGGGCTTGGAGACTCAGTCAGACGATTATGCCGATGGCGAGGCTATGATTACGTGAAGACGTGATAGTACTTTTTGACTTTGCTTGATTTTAGCGTAGGCGCTGGAGGTCTGGGACTTTTGCATTCATTCGGTGCATATAGCATTTTCGTCGAATCATGTTTTTCTTTAAAGAACAGTTTTGCCAATTTCCATTGCCTGCGCATTTTTCATCTTTGTGAATGCTTTGAATCTTGATGTGTCACTCGCGTGACTGGTTGCCTAGGCAGGCGCAACCAAGGTGATTCGAGCTTGCTCGTTCGATATGATCTCGTCTTCTTGGCAGGCGTGGACTAGCTGTATGAGCGGCCGTTTCTGCCATGAGCAGTGTTGGAACCAAGCTCTCCGACGATACCGAGCGACGTATACGAGCACAAACTCACATGAGCAGCATGTTCCCGAGGCATCCGGATCAACACTCTGGCGTCATATCAAACATTGCCGCATGTGCGGATGTTGCTGAATTAACCTCGATAGCTATGATACATCAAGCACATGTCACTGCGAGTATACTGAAGACCGCTTCTTGGCTATCAGATATGTCTCTTCCCAGCTTTGCGCCCGAGATTGCCCAGCTCGGCGAAGTTCGTGGGTCAGAGTTCTTACCTTTTGCTCTCTACGATTTGGCTGGCATCCCGAGCAAAGACATCGAGAGCCTGGTGGCTAGACTTGACGGAAACGACATCATTGGGACTGAGCCAAACGAGATCCACCTTGTCAGCCTTGCTCCAGAGTCTGTGCAGCAGCAAAATACCCTACACGATGCTCTCGTTGCTCACATCCAATACTGCACTGCCCACATGAACAAGTTGGACTATTTCCCGTTTGGATTTTTGGCCGCGCACAATAGAGACTGGGATCGCAAGGGAGTCTTTCTGGTCTACATCGACTTTGAGGAATCTTTCGAGGTTACTGGATTTCGGGTTTCGATAGACAATGTTTCTACTGCTGCGAATATCTTGAGAGATGACGACAATGGAGCTAAGGAGGTACGCGACATCTACGATATGGGTATGTTCAAGTGGTCACCTTATCTCCTGGTAATTCGAGGACTTGAGCTGAAGGTTTTGCACCTAGGGAACCAAACTTGACGTCAACTTCACTACGATATTCGAAAATTGGCGGCCAGATTCGATTTCTATACCAACCTTCAGTTATTGGATCTGCTGCTCGACGCCATGTTTAACTGCGGCTTTCATCTCACTACGGCCTTGCATCATATCAGCCAGACTTCGACCGAGATATCCCAGGCAAATGCACCAGAGCCGCCATGGAGCTTGCTATGTTACAACAACATAGCCATCGATGGCCTAGGCGAAAGCATCTCCATATTCGAGACGGTCAATACAATCATACTAGGTAGAGGTGCAGAGTGTGAGAAGATCATTTCGAAGGGCTCCACTTTCATTCCAAGACGCGTCCAGTTCACTGATAGTGATGGTTATGAACTGGTTGAGCATTTGAAGGACACAGCAAATGAATCTTGGGAAGCACTGGAACAAATTCACGACTCCTTGAAGACTGCACTTGCATCTTTGCAGGCTGTCAAAGCGAAGATGGGCTTTCTCGAGGCCAGCGAACAAGAGATACACGGAGTTGGTCCTGTACTAATTAGCGACCTCCTCCTCGATGTGGAAGAAACATTTACACTATCCGCGGGACTGGTAGCACGTATGGAAGAACTGGGAAAGAATTCGACACTTTGCAGGTAGTATTACGGTCTGGGTCGATTGCTTTGTGTTGTCTTAGACATCCTCGAGCGCATCGGTCAGCATGTCTTTGTGCTGCGGTCCCTGGTCTGCACGAGCGAGATTGTCTTGTGACCTACACGGGATCAATGTCTGAACCACGGTACAGCTTGAAACATCATACTTTCCCGCAAGTCATATTAATGTACACTCATCCATAGCGGCAGGAAACATTTCCTCGTCTTTGCTCCATTCTCATCAAAAGGCTAATAGAGAGTGACGGTGATCACCATGTTTGTTTCCTTCAAATCGGCATTGTCAGTCAGCGTACTCCTATCTCTTGCCTCTGCTGCTTGTTTATTTCGACACGTTCGCTCCTATCAGGGGGACACATCTTGTCTTGTCCCCTTCTGCCGTTGGATCTCGGGAACTTGGAACCATCTCGAGACCTTTTCGGCCTGTCAGGTTGGTCCACTCTTCGAGAGTTCATTGTTCATCCATTGCGAGAGTGCGGCTCCGACTCAGTGCCCGTTCTCATTGTTCAAGTTTCTCATGGGATACAGATTGGTCTAGAGTACCATTCGTTTGATTGTTCAGCTTGTACAGATCTTGGGAAGGCTGCAATACAATATCGAGGTATTCCACACTGGTCGCAGGGAAGCTCAATGTCAGCAGTGTAGAGACGTCACTCTGTCGCATCTTGTCTGGAATGCAAACAACTGCCCCATCTCCAGCGCCGAACACATCGATCTTCCGCATTCGGAAATCCTTCAACTCAGCAGCTGTATCCAAACCACGACGGCAATAAAAGTATGATTTCCCATCTGATACAATGCCCAATTCTCAAGCAGAAAGATTATTTGTCATTTTCGACACAGAATTTTCAGAAAGATGGCGCATTGGTCCAGCACAAATTTCGATCATTACGCGAACCACGAGTCGAGGAATGCAAAACCCCGATGGCAAGAACTCGCCGAGCTTTCCTCTACCTTTTCCTCCATAACATCATCAACGAACCGAACACTCGGCCACATGGGTCGTACTCTTGACTGCGACGATAGCGAAACTCGACGTCAGACGAGAAGTTCTAGCAACCTCCAAAGATATATCAATGCGAAGGCTGCAGGAAGGGATGCCTCACGCGCAGAACCAGGCGCCTCTCGTTCTCGCTCTCGCTCAGGGTCGCGACCAGGCAGACCACGAACGAGGATGTTCGGCGAGACTTCCGCCACCAGACATCGCAGCAGATCGTTTGTGAATTATTTGAGCCCCTACACGCTCTCGAAATCGACGCTGCTCATGTCTTTGTTGGCTCTGGTCAATATTCTCTTGTCCTGGTCTGGAGTCCCTATGTTTCCTTATTCTGGACCGATCGTGCGTTCGGTTGCGAGAAAAGTCTGGATACCGTCTGGCGAGGCGTTCAGTATTGATATCAGACGCGGCGTGTGCAAGATACCTGTTGTCTCGAATATCTTTGACTGCAACAATGGGACCGAGACGGACGAAACAATGAGGCGGAGATCAATCAGACACGCCATTCCCGGTATTGTGTTTGCGCTCTCTGAGAATCCAGATGCTGCATACGGGATATTGGATCTACTCGAAGAGATCAAGGAAGAGCTTGTGGTAATCCAAATCAAGACAAATATGTCTTCAGACACTACCGAACCGCTCGAATCGACTAGATCATCAGCTTCGTGAACCCAACGAAGCAAATCATACTCGGAAGTTATCAAACACTTCCTCGAGATCACCACATACCTCGAAGACCGCATGACGGATTTTGACGCCCACAAAGACAGAATGCTCGACACCTTGCAATCCAGACTTTATTACCTCAATCTCGAACACGAATATATGGTTAGCGACACCCAAGGCCTCCGCAACCTCCGTGAAGACCGCAAGGTCATGTCATGGCCACAATATCGAAACGCCATTGCGCACGACCTCGATCGCCTTGCGACATCGATAGATCGCTTACAGCAATATCAACTGGAAGCTTTTGCCAAGGTCTGGGGCCTCTTGCTCGAACAAAGTCGCGCCTTGTTGGATTCTGAGGACGAGCCCAGAGGCGAGAATGAGTTTGTAAATGAGAAAAGGATATTGCAACATCGGACGTTCATCTGGGAATTCATACTGTGGTCTTTTCCTTTTACCAGTCATCGCTCAGTCGACAAGGATATAAGTCATGTCAAGAAACGCACTGCAGCTGAGAGGAGACGACTGCTTCTCGGCAAGTTGGAGGATATCCATCCTTTACTTCGGGACTTGCACGCATCGATTTCCAAAGCACACACCTCGGCCCAGACGGCAAGAACACTTATCAAGAGGAACAATTCATGGTTGGGATCTGTGTTTGGACCTTCCAAGAAAAAACAACTGTTTGACATGACCATGATGGATGGGATGAGAGAAACAAGAAGTTTAGTACCTATGTTGATGGAGCAAAGAAATGGTCAGCGAGCAGATAGACTGTACAAGAGATCTCTGGCCACAGCGAGAAGAGATGGCGACGATATCGAAGAGTCTACGCCCGACTTTTGAGAAGTAAGTTCAAGAGGTAGGGCCAAGACGATATTGCATGATACGTCGAGAGGTTTTGCTGTCGCTTTTTGTTACCTGTTGCAGGACATTGTTGATCACAAATACTGTTCTGCGGTGGCATAATATCAATAAAACGTCCAGGATGTTCTCCAGATTATCTCGAAATATAGGACTTTTTATACACACATTTGATACGCGGATGGAGGTTCTCAAGGCGAAGCTTTTTGGCGACCCGCGCGACAGCCATGAGGCGTCGATCATGACGATGACCCCCAAACTCTACCCACACCTCCGCTCGTCCATCGTGACTTGCATCAAAGTGACACTTTTTCCCAAATAACGGTTCAAGTGCATCTTCAGATCTGTGGGGATTTCCACATCTCGATGGGGCGCGGAGTCGCTTTGCGATCGATAATTGATTCGCCATTTCGCATCTGCAGCGGGAATTTCATGCATACTGTACGCAGAAGCACAAGACTTTTCAAGTAGTACCGATGACACTTGACGAGCGCGGTTTCCTCTCGACCTCTTTTGACAATGTCTGCAATTGAACAAAGCTGTTTTCGGGAACCTACAGATGTGCTTTTGTAGACTAATGATATGCTCAAGGTTGAACGCACACATTCACGCCGCTTGTACGATCGGAGATTCTGGAGATCATCACCAGTCACTGGTCCACATTACCCTCCAGATGTCGCAAACGCCGCTGATGTATAAGAAACTACATGACGTTTCTGGCAGGATGTGTATCTCTCCGCACCTGTTGTCTTTTTCGGTAACGCACCTTTAAGCTTTGGTATACTTGTGTCGAACGATTGGAGGTTGGCTTTTCCCTACGTCGAAGATCTACAAGGCACATCTACGAGTATTATTTATCCCTTTGCTCTCTTCACTTCTTTGCATGGGTATTGTTTCCTACTCTATCGAGATTGAAAATTGTTCTTCGCAATCATGGCTTTCTCTCATGTCGGGTTTCTGGGCGACAGGATGACGGGCAAGGCGCTGGAGATAGGCGTTTGTGCCACCGCGTCTGCAGGTTTTCTACTTTTTGGTTATGGTAAGCTTTCGACATTGTTTCTATGATTTATAGGTTGCATGTGTCTGACTACTTGCATCACAGATCAGGGAGTCATGTCTGGAATCATCACGGAACTAATGTTCCTCGCCACGTTCCCAAAGATGGCGGGAGATTACAAACTCGGCTCCATTCAAGCGCTCGTCGTTGCCATTTATGAGATCGGCTGTCTCTTGGGTTCGTTCGTGATCATTGGGTATGGTGACAAGCTGGGAAGAAGACGTGCAGTGCTTGTTGGTGCTTGTATTATGCTTGTTGGAACAGCCATACAGACTTCTTCTACGACACTTGCACAGCTCATTGTCGGAAGGTATGTCTACAAACTGTCCATTACGTGGTTGAAACCTCCTGCTAAACGGTTCACANGAATTGTCACTGGAGCTGGAAACGGTATGAATACTTCTAGTATTCCTGTCTGGCAATCTGAAATCGCACCACCAAAAATTCGAGGCTTCTTGGTGCTCTTTGAAGGCGCTTTGATTACGGCTGGAGTTATGCTTTCGTACTGGATCAATTATGGGTTCTGGTTCTACAATGCCAGTTCTTTCCAATGGAGGTTCCCTGTGGCCTTCCAAGCCTGTAAGTCCAGCGAAGACCTATGACACAGAGCAAAAGTCATCAGATGGCTTTTCATCTGCTGTATCCCATTCCGAGAAACATGCTAACTGTACTGTTCTCTCTAGNTTTTCGGAGTTATCCTCATTGTGGGCATCCTTGCATTCCCAGAGTCACCTCGATGGCTACTAAAACATGGCAAAGAGAAGGAAGCAACTCAAATCATGGCACGACTCAAACAATCCGATGTCGACGACGAAGAATTGAAGAAGGAGATCAATGAAATCAAGCGAATCAATGAGATTACAGCAGGCACGAAGCTTACGGTTAAAGAGTTCTTCTCAAATGGACCAGACATGAATCTCTGGCGCGCCTCTATCGCTTTCGCGGCTCAGGCTTTCCAGCAAATTGGTGGAATTAATCTGGTCACCTACNTGTAAGTTTCCAGAGGAGCTTTTGTTGACGAAACGTTGCTGATCAAATCAGATGCCACTGTAGTTTTCGAGGATTCCCTAGGTTTTGATCATACATTTGCCCGACTCTTGACCGGCGTCCTGGGAACTGAATACTTCTTGGCCGCTCTAGTCGCTCTCTTCATCGTGGATCGCGCAGGTCGACGCCGCCTCATGATGTGGAACGCAGGAGGCATGGGTCTAGCCATGATGGTCGCCGGCATTGGTCTCTCTCAAGGAAACAAAAGCGGTGCCTACGCAGCCACAGTCATGATTTTCCTCTTCAACACTTTCTTCGCCATCGGTTGGCTCGGCGTAACTTGGCTATACCCTGCCGAAGTCACACCCATCCGCATCAGAGCCGAAGCCAATGGTCTCTCCACATCTGCCAACTGGCTATTCAACTATGCTGTCGTGCAGCTTTCACCCATCATGATCAATTCCATCAAGTGGAAGACCTATTTTGTCTTTATGTGTTTTAATTTTGCTTTTATCCCTGTGGTTTACTATACTTTTGTCGAGACTAATGAGTACAAACTCGAGGCTTTGGATGAGATTTTCCAGGAGGCCCATCGGAATGGAGAGAATCCTGTTAAAGTTGAGAAGAGGGTTCGCAAGGGCAACACTGATGGAATGGGAGAGATGGGAAAGAGGCCTTCTGTAGGCAGCGAGAAACTCGAGGACGAGAAGAAGGAGGATGTTGATGCAGAATAAATCTTGTAATTTTAATGTATCAGACAGTCAAAATTTGTTTCAATTTTGATTGCCATCGGACTAAGACCTGTCTTGTTGGTGAATCAGACTTCAGGTGGGATCTGAGATGTCTTAGTTGGCCTTGCACCAGACGGATAAAAACTAGATGCTCTATTATTGTCCAAGTACATGGTTTGCTGCTGGGACAAAGTATACGAGCCATTTGCAGCCAGCCATACATGTCAACCCGCAGACCCAACAGTCTTGTCGATCTACCATTGCATAACCACATTCATCCGTTCGTTCATACTCTGATCTGTGTCTTGCTTTTCTCCTTTGCGGCATTGACTATGCTCCCAATCACATTCCCATCCGGAGGAGCCATCGACCGTTTGGGATATGCCGTTTGCAACGCCATCACAAACACCATTCTGGCAAATTGCCCAGAGTGTGCCGGTTGGGCGGAGATTCAGTAAGAACGCGAAGATCAAGATCTTGTACTGTTGCTGATTCTATGTGCTTAGAAATGTCAGGTATCCCACTTCAGATGATGCTCGATATCATATGATTGTGCACTATGGCTGTCAGGTGGGGTATGTGTTGAGCTTTCTGACTGTTTAAGTGTGATTTGGTGTCTTGGTTGCGATGGGGTGTTTGTTTTGTTGGTATCTCTTTACAATGCTCAGGCACGCGTTTAAGTTTACAAGATAGTAGACAGTGAACTTTTTGTTGAGCATCAAGCATGAGTATTGATAAAAGCATCGTCCTTTTCGAGGTCTGAGTCCATGATCAAATCCGACGGTGACGCTCAAACACTTTCTTCAATCCTTTGCATCTCTTTTGCTGCCTCTCTCGCGAGGCCTCGACAATGATCATCAATCTCGACTTGCTCCGCCAACGCCTCAAACCTCTGCTTAACTTTTACCCATCTCTCGCGATACAATGTCTGTCCTTGTATAACATTGCTTGCCACCGCACCCCTCTCCATAAAACAATACTCATACAACACCTTCCCACAAATCTCAATCCAAACCGCAGCAGGAGGGATATACATTTTCCACTCGTCAGCCATCTCTCTACCCTCATCAAACGGCGGCAATATCTCCCAAAATGCAATATTTGCATAATCCATGCTGGAAGTAAAGACATCGGTTCGTGTCGTCAGGGTTGCGGCGAATATGTTTGCGTTGAGAAGGCCAGGTGCTTGAGCATGCCATTGCTCGTAGCTGGAACCTTCGGTATCGAGATCGAGACCNTTTTTGTGCTTTTCGTCAGAAAAAAACGCATGCAAGGTATTAGAATGGCAGAGAAGAGTGTTTTGTGACTAACCGATACCGTGTTCGGCAAAAATCCAGCCCCAGTCGTGCATCTCGCGCCAAATTACTTTACCGCCGTACTTTACTACATACCCAGCTTTGTCGACCACATCGGGGAGCTGTTTGAGTGCGACAACGAGATCAACCAATTGCTGCGTGTGCGAGGCGCCGAAATATCTCGTGCTGTCGGATAGAGTACCCCAGAGCCAACCGACACCAGCGTTAAGGCCAGATATCAAGCGAGGAGCAAAGATCTCATTGATACGAGTCGCAGTAGCGGAACTCGAGAGTTGATTGTGTAGCAGTGATTCCAGAGCTTTTAGCACTAGATCGTTTCCTTCTTTAGTTATGGGGTCCTTTGTGAATCTTTCATTTGAATTGCGTCGAGTCTCTATCCAGGAAGATATTGTGGTGGACATGATTGAAGATAGATGATTATTTTGGTTTTCTGCATTTTTCCATCTGGAATCAAAGGTGATTTTGTATTCACAGAAAGATGAAAGTGGCGGCGGTGATCGTTTTGGGAAGGATTTGAGTCACTGGGACCACATGTCTTGGCTGTAGACCTACAGTACTTACGTGCTTCCTAGCCTTGCTTCTGAGCACACAGCTGTTTGCATGTCGAACGTCATCTCTCTCTGTGTCCCCTGTGTGTAAGGCAGTCTCCATGGCACATGGCCATTGGTGATGCGATGTTGAGTGCGACTTGGAGCTAGGCGAAACTTCTTTCCCGACTGGCCAAAAGTCGTCATTTGTGCTGTCCACCAATACTGTCGTCTCATACTCGAAATAGTTGTATGATAATGCTCGCCGTCTGGCTCACTGTTAGAAAGTATACAACTTGTGTATATGATGAGATTAAAATGTAGGCTCTTGAAAATATGGACAGAAGAAAAGCAGATGACTCGATAGCATCATCACGCAGCATGCGCCCCNCATCGGATACCATTCATCGTCTTGTCCTCATCCTTGCCCGGCCACATCACGTTTCCTTTCCTCACAGCCTGGATATGTGCAATTGCACAAATAATCCACATGATGACCAATCCAATGGTCAATGCACTGCAGATACCATTGATGCCAGAGCTCTCCAGAGCAGCTCCAGCTTGGATCGAAGCAAGCGTGAGGCCAGCGTTAGGAAAGACAAATGCCCACCAGTTCAATGTGAAGTTCATTTCCTTGATGCCCGCAAGGACTGAAACTGTCGAGACGCAGAAGAACCAGAAGGAAAATAGAATCACGAAGAATCCAGCAAGAATGCCAACAATCTTGATCACGTCTCCAACAGGAAGGGATGTGATGCCGAAAATTTCGCCATTGCCGAATACTGTTGGGGCTTGTCGACCGAGAGAGATGAGAGCATGAGCAGTGTAGCCAGCAGGCCCTACACTCACAAACATGCCAGGCCTAGTAGAGGGATCCGGCAGAGCGCTGACCATCAATCTCTGAGTATAGATGGCGTACATCATCAGAGCTACACACCACCCGACACCCTGAAGCATGACTCCACCGATCCAGATGGGTACAGCGGCCGAATGTGGTTGATTTGGAACCAAAGTACTCGCCAAGGGGCCGACGACAAGCAGAGGATAGATTGGGAAGATCCAAGCGGGCATAGCATTGTTGACCTTGAGGCGCTCCAGCTGAAAGAGAATATAGTATTGCCCAATGCCAACAATCAACACCGTAGCGCAGTACATCCAAAAGAGAATTTCGAGAGCCTTGATGAGCCAGGGTCCAGTATTTGGGACGCCGTACAAGTGCATGCAGTTGAGAAGCAGACTGACCGTCACCCAATAACTTCCGAAAAACAGTGATTCGACCGGATGATGCAACGAAGCGAGGAACTTTTGTGGTACCAGAATAAACCGGAGTGTGATGATAGCAGTAAATGCAATGAACAAAACCAGAGCGAGAATAAAAAAGACTTTGCCGATGGTTTGGAGGCCAGTAAATTGATTTGGTGTGTTGGACAGCACTACCGCGAGAGCTCCCGTGGACATTGTGCACGCGAACCAAGGCCAGGTAAAGTGCGCAACGCGATCTCGCCATGTGACATTATCTGGTGGGGAGTGATCGGTCCCATTGGGGTCGGCACGCTCGGGGTCGTCACATCCTCTGTAGCCATTGCGTTTGCGATTGGAAGTCGCTGTGGTTGCCGATCCGTTGTCTGACATTGCAGGCGGAGTTTCTACAGTGATGGGAGTATGCGGTTGGTGGAAGAAGGACGAAAGACTCTTGAATCGGAATCAGGGGCTCCTAGAATTAGGAGTCTGGCAAGTCGAGGGACAACTCGTCATGCCTCTTGTCCGAATCGATCTAGGGAAACAAGACTCAGCTGAATCCAAGCTTGCTCAGATTGAACATGGTTTTTTCCATGACAACTTGGCGCTTCCGAAACTCTACCAGACGTCATTACAGATTGGCCGTTGAGCCCAATACATGGACTCGATGCCGAACGCAGATGTTTGTCGCGTGACAGCGGCAACATGCTCTCTACTGCTTTCACTCCAACACAACTCTTGTGGATCAAGCCTGTCCGCAGCAGCTCTCGCAATCGAGTTCTCGGGCACGACTCAGGGAGGTTTTGAGAATGACATTTGACCAGGAAATCTGTTGATCGTCGCGTCGTGTTGCCAAGATGTCCAGGGTCGGAAGGGCAGGGTATGACGCGACCCGCGGGCAGCCGAGGGACGCCCGGAAGCCCTCGGGCGCACAGAGATGGAACGACGATGAATTTGTATGTTGCGACTCGCGACGGCGTCGTTCGTTGCTCGAAGACAGTAAAGACGACTGCTTTTCTCTGCCATGAGAGCAATGATCAAGGCCTAGGCGCGAGGCAGATGCTAGACTCTACCTCGTCGACATCAAGAAACCTTAGGACTGATGCCATCTTGTCGCGTTACGACATCTATATCCTGGCTACGTACCGCATCTGTGGGAGCTTTCCAGAAATCGCTTTAGGCACAGGGTACGCGACTATCAAAGTCCTGTTGAGATATCGACCTCTGCTCTGAGAAGAAAGAGTCTTCCAGGGCTGATGGACGAGAAAAGCTGATGAGGCAGTCGTTGTTGTGGCTGTGTTCAACTCCCACTTTCCACCAGTTAAAAGTACCACCACACGGCTCTTCACCGAATAAAATTCACCAGAATCACGTTCACTGCTTTAGAGAGCATCTTAGGATAGCATGTAGGTGTCTGGAACCACAGAATGGCACATGCGGGCCAACAATCCAGCATAACGAAAATACTCAGCAGACTGTACATGGTGCAGCGCCGAACTTCATCCCAAAACCACAACCTGGAAGACACGACGAGTCCTCACCACCTGTCCAATATCGCCAGAAAGTCTAGTATCGCGTGCTCAACACAAGCTACCACGCCTCGATGCCCAGCTTCTTGTTATACTTGGTCCAAGAAGTTGCCCAGACTGTTGAACAACCAGGGCTTGTCTGCCGCAAACACGTGGAGACGCCGAACATCGAACTTTTATACCGAGTGCAAGATACATCAGCCAACGGGAGGCTGGGCATACCACCAAAGGTTTTACATGCGTAAACTGATCAGTACTTGCATACTTGTTGTGCCTGGTGTGAACCCGTCCGAAGTCGCGACCCCCTTGGCAACGCCATCCCAAGAAGTCAAGAACAACGAGAGTTCTCACAACTTGTCCTGTGCAACTTGGCTATTCTTTTCGTACGCGCGACTTTTCCCTCAGCCGGTAGACATAAGAACGCCTCCTTCATAGGCAGTGATGAGGTGAATTGACTTGGCAGAGCATTATTTCTGATATAAAGAATACGATCTTCGGCATGGCGGAGGACTGGCTACTACTGCAAACATTTGACGTAACAGCAACATGGCAGAGTCGAAGACTGCTTCTCCCGACCATTATTCTATACCTAGGGATGATGAGGAAGGGTTGACAATCGAACGCGATTGGACAGAAGAAGAGGAAAGGAAGGCCAAATGGAAGTCAGTCGATCTTATGTCAGTCCTCAACTTTGTCATACTGAAACGCTCGCAGGNNCTTGATCTCGTCGTTATGCCGATTCTGACGCTTGGCTTCTTCTGTCTGCGTAAGGGAGCTTTCTTTGAAATTTCATAAGACTTGGGCTGACACTTTGTTCTCANNGAGCTCGACCGTGGGAACATTGCAAACGCCATCACCGACAACCTCATGAAGGACGTCGGCATTGTCCAGAATCAATTCAACGTCGGTCAGCAAATGTTGTCGCTTGGCATTGTCCTTTTTGAGATCCCTTCCAACATGATTCTGTACCGTGTTGGTCCTGGAAAATGGTTGACACTTCAACTCTTCCTCTTTGGGATCGTTAGTACTTTTCAGGCCTTCCAGAACAACTATGCATCTTTCATTGCGACTCGCTTCCTTCTTGGCTTGACCGAATCTGGCTTCATACCTGGTGGTCTGTGGACCATATCTACATGGTATACGAGAAGAGAGACAGCCAAGAGGGTCATGGTATTTTACTTTGGCAATCAATTCGGCCAGGCTTCAGCCAAACTCCTTGCATACGGTATTCTTCATATGCGTGGAGTAGCCGGCAGGCCTGGTTGGTTTTGGTTGTTCGTTCTTATGGGTGGCTTTACCTGCTTCTGTGGTTTCATCTTCGGCTTCTTTCTTCCCGACTCTTTCCGCAGTCCCTGCTCGACTTNNTTCTTGCCTGGGCGTGCATTATTCACACCCAGAGAAATCCATATCCTCAGGAATCGCGTTTTGCTCGATGACCCCGCAAAGGGGAAGAAGAAGAAGAGGATTGGTTTGACCGCGTTCAAGAAGGCTTTTAGCAACTGGCGCATGTGGGTGCATTTCCTCATCACATTGACCAACAACGGTCCCCAACGTGCTTTCGATACATACGCGCCCTCCATCGTCAATGGCTTTGGCTTCGGAGGCTTGTCTGCAAATGCCTTAGCAGCTGTGGGTCTGTTTTTACAGATCCCCGTCTCTTACACATTCAGCTATGTCTCGGATCACNTTGTAATTTCAGTCCTCCAATCAATCTCCAGTGCTCCTTGCTGATAGAAGTTCAGTTCACGACGTGGTGAGACACTTGTGGCAGGTTTGAGTCTGCACCTATTTGGCTACGTCCTCAATCGCATCTTTACCGAAATCGACAATCGCGGTGTCCGCTACTTTGGTGTAGTCTGGACGCAAACCTTCGGCACCTTTTCTCATCCTCTCAATATCACCTGGATGTCACTCACCTGCACAGATCCCGAGGAGAGAGCTCTGGCCATGGCGATGGTGATCATGGGAGCCAACATTGCGGGCATCTATGGCGCACAGATCTTCAGAGCAGATGATCGTCCAAGATATCGGAGAGCGTTCAACGTCAACATTGCTGTGCTAGCAGTTGGGCTGTCGCTTGCGGTGCTAAGATTCTTGGATGACAAGCTGAGGAGGAAGAAGATCAAGGAACGTTTGCCAGAGTCAGAGACTGGTTCAGAGACACACGGCGATGGTGTGCTCAGGGCTTCCGTTCCTGCTGATGAACAGCCAAAGTTGGTCGCAGTGAGTGAGCGAAAGCTGGCGTCGACCAGCGCCCGTGCCTGATTGGGAGAGCGGACGGTGTTTCCCTTATCTGTAGTACAATGTGGTTTGCAAGCTGGTTAGGGTCACGGACAGAGCTGATGCTGATAGATTTCGCATAAATTCTCGAAGACGCGTCATGACTGAAAAAATGTCATCATTGTTGCTTCCTTACTCTTTTTGCTATTGCCCGTGTCTTGTTGGGAGAATTGGCTGTTGTTGCGTGAGAAGCGAGCGGTGTCTCAAGTCTTGACGTCCAGTTTTCGAAATTTCATCTGCACACGATTATACACTTATCCAAACCACACAAAAAGCTCACACAGGCTAGCTTTGATATGCGTGAAGCGAGTCTCTAGATTACACCTCATCATCATCGTCGGCTCACCATGTACGATCGATATCGACGAAAAAAAGTATCGTTGCGCATGTCACCCTGGCTCGATTACTCACGCCTTACACAAAAAGCTCGGACATTCCAGCATAACATCGCATAATTCGGCCGAACCGAGCATCTCCTTGTCAATAGAAAAAACTCGGCCGTGTTCTAGCGAAAGTCCGCAGAAAGGTATTTCGACTGCAAGCTGGGTTGTTCTTCTTCTTCTTTCTTTCTTACTGCCGAAGAGTATCGCAACAATGCGTGGACGAACATGGTTGTGTTGTTGCTTGGGCTTGCACAGCTCGATCAAGTAAATGCAAGCACCGACGCGTCATGACTCCGACAACACTTTTTCGCTCAACGATGAGCAAGAATCGCGGCAGTTCACTAATCGCCGTACGAGCCTCGAGGACATCCTGCGACTGCCCCTCTGGACCATGACCGCCGGGACAGCCCTATCTGGTCTCCAAGCATCTTGTGCGCAATTTTCTGGTTTCTCACGGATACCGACTTCTCAAACCTTGCAACGAACACGAGGGCAGTGTCGCGTCAGATTCTGGAAGCGCTGTAGCCGACTTGTCTGGCATTCGCGCCGACGGCCGACTCCAAGTCGGGAAAGCAGCATGCACAATGCAGGACTGGATCCGATATACGAACCGCGTTGAATGCATTTTGAGATCTAATGCGACTCCGTTGCCCAAACTTCGATTGAGCTTTTCAGCAATGAGATTGCATCTTCAACGCTTGTGTGAGGCACGTCGCCGGATGTCACCATCCATACATACTGGTTACGTTACAGGCTTGTTAGGTTGAGACGTGATAACACACATGAGGCACGGACGACCACCTGGAGATGAGGTTTGATGAAAAGATTACTGCTCGTTAAAAGACTGCCAGTCAGAGTTTGCGAGCCCATTTGCGCTATGTTAGCCCAATCCTGTTGTGGACAAATTTCTGGATTACATACGGCAGGCTGCTTCCCCTGGGATCCTGAAACTTGTTACACCAAGCAGACTATCACAATGATCTTGACAGGTAGGATGTCTGCCTTTTGTGATAGGATGATGGTACGCTCCGGCGGGGCAGCGCAGTCCACTTTTAGAACAAAGATCTTCTGCGCATCCGTTGCGGGCTGTTGACTACTTGTCTACGTTCCGTTGATCCAAAGAACTGTTGACGATTGTCAAGTATTCTCGAATCACGAACATCGAGGAGCATCATTCCGTTATCCTTCTACCTGGGCAGTTCACAAACTGGGAGAGCCGTTTTCGGCTCGAGCACCGCCGTGTGGTTCGGACTGTGGAACGAAAGTTCAGTCTCAGCCACGCCGCGCCAGCCGCTGACAAGCTCACCCGAACTAGACCGCCGCGTCCAATCAATGTACCTGCCGAAGCCGATCTAGCATCCGCGATCCTCTTTTGTGGAGTGATTTTGCGGGGTGCTTGCGGAGGAAACATCTGCAATTTTTCAGCCAAAATGGTCTCCCAAAGACGTCTGCTTTCGAGCTTCGTTCGGGAGTCGAAAGGTTGAACCTACCGGTGAGTTTTAGTCTATGACCGCTCGATTTGCTGACACAGGAACGGACCTTTTCTCGGAGCATCAAAACCACAGGCGGGAGCGGCAGACCCAAAGAGGCAAAGCGCCGAGGAGCGCCCTCATTTAGGCTGACCAAGCGACAAAAGTATATCTAATCATTTGTAAATCAAGCACCCAAGGGGTCGCCAAGCGAATAAAACCGAGCTCCGAACCAAGCACGGTGGCAGCACCAGTTGGGCGATTTTTTGACCTTTGACCGACAGCCTCGCCGGCCACCTGGGTCTTGTTCGCATCCGCTCTGTTTGCTTACAAGACCTCCCTGCCTTGCAGCGTTCGCCTTCAACAATGGACGAACAGAGCATCAGGTCGTCGCAACGTGTATCTCGGTCATGCGTCGAGTGCAGCCGAAGGAAGATCAAGTGCGACAAGAAGATCCCGTGTAAGCCATGTGTGCGCCGGAATCTCGCCCACGAATGCCAGCGGCCCATCACCCGCGTCCGAGGCATGCTTACAGTGTACGTCCAGGCTTCAGCACAGCGTTGTGGAACTGTGTGTACTGCAGCACCTTTGAAAGTCAACTGATCATGATAGGGCGAGCACCNNGTTGATCGCATGTCGGCAGACAGCGAAGACAATACTGTTGACGAACTACTCAAGGAACGCTGTGCCCTGCAGGCCCAAATCGCAGAACTAGAAACAGCTTTGGCCCTCTCCAAACCATGCGGACACACTCATGGCAGCAAACCCGAGTCGCATCGCCAGGGCCAAGTGTCGATACCCGCTTTCGAAGACCTTGTACCGGCCCTTGAGCAGTTCGATCTGCAAGTTTCGCACGACTCGGATCCTGTTGCCATGTCGGAAAAAGACATGGCTGATCGTCTATACGAACCCTCTACCGATCCCGTCTTCCTCCTGCTACCCTCTAGAGAAATCAGCGAGCAGCTCGTGACCTTCTCCCTTCGCACCTTGGGCTGGTTGCATGGTGCTGTCAACGCGCCCGAGTTTGTCACGGAACACGAAGAGTTTTGGAACGGAATACACAGCGGTGTCGCTCTGGATGTAAAAGACCGACCATGGCTCGCACTATACTTTGCTGTTCTGGCGACTGGTCTACTCTATCTCGATCCCGAGGAAGTGCCTGCTATTTCAGATTTGCCACAGCTAAATCTCCATCAATATCAGCAACATGATGAGATGGGATACGCTGTTCATACGTCGCGTCTTTGGTATGAGGTAGCGCTCAAAGAGGTGGAACGTCATGGATGCTCTGGAACACCTTCTTTGAGGATCGTACAAGCCTTGTCGGTGCTGACTCTTTGTCACGCAAATTTTGGCGATTCTCAAAGGGAATGGTTGTTTACTGGATGGGCGTCCAGCATTGCGCGTTGTCTTGACATGCACCGTTTGGGCAGCGAAGTAGCACACGCGCGAAACTTGAGCGCCAGACCCGAGTGGTCGTCTTTTGAAAAGCGTGAACTCGGTCGTCGCGTGTGGTGGACGTATGTCATTCGAGACTGGTACGTTGAAGGAACATGACTTGGTCGAAGACGCACCTTGAGCTAATCTTATCGTTTCTAGGNNCTAGGAAGTTGGTCGCGCCAATCGTCAATCACACCAGCCAGTTTCTGCTGCAAGTTCTCGACCGAGAATGAGGCTAACCACGACGCGATTCTGGAAACTCCGACGCACACGTCTAGTCCGTCGCCACTGGTTTATCAATCGGTCATGTGTCGATTGTCGTACATCTTTTACATTTACATCAAGGTCAACACTCACCAAAATGCTTCCAAGTTCATCAAAGCACTGGAGGAGATTGAGATTGTCAAGCGAAATTTGCCTCTCCACTTGTCGACCAAGTTTCCTGCGAATATCGATGATGAGGAATGGGAAGCTACTCATTCTTGGATCACCTTCCAACGTTATCTCATAAACCATGCCATCGATTTCATGATCCTCAGTATTGCACGCACTCTCGCGATGGGCAATATCGGCAGCGAATCGAATCGCTACCGTGACGTAGCCATGACATCGGCCACGAGTATTATACACAGCTACTTGGCACCGGTTGCGCGAGTATACAAACTTGTGTGGACAATTTCAGCCTCAACTGTGGCCGCTGCGGTCTATACATCTCTAGACATTCTCATGAACCCTCAAGATTACACGCCTCAGAAACGACAGGAACACATTGCTGTGCTGAAGCAAGTTGTTCAAGAACTCGGCAAGTATTCTCACGTCGCCATCCACGCCGCCAAAGGATCAACCTCGATACAAAAGCTCATATCCCGTCTGGAGCAAAACTTTTCCATGTCACATCTTTCTGTGCACGATATTCTTCGCCATCTCACGACTCAAGAAATGCCTTCAACCTCGGCCAGAGGTGTCACGGAAGGTTATGTCTTACCAGCTCAGAACATGCCAGTTCCTGTCGATGGTTGGAATGAGATGATGGTTGGACATGACATGACCATCCCGCACATGGATCAAGGGCACATTGATGGCTTGCTGGGTCCGTCAGATACTTGGGACAGCTTTATGGAGTTCCCAGCATTCCGGCCTCCTGCTCAACACCAACATCAACATCAACACCAACAGCAACACTATGAAGGTTGAAAGAAGTTCCACAAGCAACGATACTCGTCAGATGAGCGCCAGAATCACCGCCTGGGCGCTCAAGTCGTCCAATCCCAGATCCGCCTCGTCGGGTCATTAGACTCAGGTGCGCACAGCTCCGTTGTTACAACGCTGATTAGTTTGGCATCGAGATCTACGTACAGCGTACAGCTACAGCATCCTGATCGCTCTCGGCATTCAATAAAAGTGTATGACGCGTCAACTAAGCCTCGCGCATAGCACAAAGACGTTCCGCTCACATCGCTCTCAAACCGCGCAAGACCATTGTCATCTCAAGGACAACAACATCGAATTCAGCTGGGTATGATACAGGAACACCAGTTCATCCGTGGCTGTAACGCCATCCCGGATAGAAAGCACGCAGTTCCCCACATCAAAAACAGCGTAACGACCATATTTAGGCTGTCCTTGAGACATCTCAACTCAGACTCTGATGTACGTCTTCGGACGCGGTAATTTGGAAGTACCAACGAGATGCTTGAATTCTGTCAACCTTGAAGAGTTTCTCATTGCGTTTACGGAAGTCTTAGCGGTCGGGATACCTTCTCTCGAGGAAGCAATATCTTAAATCTCGATCGAGCTTCGAAGCCAGTATTGAGATGACGGAGAATTATCTACTGATCATCTCACAATTATAAGTGCTTGGGCTCAATATTTGAGTCGCACTCGCACAGGGACTGTTGACGTTAGATAGTCTAGAAACATCCAAAAGTCCATTGTCCAAATTGCTATATATGTTCTTCATCACCTCGAGATCTGGACTGGTTATGTGACACTTGAGGTGGTCGTCTGTCACCGTCGGGCTATTCAACGAGTTAGGACTCCCGGAGTCCGGTCCATGCTCTTTAGGATTCTCGGCGGGGCTCGGTCGAGAGCGGGTGAGTACCTCTTGCCCATTAACAAGGTCCTCCGCAATTCGTCTTCACCCCCACATATCGACGAAATCATCAAGGTGGCAGTCGACACCCACGAACAATGTCCAGTGCACGTATGAAGCGTGCAGCGGCCTGGTGCGGTCGTTTCCATTGTCTCTACCAGATAATCCATCCTTCGAACTGCAACAGTCTCTAGCATGAGCATCAGGGCAATCTTCCGTCCAGACATATTACTTCGCTCCTCCGCTGTTAATATTCCTCTCACTCACACACGGACATTCATACACATCTTGCCTGTCGCATTCCAAGTCGCAAACACACCCACCAAGCCGCCGACCGTTGGCGACAATGGATACCAAGGCTTCAACCCTCGCAAGGAGACCCTGCCCAAGGGTTGGAAGTTCAGAGAGGATGCGCGTCCGCTGTCAGAAAACATGATTGTCGAGCATGATGTTGCCGTCAAGGTCCGCGATGGATGCACATTGTATTGCGACATCTTCAGACCTGTTGGAAGCGATTCGTCTGAGAAGGTGCCGGCGATTGTCGCGTGGAGTCCTTTTGGCAAGAAGCACAACGGAATGGAGATGATGTCGAAGGTGAGGATGAGAAGGTACTTTGGAGAGAATGGCTTTGACTGATATGGCTGCAGGTCAAATGGGGCTGCGGTGTACCTAAAGGCGCCCTCAGTGGTCTTGAACGTTTTGAGGGACCCGATCCTGCTGAGTACTGTCCTCGTGGTTTTGCTGTTGTCAACGTCGATGCAAGAGGTGCTGGTGATTCTGACGGGTCGATTGTCATCATGGGCAAATAGGAGGGACAGGATGGCCACGATGTCATCGAGGAGTTGGCCAAGATGGACTGGTAAGTCGCGTCTCTCCAACTCAATACTTGCAATCCACTGACAGGTTAACACCGAAAACAAGTGGCTTCGATGGGACCCATACCAAGAGTGGTTCGATCTGTGGTCTGTTAGAGAGTCGGTTGATGAGCTTGCCGAGTTCTTCGACCACTTCCTCAAGGACAAGAAGAACAACTGGCAAGAAACACCCAAGGTCCGAATGGCCTCTCTGCCTTTCGGCGACAAGGAGGCCGTCTACCCCATCGAAGTTCAAGATTTCCCGATCCTCAACGCAGATTACAAGAAGCTGTATCTCGGCGAGAATGACAAGCTCCTTAAATCAGCGCCTACCGATAAAAGTGTCGTCTCGTACAGCTCAGAGTCTGGTAGCAATCCAGTCGCTCACGCAGCATTCAATATCCGCTTCGAAAAGAAGACAAGATTGATGGGCTTGCCAAAGGCAGTTCTCTACATGTCCTGCGACGACCTGGATGACATGGTCGTTTACGTCCTAATCCGCAAACTCGACAAGAACGGCAAGGCCATGATCGCAATCAACATTCCCTAGGAGAACTGCCCATACCCCGACACAGCATCTATCCCCGAATCAGACTACAGTAACCTGATGACATACTTCGGTCCTACTGGTATCCTGCGCGCATCTCACCGCAAGACCGACCCTTCAAAAGCCATTCACCCTCAATACCCCTTGCACACACACGACGAGGTGCAAAAGATCACACCTGGTACTATTGTGGAGTTGGAGATTGGTCTTTGGGCCATGGGCATGGACTTTGAAGAGAGAGCTTGAGTGTGCAAATTTCTGGTGAATACCCGTTAGTCGATGATTTCGAGGGCAGAGGACCCAAGAAGCCCCAAGTGGAGGAGAGAAACAAGGGCTTACATCACGTTCATCTCGGTGGTGAATATGCTAGTCATGTTATTCGCCTTATGTTTGAGCACAAAAACAATTTTAGAACGAAAACAAATAGATACCCCAAGAGATAGATTATGTTCTCATGACCTTCCGACTTCCACCAGAACAGACGACGTCGGCTGTCCTTTGTATGTTGCCCAGAAGCCCTTGGACCAGTTCGGGACCTGGGCGCAGCAAAACAAGGCGAATCTTGCCTGGTCTCGCGAAGCGACGTCTCAGAGGATCGAACCGACGACCTTGAGGCTGACGCCGCAATTTTGGCTAGCACCGAGGAAGCTTCTGTGACACGGACTTGGAAGCTCTGCGCTTCTCGGGCTTGCTTCTTTCTCTTCCACTTCAAACTTGCTTCCCGTTTCGGACTCTCGCGTCAGGTCATCTCGGCTACATGCCATGCGAATCAGCCGCGACATAGCTGCTTGTTGCTATGGCATCATTGGCATGTCGTCAATACGAACTTTGAGAGGGGAAGACGCTGCACACCCCGCATGTTCATCATAAAATCCTGGAGAAACTGTGAGGGGCCCTTGCGATCTCATTTAGCCTGATCTTTCACCATGCACGATTGCTCATCATGATCAACTGCAGCCCGATGTGGCAGGAGGCAGCATCTTGCGCAGAAAGCTTCAGTGCTTGGTCATAGGATAAATAGCAGGCAACCCACTACGTGCACGATACCTCCACCGACCAACATCGCACCTCGATACTCAAAGCAAGATGAAGGCTGTTTCGCTATTCATTGCCGCTAGCCTGTCCGGCATCAGCTACTGCCAGCCGGCCAAACAACAGAATTCGACCATCTACAATCCGATCCTTCCTGGCTTTCACCCTGATCCATCATGCGTCTTTGTCAAGGAGTGGGACAATACTTTCTTCTGTGCGACATCGACTTTTCTCGCTTTCCCTGGTATTCCCATCTACGCGAGCAAGGATCTTCAAAACTTTAGACTTATTGGACATGCCTTCAACAGACCTGAGCAACTTCCTGCTTTTGGTAATATCACTGGACAGCAGCAAGGTTGGTATGCGCCGACTCTGAGATACCATAATAATCGGTTCTGGATCATTAATTCTTGTGTTGGTATGTTTTGTATAAGTCTACTATAATAGTTGATTTACGCCGAATGCTTATTTTGTGTTTCAGGTGCTGCGACTGGTTACTGGAGTACTCCTGATCCTTACAACAATTCTGCTTGGACGAATGTAACTCCTACTGACATCCCTGGATATGACCCCGACCTCTTTTGGGACACCGATGGCACAATCTACTCTGCCTTTGCAAAGACAGTACTGAGCGATCCCTTTACTACGGAGATTCATCAGGTAAATATCAGCATGCCTTCCGGGAACACAACTACGGATCGCTTCTTGTGGAATGGTACCGGTGTACAGCCTCCCGAGGGCCCACATATGATGATCAAGGACGGCTATCACTACCTTCTCCTGGCCGAGGGCGGCACCGCGCAGGCCCATCAAGTGACCATAGGCCGCGGAAAGTCTGCTCAAGGGCCGTTTGAATCAGACCCGGCAAATCCAATCCTGACAGCATATAACACAAGTGAGTATTTTCAGACTGTTGGTCATGCAGACCTTTTCCAAGACTCTGTTGGAAACTGGTGGGGCGTTGCACTGTCTACTCGTTCTGGTCCAGTGTATGAGACTTGGCCAATGGGCAGAGAGACTGTCTTGTACCCTGCCAAATGGGAGAAGGGTCAGTGGCCTGTCCTAGGAGGCCCGATCAGGGGCAAGATGGAAGCACCTTTACCGCCTGTCAACAAGAACATCCGCGGCACTGGCGCATTCGTGAAGGACCCTGATAACTACAACTTTTCTCCTGGCTCATCTATCCCATCTCACTTCTCCTACTGGCGCTTCCCTCAGACCCAGAACTATGCTGTCTCTCCTAAAGGCCATGCGAACACTTTGAGGTTGCTTCCCTCCCGCGCCAACTTGACTGGCGATGCTGCCTTTGTCCCCACCGACGGCATTACTTTCATCGGTCGCCGACAAACCGACACTCTCTTCACCTACAGTGTAGATGTCGATTACTCACCATCACAAATCGGAGAAGAGTCGGGTGTTACGCTATTCCTCACACAAACCTACCACGTCGACCTCGGTATCGTGCGACTCAACAAGACTGGCAATTGCCTCCGCTTCCGCGCCGAGGGTCCCAACGCGCCAAAAGAGACTGTAGTCGCCATTCCCCAGAAGTGGTGTGATCAAGGCATGCAGCTGCAGATTCAAGCTTACAATGTCACACACTTTTCCTTCTCTGCTGGACCGAAGGATGGGCAAATCAAACAGATTGCTACTGTTCCTGCTACTATTGTGTCGAACGGATTTACTGGTGAGTGCAATGTGGTGTGTTTATGACATGGAAACGATTGCTGACATGAATCAGGTTCTTTCGTTGGTGTTTATGCGACTAACAATGGCAATGCTAAGGGGAAGACTCCCTCGTATATCAGTAATTGGGTCTACCAAGGTCAGGGACAGTACATCGGTAACGGAGAGTTCTACCCGAGCAACGGTCAGAAGTCAGGAGCGGGATTTTAAAATGGCATACTCTTGTATGAACCAATCGTACCTGTCTAAATCATAGGTCTAGCGGCTTCAACTCGAGGAGCAGGTAGCACTCCAATCTTTGCAAAGTCCTGATACAACTCAAACACACTCTCCATCTTATCTACACATCCGCTGAACCCGAACCTACGAAATTTTGCAGAAGAAGGTTGCCCAATCTTGTAGTAGACAAAATCAGCAATTTCCACACCGTCCATTCCACCATCAAATGCATCGACTTTTACTTTGCCGTTTGAGCTGTCCATGATCTGTTTCCAAGCTTGGCTGTTGCAAGGCTCTTTTGCCCAATCGGCAAAGGTACGGGAGAGCCTAATGCGTGGTGAAGGACCATAGCCTAGAGGACAATCTTTGCCGCCCGCCAGAACCACGTCGTGATACTTTAAGTCATCCAACTCTGGGCCCTCGATACCGGGGACATTGTACCAACGGGCAAGCTCTTCGAAGAAGCGGTCCCAAGACATTGGGCTGCCGTCGTGTGCGTTGAATGCCTCGTTCTTGCATTTATCTTCCAGAACCGCCCATTCGCTTAGGAAACCCGTGAGTCGAGCGGAAGAGTGAAGGCACTCGTACTCCCACTCATCAACATCGCCGCCAAANAAGATAGGTTCCTTTTTCTCGGCTTGCACGGCTGCCATGATGGCGAAAGGAAGAAAGGTATTCATGCCCGACTTTGAAGTGGCGCCGATGATGCCAAAAGGACGAATGACATTCCAAGCTGTGCTAGGATGCTCTTCACAGTACTTTTCCAGCATGTCTTCCTGAGCATAGTAGAAGTTTTGCGACAAATGCCGGGGCTGGGGATCTGATTCGATGTATGGCAATCTGGCTCTGCCGATCTGACCGCCATAGTCCTTGCCCCCGGTCTGGAGCAGGATCCGTTTCGGTTCAAGCTTGGGGAGTTGAAGCGCTTCCAAGAAGTTCTTGAAGATGGGAACGTTGGCNTTAGCAAGTTCTTCTTCTGCGTTTGGGTCCATGGCAGACACGCAGAACACGCTCTTGGGAGAAATGTAGCCGTAGTAGAATATGTGATCGACTTGAACGCCAGATTCTTTGAGTTGAGAGGCGAGTTTGTCGGCAGAGCTGGTAAAATCAATGGAGACGTGTTTGATGCGAAATTGCTGCTCTTGCGTGAGGAGGGAAAGCATTCCCTCTGTGAAGGGGCTGCGGGACAGAGCGTAAATGGTAGACCATCTCTTGGGAGAGTCGAGGAGAGAACGGATGGTATTGAAACCAGAGATACCGGTTGCGCCAACGACCACTGCTTTCAGTCCTTCGATAGAAGGGGAAAAGGTTGGCAATNNGCGATAGATGCCCGAGTTGCGAAGAGGGTAGTTTTCGGAGCTCATGGCGGGCCAAATGATATGAGTTGAGCAGAAGGGAACTGGAATAAGATGGGTATAAGAGACGATACTGAGCCTTCCAACCTCCATTTGCAGCGAACATCAAGCACTTGGCTGCTGTACCTCTGGTGCCGGATCCGAGAGTCATCCGGTATTCAGGCAGAGATCTGCGTGTGCGTAAGGTGGATCGAGAATCATGACGAGACTTGCTGCCTCAGCTGTGGGTTTCTTTTTGTTGATCTCAACTGCGATTGTAGTTACGGAATGACTTGTTGGTCGAGCACACGATTGAGCTTTTGACAAGAAGGCCACGGTTGTTCGATGAAACTTTGGTGAGCGCTAGTCAAGCCAAGGGCCGACCCGCATTTCGAGATCTGATCAGCCCTAAAACTCGAGCATTTCCTTTTCTGCTCTTCATCCCCGTCTCTTTTTGTTCGACTTCCTTTGCTGCTCTTCACTGTTCGAGAACTATTTTTCGGATTCCTCTCTACTTCTCCCACCCAACACCGCAGGTACGCATCGCTCCTTCAGTTCAAAAGTGTCGGCACGTATTAGAAGCCACCCACACAGCATTTTCTACGCTGCACGTAAGTCGTTGAGTGTGTTGGTCCATTTATCCTACTCACTTTGTCTCCTGCCATTCAATGCTGCTTGTTCTTGATTTTCCCTTGTCTGTAATCCCATGCCAAGACATCCATGCATCTTGAGCATCTCAGCCCCGACTCTTAGCTCCGATCCTTGCTTGGTCGTTAGACAAATTATCATGGCAGAAGATCGATGACTGTCTCTATCCTTTCGGTTTCTGGACATCCAGCCATCCGTGCCGAGACTGGCCTGGTGCCGAGTCAGGTTGTTTGTCATTTCTGCCGCCACTAAAGACAGTCGTTCTCACCGTGCCATCACTCTGCATCCACTTTCTATCTCAACATCCCTTCTTTCCCCTACCCGTTCATCTCCGTTCTTGATTTTCAAAATCATCTCAGGATACTCTGCGCGTAACAATGGGTCCATTCACCAGGTCTATTACTAGAGCAGCACGGAAGGACATTACCAGATCTATCTATACTGGCAATAGCAGAGCTACAGCAAAGCCCAGAGTCAGCAAGCAAGGAAAAGAAACTCAGAGGAACATCATTTCTACAACAGCAAAGGATGCTATAAACTCGGAGTTTATCGATACCGATACAACACCCGACTCGACCATGACTGACCTTGCAAACAAAAAATGGACTTCTTGGTCCGCCCACTCATGCTCATCACCGTACCCAACCTTTGCTCACCCGACTCCCAACGAGTGTAAGGCCGCCCATACTGTCTTGCAAAGAATGCATCATGAAGCCGTTGCCCAAGAGCTTGCAGACCCAGACACCCCTGAAACCATTGCCAACGTCCTCGACGCCATGATCATCGCAATTCTTTCCCAAGCAACTTCTTGGAGCAATGCGAAGTGCGCCATGGCAGGTCTTCGCAGCACATATGGAAATTTGTTCGCCTATGACGAGATCCTGGCAAAAGGAGAGGAGACACTGCAACAGGCGCTTCGGCCCGGTGGTCTACATATCCGCAAAGCCAAGATCATCACAACCATACTCAACCAGGTGCAGGCACAAAACAACAAGTCCTGGGATCTGAACTACATCATCGAACTTCCAAACGAGCAAGCCATGGAAAAGTTGCTCCAGTACAAGTATATTGGATCCAAATCTGCCGGTGTGGTCTTGTCTTGGTGCTTGAAGCGCAATGTGTTCATCGTAGACTCGCATTGTTATCGCATCGCTAAGCTTTGGAATTGGGTACCGAAAGAGGCGACAGTCGAAAAGAGGCAACAGCATCTGGATGCGATGATTCCAACCGAGTTAAAATTTGATTTGCACTTTTTGGTTATCGCGCATGGCAGGAGCTGTCGGGTCTGTAGGGGTGGGAGTAAAGTCGGGGGCCTGTGTGATGCGCAGAAAGAGACAAAGATGGAGCTCAAAGTAGGCTATTGAATCTGCCGTACGGGTATCTCAAATGCTTTGCTGTTTGTCAATGAGCTGTGCGTTTCAAGTTTGGGATCTTGGTATATGTTGTATCCAGGTCTTGCTTTCGAGTCCTGCCGCCAACTTTGCTAGTCGATTGTGAAGAGAAACATCTCTGCTCGCCAAAATCCTGGCTGCAAGACAAAGCCGGGATTCGTCGGCATTCGACATTATTACTATAGCCAGAATCGGTTCTTGGAACGAAAGTTCACGTCAAAGCCCGAGATCGACATGACCCCAAAGCTGATCATCGCATAGGCTAAATTGAGACGGCCAAATGTCCCCTCCAGATCTACATCCCCCACATCATCAGAGTGGTATGCCGTCTGCGGTATCTCGTCCGACGTCACCCCGCATTTGTTCTATATAGTGGAGAGCTCTATCCAGAGAAGAGGGAGAGAACTCACCCTTACCACGTCAACATGCACCTTCTACCACTCTTCGCAGCTTTCGGGCTGGCGCTTGCAGAGACTGGCATAGATGGCTGGTTACGATACGCACCATTATCATCTTCAATATCATGGCCCTCAGTGCCGAAGCACATCGTCGTGCTCAACACCACCAAAACGAGTCCTGTCTACACCGCAGGTCAAGAGCTACAGCGCGGTATTCAGAGTATCCTTGGTCAGGGCTGCCGTCTCTCGAGCAAGACGCCTGACGAATCCATCATCGTGGGAACACTTGATGCATATGTTGCTGCTTACGGCAACCTCAACCAGCCTGTGGATCTCAAAGAAGACGGCTTCTGGTTGAGCACCGAAAACAACACCATTCAGATTATCGGGCAGAACGAAAGGGGTGCACTCTATGGCGCCTTCGAGTACTTGTCTATGCTGGCTCAAGCAAACTTCTCATCTGTTGCATATACTTCAAATCCAGATGCCAACATAAGATGGGTCAACCAATGGGACAATCTGGACGGCAGCATTGAGCGCGGATTTGGTGGAGCGTCGATCTTCTTCGCAAATGGCACGATCGTCAATGATCTTACCCGCGTAGCTGAATATGCACGTCTTCTCGCTTCAGTAGGAATCAACGCTGTTGTTGTCAACAACGTCAACGCTAATGCGACTATCCTGTCACCAAGAAATATCGATGGTCTCGGAAGAATCGCTGATATCATGCGACCTTATGGAGTACAAATCGGTCTTTCACTCTACTTTGCTTCTCCCACTTCCGGAATTCAAGGCCAAGCCAATCTTACCACGTTCGATCCTCTGGACTCTGAGGTCGTTACCTGGTGGGGCAACGTCACGGAGCAGATCTATAAGCGCATTCCAGATATGGCTGGATATCTTGTCAAGGCCAACTCAGAGGGCCAGCCGGGTCCTTTAACATACAACCGCACCCTTGCGGACGGAGCAAATTTGTTCGCCAAGGCTCTACAGTCATATGGTGGTATTGTGATGTTCCGTGCCTTTGTCTACAAGTAAGTTGTTCATCTGTCTCTGAGAAATGCGATGGTTACTGACTGTCCTCCTCGAAACAGCCAGCTCAATGAGAGCGTGTGGACAGCGGATCGAGCAAACGCCGCAGTCGACTTTTTCAAGCCTCTGGACGGCAAATTCGATGATAACGTCGTCGTACAGATCAAATACGGACCCATTGATTTCCAAGTCAGAGAGCCTGCATCGCCACTGTTTGCAAATTTATACCACACAAGCACGGCAATCGAGCTGCAGGTCTCGCAAGAATATCTGGGTCAGCAGACTCATCTGGTGTATCTGCCGCCTTTGTGGGATACAGTTTTGGGCTTTGATATGCGAGTCGACAATCAGACATCACTGGTCCGTGATATCATCGCCGGCAGAACATTCAATCGATCACTAGGTGGATATGCCGCTGTGGTAAATGTCGGCACCAATCAAACGTGGCTGGGAAGCCACCTTTCCATGGCAAATTTCTATGCCTATGGTCGACTTGCGTGGAACCCGGCCGAAGATACTACGAAAATTCATGAGGACTGGACGCGCTTGACTTTTGGTCTCAATCAGAACGTCGTCGACACAATCACCCACATGGCACTCGAGTCCTGGCCTGCATATGAAAACTACAGCGGTAACCTTGGTATCCAGACATTGACCGATATACTGTACACCCATTTTGGCCCAGACCCGCAATCGCAAGACAACAATGGCTGGGGTCAATGGACACGAGCCGATCGCAATACCATTGGCATGGACAGAACAGTATCCAACGGCACCGGGTTCTCAGGGACCTACCCTCCAGAAGTCGCAGCCATGTACGAGAACATCGAAACCACACCAGATAATCTGCTTCTATGGTTCCACCACGTCAACTATACACAAAAGCTCAGATCTGGCGAAACGGTGATACAACATTTCTATGATGCGCACTACGCGGGTGCAGAGACAGCGCAGACATTTGCTCAACAGTGGCAGACTCTGGCTGCCGACATCGATGCTCAACGGTTCGATGAACAGCTGTATCGTTTGAACTTTCAAGCCGGCCACTCGATCGTCTGGAGAGATGCCATTGTCAACTTTTATCACAACGTTTCTGGTGTTGCTGATGAGCTGAATCGAGTCGGTAATCACCCATACCGCATCGAAGCCGAAAGCATGACGCTTAATGGCTACAAAACATATGTCGTGAGTCCATTCGAAACAGCCTCAAATTACCACGCTGTGGTTGTTAGCGATAACACTACTACTGGCTCTGTGTCAACCGTTCTGCACTTTCCTGCCGGTACCTACGATGTAGGCGTCAACTACTACGACTTGTATGGTGGAAAGTCAAAGTATGAGCTGTTCATTGACAACAAGACTGTTGCCAACTGGGCTGGGGACAGTGAGGACTACCTTGGCCATACACCCTCGATTTACCTGGATGGCCATTCGGCGAGAAGAATGACATTCGAAGATATTGCTGTGAAGGAAGGCGATATGCTCGAGATTGTTGGTACGCCTGATGGAATCGAAACTGCGCCATTAGACTACATCGTCTTCTTGCCGAAGGGGATACTTGACTAACGGAGATGATGGCTGCTTGACGGAATATTTTTGCCAAGACTGTTTGAGTGTATGCAAAACTTGTAGCGAGATACACAATATCTGACAGTTGTGGAGATGAGGCTTCCAGGACTTCGACAATGCTGCCTGTTTCCACCTACTTCTCATAGCAGTGCAAAGTGCATCGCCGATCGTGGCACACAAAGCCAATAGATGGCTGTATAGTGGAAGCGCATGATACAGAGTGCAGCTGAGATGATCGCAATGGTAAGTATGCTATGTTGAAAGGGAAAGTTGACCCCGGTTACCCAGGCGACTTTTGCATCGTACGTCCACGTCGTACTACCACAATTCTTCCATATTTCGAAGTCAATCGAGGATCGGCATGTTCATACATGACTTGCGGTGGTTGGTGGCATACGAGGCGCTCGTGGGTCGACCGCTTGCTCCGCCATGTGGGGTCGTGTTACGAACCTCAGGTTATGATGGAAGATAGTACAATTCCCGTACCGTCCTGCAAGCGGTTGAAAACAACAAGCGGTGCATAATTTCCTTACTCCAGCTTGCAAATTTTGACCCAGCCTAGAGCCGTATATAATTAGTGAAATATTGTGGTGCTTCAACTACGAAGGTGTTTTCGTGGCAAGTTTAAGCGTCCTTGTTCAGGACTTCAGCTTCGTCGTTTCAACATTGGAACAGCCGATCGTTGAGGCTGATGTCCTCGGTCTCTCCGAACACCTATCTCGACGCGAACGCTTGTTCACTGTGGCTGATGCTATTCAAGAATGTGGAGATAATTAGTTGCCAACTTTTGAAGAAGGTCCGAGTTCCCAGCTCGATGCGTACTAGAGTTGTGATGATAGAATTTCCTTCTTTCCATTCACCTCTTCAATGCGGGTACATGTGTCGTCAAGCATTACATGGTATAGCCTCACGAGCGTCCAAGACCTTCGTTCCAAGTTGCGACAGTTTACATGAGGCTCGTTTCAGATCAGTTCGTAGCGTTTCTGAACTCAAAAACGATCGAAGATCTGACGCTCACCATAGAAGCCCTTCAGGTAACGGGCCCTGTCAGGATATGAGGAACAATAGAACGGTTTCAATTGTGGCATCTCTTACGACTTGACTATGAAGTGGACGGAATTGGTCTATCACATACCTATTACAGCAACACAGCTGATATCGACTTCCATACGGAAAAATAAATAAAGCAATCCAGGATCCTCCTTCATCATAACATTCTACTATTCACGCAGTCTTCCACATCCGTCAGCATGGACTCTTTCCAGATTTATTCCTACTCCCCTAACTTGGGCGGTACCTTCGACGCTGTAAAATCTCCACCTCCTCAAGATTCAGGCTACGCAAGCGGACCAAACAACCCCTTCGAGAGTGCTTTCCAATCTCACTTTCCCATCAATCCGCAATTATATGCTCCGATACAAGTTTCTGGACTGCAGCAATGTTATACACCCGTCTACGGGTACGCCCCACCGCAAAAGAGACAAGCAAGACCTCAATTACGCCAGCAACAGTCCATGCCTGTCTTGCCATCCAGATATCAACACACCGACTCCTACGAGAGTCTCGACGCACACATAAGCAAATTGTCCATGGACGCAGGCATCAACACTCTAACTGGCTACTGCGATGTTGATTCCATGCTTGCTGCCGCCCACGGCAACACCTGCACAACACAGACCGAGCGTTTTCAAAGCTTTGCCTCTCAACACACGTCTCCAGTTCGCAGCCCTAGGTCCATGAAGACATACCCTCTGACACCACCTCCTCTCATCAGAGAACCTGCTTTTCCGGAGATTGAGACATCTCCCGTCCTTAGTGACGGGTTTTCTGGTTCTCCGACTAGAGTCAACAGGGGTCGTCATCGTGGCCGCTCCACTCACTCGGATATAGAGCGGAGGTATCGCCATAACCTCGTCTCTCAATTCCAGAAACTTGCCAGCACGGTTCCAAATACTGCAACACAGCAGCCAGCACGCGCTGGCCAGACTCCAAAGCCGAGTAAAGCGGAGGTGCTACTTGCTGCTTGTGATTATATCAGGCAGCTGGAAAAGGAAGTTGGGCAACTACGAAATGCTATCGGGTGCGATTTGAGTCCGAGACGGAAAGCACTGGCGACCTAGTCTGTATGTTCATTCTTAGGTAGCAAGAGGTTTTGTTAGGTGAGCTGTTTGGTGTGGGTTTGGCAAGCAATTGACTTGACTGGGAGCCTTCCTTTGCTCAAGGCCTGGTTGTAGAGCTTTGGTTCACATGGGGATGGATATTGGACAACTATCGATAATGAGCATGATATTGCAATCTAGACATCCTAAAGTAGAATATACCAACGGGACAGTCGTCTTATAGATCTTTCATACACAATGCCTGAGCCACAACATGATCCAATTCCTGCATGGCGTCGAGCTGAACACAGTCAACCTCATAATCCAGTACATCCTCAAAAGTTGCCATTTGCGTATCAACCATACACGGATCCATGTAGTGCCCTTCTCGCTTACTCATACGGTCCTTGATGGCGTCTTTGTCATTTGTTGTCAGCAACAAAAACACAATCTTGATGCCTGCGAGCTCATTGAGCTTCCTCAGCTCATCGCGGTAGGTTGCCTTCAATGCTGAACATGTGACGAGCACTCCCGAGGCTTTGGAAGTCGTAAGGGAGTATATAGCGGCACCTCGAAGGTGAGCTAACCAGTTCATGCGCTCTGCGTCTCCGAGCGGGATCTTGTTACTCATCTGCACGCGAGCTGCGATGGAATGTAGCTCGTCACCCTCAATGACAGGCAGTGACAGTGTCTTTGACAGTCTCTCGGCTAGGGAAGACTTGCCAGTGCCACAAGGGCCTCCGATTACGTACGCAGTGCCCAGTGGTTCAGAATCCACCTGCGATGTGTATCTCCCCTCGAGGTAATTGACAATCTTTTGTATAATGTCGACGTCAATAACACCGGCATCTGCGAGAGACGGCGAATGACTCCGGGCAACATCGGATGCAAAAGCCAAAGACTTTCGCGCGTTGTCATTGTCGTATTTGCTTGCAAAGAAGTCGACAAGCTTGATGGACGGATTTTCGACGGGATCAGGATTCGAGGCCCGGAGACGCTTGATCCACTCGCGCTGGTCGACAGTGTCAAAAGAGAGACCAGCTTCTTTCAGAAGTGGCAGTAAGTCTCTTGTCCAGTGGAACGATCTGTGATTGACTATGTTCATGACTCCACTATCAGCACTGCTAAGAGCAATTTCGGTGCAGGCATTTGCAACAAGGTCAACGGGAAGCCATGCAGGACTCTCGTCCAGAGCAGGAAGTGTGCCAGTCGACTTTACAGATTGGAGTATCAGAGGAACAGCCTCTGTTTCGTTCCAAACACCGTGACGGGTATCGCCAATAATCTGGCCGACTCTGAGAACGCGGCACTTCATGTTGGTCTGCTTCGCAGCACGATCGCACAAGCTTTCGGCAACGGACTTTGACTGAGCGTAGCCCATTCCTTGAGCATAGGCAAAAGATTCGGCGACAGCCTCAGGTACGACGCCACCAGGTGTACGGACAGTGGCGCTAACTGAAGAGCAGAAGTTGAACGACGCGGGCTCGGGTCTCTTGGCCTGCAAGCAGAGTCTGGTCAAGTTACGTACGCCACGAATGCAGTCTACCTCGAAGCTTTCGATACTCTTGTTGAAGTTGACCGACCATGCAAGGTGGAGGAGATGCGTGATATCTCTTGAGACTGCTTCATACTGCTGAGAATCGAGGCCAAGTTGTTCTTCGGCAAAGTTGGAAGAATAGGCCATGATCTTCGCTCGAGCAGTTGCGGAGAGTGTATGGAAGAGACGTCGCTCGCGCAAGGATTGCCACACCCTTCTCTCTGCATCTGCCGAGTCTTTGGCTCTGACAAGGCAATACACCTTTCGAGTAGTTGACTGTGCTGCCATGATTGCGACAGCGTGTGCACCCAGCGAGCCTGTGGCGCCAGTAACAACCTATCGAATCTAAGCTTGAGTCAAATATGAGCTTGTGGAGAAACTTACGATATAGGCACCATCGGCTGGTCTTTGAATAGGTTGGTGCTGCTCGAACTGGGCATACCTGTCAACTATGGCTGCCATACGTTCTTCAACGCTGAGCTTTGATTGTTTCTGTCCACCGTTCTGGAGTCGCAGGATCTCGTTGGTCATTTCGCTTAGGGTTGGAAAGTCGAAGACGAAGTTTCGGCCGATGTCTTTTGCCGGAACATCCAGGTTTTTGATAATGTTGCTCCTTGCTTGAATGGCTTGAAGAGAATCGACGCCAAGACTGAAGAGATCAGTGTCATCGTTCAAGCACTCGCCTAACTTGAGCGAGACTCTATGAATGAACTCGTCTCGGAGGTATTCGAGCAATGGATTCTTTGGCAAAACAAGATTTCCGGACTGGTCATCGGCGTACGCGGCATCAATCTGTGCCGAGAAATCGCGATAGAAAGCGGCACGAATAACAGTCCCTTTATCGGTCTTCCTGAACTCAACATCGCTTGGTAACACTTTGATCATCTCCCGCGAGAGATGGGCAAACGATGGTGCGACCTTGTTTGCTTCATTGACATAGGTCATAACTACGTCGATTAAAGCCTCGTCTCCGAGTGCCGACGCAGCGGATGGAACAACAAACGCACCAAGTCCAGGTTTGTTAGCACCAAAGACGACGGCCTCAGCTACATGCTCGCTCTGTCGGATGACTCCCTCAGCGATCAAGGGATTAGCCTTCTCGCCATTCTCGAGTACCAAGGTATCATCCAGACGAGCATAGTATCGCCAAGCGTTTGGAATGGTTGGGTGAGGTTCGAAAAGATCTTTGGTAGCATACGATCCATCATCGCAGTTGGTCGCCACTTTTGAAGGCCAGCCTTCCATGACGCACAACTCGAAAAGATTGGGACCTCTGTTTTCCATTCTGAGATAGGGCTCGAGATGAGGACCTGCACGCAGCCAGTCCCACCCCTTGTCTTCCTTGTGGTTGCGGAACGAGGTCATGAGCTGCCCGAGTTCTGTGGCGCCGTAGTGTCCCACGAGATTGACGTCGGAATCAACAAGTCTGTCGCCGATAGGCTTGGGGCAGGCTGATCCGCCAAACATGACGATTTCGAGATCGCTGAGCAGCTGTAAGCCCTCCTCGGTCTCGCTAAGAAGTTTGAGGGCATAAGGGACGGCATACAGAATCTTGATATCCTGGTGCTCCTTGAGCGTCGCAAGCAGGTGCTGCGATGTGAGCGGCAGCTTGGCATTGTAATTGTAAATCTTTTTACCCGCCCAGATTGCCCTGAAANNAAGAAGGCAGATGCCATGGTTGTGGTAGAGCGGAAGGGTAATATGACCGACCCGGTTGAAATGTTGAGGGTAAGCATATAGAGAGGCTTTGTGTGTTCGGAAAATCGGTTTCGGGAGACCTGTGGAACCACTTGAATGGATGATGAAGGAGATGTTGAGAGTCTCTCTGGAGGAGTCCAGTCTTGCAGGCTTGAGGTTTGCAGTTGCATCCGGCAGGGACTCGATGTCGCAAATCTCGATGATTCGCAAATCAGGTTTCTGGGCCATCAGTGCAGACGCGGTGACCTGGAAAGCTTCATTGTAAAGGAGTCCTGTGGCCTTTGTCGATGATAGAAGAGATTCATGAGCTTCATCGGTGATTCTGGTTGAGAGCAACAGAACTGAATGACCTAGTCGAGAGATAGCCAGAAGGGCTACCAAGTAGCTAAAGTCGGAGGGGCCTAGAAGTCTGATAACTTGCACTGGATCATCTGATGTTCGTCTCTGAGGGATGGTCGCCGCATAACATGACGCGGCTCTTTCGACGAATCTGTTGAGTTAGTGAGGGGTATGATCGGTATACGCTGTGCCATGCTCAGGATAAGCGATAGTGGGAGCATTTCTTCCATCTTGGTTGGCTCTCAACTCAATGAGCTCGTCGACAGTTGAAGGTGTAATCGTCTCAGTCGTGAGCACTTGCTGTGTGCGGGCCTCCGATACTCTGAAGCTTGATTACTTGCTGTCCAACGTGGCAGTCCTGCTCGAGATGGGAAGTACGTCGGTCATGGTAAATGAATGAGATTGTAGATTGGTCAATTCCAGTTTGGACGATTCTTAAAGCCATATATAGAGACAAATCTCTCGAGACTAGAGATTGAAGTTATGAGACCCCGCTCCCAGATCAAGTTCCGTCTGCCCTAGTTGGGGCGGGATGTGCGGGCGGAAGATGATGGCGCGAACACCCGAGCTTCCGCCAACGGCGTACCAGAACATGCTTGCGGAAGTTTTGCGGAAGGAGTGGACAACGCCATGTTCAACTCCCGCCCACGAGACGAACCTGTAGATACACGCTTCCAATTGATGCGTCTCGACGCTCTGCATCCCACATCGTGCTCCTCCGGATCTTCATCGCCATAGCGGGGCCCCATACGGGGTATGCTGGGCGCAGAACTCGGTACTTCAATCCAAGACTTTGATCTTAGCAGGGGGAAACCAAGCCTCAAGTGTCTGTATCGGCCAGCTATATCTCTGCTGTGCCAGTCATCACATTCTCCATCAGTTTCTCACAACACCTCTTTGGTTCTTGCTTACTCTAGACGAACACCATCTCTTTCCATACCGATTATGCTCAACAATCTTGACCTCAAGCATGGCGGAGGATCGCCATCCTCAATCGCCAAAGATCCCGAGTCAGTCGAGGTCTACGAGTACAACAAGTATGCAGGCATGGGCCTGACTCACGAAGAGGCCGACTTCTTTGAGAGCTTTTCTGCAGACCAGAGGAAAGCACTAGTCAGAANNAAGGTCGACTTGAGGCTCGTCCCTGTCCTTGCCGTACTCTACCTTTTCTCTCACATTGACAGAGCCAACATTGGCAATGCGAAGATTGAGGGTATGATGGACGATTTGAATATGAGTGGTCTTCAGTACAACATAGTGCAAGTCCACGTGTTTCTTCCTGATCACGACCATGAGCTAACTTCCAATCACAGTCTCTCCATTTTCTTCATTCCTTATATCCTGCTAGAAGTACCATCCAACGTCCTCCTGAAGAAGTTCAAGCGTCTTTCGACTTACATCGGTATCCTGGTTGTTACATGGGGCACCATCATGACGATGACTGGTCTTGTCAAGAATTTCGCTGGCCTCATGGTCTGCAGAGTGCTCCTTGGAATCGCGGAGGCAGGCTTTTTCCCTGGTGCTGTGTACCTCATCACTCATTGGTATGCCCAGCGAGCAGTCCAGACTCGTCTTGCCTTATCTTACTGCGCTTCCGCTCTTTCTGGTGCTTGCTCAGGTCTTCTAGCCTTCGCCATCTCGAAGATGGACGGGCTTGGTGGAAGGCCTGGATGGGCTTGGATTTTCCTTCTTGAGTACGTCTATCCTCTAGCAGAAGTCGTGGGAGGCTTCTCTACTTCTGATTCCTTTCCCCAAAGCAGCATACTAACCCTCCTCACAGGGNGTATCGTCACAGTCATCGTGGGCGCTGCTTGCTTCTTCATTATGCCCGACACACCTATGCTATCCGGTAGATGGCTCAACGCAGACGAGCAGCGTCACCTGGTGCTCCAAAACATCATTGAGAACGCTGGTCGTGGTACATCCGACGACGGCGAGAAAGCCGACAAGTTCAAGTGGTCTTACCTCAAGGATCTGCTTACAGACTACAAAGTCTACCTTCAAGCATCGATTCTCTTCACTGCTTCCGTCTGCGCTTATGGCCTCAAATTCACCTTCCCCTCTATTACTAAATCGATGGGTTACACTTCCTCGCAAGCACAACTCATGACAATTCCCNCCTATGTCGCTGGCGCTATTTCCGCAGTTGGGCTGTCCAAGCTTTCCGATCGTTTCCAATGGCGTGCTCCCTTCATCTTTGGTCAGATGGCCATTGTAACTCTTGGTTTCGCCATGCTTCTTGCACTCGCACCCAACATCAAGCATCAGATCCCCGCATGTTACATCGGTGTCGTGCTTGTTTGTATCGGCCAATACCCAACCAACCCTGCAGGCTCTGCTTGGATCTCGTCAAACCTTGCTGGTAAATCAAAGAGAGCCATGGGTATTGCTCTGAAAATTGCTCTTGGAAATTGTGGTGGTATTGTCGGATCCTACATCGTAAGCCTAAATTTCCCTCTTTTCGAATCTCCGAGCAACATAATAACGCATGTCAACAGTNTCTTCGACAACGAGAAGCCGGGATACCCCACGGGCTTCGGTATCGGACTTGGTTTTGCCGCATTCACTCTTCTCAGCACAGTCGTTCTCGAGCTCTCGTACATGCGTCTTGACAAGAGGAGAGATGCCTTGGATGAGTCCGAGGTCAGGGAGAAGTATAGTGAGGAAGAGTTGCAGAGAATGGGAGACAAATCGCCATTGTTCAAGTACAAGCTCTAGAGTGGCGGCAAATGGAACCGTTATGTATGGCAAGTGGGGGAATGTCCTGTGTCATGATCTTTAACGGAATAGTTATGTCAGGCGTTTATGGCTTTCGTATATAGCTCAATGTTTGTAGCTCAATGTTACGACTCATCTTGATTACTCCCGATGCGTTCTGCATGTGTCTTATCTTATGAATTCAAGCCGCTATAACACTTGATCCTGAATGCTCATGCGTATTCCCAGATGTCACTGCTCTACCTTCAAATACCTGTTCTAGGGAGAGACTTGTCATTTCTGGGGATCTCTCAAAAGACACCTACCACGATTGCCGAGGTTTGACTAGAATGCTAATCCGGCAGTGATGAAGCCACACATTGGAAAATGCTTGTCCGCTGCCAAATTCGTCCTTGACCTGGTACACGATCTTGTGGCAGACAACAACTTGATACCCGCGTTCTGGAATACCCAATATGTCACCTTCAATGCCTTGACGATTGTCTACGTTTGGATTATGCAGCGAAAACAAGGTCACCTGTCCATCATTTCCACCGAGCACGATGAGATGGCCCTGTTCGAGTTGGCCAAATCAGTACAGTCTCACCTTGCCAGAGCTACCAACGCAAACTCTCCTAGCTTGCGCTATAGTATCATTCTTGAGGAACTGCAGCAAGAACTGTCTTGTATTCTGGAAAGACCGGAGTACAACAATACACACACTACAGTTGGTTTGACCTCGCGTGAGCATGGTCAGCATGCCGGTGTGAACTTGTCACTGGAGGAGAGACAGTGGGAGGGACTGGGAATGGATTTCCCGTTGGATCCTGAGTTATGGTTGCAACTTGACACTTTGCTGTTCAGCACAGTCGAATTGTAATATCGATGCGAAGTTACCCTTGGGATCATAGTAGGCTGTAGGCTGAGCCCACCCACTTTGCCGACCTCGGGGACCACTTTTGGCGCAATTCAACAATGAGGAAAAGGACTCTAATCTGAATACATTACACAGCTCTAAGGAGACATGGTTGTGCAAGCCAGGCTCACATTACTCATTCTGTGGACTACAGTGCATATCTGTAGTCAGGATGACATTGCCATCTCTGAGACAGTGCTGTCACCCTTGTTCCTACAGCTGTCCTTTCAATCCTATCGTCTTCATCGCTTGCTTGGTCAAGCTTCCTGTTCCTCCAGCCAAGATAGAATCGAAGAGTAGTCGCAAGTGCAATGCAAGCTGCCGAGAACGCCACGTTGACGACATTGGCTTGCCAGTATCGTGGTCCTTGGGACGCGGGGTAGATGTACGATGCAAAGATCGATGCGAGATTTGATCCAGCATTGACAACAGCATATGCGACCGCGCGTTTGGACGATGGACGAGGTAAGGTGGAGGATACCCATGATAAGATGCATCCAAAGCTGCCATAGACAGACATCATCATGAAAGTCGCCGTGTACCTTGCCGCGACATTTAGCGTCACTGCAGAGATGATGAATCCTATACTGCAGAACACCTGAGGCCAGACAACATGAAGCCAACGTTCGCGGGTCTTGTCCGAGTGCCAGGAATTGGTGATACCCAGGATGGCAGCAAAGACATATGGTGGAGCCGACAACAACAGAGTCTGGGTTCTGTTGTATCCAAGAGTCTTGACGATGGTCGGGAAGAAGTTGGTGAATGCTGCTGCGGTATTCAAGCTCAACTGCATAAACCACAAGATGTATAGTGAGGGGTCGGCGAACGCCAGCTTCAGTCCTTCGCGAGAGCTCGATTTGTGGACGTCCTGTTCGTTTGCATCTTCGGCGATTCGGAGTGTGGCAAGGTGTCTTTCTTGCTCAGTCAGNCCTACATGTCCGTCAGCTGATGTCCTTAAGGGGAATGTGCTAGCTTCGTACCACTTTGTGGTGTCAGGATAGTTTGGCAGCACGAAAGCAGCTGCAAAAGCAATCGGAATGGTCGCAGTTCCTTCAATGATGACTAGANNAAGCATTAGTACACGGCAACAGAGAAGCCAATATTTTCAGGATAACTGACAGAGCCATCGCCATGCAGCAAGCCCTGCTTTGCCTTCCATGCCACCCATGATGGCACTACCCAAGAGTCCTCCAAAAGCGCCTGCCATCTGACCAGCCGCGTAGAGGATTGAGATACGCTTTGCAAGCTCTTTCTTCGTGTACCATGAGGAGAACAGGAAGAGGGAGCCGGCTACAAAGTCACGGTCAGCTGTGCGATATCAAGCACACCATGAGACACTCACGAAANNGAAGGGCGCTTCGACAAACCCAAGTAAGAAACGTAGTGCAATCATCCCGTGGTAATTCTGCACCGCACCAGAGCAGGCGCTAACAGCTCCCCAACAGCACATGATGCAGGGCAGGAAGACGGAGGGCTTGACCTTGTCCAAGATCATGTTCGTGGGTACCTGCGTCAAGATGTATCCCACAAAGAAGATGGAGATGATGGTGTTGTACTGGGTACCTTCCAAACCAAGGTCTTTCTCGAATGAGCCAAGACGAGCAACTGCGATGTTATTGCGATCAAGGTAGTTCAGTACGTCTTTGTAAGAATTCACGTCAGTCGATGGATCTGCAACATCGAATTCGAGGGCTCGACGTACANNGATAAGCATCATCATTGGCATCATCCTCATGTCAATCTTCTTCAGAAGCTTCTTTTCCTCGGTGATTCTATCGGCGGCAAAGGTGGTCTCGAGATTGTCATCGATCTTGTCGAGACGGACAACATCTTGTAGCTTGCTGTTGAGATCCATGATGTCTGCGCTGAAAAGAAGAGTTCCAGAGACAGATACGAAGATATGTTGAGCGAGTCTAGCATCTTTATATGGAGCTTTCAAACTCTCCAGGAAAGGCTTTGGAAAAGGATCTGGGGTCTCCACAGCTTCTCCGCTGCGGAACGACTCGAACGGCGATTTGCGCTGAAGCGATGGAAGGATTCTTACCCGACGACTGGTGTGCAGGATGTTGTGAGAGTACCCGGTCGGCTCGGAAATCCTCTTGGCTGCAGATCACCTCCACTGTGTCCCTTGCGGGTTCATGAGCACTGCGGGGTTAGCCTCGTTGACCTATAATTCAAAACATACCAACTCCCAGATGTGTCGTGCCGGGTAGACAAACAGAGTCAAAACCTCAGTCCAGTCTTTCGACACCTCAACACTCGAACCAAACATGCCGATAGAGAACAGACCTACCATACTGTGGATCGGTGATGCCGTCAAACACAACCCAGCTGTTTACAAACGTCTGGAAAGCCAATTCAGAATCATTCGACCAGAAATTGAGCTCCGCCAGCGTCCTGCGTTCTTACAAGCACTCCGGTCAAGGACTTGGGGAGAGTTCGATGCTGTTCTTCGACCCTTCTGGGTGACCGGTGGTGAGATGGGTCGTTGGGATACCGAGTTGGTCCCACTCCTCCCCAAATCATGCAAAATTTTCGCCAGTGCAGGCGCTGGCTATGATTGGGCCGACGTTGATGTGCTTGCCGAGCACGGTATAGTGTACTGCAATGGTGCACAGGCATCCTCAGAGGCAGTTGCAGATATGGCTATATTCCACATCCTGTCAGTCTTCCGCAACCTTACCTGGTCTCATCTGGCTGCTCGCTCAGGTGATGCTGAGCAATGGTTAGATGCGCACGCAAATGCTACCATGACGGCTCACAACCCACGCGACCATATCCTTGGTATCATTGGACTAGGAAACATTGGCTACACCATCGCCAAGAAAGCGTTTGCTGCCTTCGGCATGAAGATTCACTACTTCGATGTCAGTCAAAAGTCACGTCAACAAGAAGAAGCCATCAACGCGACGTTTGTGGACAGTCTCGAGTTGTTGCTGGGTAATGCAGACTGTGTTCTTCTTGCGACTCCATTCGGCGGAAAGAAGGTCATCGACGCTGAGAGCTTGGCCATGTTCAAGGAAGGATCTCGATTCGTCAACATCGCAAGAGGTACTCTGGTTGACGAAGACGCTCTTGTGGAAGCTCTGAAGAGCGGCAAACTCTTCGCTGCTGGACTGGATGTTTACGAGAACGAGCCGAACGTCCATTCAGAGCTTTGTGAAATGCGCAATGTGACCCTCACTTGCCACAATGCTGGAGGAGCTATCGAGACAAACTACGGATTCGAGAGATTGGCAATGGAGAATGTTGAAGCGATGTTGCTGACCGGCAAGGCACTGACACCTGTCAACGCGCATTTGATCAATGATTGAGGTATGAATGTCGCTACATCGTTCGAGACCTTAAGTCCAAGATAGATGAGCTGGAGGTGATATTCCCTGATTAGCTTCTGTTGATACATAAAAGAACTTCAAATGTTCATCGAAATTGTGCCCGTGCAATGTGTTGATTGATGCTTGTCGACTGTGCTTGCAGAGTGGCCTGCATGTTATGGACGTTACCGGTATCGATCATGGCAAGGTATGAATAGTAGCAGTCATGTAGACGCTCCTTGTGACGGAAGGATCAGTGGCTTGTTGTCGAAGGAAGGATCTTGCGTCGGAAGCTGTTGCCGTGCGCAGTAGTTTCGATCGACGCACGGCTTTCTTGCCGGCTCGCCAAAACGGGTGGGTCGCGTTTGAGACGGCCAGCAACCCAGAAACTCAGCCGAGCAGGATCCGACCAAACCTCCTCGCGGGCCCTCCGTGCCATGACTCGAGAGCACGCCTCTTTTCAAAGTGATATATGATCGACCATCCTCTTTGTGATATGCATCCTCCATCGCCTATCCTCTCCAATCACACTCAACACACCCCAGATCTCCAGAAATGGGTGGCTTGCATGCCGTCGAAGATCGCCCTACACCCAAGGAGGTATACAATTGGCGATTATACACAGAAGCTTTGATCATTGCAACTGGATCGTTGCTGTAAGCTCTCAACAGCTCATCGTTCCCGAGCATCTCTAACATAGTCTTAGCTNTTGGCTATGACTCAGCATTTGTCGGCACGACCATCGCTCGTGCTAGCTTCAAACGCGACTTTGGTATCACGAAGGCCACAGCTGCCGGCATCTCCAGCAACATCACTTCTGCGTTCCAAGCAGGAGCCTTCTTCGGCGCCCTCTTTTGCTACTTCCGTGAGTTGCCTGCCATTCTCGATCTCTACCGCTCAGACTGACGAACATGCGCAGTCACTGAGCGCGTCGGCCGCAAATGGGCCCTGCAGGCAAATGTTGTAGTCTTTGTTGTCGGGGCTGTGCTTATGACCGTGGCCACTCATCAGCTTTCGTTCATCTGTAAAACACCTATGCCTTCTACCACGCCTTGACTGACAAGTGAAACAGACGCAGGTCGTGTACTCACCGGCCTCGGTTGTGGTGCCATCACAGCCACGGTCCCAAGTTACATCGCTGAGCTCTCCGTCCCGTCCATCCGTGGTATCCTGACTGGCCTCTTCGAGATAGCTTATCAACTGGGCTCATTGGTCGGCTTCTGGGTGAACTATGGAATCAACAAGAACATGAATGTCAAGTCTTCCTTGAGTTGGAGACTCCCCATGGCTATACAACTAATCCCCGCTGCAATTCTTTTGGCTGGTGGTTTCCTCCTGCACGAGAGCCCTCTGTGGCTCATGCGCAAAGGCCGTGAGACCGAAGCGAAGGAAGCCCTTGTTCAGCTACGCCATCTTCCCGTTGAGCACGAGTGTGAGTCTATGCGTATCTGAAGATCCGAGACGACATACTGACAGTGTCAAGACCTTCAGGAAGACGTTCAAGATATGCAGAATAGACTAAATGAGGAGGCAGCAATCGCGGCACGTTATGGTAGTGGCTCGTTTGCCTTCATCCGGGGTTGTCTGAACGAGCTATCTCGTCCCGGCATGCGCAACCGTGTCCTTCTTGTCTTCTGCGCTTTCGCTTTGCAGAATCTCTCGGGTGCCTCGGCCATCAACTACTACTCGCCTACGCTATTTGGTTCTCTTGGTGTCACGGACATTCCATTGTACACTGGAATCTATGGACTGGTCAAGGCTATTGCTTCGATCATCTATTACATCTTTTTCATCGATGTGCTCGGGCGTCGCAATCCTGTGCTGGTATCCTCAGCCGCTTGCTCGTTTTGCCTGTGGTTTGTTGGAGCATACGTCAAGATTGGTCATCCAGCAGACGCCATTGCTGCGGGTGTGCCTCTGTCAGCGTCCACAGCAGCCGGCGGCCGTGCTGCTATTGGCATGATCATGATCTACTCTATCTTCTGGTCTTTCGGTTTGAACGGAATACCTTGGATCGTGTCGGCTGAAATCTTCCCTGGATCGCTCAGAGTGCTGACTGGAACCTATGCTGCACTTTGTCAATGGCTAGTCCAGTTCGTCATGACAAAAGCCTTGCCGTACATCTTCAGCTCTTTTGGATATGGCACGTGGTTTTTCTTTGCTGCATGGATGTTGATCGCGACACTTTGGACTTACTTCTTCATGCCTGAGACCAAGGGCTTGACGATTGATCAGATGGATACGTTGTTTGGCTACCAGGGACGCGCAAGAGCAGATGATTCTGAATTTGGAGCAAATGATAAGCAGAGCGTCGACTTCATCGAGAAGTTTGGCGCATTTACGACCGAGTATGCGGAGCGGTCCTCGCGGTGAATTAGCACATTACAAATACGGCCGCGATTCTTTGTGTGGAAAGTCCAGTGTTTTACTTGACTGGTGTTATCATTTGAACAACGCATGATACGCGTGTGAGCACTGCCGAATCTGAACATCGCAAAGGTAACTTTACCTCCCGGGCATCCCTACAGGTCTCCATTGTTTCGCTTCTTCTATTTGTGAAGTTACGTGCAAGCAAAGACAACTTGTAAAGTCATGTCGAGGTTCTGTGCCAGGGTCGTCCTGCTAACAATAGCCAGCCGAGATCGGATGTCCACGGTGCATCTCCGCAACTCGCCAGGTTGCACAGAAACATCCCTCGGTATGAACGACCAACACACGCAGAGCAGGAGCAGCAACGCATCACGATTGGGCCGCTCACGTCTCGGCTGTATAACCTGCAAACGGAGGAAGGTGCGATGTAACGAACAACGACCGAGGTGCTCGCACTGCGAGCGACTCAATCTCCAATGCTCATGGAAGACGAACACGACACTCGCTCTTGCTGCTGCACAGAGGCGTCAAACACCCTTGCAAGGGCTTAACGGAAGCGGAATCATGGATGCGACACATAGCGTTGGCGGTGCAACTTCCGTGGCTGCTCTCAACGAGTCGGCGCGATCTCTGCCAGTCGTACATGACTCTGTGCCGACTTCAACATCGCCAGCCACAACACAACATGCGCCTGCTGTTGACAACTTCTTCGACTATGCAGGATTCATGTGGGATAATACTGAGTGGTGGCAGCAGTTTCAGCCTCCTGACGCGTTACTGCCCAACAACCAAGTCGATCAGACCATCTCCAATTTGTTCAGCTCGCCCAGTACAAACTCGCCATCTTTCATAGTCGCTAATGAGGCACGCCAAACTGAACGTATCGTCATGTATCATACTCAGGGTGGAAACACGCAAGCGGAAAGAGCGCAGGACTACATGCAGACAAACACAGGTGATCAGTTCTTGCTCGATTACTTTGTCCATAGCACTGTCCCTCCAATACTGGCACCGGTCGAGACACAGCAGCAATGGGCCTCAATGCGACGACATCTTCTCGTCATGGCCCAAGAGTCGTCAATGGTACGCTCTGCACTTCTCAGCTTCTCCGATCTGCTGGTACGTCGCCGTCGCCAAAACGTGACCACCTCCACCGCAGGGCAAGTGCACCATCAAGAATCAGTTCGAGAACTGTCCGAGTATACTGGAGATCCCGAGTCAAGGCAACCAAAACGTGAGCACCTTTTAGCGACTTGTTTCTTTCTGAGCTACGTCGACATACTCGAAGGTCGGACGGAAGCAGCGCATGGCAGCTTGAAGATTGCATACCACATATTTGACAAGGGCGAGAAGGCGAACTTCAGCCCTCTAGAGATACGCACTCTCTCCTGGATCAGGTTGCTGGATGGGAGAGCTGTCTCTGCTGGTGGTGAGGGCTTGTTCTTGTCTGATGATGAGGCGACAGAAATGCTCGTGCAGCCCTCACCAGCCGGCTTGGATTGTTTGCCGGGTGACACGGACGCCACAAATAACGCCGACCAAAGCGCCGAGATTGAGGATGCTCTCTTCCAAGCACTCTATCAACCAGGCGCTGTGTTCTTCCAGAAGGTGCAGTCATTCATGGGTCGCATATCAAAGATCGATCCATGGCATAGAAGTCGAGGTACGGTAGCAGATGAAACCGAAGTGATGATTGTTGCTGCCAAGATCACTCGAGATCTCGACAAGCTGTTCGATAGCCGACCTCGACTCATGGACTATGCAGCAAAAGGCCAACTTACACCACAGTATCTCAGCCCTCACCTTTCCCATACCATCACTCGAGCCTTTCGAACCTATGCAAGTAACTTCTATGCAAGCAAAGTACATCTTCACCGAGTCGCATACAAGACGCTGCCTTTGGCTATGGATACCGTGCTTGCGCTTGCGAAAATCAAAGAGCTTGCCAGAATGATGGTTGACACACCGTCGGAATCTGGCATCGAAGGCGGCGAACCATTGCCCGTCAACATGCTTTGGCCACTACTCATGCTCGGGTCAGAAGAGGAGGATTCTCAAGAACGACTCTGGATCAGAAGTCAGATATGCAGAATGCAGGAAGTGGCCACCAACGCAGAGATGACAGCACAAGTCTTGGACGAGGTCCAGAAGATGCAAGATTCGACAAAGACACGGGTCGACATTCGCAGTATCATGCACAAGATCTTTGATGCATGCTTTGCCATTGTGTGATCGAGCCTCATGTACATACGGCACCTCTGTTCGCAGATTCACACGACCAAACCGACCATCGCAATGAACGCTCGATCAATGCCATACCCGACAGGATAGGTCGCTGTGCGATGGTGCGCTTGACCCGGGTCTCGCCGTCGGCCAAGTCCTCGGCTCGCGACTTGGAGCCGATCGGATACTGCTCGAGTGGAGTTGTGGAGCTGCGGGGGTCTCATCGCGAGCAACGTCCCACCCCACAATTGGCGAGCGACAATGGCTCCAGTTTACACGACCGGTGCCGAAGAAGTGGTTCCTTGTGTCCAATCTAATGCCGACGCGGACATTGGTTGCGACGATGCCGATTGCCTGAACAACAAAATGTTTTGCTTGAGCATGTCACCCCGCCTTCTCCTAGAACTTCTTCAGCCATCCCTCTCTTTGTTTTCTCGAGCTTCGAAGTTGTGATAACTCAAACCATCGCCATGGTCCACAGCACTACATCGAAACCGTTTCCTCCTGGAATTCACGTACCTAGTCTTACGTGGTTCGCCGATGACACCACTCAAGAGATTGATTGGCCGACACAGACTGAGCATATCAAGTTCTTGATCTGTTCTGACCTCCATGGCAGTATGTGGCAAGACTATCCTACCTCCCCAATTCATACTGACCGGATCTTCCCGTAGNTCGTACTCGCTGGTACCAATGGAGAGGCTGTGACTCTGTCGCCAAAGGAGAAGTCCGACCTTGTCAGCACAACTCGCAAGCTTACCAATGAACTCGGCCGACCTGAGGTTACAATCACACTCGGCTGTGGAGGACAAAGCACCCGAGATGTCATTGCAGAGACAAAACTTGCTCAAGAAGCTGGAGCCGACTTCGCACTGGTTCTCGTGCCGAGCTACTTTCATTTTGCAATGAACGAGGACGCCATTGTTGAGTTCTTCCAGGAGGTGAGCATTGCAGTCACTTTGGGATCACGTATATTTCTGATTTGGTACCCAGNNCTTGCCGACGCCTCACCCATTCCCATCCTGATCTACAACTTCCCTGGTGTTGTTGCTGGACTTGATGTCAACTCCGACATGCTTTCAAAGCTCGGCAGTCACCCCAATATTGTCGGTGTCAAGTTGACCTGCGGAGGCATTGCCAAGGTAGCCCGCATTCGTGCGCAATTCTCGCCTGCCGAGTTTTGCGCCCTCGCCGGACAAAGTGACTGGCTCGTCCCAGCTCTGGCCGTCGGCGCGACTGGAACCATCACTGGTGTCGCAAACCTATACCCGAAATACTGCATTGAAATCTACAACTTGTGGACGCAAGGCAAGACCAAGGAAGCCGAGAAGGCACAACTGGAGCTTGCAAAGATGGAGTGGGGATTCGCAAAGGGTGGTATCAATGGCACAAAATGGGTTGTTGCGAAACTTAGAGGATACTCGCTCAACAACTGTCACTGTAGGCGGCCGTATCCCAAGTTTGTTGACACGAAGAAGCAGGCTTGGGTTTTTGATACTGTGAGTCCGCTCCAGAAGCAAGAGGAGAACCTAGTCTGAACTACCAATGTATGCTGCACGATCGAAACATCCATAAATGTACCTTATTTCTATTTGTCTCTGAATGGCAGACAAGATGACATGTAGAGGTCAGTCGCCAGGCCGAATTATCATACGACAACTATTTGACCGTATGAACCCTAAATGCAACTTTCAAGCAAACCACCAACTTGAACTCAGCCATAGAGCATCATGAACTTGAGCATAGAACAAACCCTTCGGGTGAGATTGGCCGCAGATTTCGATTTCGCTGCGAATACCCAAACCTCGAACCTCAATCAGAAGCTCTTGACCTATCAATAACTCCTACACTCGCACCAATCTACTGGCTCACATGGCTGCTGAGGTCGCAAGCAATGAAGTCCGCATTCTTCTCCAACGTAGTAGCATAGCGAGGCGCATTCATCCCAACGGAGATGGACTTTCCGCTCAAAGGAATGTGTTCCAACCAGGATCTTCGCCATGCTGGCGGATAAGGAGCATTTGCGACCAGATTGTCCCCCTGCAGAGATCTCGTTGGTACACTTATCTCAGGCGACTCGGCTTCCATGTCGCTAGGGCACAGCATAGACCATTGCAGCTTGTCCGTTGATACGGCCCTGAGGAGTTCGAAGTTCTGGCGATGCTCCAGGTAACTAGGGATACTAGGACTCGTCAGCATCTGTTGTTCAATAGCTCACATCGAATTCTACACTTACTGATTGGGAAGCATGGATTCGGTGCCTGGAAAATACATTACTCCGAGACCACCCAAGAACCAAACTCTCAGAGGCTTGTTCTTCTGCTCGCCAGCTTCCAAGACAGCGGTAAAGACTGCACGGAATATGGCAGGCAGAGTGCCCTTGTTTCAGGGCGCCATGGCGGCAACACCAGCGCAGTTCACAACGGCATCGCAACCTTCTTTGAGAATGGTGTCTATGATTGCCGTTGAGTCCATTGCGTGTCCAACTACCACAGTAATCTGGCTTTGCACAGTCGCCGGGAGGTGAGACTCGAGCTTTTTTNNTGCGTTCCGGGCATATGCCACGACTGTGTGACCATGAGTGATTAGTGCTGCAGTGACCCGGAGACCGACATTGCCATTGGGATCGATAACGAGAACTTTCATGATTGTGATGGATCGAACCTGCTCGACGTTGATAGAGCGAGCTTGAAGGTTGGGGAGTTGTAAGGAGATAGAGAAGTGCTTGTGAATTCGTAGGCACACTTGAGCAGGGCGATTTCTTTTGTAGGCCGAGTTCACATAGTCAGACATGTGATTCTGCGGATAGAGTTGCCGTAAATCTCGTGGTGTCGACATATTATGTACTGTAAGCTGCGCCGTTCGACCATCCCGCTACGGCATGCAAATCTCTACACGAACTACCTGAAAGGTTTCGCGCATGGATCATCAACTAGTTCCTCAGAAAGCCACGGTCTAAGATCGCATCAATATCGCAAGCCGGAGCGTGTCTACTAGTCAGGCTGCAGTATCTGTGGGTTTGACTTTCATTTCTCAAGTTCGTCACGTCAACAACACATCGCGCCCCTTGCAATTATGTTTTCGCACGCCACGAGCTTCATACGAGCTACCCAAGCGTTCATTTGACAGCGAAGGAGGAGACAGAAAATCAGGCAGCAACGATGCAGCGTGGGGTTTCTCGAAGGATTAGCACATGACAACGCCGAAAGTGTCTTGGGGGCGTATCACTGCAACTCGACCCACTCAAGAAGAAGGCACAACAGCATGACGGTTCGCTTGCACCATGTACATAAGAGCATGGTCCCACCCTACTGACAAAATATGATTGCAAAACATCAGTACGTCGATACCGACTACCATGGCGTCAAACCCACCAGCCCGTTGCTGCATCGTCGGTGTCAAACATGAGGGTAGTAGCAAGGGGGAGATTGGGAACATTGGTGATAGTGAGTTCAGATAGTTACTTGTATGCCTGCGTCGCAAAGAATGTTGATGAACTACAGTCTCAACCTATTTCTCCTATCCAGAAGACAAACAGACCGAAAACGCTATACTCATTTTTACTGATTTCTTCGGCCATCAGTTCATCAACATTCAGCTGTAATGCACACCTCAGCGCTCTGCGTTGTTCAAGAAGGCTGCTGACTCCCATCTCTAGTNNATTGCTGACCAATTCGCCGCGAATGGCTATTTCGTCGTAATGCCTGACCTGTACGAGGGCGATGCTGTCTCTCTTGACCGTCCTGAGGATTTCAATGTCATGGCTTGGGGTCAGAAGGGTGGTCCACAGGGAAAAGGCCACGGGCCCGGACAAGTCGATCCCATCATCGAGACTGTGATCGAAGAGATGCGTTTGAATCTTGGCGTCAGAAAGATTGGTAGCGTAGGCTACTGCTTTGGTGCCAAATATGTCGCCCGCTTCCTTGCCAAGGACAAGCGAGTTGACGTCGGGGCGATGGCGCATCCAAGTTTTGTGGATGTTGATGAGTTGAAAGCAATTGAGCGACCGTTGACTATCGCAGCGGCAGAGGTCGATCATATTTTCTCGGAGGAGAAGAGGCACGAGACGGAAAAGATCTTGAAAGAGGGTAAGAGGACTTACCAGATCACTCTTTACAGTGGTGTTGAGCATGGCTTCGCAGTGCGTTCAGACATGACCAAGAAGGAAGTGAAGTATGCCAAGGAGGCCGCATTCATACAGCAAGTGCAGTGGTTTCGTGAGTGGTTGCAGGAGGAATAGCACTCTTGTTCAGCATCACCCATATACCTGCAGAAGCCGGGACAGGAAGCGGCGAGATTGCAAGTGTGCGTATCGGTTGTTTGATCGTTCTTCTGATCCCTTCTGCAAGCACAGTCATGGCCCCTGCTTTTCAGGACTGTCTCCACAAGATAAATCTCCTGCAGCCTGTTACAAGTTTTATCAAGTCTTTCACACTACACTGACTCCTCCATCATGAACAATGGCGCTTCATCAACGGCGGATACAGCAGTGGCACAGTGGCATCTGATTGCTGAGGGGTACAGCACGACACCAGAATACCCATATGCGCGCAGGGGTCTTGCGAGACATAGACCACGAGCTTGTGTCCAGGTGTTTTTCTCTGGGCGACGAGATGTCGAAAGATATCTCATGAATCGGTGTCTGGCTGGTGGGTTCTGCTTCCTTGTATCGCAGGCGCATCTTATCAGCCTGCGGGTCAGATGTATATCCTTCGACAACGAGCCGAATTTGAGATGGAAAGCTGGGCGAAAACCCAATCGTACATTCCTCTTGAAGCACATCTCTCTGCTTGTTTATAAGCAAGCAATGCTCCAAGCGATACAGCTGGCATCCAAATTCATCTCGACAGGATCGAAATCATCGGCATACGCGATTGCATAATTGATCAATCCTCTTATGAATGGGACCCATGCATCTGTTGCACTGTGATCTTGTAAACCACCTTTTTGAAAACATTTGGTCGATCTGAAAGCGACATATGTGTTGCAGCTCTAATATGCAGGCTTGGTGAGGCTGGGTGCTCGAACCAGAATTGGAATGCTAAACAAAGTACCGAGCAGGACAGTGAGACTTCAAGCGGTACCTGCTGTTCAGCGGGCCTGATGTACGCTTGGGAAGCCCATCCTACATGAGTAAGCGCGAAGACATCATGTCCTGACCCCGGAAGATTCTTAGTGTGATCGACTGGCGCTATGTGCAGTCCTCGTTGGAATGACCCGATCGCGACAAAACTGTGGAATATTGCTTCGCTGTGTGTCGCAAGCTGAGGAGCTAGTCGAGACCAAAAAGTAAAAGAGTTGTTTTGGAACAAGGCCAATGCTTTAGCACCCTCATCTGCCAGATATTGGAAGCTGTCGCGTTCTCGATCAGACGTGAATCTAGGGCCTGTAGATGGCTCGAGTAGCAGGGTGGCTCGGGGCGGATAACCACCGCACTTGAAGTTACGCTTTGTACACCTTTTGCATGACGGTCGACCTTCATCGCATTTGATGTGTCGTGACTATTCTTGCTTTAGATTGGAGACATGCCCTCAAAAGCTCTCCACTCACTTTGCACGTGAGACAACCAGTTGTGACCTTATGATGCCGCTTTCTAGTCCGGGCGACGTTCGTGCCGACTCTGAAAGTGAGGACCGCATGATCAGACATCGTAAACCCAGCTCATACGACAAGTGGCAGCCATGTACTGGACATGTTCACTGCTCCGATCAGTACGTGACCTGAAGAAGACTATCGCACGTAGGCTCGGGCGGTGATGCCGATGTCTAGCAAAGATAGAAGTTTGACACAATCCATATACAAAGAAGGGCCATGCAAGCTACTTGTGACAGCCTTGTTTTGACCACCCCACTCCATACCGAACGGGATTTGCCGTGACTTGATCGGGCTAGCGCGGGAGACAGTCAAGACACCTGGAGAAGAGACCTACCCACTATCAAGATATTGGGTGAAGGTCAGGTGACCTTCAGCGGCATCCAGCCGGAAAACAAGCCACTCATAATGTAAACCCCTTACAGAGATTATTTCACAGCAAACACCTGAACGGCAAGGACGTCAATATGGTTGTCTTTGCCGACGAGATTTTGTCGCTCGTAGCAAGTTGTGGATCTCGAGCTCAACCTGCAACACTTTGCCGGGTATCGCTAACCTCGCATAACACCTGTGTCCCTCTGCTATAAAATGGATCTCGATTCCAAAAAGCCGACGTGATATCCTGCTTAAGGTTCCCTGAGTCTACACTCTGCACATCCGGGCATGACCAGAAGTCTACACATCGGACGCGACACCCATTTGCAGCGTCCCTTCCCGCCCACGATCTTTGAGGATGTTCTCAAGGCAATTGAGAGTTGTCTGTAATACCAAGATGAACTACAGACCCACCGGGAGATCCGAATACACAAGATATCGAAAACCCAGACGTACTAAGTTGAGACTGTTGCATAGTTTCAGTAGCCATGGAGTGATGTGCGATTCCCCCGAACCAGAAGGCTAGAAGGTATTGTCTTGTCTAGCAGGCTGCTGGAAACTAGTAGCAGTATCATTGGTAAGCAACGACAAACGTCCTGATGCTTTGAGAACTCTATACCGCCATTTCGCGGTCTTCGCAAACTTGGTCATACGAGGTCTCGAGCGGTGAATCTGTGCGCTGATGGGGCTAGCAGAGAGAATTTCAAGAGTCCAGGCAAAAAGACGTGTTGAAACAAAGAATGTTAGGTGGTCGTCCAGAGGCGTGGTTCCGTTGACCCAGAAGAGACCTGACCACCTTGATGGCTTTTCTCCTTATGTGTAGGCATCCGAAGGAGTGGGGAAAGGGTCCACCTGCTCTGCACAAAGTTCAACCCCGCTCTGGGGCTGGAAAGTTAGAAAGTTGGCTAGTCTTCATCACGAGACAGGCATACGGCAGACATGTGTATGACTCGTGTTCCTTTGTGCCGACAGCACCTCGTGGCACATTTGTCTTTGTCTTCGGAATAGTGGTCTGCAGTAGAATGGCGCTGATGCAGGCTGATAATATACTCTGATACCGAGGGTTGGATCCTATCTTGGCAGTCAACATCATTGTATCTGTTGCGGAGTCGAATGTGAAAGTTCCACTAGAACAAAACGACATGTTTGGCGTATGTGATTAGCTTGGGAATTGCCTTGATTGGACTTTTCTCCGCATCTCCAAGTCATGGTCGGCCTCGGTTCATACGAACGTGAAATGCTTTGGGAAGGCGGGGTCGAAGATAGATAACTCCAGACTTTGTACAACTTGTAACTTACGGATTCATACAATTCGAGATCACTCTGACCAACCCGTGTGATTCTTGGAAATCGTCGGAAGAAAGTGCATCAACAATATGACTACTCACGTCGAGGGTCGCGAATACGATGTCATCTTCGCAGNNGGTATTCACAGACAATTCCACTCGCTGGTCTCAGGGCTGACAAACGATAGTGGTGGTACTGCAGCGTGCGTGGCTGCTGGCCGTCTAGCTGCTGCAGATCCTAGCCTGTCGATTCTTCTGGTCGAAGGGGGCAAAAACAACTATAATGATCCGACTGTTGTGAATCCGGCCATGTATCTGGTTCACCTGGCTCCAGGCTCTCAGACAGCGTTGTTCTATGAATCGAACCCCGAAGAAGCTCTCAATGGCCGCAAAGCCATAGTACCATGCGGCGGCATTCTAGGAGGAGGAAGTTCCATCAATTTCATGATGTATACTCGTGCACAAGGTGTGGACTTTGACGATTGGGAGACTGAAGGATGGAGTGCAAAGGATCTTCTACCTTTGATGAAGAGGGTAAGAGACCCACGAACCGTGCTCAGAGAACACAAACTCATCGCTTCAGNNCTTGAAACATACCACCTCACGGACTCAGACATCGATCAGTCATTGCACGGACACGACGGTCCAGTGCACGTTTCGAATGGAACATATTTCCAGGAGGAAGCCGCGCAAGATGTGTTGAACGCTTCCATCGCAACAGGTCACGAGGTGACCGCTGATGCGCAGGATCTTCACAAGGATATCAGAGGTCTCAAGGGAGTTGGTGTCTTCTCGGTAAGTTTAGAGTCTAGGTCTCTGATGTTCTCCGCCTTCTGATCCTTTTACAGANAATGGGCCAAATACATCTCTCCCGAAGGAAAACGCCAGGATGCTGCACACACATACATCCATCCTTTGATGCAATCTGGCGGATACCCCAATCTACACCTCTTGCTCAACAGTAAGGTGACTCGAGTGACTTTCGACGATGACAAGCGAGCCAGCGGAATCGAATACGTTCCAACACCCTCATCACAACCTGTGGGTGGCGTCAACAGCACCGGTCCCTTCCAGGTCACCGCAAGAAAAATGGTCATCGTATCTGCAGGCGCGCTCGGTACGCCATCTATCCTGGAAAGATCCGGCGTTGGAAACAAGGAGGTCCTCGACAAGCTCGATATCCCGGTGGTGAGCAATCTGCCAGAGGTCGGAGAGAACTATCAGGATCATCATTTGATCCTCTACCCCTACAAGACCTCCTTGAAGCCCACAGAGACTCTCGATGGGCTGCTCAGTGGTCGCAAAGATTTTGGTGAAGCCATCCAGAACCAGGATCCAATGCTCGGATGGAATGGTATCGACGTTTGCTCGAAGATTAGACCTACCGACAAAGAGATCGAAGCCATGGGTTCGAACTTCAAGGAACATTGGAACAAAGATTTCAGAGACCGCCCGACCAGGCCTGTGATGCTGACTGGCGTCGTCCAGAGCTTCCTAGGAGACCACAAAGTCCTGCCTCAACGCGAAGACGGCGAGCCCCAGCAGTACTGTACGATGGGCGCATACACTGCTTACCCATATTCTCGTGGAGATATTCACATTACCTCGAGAGACGTCACGACGCCTGCGAGCTTCAATACTGGGTTCTTCAAAGCTGAAGCAGATGTTCAGAAGCAGATCTGGGCTTACAAGAAGCAGCGTGAGATCTATCGCAGGACCGACGCATACAGCGGTGAGTTAGACCTTGGGCATCCCAAATTCCCTGAAGGTAGCAGGGCCGCGTTGCAGGATGGTCCCGTCGCGAGATTTTCATCGCAAGAAGATCGAAACAATCTTCCGGAGATTGAGTACAGTGCCGAAGACGACAAGGCCATCGAAAAACACGTTCGCGACAATGTAAACACAACCTGGCACTCGCTGGGAACATGTCGCATGGCGCCGCGCGAAAAGGGAGGAGTGGTAGATGCCGACCTCAACGTGTATGGAGTGACTGGCTTGAAGTTGTGTGATCTTTCCATCTGTCCTGGCAATGTTGGTGCAAATACAAACAACACAGCGCTGCTTGTTGGGGAGAAGGCGGCCGATATCTTTGCCAAAGATCTGGGGCTTGGAGAGATTGGTCAACCATTGAGACGCATGGACTCAGCAGACCCAAGGTCGGAGAAGGTGTAAGGGAGCAAGATACAAACTCGGTAGCAATACTTAGAAGCAAATATCGACCATCGTTGTACCACAGCCTTTACTTCTTACTTGCTAAGCTACGTAACTTAAGAAAGCTCTATCTTTCCTTTCTAGTTTGCCATCCATATACCCGGATAGCCTTAGTTAGGCATATATAAAGCGTCTTTAATATCTTAACACTATCTAACCATGTTAGGGCGGCCTTATGCTTTATAGTGTAAGTTTAGCATTTATAAAAATAGATTAACGCTTATATAACCTAATAATAGCATTAAATAGAATGTTAAGTCTAAGGTCTAAAATTCTATTTATTTATTTTTAGCTAGATATAGTTTCTAGTATCTAGTAGAGCGTGTTAGTAGCTAGTGTCTAACACCTTAACACTATAGAATTTAGCGCTCTAAGTAGCTAGTTAATTAAGAAGTAAGGCGCATAGTATAAGGTGTTAATACTATAGTATAAAGGCCATATAGTTAGTAGATCTTACCGAGTTTAGCTAGTTTAGTAGTAGTTTAATTAGGGTTAGGGTTAGGGTTAGCAAACACTCTATTATGCTTCTATCTAAGCTATTCTTGCTCGTCTAACTACTTTCTATATAAAAAAAAAAAAACGGAGGAAAGGGGGTAAAAAGATAAAGGAAAGTAACAAAGGAAAGGGGGTCTATCTAGTCTATGCCATATCCTAGCCAGTTTCTAGCCCGGAGTCTTACTAGAGTAGTAGAGATATACTTATCTAGCCACTCCGAGGTGCTAGGACCGAGGGACTTTTGGAATTCCTTATAGGTTTGTAAGGTCTCCTTCCCTAGGAGGCCTCCTTGGCTAAGGATAAACGGCTTAAAAGCTCGGCCTAGGGTTTGGTATTTAAGTTTCTTAGCCCTTTCCGCGGCTAACAAGGTGCTATTAGGGTCCTTCCTAGCGGTTTCCTTGCCTAATTAACGACTAAATGGAAGTTTAAGTCTAAGGTCTAAAACTCTATTTTTTATTTTTTTAGCTAGTTAAAGTCTCTAGTACTTAGTTCTTACCTAGTATAGACACTCTAGTAGTATAAGATTACTATAAAAGTATTAAAAAGCTAAAATAAGCTTAGTATCATATACTTCTTTAGTTTATCTCTAGATCTAGACTTTTTACTTAGATCTAGACCTTTTATAGTATTCTTAGCTTAGTTTCCTACTACCCTACTTACTTAGATTTTAGAAAAAAATCTAGATAGAAAGAGAAAATTCCATTAAGTTTATATTCTTAGTATTACTTAGAAGTCTAAGCTTAAAACTCTAGCTAATACTTAGCTAGACCTTTTCTAGTATCTAGTAAGTTAAAAGAAACCTAGATTATAACCTATAGAGCTAGTAAGAGTTCTAGATAGCTAAAAAGAAATAGAAATATCTTTACTACTAAAAGTAAAGTCTTAAGTAACTTTAGATCTAGACTTATCTAGACTAGTCTAGACCTTTTCTAGTTATTTTAGAGCTATATAGATACTTATCTCTAGTTTAGATAGTTAGTATAAAATCTAGATAGCTAGAAATAAATAAGGTTACTTTTACTAGTAAAGCTAAAACTAGGACTAACTATATATCTATACTTTTCTAGACTAGTCTAAATCTTTCTTAGTACTAGAAAGGCTTTACTAAGTCTTATTATACTTTAGATAGATACTATAAAATAAGAATAGCTAAATATAAATAAGGATATACATAGTAGTAACTTTTAAACTTTTAGTTATCTTAGTATAAGACTTAAATAGACTAGTCTAGACCTTATCTAGTGTTTTTCTACTTATATATAATCTTAGGCATATCTTATATAGATAGTATAAAATCTAGATAGCTAGATAAAAATAGATATACTATTACTAGTAAAAGCTAGATCTTAAGTAACTAGAGATTTAGGCTTATCTAAAGTATACTAGACCTTTTCTAGTTATCTAGTAGCTTTATAGACTTAACTCCTAGCTTTAGATAGTCTATAAGAAATCTAGATAGCTAGAAAAAATAAGAGTATAATATTTACTAAGCTAGTACTAAGACTAACTTTAAAAGTAGACTTATCTAAACTATTATAAACCTTTAATAACTACCTATTAGCTATAGAGAACTTTATATACCTACTAGAAAGCTAGTATAAAATTAATATAGCTAGAAAAAAATAAGAATATATCTACTAGTAAAGATAAAGTAATATAGAAGTTTAGTATTATACTTATTTAGACTTAGCTAAACTAGTTCTAGTACTATACTATCTCTATAAAGCTATAAAAACCTTATAGTTAATATACTAGTACTAAAAAAGATAAGGATAGATATAATATAAGAAAGCTATCTATTTAACTTCTAATCTTTATAAGTATACTCTTTTTAGGTCTTCCTTTAGTTTTAACCTTTTAGGTCTACCTCTAGCTCTTTTTCTAAGGCTTTCTTTTTTAATTTTAGGACTAGATATATTAGTACTAGAGCTAGAGTTACTACTAATAGTTATATTCTTAAGATTAGAAGGATTAGCCTTATAGATACTAGTAAAGTTATCTTTTAAGCTAGGTATTTCTATATTACTAGTATCTTCTAAAGGGTAGGAGTTTAGACTACTAGTAGATTCTAAGCTATTAGAGCTAGTCTTTTCTAGATCTTTAGTACTACTCTTAGGTAAAGTATTAATATAAGGCCTTAAGTCTAGATTAGAACTAGTACTAGTTTCTCTTTCTAGTCTTTCTAGATTAGCTTTACTAAGTCTAGTAGTAGGACTTTCTAGATCCTTAGAAAAGGAAATAGCTTTAGTACTAGCTAGACTAGGGCTTAAAGGTCTAGTATAAGAATCTCTTTTACTAGAATTATAAGAACTAGAACTACTAGTACTAGAAATAATAAAAGGCTCTTTATCTAATAAATTAAGATTTCTACTAGAACTAGTACCTAGATTAGGACTAGAAGGTACTATAGAACTTTTATATATAGTAGAAATAACTTTACTAGAGCTAGCTCTAGAGATAGCTAGACTACTAGTACTTATACTAGAATTAGATCTAGAAATATTAGATCTTAGGCTTAGATCTAAGTTTATATCTTTATTACTAGATTCTAGCTCNTCTAGTATACTACTTATATTCTTATCTTTAGTAAGATTAAAGTAAGTAAAGTATAGACTAGTAAAGTCTCTAGATCTAGTATAGATAGACTTAGTCTTATTAGAAAATAAGTTAGACTCTCTAGCATAATTAGCCTCTACTATATTAGTAGAATGATTAGCTAAGATGTCTTCTATATTACTAGTTCTAGAAAAAGTATCTCTAGATAGTATTCTTTTATTAGGACTTAGTAAGTAAGTCTTATCCTTAATAATATATTCTTTTATAATAAAAATAATTAGATGTCTATAGAGCTTTAGACCTAATCCTTTAGAAAAGTATAAAAGAGTCTCTTTATAAAGTAGATTACTAAGCATATTACTAGTAATCCTTTTATTTTTAAGAGTAAATAGAAAAGGACTAATAATATCCTTATTATCTAGTACCTTTAGATTAAGATAGTTATATAAAGGTAGGTAGTATACTAGGTAGTATAGTACTACTCTAGTAAGTCTAATAGGTAAGAATCTAATATTACTAGAGTTTAGAGTACTAGTATTACTAGTTTTAGAATAAGAGGTATTAATACTTAAAAGATTAAGACCCTTATCTAAGTATAGATTTCTTAGGCCTCCTTCTTTAGTATTACTATATCTTAGTATAGTAAGCTCTTCTCCTCTTAAAGGGCTACTACTTAATAGATAAAAGGCTAGTAGTAGATTCTTTATAAATATATCTTTAGTTATAAGGTAGGCTTTTACTTCTTTAGTATTAAAGCTATCCTTATCTTTTCTTAGCTTTTTATAAAGACTACTATTAGAGTTATATAGTCTCTTAATAAGTAGGTTCTTACTAGTTAGATCCTTAAGATAAGGATCTATAGTAGTAATATTTTCTAAAGGTATACTATTTTCTTTAGAATCTTCTATTCTATAGATATTTAGATCTAAGATCTTATCCTCTCTAGAGATATTACTAAATACTAAAAGCTTATTATATAGTAAATCTTCTACTTTAAGTAGTAAATTACTAAATAAGTCTTTAATAGTATTTATATTTATAGAAATAGTATCTACTATAAGATTACTATTATCTATCCTAGTAATAGGCTTATAGCTACTAATTCTCTTATAGTTAAACTTTCTAATAGAGTTTCTAAGAATATATAAGGTACTAAAGTAGGTATTAGACTCTACTACTAGTAACTCTTTATAGTCTTTAGTAAAGCTTAAATAAAAGTTATCTATTATCTTTTCCTTATATATTAAATCCTTATATCCTAGAAAGTAGAGTCTAGTATTATAGATAAGCTTAGATAAGATATTTTGTATATAATCTTCTTTTCTAAATAGTATACTTCTAGAGTCTATACTTCTTAATATAAAGAAAGTAATAATAGGACTAGAAAAGTTACTATTCTCTTTAATATTATAAGTAATATCTTCTTTAAGTAAAGTATAGAAAAGTTCTAATAGTAGTCTTTTAGAGATATAGCTATAACTTCTTTTTATAGTAAGAAATAGATAGTTTAAATATGTTTTTAAGTATATCTAGTACTTTAAAAGTAAATATAGGATAGTAATAGTATAAAGTATAGTTATCCTTATCTTTAGTAGTCCTTATAGATGTTTTCTTAGTATAAAGCTCTAATAGATATATAACTAGTAGACTAAACTCTTTAAAGTAATTTCTAGTAGTCTTTTCTTCTAAAGGAATAAAAAGACCTAAGTCCTTACTAGTATTATTATTACTACTAGTAGAATAATAAGCATTCTTAAGAATAGCTCTTATACTAGTAGGTAAGTCTTTTATAATAGAATTAAGCTCTTTTCCTAGCTCTATAGTATAGTTATAAATATAGTTATAAAACTTTACTTCTTCTATAAGCTTAAGATCTATTAGCTCTAGTAAGATACTAGTATCCTTATTTT